TATCCGATGAGACTGAGAATTTGCATCGGTGATGAGCTTATACTTTCATGCATGCTTGCAAAGACGGAAAAGAGAAGTTGTTCCGCACGCATTTGAAGCGCACGGACAAAACTGCTGATTTTGATGGTCGACCTTGGAGGTGTGGGTTCTCCGAGCACAGTGCCTAGGAGAGCATTAAACGATCTCGACGTTCCGAATCCGGTCACTGGTCGCTAATGTGAAAACCGACCAACGGCGGTGGACGACTCTGTCTGATGTCGGGGAGAAGCTGTTATTCGTGAAGGTCGCACAGGGCCAGCCCAGCCACCTCAATGTAAGGGCTAGAATCGGGCATGGGTTGCGCATCAGTGGATGCTCCACGTGAGTATCAGTTGAGACTGTCTTGCAGGGTCAAGGAAACACAGAACCAAGTCAACACGTGGAGCCTTCTTGAATATTTCCAATCGGTTTGTGCAACAGCAAGGGTCTCATATTGTGGTCCAAATTAGCTGAAGAGACCAAGCAATGAACAGACTCTGGTTGATGGAGCTTGGGCCAGATGAATCGATATCGACGCTCAGCTTTGTGATGATGAAAGGTCATCCCTGGTAAATGAGACAGTTTTATCAAAGCTCCCCTGTTCGACCAGTAACATTCTGGCTCACGGCCCAGTCGCTTGGTTGGGCGATGCTGGGCGTCTATTGGTCCAGCAATTGAAGCATCTGCATGTGTTGTCAGACACCGTATTGATGCGTTATGGTGCGGTGCGGTGCGGTAGAAACGACAATCCTTGATGGTGTAGAGTTGCTGAGCTTTGAGTCGTATTGGCTCCCTGCAATTGAGTGTTCTGTTGCGTTTACGAGCAGGTTGGCTGAGATTCTGTTAGTCTGTACCTGGCTAAGAAAGTGAGGGAATCCACTAATTACCGTAGAAAGACACCATCTGGCTAAGGCCTACTGTGCCTCTTTGGGGCATTTGGGCCCCTTTAGTTCATCCCAGACGTTCGGGTCGCTTATTAGGATCTTGTTTAACTAGACCCTGAAGTTTCTAGCACAGATCATTCCACTAGAAAAGTACCAATCGTGCCGGGATGTTAAAATGTGTGGCTAGATCACCCACACTGGAGAAGTCAGCCAAGAGGAGGCTCATATTTGCGAACTACGCCATACAAATGAGTGCACCAACAAATGGTGGTGAGCTATCCGATAGTGATAGATGTATTTGTGTAGATTCGGTTGATGACAGATCAAGGTGGTGATGGGGATGGTATGGCGTAGAAGGAGGAACGACGTTCTAGGTTTCCCCACTCGTTATTTCTGTCCTGGTCAAACAAGTGTTCTTTCCACATTTTGAACAGCCATTATTATACTGTCAACCTTATTTTACCACCATATCGATAAATATTGATTATGATAGTTCTAAATAAGAGATTTGCACAGAGAGAAATAATCTAATTGCTCAGTACCTATCTATCAAACGTTGTATGTCCACGCTCACAAGGTTCTATTGGCTTGGCTTGTTTTCAAAGCATCTATCTGTACTTCGACTTCTATTGGAAGCCTGTACTCCGTACGTGTAAAGTCGTGAACTACAGTCGTGATTATAAAATTAAGTTACACTCATGCACAAAGTTTAAACAATAATAAAAAGGAACAAGCTACGTGTCCAACTGACCAAAATATTTCCTTCACAAATAATTGTTTGTGTTTCCTCTTGACTCTTCGTCGCTCCATCCTTCTACGATTACCTGCAGATAGAACCTCTGCGCCCTCTTACGATCTATCACGCGCCCTGCTTCTCATACAGTTGCAGTAAGGATTCCCTAATAACGTAACGCTGCTCCTGGTACAGTATCAGCCACATTTATGCCATTGGCTGGCGTGCCGACAGAGCAAATAAGACACTATATCAGCACTCGCGGATTGTGGTGTCGCTTCCGACACCGTTTCACCCTTCTCCAAATTGCTGGATCCTACAGCAATCATGATAGCGCCATTCAGCCCAAACCCCCAATTAATGGCAGCCACCTCTAGGGCTGAACTAGAATCTAGGGGCAGAGCTACGGACTGCCATCCCCTGGAGCCAGCTCGATCATGGCGGATACAGAAACTACCTTAGTTCGATCAACGGCGCCGGCTCCAAAGCTTTGCTAGAGGGCCATGACCTGCACGTCAGAAACTCGTGGATTCCCACATACGACATACTATCCGACGCTGGCACGTCGACACAAGGTTGGCATCATGGTAGGCAATATCGCGTGTGTTGCGCCGTGTTGTTACACAACCGTGTCGCGGAGAATATTCTGATCCATCCTTGAGCTTGGCTTGCGCGCGACTACAACTAGCGTGTGCTGGGAACCACGACGTCGGGCTCGCCCACACCCATCGCGGTATCGCCGCCACGTTCGGAAGGCCTCGACATCTGGCCGTTCTCCATCTTGATTGCTTGCAAAAGTCTCGGTAATGCTAATACGTACTCCGTAGGCCTGAGTCAGTTGAGGTCACAAGAGGATTCCGCAATCTCTCCTCAATCGGCCGTGGCAATCCGCGTGCCCGCTGACCCCGTTCTCTTTGATCGATGACCTCGTCCATTCGCACCCTGTTGACAAACTGGAAAATCGGCAACCCAACTGCCTAATCCCTGTTTGGGAATTCTTAGCCAAGCCCCAGGCTGCTTTCAACATAAATCCTGGACGCCTCCTCTGGCTGTGGTACCAGCCATTGCATGTTCTAATTGGTTATGGTATAGGAAAGGCCGCAGATCTGCTGCAAAGAGCAGGGATTATATTGCGCACTGTACTCAGCGAAAGAGACCCTCCGTATGGCAGGGTGGGCATTCCTTGGGCCCTTGATCCAGTACGGGGTTGTTTCCTGGGTGGTACTTGGAACCAAGAGCGCAGGGCACGAGGTGGCTACCCCCTACCATGCTCTTTTCACCCCTTGTCGACCTCACCATCATGCCGGGCGTCGTGATGGATCATGGCCCTCAACCGCTACAGCTCGCGTTGCAGTCGTGCTCTCAAGGTTGTACCTCTCCGGAGCAGAGAACAACGCTCTATTGTGACCACGAGGGCAAGAGAGTACGGGTACAGAGCCCATCGTCAGGCGCCTTGTCAACATTGGAGATGTCGAGGCAACTGACAATGCAATTGCCACATTTTGTTTTTGACTGCTTTTCTTCTTCTTTCACGAGCAGCCTCCAACAACTTTGCTTGCACACTCAAACTCCGCCACAATTTATGAGTCCTGGCCTGGCGACTGGTGACTGGCGTGTGTGATATGAACCTAGCCAGGGGAGATTGATGGGCAAAGCAAAGACCACCTCCTAGGTAGCTCCCAGCTTCCAGCTCCCCTCCCAACCAGCAGGTTGCAGCACGCAGGAGCAGCAGGGGGTTATCAGGCAAGGGACATGGGTTCAATTCGTCTGCCTCTTCCTTTTATGAGGTCCATATTCTATTTTTTTGTGTTTCGGTTTGGCAGGAATACGCAGGCAGGACTGAGCGGTAGAAGGACATTATTAGATCTTCTTATCACTATAACCACGTCACCTGCGCATCCCCCCGAAACTCAACCTCTCCTTCCTTCTCTACGCATATCATCGCATATTATCTGCAACGAATACTCGCACCACACCCTCGTTTATCAAACTCAAGGTGGTCTTGAAGCTTCGCATCCCCTGGAAGCACGCTTGGTCTTTCTCGTAATTACTCGCTGCTTTCGCTCAACAGCCACGAGTCAGCGGCACATCCGGCACCGCTCGCGACGTGGGGTATCCTCGGCAGAGCGATCGACCTCGACCCAAAGATTTTCTGGTCTGGCCTGTGAGCCAAGTCTAGTCCGGTCCATACAGTCTGGCTGTCTATCGTCTGCTCGCGCTACGACGGAAATATCCCGACTTGGTATTCATTCGCTACGCTACGCCGTGCGTTGTGCTGTGTCGTGCTGTGCTGTGCTGTGGTGCCTTTTCGGTGTCGTCTTTTTGCTGAGGTGCTGTAAAGAGTGCGTTGAAAAATTCGCACGCCCCTCTTATTCGAACCAAACCACGCTATCCACCAAGCTCGATAAGCGCAGAATCCCACTGCCACTGCCCTGGGTTAGGACTGGACTGCTCGTTGTATGGTACCGTACCGTACCGCACCGCGGGCACCATACCAACTGTTTCGCATCGCTCCGTTACTGTTCGGTATCTTCCAGTCTGGCAAACACCACTCACCGGCTTACGGCCCTTCACATATCATCCACAACTCGACGCGCATTCTTCGTAGATACGCAAAGATTCTTCGACTTTTCTGTCGGCTTGTCCCACTGCAACATACACTCCTTTTTGCCTCGAGGCTCTAGATGAGTGCGTCCTGTACCCATCGCTTCCGTCATTCATTTTCTGCTCTGGGCCCTATAAAATTCTTTCGGTCCCGCACCTCTCTCCAAGTTTCCGTCATTACAGAGGCTTTCTTGCGTAGGTACAGGCATCCACACGCCCCTCCCCCCCTGCAAGGTCGTGAGTCGCTCTCAGAACGACAGAGTCAGTGTATCGTGGGAAGATACACTTTGACGCCCCCTTGTCCATCCCAGGCCCTCAGGCGCTAGACCCTCTTTGCTTCTGGGCTCTCGGCAGAGTCCACAGCGCCAGGCCGATTTCAACATCGCACTATATTAGTGTGTCGCTCCCCAAGAACTAAGGGCGACCTAGCCCGACCTCTCTCTGATCGAGGAAAAGCGAACTATCCTTGCCCTAGGCTCCATTCCCCCATCTCTATCTCCCCTCCCCAGCAAGATCCGCGCCCAAGGACTCGGCCTAGGTGCTCGCATCACACACTTAACCATAAACCAACCTTTGGTCTTGCAAACGGCGCTACTACTGCCGCCGCCAACAACATATACTGCCGCGCCGCCGCAAGTCTCTTTGCAAGCGCTCAGCCATTGCCTTTCTTTCCCCCTGTTACCGGCAAACATCAACTTGACGCGGGTCTGAGCTAAATCTCGCCGGTCATTTCTTTATCATCAGCCCCGTGGAGCTGTAGCATGTCTCTGGTGCCAACACAGCAACCTCGTACTTTTGTTGACCACCACCCATCGTTGCACACTTCCTCCATCATCGCGAAACTTGGTTCCGAAGCGACCCTAGACACGCTCCTCAGCTCTCCCAACTCTATGGAACGAACTGCAACGGAGTACTCGCAGTCAGGTTTGCCTTCGCCCTATCCAAGCAACTTCGGCGACACCAATTCTGAAGGTTCGAGGGCAGATCACGCATCTGCTGCGCAATACCCTGTCAAGCAGGAAGTCAACTACTCGACATCGGCCACTCCCACCTCCGAGTACGGCGTCTATCCTCAATCAGCCCGATCAGGATCATTCCCAGAGCACGTCCAGCGTTCATACCATCCTGCCAGCAGCACAAGCAGTGGCGGTATGGCGCAACAACAGAACAGTCCGTCAATGCCCCAGCAGGATGGGCGTAGCCATCAGACCCATCCGGTCAAATCTGACAACGATGTACCTATAGATCCGTCCATCGCCGCACCGAGCCCTACCTACGCATCCTATGGGCAGCATTCGCCCTATGCGGCCAACCCAGACATGACACACAGCTATCCTCATCCCGGTGGCGGCATGTATCACCAGCCTCGGCCAGACTGGTCTGGCTACGGGCAACATGGCGGTGCGCCTTTGACACCCGGCCACCCAGTCTATGCTCAGAATCCCGCTTCAGCGCCGCCCCCCCAGAGGCCGAACCAAGTATGTCAAGTCTTGCGCAGGCAGACATAAGACGAATTGAAACTAGGATGAGTGGAATGCGCGTTTATTTGAAATTTTCGAGACGCGTTTGATTCTTCTACGATCAATTTAGTTTTGTGCCTTTTCTGTCTCCCATTTGTTTTTTTGTCTAACGCGTTGCTTTCCTAGGTTTACTCTTTTGTACCCATCCCAGGTGCTCAGCAGCACAAGCGACCTCGACGACGATACGAAGAGATCGAGCGCATGTACAAGTGTGGATGGAATGGCTGTGAAAAGGCCTACGGCACGCTGAACCATCTTAACGCTCACGTTACCATGCAGTCCCACGGACAGAAGCGAACACCTGAAGGTAATTATAGCCGGGATTTATGCCAAGCACGGACTTACATGACTGACTTGTGTTTTCAGAGTTCAAAGAAATTCGCAAGGAGTGGAAGCAAAGGAAGAAGGAAGAAGAGGCCAACCGCAAGGCTGAAGAGGAGCGACAGCGCCAGGCTGCTGCTGCTGCTGCGGCTCAGAATGGAGGCGGCGATCCTCAAGGACCAGATGGCACTCCTACTTCCTCCTACCCTGGCTCACGGCCTGTTCAGCTGCCCCCCATCGGATACCAGCCTGCTCAGTACCCACCACCTCCTCCCGGAGTTCCTCAACAGCAGCTTCAGGATTACAACAACAGCCATATGTACTCCAATTATCCACCTCATTCACCATATGCCCAGTCCAACCAGGGTATCCCTTACCAAAGTATGTCGCAAAGGCAGAGGGTGGCTTAGTTGATGAACTAACCAGGCTTAGCAAACGGTGGTCAACCCCCAAGCCACTAATATGGATGGGCAAAACACGGGTCAGAGCATTAGAGGAGGAAACTCACCAAAGTCAGGAATGAAAAAAAAAAGACCAGAACAAAAAGAAAGCCGCTGTACTATAATGGAACTGACGTCGCGCCTCCGATTTGTCAATCAACAAAAAATTGTAGAGTTTGGAGAGCGCAGCGGAAGTTGGGCGAAGGGAACGTTACGATCTCTCTGTCCGGTAATTACGTCTACATTTCGACTCTCATGGCCCCTTGAGATGGCGCAAGTGTTCTCAGATCATACTTCTGATGGTCGAATCGCTTTGCTTCTCGGTTTTGGATTTTTTTTGGAGTTTACGCATACATACACGAGATGAGGTTGCGGAGTTGACGATTTCTATTCATGAGGATCAGGGTGACGGCCAAAGGTGGTCCCGGAGGTTCGGCGTGGTTCTATGTGCATTTTCAATGACTTCTCGTTATCATGATTCGGGCCACAGCTCGTCAATCAGCTGTTGACACTCGGGGGTCTTCGTTTTTTTCTTTCTTTTTTCATCTCGTTTATTTCAGAGACGGTTTAGGATGTTTATTCACATGAAAGCCGAGTTTACCGGGTGATGTGGCGCCAATTAGGTTGATGGAAAGGCGCACATAGATGTATACGGATGGCACTTTATGATCATGGTGGCCTGGGTTTGTGGACTGAGTGTTCAGTGTTTTCTGGACATGGCCTGGCCAAGCAAATATTATACTTGTATAACATAAAATTTGTCTTTGCCGTGTTAACAATTGAGTTTTGGACCGTTACTGCAGTCTGATGTGATAGGGAGCGCATGATTATGTGGAAATACGTTACATGTCGGAGCGATATTAGATGCCCGCCGTGAAGTGAGGTCTTTGGAGCAAGACAGTATACTTCGTAAATATATATGCATGGTTTCTCACGTTAGACCGCGGCAAAAGACTTGGTGAACCAGTCTATTGGGACATGCCAAGGCAGCCCTATGTCTTTTGCAGATGAGATGAGAAATGATGATTAAACCTGGTCAAACATGGGTGGCGTGCGGCAGGTAGGGTCGCGTTGCGCATTGCGCATTGCAGCGAGGAGAATATGGGTATGGGGGTGGTTGTGCTACTATGCCACAACGGCTAGGTCTCAGAGAATTCAGTTGGCAGTCAAGGGTGGGAATAACAAAAGAACCGGAAAAGCAAGGATGGGATGGTGCTGATAGACAAGGCAGACGGGCAGAGAAGGGAAAGGTCGGGTAACACAAAGACATGGAAGAGCCTGACGTACATATATAGTGCACATTAGTTTAGCATGGGAAGCGGCGTGGTCTGATATTGTATCGTTTGGGCTTAACCAAAGCCAGCGCCAAGTGGAGGGGGGCGAAGTGAGTGATGTGATGTGATGCGAGGCAAATAACTGGAGTGAGATAGATCGATCTATCCGTAATGCTTGCTATGAGATTGGCGAGAGTCGATGTGTAGCTTGCAGTGAGTGTATGGTGTGTGCGTATGTAGTATGTATGTATGTAGGTGCATGCAATGCGGTTGGTGATAAAGGCAACACAGTAGAAACAGGATGTCGGGACCCGGAACAGGAATGCGAACGGATCTGCACCTGGGATTGTGCAGAAAGGAGAAGGAGAATATGAGAAGCGATGAGCGAAGGTTGTATTCTACGGCGTTGTTGATCGTGCGTGCATGCGCCTACATATATATATGGATACAGACTATTTCAGATAAAGTTTCGTGATATAGACAAGGATTGAGGAATGGAACATGATTGATGGGATAGGATAGTGGCGTAGGTATAAAACTGCTCAAACATATAATATAGTCTGTCCTTAATTAAATGCGATAATTACACGATGCATTCAATAAATCGCATGTTGACATTGGCAGCCTTACGACTTAACATCCATATCGCTTGCATGCATGCATGTAAGCTGTTGCTGTAACGTCTCCAAGGGAAAACCACTAAACAAGGGGGGCGTGTACAGCAAAGCAAAAGCCTAAAATAAAAAGAGGATATAACTAACAGAAACAACCGAGCCAGCTAACTCGTACCAAGGCTACAGCTGTAAACAAGGCGAGTGGGAAGAAGCGCGTGCGTAGCGTAGCGTGCAGCAACAAGTGCAAGTTTTAGAGCGTGTGTGACTGACGCCGTTGCGGATGAGCAAGGGGGGACCTTGCGGCGCTAGGAGAATTTAGCCGCTCCTCTGTAGGTAACACAAGAGACGGAGACAGAGACAGAGACAATGGATGGAAACACAACATCACAAGACTCAGGCGGCCTCTTGGTTCAGTGGATGGCTTGTTACAGTGTAGAAATTATGCTTACCTGGTGCGAAAACTCTCTCCTGGCAGGTATCGTTTGTTCCATTGTCCCGGGACACAACTAAACTTAGTAGTTTATCTCGAACGGGAACGGGAATGGCTGAACCGTTGAGCTGACTATATTTTCTCAACGGCGTGGAGAGCTCCAGTCTGAGACGGGTGTGATGAGCGGAGTGTCCAAAAGAGAAACGTGAGGTGCTACCGACATCTTTGGCTGCACTGCCTCAGAGGTTGCCGTATGACACGCGGTGGTTTAAATGTTGTGTTACGGGCGAGGCTGAGGGTACGGAACACACGGTTAAATAGAGCTGTAGGAATGCAGAGTGAACATAATGTTAGTTGTAAGTAGCTGTTATATAGAGACTATGTAGTGCAGTATGTATTTCTCCTGGTCTTGTTCCACTGACTCGCTTCAACGATGAACAGTGGCATACCGAGATAAATAAACACACCCCACAACAAGGGTCCTCGGCACTTCAAGTCACTTGTCTATTCACATTCCCAGCAGCAGCCCAGCCTGGCTTCAAAGCTTCTATGGCCCCTGTCTTGTGCAGAGAAAGTTTAAACAGCCCTGCTCAACAGTCAAAGCCCAAATGGAGTGGTTCACGGACGGCCCGTACCCGACCCGAGCTACTATATCCAGGGGCTGTGCATAATCGTCGCACAGTTACAGTTACCCCGGCACTTGCTTGACTAGCCGCGAAGGACACGAAGGTTCCATAGTACTTAGTGGGTGTGTTGGGTTCTATTCACCTGCATACCTGGTGTCGATGTATAGCAGGGCTCTTTGGGGCGCCTGTTGCTGTCACGGTGGTAGCATTGTACGAGAAGCGTCCACGACAACGGATACCAAGACAGGGTGTGTGCAGTTGAGGAGGAACTCTATCATAGTCATTAGCACAAGTGACTGCTCCCCGACCCTAAACAAGCCTAAAATTGTCATAAATTAGGATCGTATTTTCTCTAAACTACATAAGAATTCATTCTTACATGTGATGTTCTAATCAGGACCTGGAAACTTCGAGTTCTAGACTGGTTAGGATTCAGAAAACATGCAGAGGCTTTCCTCTGATGGGTAGTTGAATTAGAATGTACTTGTCTTGAACCACGCAATCTGTATATCATGTATATACTTGAGTGTAGATGGTCAGGAAAACTGAAGCGTTCAATCGTAAAGTAAGGCTTACCAGCATACAACTCTCATCGGACCAGAATGCAGCCAGAAAACTAATTGTGCATTTACGCAAAGGATCACTCAACTGAGTTTATATATCGCGCCGATCAGAGGCCGAATGTTTGTTTATTATCTTGTGATGATCATGTGGTTGGAACAACCAGATTTTAGATTATCCATGACTCCAAGACTCGAGGGAGTGTGCGCATATTGGTGGAATTATCACGAGAAATACAGAGTTAATTATGAATAAGATTCTGACTTACCCCATGAATAAGAGAGATACGGTATAAAGTCAATACCCAACACTGGTATCTTCAATGTTAAGCGACTTTTATTGTCTACCTAGACGACACTATGATCGATGTTGAAAACCATCGGCTGCTGTTTGCAATTTTCGCCAAAGTTAGTAAACAACATATATGTGAACAAATGGAATGACCTCTGGAAATGAGCTGATTTCATATATGCTTGTTGGTTTCCTTGATCCTTTGTTTCAGAACGTCATTCAAGGCTCTCGAATGCTCTCTGCTGATGACGTGCACTCTGAGCGCACCACGCGGTAAAAGAAACGCTTAGATATCGAGAGAGAACAAAACAGTATTATCTGGCAGCGACCAATATCTATGGACTGCTGGACCATATTTCGCATTCGTTAAGAGGCAAATATCTACTCAGAACAGATACGGACACATTTAATCGTGTATAGGACTTATCTGAAACCACGCTTGATCTCACGCTCCTGACGCAGTGTGTCTTGAATTTTTTTGCTACCCCGCCATCCAAACGAGTCTCTGTGTGTAACGACCAACACCAACCATCACTATATCTCCTGCTCTTATCAACATCGTTCGAATTATACGGTTGCCAGACAGAAGAAAAGACAGAAGCAAGCGCTCTTAATTCCTAATAGTAATATCTATTTGCGTGCCTCAAGACAGCTCCCCCCTCGCCGTCTTATCAAGATGGAGGGTGATCTTCCGCCCTTCCCACTGCGCCCCAAGGGCTTGACAAAATCAGACTCCGGCGCATCCTTTGGCGGAGGTTCCGCAAAGTCGGTTTCCGTCGTAGGCACACATCCTCTAGGGACTCTTCATGTTCATCGAGTCAGCGAGACACCTCAGGAGGATGAAAACATGGATGGCCCTCCACCTCTTGATCCTCCCTCGAGACAGAGCCAGAATGCAGATAGCTCTGCTTATAAAACCTCTCAACATGGCTCTTCAAAATCCTTCCATAGTCCAGTCTGGGAACCTTTGACACACAGATTGGGAGGCGGTGATGTGGTTCTCATCCTTGATCTTCCTGAGGTCTTTACTGTTGGCTACGACTCCATATCGTTCACGGCCAAGCACTTTGGCGGCGTCAGGGACATACCCCCAGGTGCTCACTTCTTCTGGGTTGCCCATCCTGGGGGTCTCTCTGCCCGATGCGGTTTCTGGATTGTCACAAACGGTGTCGACACTGTTCACGTTATGCAATGGGACCGCTTCAACGAGATTCTTGGCGACTCTGCCCGTGCTGAAGCGCGCATCCAAGCTGACAACCTCGACACCATCCACTCCAAGCTTGTACCTTATCAGGATCCAAGCGCAGTCAATGCTCCCAGGGGCCAGTTGACCCAAGGTGCTTCAGAGAGGAATTTCAACATGTGGGGGCAGTTGACTGGCAAGGTCACCGAGAGCCTTCTCAACCGTGTGACGGGACAGCAGTTTGATAATTGGACGGTTCATACGGGCGATCGCGTCAAAGGGTCGATACTCATGGCAGGCGAGATGGAACTCGATCAGTCAATCTCAAATCCTCTCCTCCAGGCTCGCGAGCTCAACTTTGCCTTCGGCCAGAGGACAAAGACGTATTCAACAGAAAACACTGGTGCTGATCGGACACTGGAAGCTACCGACGCGACTCCTTACATCTTATCACTCGTCGATGCACCCGGTAACGATCTTGGCTCTGACGGCATTGTCGGCGAGTTCCAGTTCTCCTTTGTGGTGGGTGTACACCTGGGCAACGATTCTTGTATCCAGCAATGGTGGCACATGCTTCTCAAAATATTCCTACGAGCTCATATCCTTCCCGCCCGCCGACCGTCTCTGGCTGCCGCCTTCATCCGAACATTGGCAGCACAGCTTACATACAGTGCTTCCTGGCTCGAGGGTTCGATTTTTGATACCGCCGAATCACAAAGTCGGGATTTGCGACTTGCCCTCACGGTCTACAAGCGTCGCCTCGATGAGATTATACAAGGCTTGGGTGGCCATGCCACACCTGAGCAGCTGGATGTGGCTACAGCTTTTGCGGGACTTGAGGCGGTCGCCACCGAGACACTGGATTGGGATTTACGTGGAGACTATCTACGACGGGGCAATGTCATGATGGAGGATGGCGAGCAAGTTGAGCTAGAAGTCGCAGACTTGGCAGCTGAAGATGAGCGTGGAGAATGGGCACCGGAGGTTGTTGACCTTGATGAATCTGGACGACAGCGCGATCTTGTCTCGTGGGATGACTAAGGATGCCATGCTTCGAGGATACTTCGTGTCCCATGACATTAGGGAAGGATAGCCGAGAGAGCAACCATGCAAAGGTTTAGACAAGTGCGGAAACATGGTGAAAGCGTAAGAGGTCGTCTTCAGGGTTTAATGGGTTTGCATAAATGTATGAGTTGATGGAGAGATGGAGCGTTTAGAGTGGCATAAAAAGCTTTGCCTTTGGGGAGAGCTAGGAGTCGGGAGTCTTTTACAACGGCAACAAAGTAATAGGGATAGGCTTGGGTTTGATATCATCAATACATCAATTGGACTGTATTGGACATTCGGTAGTTGAAGAGTAACCCGTTCTGCTTGTGATGCTAGAGATTGGCCTTGCAGTCAATGAGTTAATTGATTGTTGGCCAGCAACTATTGGATCCGATGAAAGTTGCCATTTCATCTGCGTGTACATGCAGACGTCACAAGCTAAGAGGCACAGGAACCATATATCGGAGCGAGTCCAGCGAGAAAGACAGTTCATTGACATCACATTTCGTAGCAGCGCGTGAGCCGCATCTTTGACTTTGAAGATTTCATTTGCCTGCCAGATCCTTTAAAATCCGCCAAAAGCAAGCACATGCAAATGCCAATGTGAAACCCATTCCCAGACCAGGGAAATTGTGACTCCGGTTCCTTTTCCGCACTGCCCGTAATATCCTCCACTGCACCAACGCTCCGGCTCGACGCTTTTGTGCTCCTCTTTGGCAACCATCTTGAACCGTTTAACGGTAAGACTTCTGGAAGCGAGAGCGGGCACCCTTACCACCGAACTTCTTGGGCTCGCAACGACGGTTGTCGGCAACGAGGAGGGTACGGTCGAACTGGACGAGGGCCTGCTTGAGGAGGTTCTTGGAGTGCTCATCGACGAACTTCTGGTAGTAGGCGATCAGGGACTTGGCGATAGCTTGTCGGATAGCGTAAACCTATAAAGCAAGACTCGTCAGTATCGAATATGCCGATGGTTGCGAAACACGACGGACCTGGGAAACATGGCCACCGCCGTTGACGCGACAGCGGATGTCCACATTGGCGAACTTGTCGAGGCCAACGACGAGAAGAGGCTCGTAAACCTATAAATGAGTTAGTTCCTGGTCAAATTCGACATGTGTGGGGAAGACATGTTGGTAAATCACATAGGGGCAGAATCATACCTTGAATCGCAGGATCTCGGGCTGGACGAGCTGGAGAGGACGTCCGTTGACCTTGATGAGACCGCGGCCAGCCTGGAAATTTCACATCATGTTAGTCTCCTGGCTCAAGCATCGTATGTCGTCTGGATCTGGGTTTCGCGAACCTTGCAGTGGGCAACGGCGGTGGCGGTCTTCTTCTTGCCAAAGCACTGGACGGAGTTGCTGGTCGACATGATTGCGGTTGTCGTGATGCCGGAGGATAGAGCGGTCGACCGTGTTGTGTTGGTGTTGATCTTGCGTATCTCAAATTCTGCGAGGTAAGGGTTGTGCCCAAGCCGGAGGCCAATCAGAAGTGGGGCCCGGTATCTTTTTTTTTCTGTGGGAAAGAGCGCCCCACTTTCTAGCCGACCCAACTTAGGGCAAGACCCGTGGAAGGAAGGTGCCCGCTTGCTTTTGCTGTTTGACAAATTTTCGTGCGATTTCCAACGACAGCGTCAACCCACTACTAACGAAACCGCAGCCAACCGTCAAGGTCAGTAGAACCTCATCGACGCTCAATCAATCAACCACGAAGACTGACATTATCGATTCAAGATGGTTTCCGCCAAGAAGCACGTTCCCATCGTCAAGAAGCGTATGTCCACCGAATCCGACTCCGAGAAGCGACCTTTGTTGTGGAGGAAAAATGCAAATGCAGATATTGACTCTTGTGTCTAGGCACGAAGCGCTTCGAGAGGCATCAGTCTGATCGCTTCAAGTGCGTGGACCCCAGCTGGCGCAAGCCCAAGGGTATCGACAGCAGAGTCCGACGACGATTCCGCGGTACCATTGCTATGCCCTCTGTACGTTGAACCTTTGCGAGGTCGAGGCCCGACCGGAATGATCAACTTTCTGGCGGGCAACGAGATCGAGAACACTTGTACTGACGCCTCACGACTTCAGATCGGATATGGTTCCAACCGAAAGACCCGCTTCATGGCTCCTTCCGGCCACAAGGCTTTCCTCGTCAGCAACGTTGGCGATGTTGAGCTTCTCCTGATGCACAACCGAACCCACGCCGCCGAGTACGCTTCTCCCTTGTACCCACACGACCAACGGTTACTAACAAGCTATGCAGGATTGCCCACAACGTCTCCTCCCGAAAGCGAGTTGACATCATTGCCCGTGCTAAGCAACTGGGTGTCAAGGTCACCAACCCCAAGGCGAAGGTTACCACTGAGGTTTAAAAGGGAATTGATCGGTTTTTGGGCTGCTTTACGGTTATGCATCGGAAAGGGGTTTGCGTTGCTTGCGGTTCTAGCAAATAGAATGCTAGAAAATAAAAACGCGCCGTTGAACGACAACAAAACTGGCATCAACCGTTTTGACAGCAAGAATCCCTTAGAGTTGGAAGGTCGCATAAGATATCCGCCTTGCCTGTACTCAGCCGATGAGGGCGCTAAGGAGGGGCTAGGTGAAAGCCTTGTCGATTGTGGACGAGGCCATAAAAATAGACAAAACCCCTTCGAGGGCCCCATCTGGTTGTCGCATTGCACTCCATGTTGTCTGAAGCTGTGTTGTGGGTGACTGTGATTGAAACTTGGTCGCGTATGTAACTTCAATTGCTATTACATACCTAGCCAAGTAACTATTCTCCCATGAAGTCCCGCTAGGTTATCACTATCTACCTAATTGCCGTCGAGATATAGATCAAGGCTAAAGCTTATTCGCCCGATGCTCGGGTTTTGTGGCTATTATTGGATGTCGACAATAAGATATTGGCGTTGCGAGGCAAGTGTCATATATCGCGACCATGAGCAACACTAATGCTCAACGCACGCTTAAAAGAGCATACGATAGTTCACATACTCTTTTCATCTTGGCTGTGTACTCATGTATGATTCATTCACATTGACTGTGCTATTGCACAATCTGTTTGCGTGGTGCTTGACGACCCAAGGTAAGGTTACGGTCCACAGGTGAATGCCACTTGCTTTGCACTTGCCAGCACTGGCGGGCACTGGTTGGTACTATATGTATGGCAGCTGGCGATGGAACAAAAGTCTATCATCTTCATATGAGTACAGCATTCTTCTGCTATTCATTTAATCTTTTCAACTGTTTGTTTTGGGTCGTGTTGCTATCTGAGCTCCCCCCAAATCATGATTTATACATTACATTGCTCATAATCGGCTTTCAATCGCGGCCTGATATTGGCCTTTCCTTTCTACCAGCTTGTTGACATCACCTACCCAAGAAGCAGTTACTCGAGGACCTGCATTGACAGAGGTATTCATTGGACTCAGACTCAAACTCGATAGCTTCATGATGACGTTTCTACCACCATCTCGGCGAGCGCATCAACCAGTTTTTAAGCCACAATGTACGCATCTCACCATGACTCGGGTTTACGACACAAGTTTGAAGTGTTCCTCTTGTCATGAACACGGCCCCTTTGGATGGCTGTATCAGTGCTCGCAGGATCGTGAAGAGATGATTGAAGAGAAGCTGGTAAGAGGCCCCCTACAAAGTAACATCACAGCGTGTTGAGAAGCTAATATGGCAGCAGTCATACATGGATTATCTGGATTACTCCTTTCGTAAGAATATGGGTATTCGAAAAGGCAGTGCAGAAGCTCGGCGAGACAAGCTCAGTTTCCTTGATGGGCTCACTCCTAAACAAATGGCTTCATACCGACCGGACCAGATCGCAACTATCTTGAGACAGCGGGAAGAGGTAGATCAAACTAGCCCTGGCAGCATTATATGCATGCTATTCTGGATTTGACGTGAGCTAAAGAAGGGCAGTTGAAAAACGTCATTGCGAAGGAGGAGTTTCGAAAAAGCAGCTCAGCTTTGTTCAGTACTGTTTCTCCACCCCCCGGCTTCGACGTTTCATTAAACAACAATCCCTCTGCTGGGCGCTGGATATATGACGCGGAACCTGAATGCCACTACAAAATCTGCCCAAGGTGCCGCCCTATATGCGCCGATCGCGCATTCCTGAGTCTCAACGCAGTCGCCAACGGAGAGATACCCCCAACTGCAGCAGCCGGCTATGGATTTGAATCCTTACACGGAAGGCCAGTTATCGCCAAAGTTGTTATTAAGCATATCAACGAGCATCGGCCAAAAGTAAGTAAAACTGTTCTAATATTTATTCTGTGACAAAATTGACCGGCATATCCAGCCACAGGTTGGTAGTCGTCGAATGATGGAGCTGCTTGACGAGAAAATCGCCCGTATGCTTATTCACCACAGCCAGGACCAAGACCGACATTTTCGGAACGTTTTTAGGAGTACGGTCTTGGCACCTAGCCCAGCAAGGCAGATACCCACCGCGAGAAACGTTGCGGCTGCGAGCCAACGTATCCGTGAAGAGGAAGAGGTCTTGTCTAAAGCTGCTCGAGATGAGCAAAAAGCTGTGGACACGAAGGCCTCCAGCTTGCCGGGGAGTCCTTGGCCATGGCTAGCTGCGTTTGACAATGCGAATATACCTGACTCTCTTGAGGAGGAGCAGACTCCGAGGCAGTCCTCACGACAAAGGTCGCGAGCCACACGTATTCCACGGTAAGTTGTTTTGTGGATTTACAACCCATTCTTATTGACCGGCATGGTGCAGTCCGACTACTCCCGGTTCGAGATCTACACGGCGTCGCCTGACTGATCAACTGTTGTTTAGTACATCTTACCTTCTTCCTTCCGAAGGAAATCCCTGGCGTCTTCTTATCGATGGTGAGAATGCCGGAACGACGTCATCTACCCATCCCCACAGTTCACAGAACACCGACTCTCAAGAAAACGAGAATAAGAGCGATTTTCAAGAGCGTTCATCCACGCCCCCAACTTTAGAGGATGGTGTGGCTTTGACGGAGGAGAGCATTGAGATTAGAGTTCCTGATGTGGTAACTCAAGTGTGAAGTTGTATGTGAGCAGAGTATTGGAGGCTCAGCAAGGCACCTGGAGTCTGCGTACTCAGAACAGGGTTGTACTTTACACGGAGTCTGGAGTAATTGTTCTTGGTCGAGCCAGACCTTGTTGGAGTCTTGAGGCATATAGCTATTTGTTTAGAGTATTGCTTGATTGTTAGGCTTTTGTACCTATGGATGATCCAGCTCTTCTAATTATCCTTGGAGTTTTCCAGAATTTTCTTCATCATCTGATTGCCCACCACCTTGGCTTCCTCGAACCGTGGCTGGAAGAACTCCTGAGTACTGACAAAACGCTTCTCCCACGTTTCGAAGTGTCCCAGATTGACACACTCAGCCCAAGCCCGCGCTGCAAATGTGAACTCGAGATCATCGCTGCGGTAGGTATTGTCGTCGATAGCTGTCTCAATGGCAGCATCGAGCACATCTCCATTTCGGAACAGGTACTCGGTTACACCCAGACGTAAGCGGAAGAGAGGGGTGCTGCAAAGCATGTGATCATACGGTACGATGTTGAGCGCTGCCCAGCAGTCCACCATTGCAAGGATGGATAGATGATTATTGGGCCGGGGTTCATCAGTAGGAGTGCCGAGCGAGAAGGACGACAGAATCGAGGGCTCAAGCAGAGGGCGTGTTTCCCAGGATGTTGACGGGCCAAAGACCTTGTCGCGTGCACGATAGACTCTCTCCCTGAAGCCATCACGGTTACCCTCCAGCATGAGCTTGTACAGATCCGTGACACTTCGTGCATATTGAGAGATCTGCTCTCTGGCCTCAGGGTTGAGGATAGCAAGGCCAGCGTACACATGCCACTTTTGACTGTAGATACGCAGCATCAGATTGACCTTGACATTCTCGATACCACCGACGTAGCGGCTCAACTCCCAGGGGAACTGCTTGTTGGCGTGCCAAGCCTTACCCATGGAAAGAAAGGCTGCATGGGTAACGGCTTGCGTATCGGCGGTAATGCGGTCGTGCTCGCGAGCTGAGAGATGGACAAACTTGGATCGAAGACAGCTAAGGACAGTCTCGACTTTGCGGAGGGCCGAGTCTGGGGCACGGTGCTGGATGAGGACGAGGGGTTGATTGTACGGGTCGACGTTAGGGCCGTGGAGCGAGTGGCAGGAGATAATATCGACGTCGGACGGGAGGTGAGCCTCGAAGGCGGCGATCTCGGGAGACTTGCAAGAGGTTTGGCCTCCGACGATGGCCCCAAGTTTGGTGGCTGTACGTGGCCGAGGTCAGTCTTTATATCAACTGTTTATAGCCTCTAGGAACACAATGTTCCAGAGCCAAACACATTTACAAGGTATACGAGATGAGGGCGCGTACATGGTCCATACTGAGCAATTACACGGTCAATGACGGCGGCTTCGACGCTGTAGATGATATAATCGCTTGCGCGGGATACAAAGTGTCCATTTCGACATATTTCTATATTTTTCTATTCGATAGCTTCAGCGACTAGAGCGAGGCAGAACAGAGCAGGAATCACCAAGCCATACATTTTCAGAGTATTCTTTCTGAAGGCTCTCCTGGTTTTCTTCTCGATCGCATGCCAAAATTCTATTGTGTTCCGCCATTAGCCACTCGGCATCCGGTTCGGGGATTTGCAATCACGAGTAAAGGGTATCTGTTCTTGTTTATGTTAGCTTTTGTGTCAAGCAAGTCGTGCTAACAAAAAGAGGGATGAGGTGTGAAAATTCAGACAGTTGAAAATTAAGGTAGCAAGCGTTTACATCAGTGAGAGCTCAGGTCCGGATCTGGCGGCCATAACGGATGCCAGGCGTCCAAGAACAGTACTCGAGCCAAATGCGCTCTAGTCATCATGAAAGAGGGGAGGGGAGAATGAGTAAAGGAATTGCTTACCATTGAGGAAAAAGAAGCAGGCGGAAGTGCGAATCTTGATTGATTCCAGACTTACCTCCAGCCAGCGGCAGATAGCCTTTCGGCATACATCTTGCCCATGTCGCCCATACCAATCAGGCCGACGACGAATTTCTCCATCCCCTCGGGAACAGTTTGCGGTTGTGATGCCATATTGTCTGCTGCGCGATGATAACAAGAGCAGAAAACACGTCTCACATCCTCTCAAGCGAGTGTCTTGTTGAAGCTTTGTGCGAGAAAGCCCAAAAGAGTGTGAGTGAGAGTGAAGAAAGGAATGAAGAGAAAAAAAAGTTCGCGACCTTCTTTATGGTGGAGATTTGATGGGCTTTACGTAAGCCGGCGGAATTTCGCGATATAGCGATGGGTGGGTCTGTCTATGAAGCTATCCACTGCAGGGCAGAGAAGAAGCACGCAGAATCTCAAGAGGATGCTTTACAACTGGGTTCCAGGTAGTTTAGACTGCACGAATTTTCTATCATCATTTCGCTTCTTTTAGACCATGGAGGCCGTATTCGCTTTAGGTTCAAACGGCTCTGGTCAACTCGGTATTGGCCACAAAGAGGACGTTTCAGTACCAAAGCAGGTCCTTTTCCATCCTGAAGAGCCAGCCTCCCCAATTATACAAGTTGCGGCTGGTGGAAACCACACACTGCTCCTCACAAAAACTGGCCAACTCTACGGGAGTGGTGACCCTACACCCGGGGCTTGCGGTTTGAAGACTGGTCCAGATGCAGCTGTTTTTCGAGAGCTTCAACTTACCAAGAGTGGAGAACCTTCAATTGGAGAAATTGCCTTGATCACAGCGACCTGGGAAGCATCTATCATTGTAGCCAAAGATGCAGATGGCAAGAACAACCGAGTCTTCAGTTTTGGTGCAGGCTTGAAAGGCGAGCTGGGCCTGGGTGAACTCATCGTTCGGACGCCGTCAGCATCGCAGATCAGAGACTTTCCTCCTCCGGGAACACAAGTTGTTGATTTGGCTGCTTGTATGGGCCATGCTATCGCAGTTCTTGACAATGGCGAGGCCTACGGCTGGGGTAATGGGAGAAAGGCCCAAGCTGGCGAGCCGGGCCAGGTCCTACACGCACCACGGAAGATTGAGGGCATCGACTTCAAGATTGCACGAGCTGTTTGTGGTAGAGAGTTTACTTGTCTATTCGGCGACCCACGAAGTGGAAACATCAAAGTCCTGGGTTCCGATAAATGGGAAATTCAATCGAGCGCGCCCACGACATGTCCAGAGTGGAAGGACGTAGGAGCTAGTTGGGGAAACGTCTTTATCCTGGCGAAAGACGGTTCTCTACAAGGCTGGGGCCGAGACGACCACGGACAACTACCTCCACCAAACCTACCAGAATTGAACAAGATCGCGATTGGTAGCGAACATGTCGTTGCTCTTTCTGCTGCGGGCGATGTTCTTACATGGGGATGGGGTGAGCACGGAAATTGTGGACCTCAGGTTGAGAACAACGACGTCAAAGGTCGATGGAATGTCATTGCTTCGTCCAAATTTATTCCTCCAGGCTCCAAGATAGGAGAAATCGGGGCAGGTTGTGCCACCAGTTGGGTATTTATTACAGCTGAGTAAACCTCGTCCAAGTAACATTCGTCCGTCCTACATAAACCGTTCTTAATCTGGGAAAAGAGCCAGATTTTCAACATCTGCCAGCTTCTGCGTTGGTTCAAGGTATGTTGATTCAGCGTCCGTGGGCTGAGGATGCGGTTGTTCGACTTCGGGTTCAGTAGGAGCAGGATTCTCCGCGAAGCGGCTCATATTCAGAGCAGAAGCATTCTACTATAGTCAGCATTGGACAATGTCGGGAATTTGCTCAGCTTACCGGGTCGATACTATGGTCCCATCCCAATTTGGCATTGTCTTCTGCAAGTTCCTCATCTTCGTAGTTGATGGGCTCCCAGCCTTCATCCTCAACAAACAAACTCTCAGATCTGTTTGTTGCAGGCGGCTGGGGTTTCTGCGAAGGCCGGAGGTCAAAAGCCCCTGCACGAGACGCGCTGGCTCTAGCAGCGCTCAACTGTGGTGTCGGGTTATGTGGAGGTATTGAAGGAGGAGGGGCTGGCTGAGGAACGGGTTGTGATTCTGGAGGAGCCATACTCGGCCTACGTGAAGTGGCCTCGAGACGCGGCCCGGTACTCTGTGGTGCGTTTTTGCGGCCTTTCTTAGTCCTTTGGCTAGTATTGGTTCCACGCTCACCAACTGTCATGACGAGAAACTCGCATGACATGGCATCGCCGGTATAAGAAAGCTGTATGGGCTGTGTAGGAATTGAGTAGCGAGCCGATACGTCGTTCCCTGTCATGCCAGCATGTTGTACAATGGCTCGGAAATCTTTGACAGCAATCACAATGTGAAGCTTGTCTTCCACGTCAATGTCGTCAAATTCATCGGCCTCGACGGCGATTGATGTTTGGAGTGGCTTCTTTAGAACCGCTTTTAGGTGTTAGCACACGAATATTAGACCGGCCAGCATATACGCACCATCCTCGCTCACTGTCTTTTCGCTAAAACAAGTAAAATTGACATGATCACCGTCGGTATTGATGTCAAGAAATTCGATACCAGGACCAAAGTGATCCATCAGCTGCCGCAACGTCCGTGAGGAAATGGTCCAGTGATGAGGAGCATCTTGTCTGTTGAACTTGGCGTGGACAGGTACGGCAACCTCAAAAGGGAGACGATGTGTGGATGTCAGTCCATTTCGAAAGATGAGGCGTGCGATGAAACGACTCTGAACTCCTTCGCCGTCTTCAATGGCGACATCACATCTCTCGATGAGCGTTTGTTTCTCTGCATCTCTTTGTGAGTCGGGCGCCGTGCGAGCACGAAACAAAGAGATTAAGGCCTGACTTGTTTAGTCTCATGATATCGGAGTCAAGTGTGAAGAGACTCACGCGTATGTAGAGGGTGCAGTAGAAACGGTCCCGGAATTGGCGACTCCCTTGGTACTGATAACGGGAGAAGAACTTTGTCGTGGCAAATCTGACACTCGCGTAGGCAGATTTGGAGGTATTAAGGGTTGTGAGAACAAACTATTGACATGTCAGTAGGATGTGGATGTGACGTTCGTCAGTTCAATGATCAACATACTGAATCCTTGCGTGCCTCGACTGAAACGTCGTCACTGAACTTGTTTAGGCAGATGAGGGCGTCACGAAAGGCTGCAACGCCCTCCTCACTGAGGGTAAAATTGAGAAGCGCCATGGTTAATTTGCCACGCAAGGAATCTCATAAGAAGTTCATCGTGAAAATTTGGAGTCAGTTGTGAGAAGTAGAAGTCATTCTCACTGCAAGATTGATTATTATGCTCCCGATTGCTCTACGTGAAAGCGTGCACGCCAAAAGGCAGGAGCGGAATGTGGACACAAACCCCACCATGACCTACCCTACGCCATAAATACCAAAAATCATATCGTCATCACGGTAGTAGATCAGGTGAAATGTTTTAAAAGTAGAATTGAATTATCAGGGAGCATTAATTGCTAATCTTTGATCCTTGCCGAATACCAAACTCCTCGAGGCCCATTCATTATTGTCGTATCATCGTGCCCACGCCCTATAAGGCGCGGTTTTCCGTTTTTCCAGATAGTGTGGTAGCCAAGCCGTCAGATGATTTAGCTACGGAAGCAGCTAAACTTTCCGAGAGAGAATCGCCAAGGACCCCGTCGGACGCCATTCTTGTCGACATGGACGCTGGTGCCGAAATGGCGACCACCGACACCCTTTGACCAGAAAAGACCCATAATGTTGTTTGTTTGTAGGAGGTTGTAGGTGAAGGTGTAAGTTTAGGTATAGGTTATCTGGGTGGGCTCGGTTAGCTTGTTATACTTCCCAATATGAAGGAAGGTTTGGGGTATTCACCTTTGGCTGAGTTGATAGATGAGATGTCGTTGAAAGAAGCTTGTTTGAGTTGTAAATAAGGTGTTTGGGGGGGTTGGCGATCAGCTTTATACAAGATCTTGCTTCCTGTTGGCACAGGCACAGGCACGTCAGTCCAATCGAAATCTTGGCAGGGACCATGGAGGGAGCGAGAGGCCTCTGTCATTCGATCATGCAGTGACATGCTGTGGCGTCACAACAGTGACGTAGCACGCGGTTAGGGAAAGACAAACCAGCCTAAAACCGTTCAATTTGTCTAAGAAAAGCAGCAAAAATACAGGGAAGTATCCATAACTAGCGTAGCTGGGATTAATGATTAGACTGTTCAAACGTTTATCGCATTTTACCTTTGCCTCTCCATACTGATACTGGACTGGTTCCGTCACCGCATAACCCTAAATCTTACTATTTCCCGAGCTGCATGCGTAGTACGTAGATGGGTGGCTGTGCAGTCCAAACGCCACACCTGATCACCACTGTAATTGGATCATCGAGAAGTAGAGAACTTAACTACAACATGGTTGTCCCAGAATCAAGGCTTGAATTGAACCCTTGCAAATCTTGTCTAATTTTGTCCAAGTGAAACATCACGAACGAGATCAGAGCAAGGAAGCCACGATGATCTCGCTTGCAGCCTCAAAATATACGCGTCAACACTCGTCGATACTGCCACATGAACGAGAATACACTACCCTTAACTTCACAAAGATTGGGTAGGATATTTCTTTCGTCAAAGTGAATATCCACCTGTGCATGGAAAGATTTCACAGATAGAAAGTTACGAACACATCCCGCTAAGATACCTTCACCTGTGGGCCGAGTGTGTATTGCTTTGATCCAACATTCAATGCCTTCGTACCCATATCTGTTCATCTTGCAAGTGTGGGCGAAGCTCTTGTTCTTTGACAAACATCGCTAAAACAATGTAATATGGAACTTCATGTTCAGACAATGCTATTCAGGAACCAGTCGTTCACTTCGTCGGAATGTCATCACAGTGTTGAATAAGCCATGTGCCAAATGTGCAACACCAAGAACAACATAACAATGCATTCACCTTACGGCCAAGAGAACAAAAGAACAGCAAGAACTATGGGATATATAACACACGATTTGAAACCCATCTGAATCTTCCTCATCACCCACAACTTACTTGCAAATCGAGCCGTACGTACAGAGTAAGTCCCACCGCCAAAATGTCTGACACTAACAAAACTAACTCTTCCAAGAATCAGGAGATTCGCCGTCGATCTACTCGATCGACTCGTGGCCAGCCAGACCCTTTCCTACAGGCCCACTACGTTATGGGAGAAGCAGCCACTCGCCCACCACCAGCACGCAGACGTCGCCGTGCTGCCAGGAACAACACCCCGGCCTCTGGTTCCGCGGCAAACCGTGATGACGAGGAGGAGGAAGAAGAAGAAGAAGAAGAAGAAGAAGAAGAAGAAGAAGAAGAAGAAGAAGAAGAAGAAGAAGAAGAAGAAGAAGAAGAAGAAGAAGAAGAAGAAGAAGAAGAAGAAGAAGAAGAAGAGGGTGGAGGATGGTGATGAGGATATGCAGGACTGCATTCATGTGGCCGCCCAGGTTCCCCAGCCGAACCCCTTTCAGCAACCTGCTCCTCAGCAGCAACAGGCGTTTCCACAGCAAGTTCCTGCGCAGCAGGCCCAGCCAGCCTCTCCGATCCAGATGCAACAGGCAGCCCCTCAGGCACCTGTTCATCAGCCTGCGGCATTGCAACCAGCGCAAATGATGCCTCAGATGGTCCCTGGCAACATCGCCTACGGAAATAACGGAAACCAGCCAGCTTTGCGCACCGCCAATGGGCAGCTGGTTGACAATTTTGAGCTGAACTCAATGATTCTAGATGATGACCCATTGTTCAACTCCTTTCCCCAGGTGCCTGCTATGGCGGACCAGGATGACCAGGAGATCGATGTGATGGAGCAGTATCGTCTCACCATGGATCAAGGTCTTGCAGAAGCGCGCTTGATCGCAGAAAGAGAGCAACTGGCGGAGAAAGAGCTGGCCGAAGCCGCTGCAAACGACAACGCAATGTTTGATCAGTTCATCAACTTCAACCCTAACTAAGTAACAGCAGGACTGTTGAGAAGGTAAGCCCTTAGTTGGGACTGAAGGTTACTAACATTTCTTTTCTAGGTGTGTATGTATTTGGACATCAAACTGCCTGGCTAGAGCTGGCTGTGTTTTCGCCTGGCGCCAAGGTATTTATTTCATCAAGTGGTAGGTGGTCACTAGAACTATCTCATCGGTAAGACAGTAAGAACAATAGGTAAACTAAACAAATAAAACTAAGGAATCTTAGACCAAACTTTGACCCTGACTATGTATAGTGTGAAATATCGTATGCTAAATATACATATAATATACTGTTCATGGTACGATCATGCTAGTCAGTGATGTTGGAGAGCCATCCATCCTGCAGCGACTAAGCTCTCACGGCCCATCCGATCGCCAGCACCTGTCCAGTAGAACAGACCCCCAAGTCCCATTGACTTAGCATAGCTTGCTTTGATACCAACTGTGTCGGGAACATCGAAGGAGACAAAGCCCTTATCTCCTTTTTTATCAACGAAGGATGCCGCTGCGATGTTCTTATCGACGTTTGCACACTGAACCCATTCATCTGGCAAGTCACAGTAGTCAATATCACCTGCACCCTTGAAAGGATGACCTGGCCCACGCGCCTGGCCAAAGTATCTGGCGTATACTGGAATGCCGAGAACGATTTTACGGCTAGGAAAGCCGTTGGCAGTGAGGAAGTCGACTCCACGCTGGCAGGACTTGCGAAGAGTAGGATATACGTCGTTAAGGTTCTGGCTCGGAGGAAGAAGCTGGGCATGGTGGCCGCAGACATCAGTCCAGCTACCCGTGAAGTCGTAACCCATAAGGTTGAGAAAGTCGAGCACCCGGGACGCAGCTGGCAAGTTGAGGTGTTTAAGACAGTACTCGCCCGTGGGAAGAGCGCTTGTCAACAGGTACCTGGGAGCCGGCATGGTCTCGCGAATGGCTTGAAGGAACAGAAGATAGTCCCGTCCCGCTTCTGGAGTCTGAGGGTGCTCCCAATCAACTATCATAGAGAGTTAACTTTGCTAAAATGAGATAGAAGTCCACGTACTGTCAACGCCGTCGAAACGATGGGCTACGCAAAACTCCTTAATTTGCTGCGCGAATGTTTGCCTCGCCCTTTTGCTCGCAGCAAGCGCAGGGAACTCTTTGCTGCTGGAGCCACCACCAATTGAGACGAGTGTCTTGATATGCGGGTGTTGGCTCTTCAACTTGGCAATCGCTGCAAGACAGCCTTTCTCGCCATCGACTGCCTTGTCATTGTCGGCCCAGTCATCAATAGCCTAGCAGTAGCAGTGTACAAGTCAGTGAATGGTATTCATGGGATTCAATGTGTTTACTGACTCGTAGTGTACCGTCTTCATTGACGCTGTAGGAATTAGAATGACTTTGCAAAGTTATATTTGAGGAGTCGTCTTACCCAACAAAGGCGTAGAATATGTGTGTGATAGACGCAGTATCCAAGCAGGACGGAGGACGTTCTTTGTAGCAGCGCCATGAGGGGTAGTACACGGCGTTGATGTATTGATCAGGCATTTTGAAACCAAGGAATAAGGAAGGGTAAAGAAAAGTTCAAGAAGAATAAAGTACAAGAAGAGTTGAGAGGCCTTGGCTGTCGACTGTTGATACGTTTCTCACGTTGTACAAAGTCTCAGCCCAATGATGGCCCCACAAGTTGGGATTGCTTGGATGGGTAGAAACGTGATTGGATATGTCCTCGTGTTGATCAAAAGCAAATAAAGGTAAATGTAAGCATTGGGATACGACTTGAAACTATAGTTGCGAGAATAGAGTGAGTTGAAGGTGAGATGAAATGAGTTACGACTTAGAAAAAGATGGGCGGGTGACTTCTCTTATAGCACTTCACTCTTGAGATGAGACGAGATGAGACGGAACTCGGAAGGACTTGCTACAAATCTAATTGCCACTGACATATGAGTTGGTTTATTTCTCCCACTTGGATAAGTGTCAAAAACGAATAAACGTTTCTTGAATTACTACTACATACAAATTGAGAAACTGTTACACTAACCCATGGGAATCCGGTTCGACCTCATCAAATTAGAATACTCTTTTGTCATATCATTCACTTTCCCGTTATTGACACCATCTTTCAATCTGAACACCCTCTAACTCATCAAGAATATCAAAGTCCATGCCTAGCTGCCTCGAGGCCACAATAATGATATCGAATTTCGCCAAGACATCTACTCGCCAGTCTTCGTTGGGCAGACGACGCACCTGAGGAAACGCCGCTTGCTTAACTAAAGCATCGGTCCAGCAGGCATCGACCTCGCGCGAAACTGCCAGACTCTTGACAAGCTCTGCTCCAGGGGAGTTATCGATCTGCGACTGGCCTGCCTTGAAGCCCACGCCGACCACTAGCACACGCGGAGTTTTATGAGTGACCCTCTGTCGCAGTGTCTTGAGCATTCTTTCAGCAAGCCTCGATGGTCGAGAATGCATCGCTCGTGTGGCGCACTCCAATAGAGGGAAGTGGCTGTTGGAAAGAAGGTAGAAGGGATTGACGGGAATGCAATGTCCGCCTACGCCAACGCCTGGTGCATATGGCATGTACCCGAATGGCTTTGTAGAGGCAGCCTCGCAGACTTCATACGGATCAATGCCGTGTGGGACACATGCGTCTGCCATTTCGTTGGCATAGGCAATGCAGACCATTCTTTGGCAGTTCTCGTAGAGCTTCATCATCTCAGCTACTTCTGGCTTCGAAACGGGGACGACCGTGTCGAAGATAGTGGAGTATACTCGGCGGATGGCGTCGAGGGAGCCTGGGGTAATGTCGTCCAGGCCTGAGATGATCTTTGGAATGGACTGAACAGGAGGTTCAACTCGGCCAGGATCGACTCGCTATAAAATATTAGTTTGTGAGTCTATAGAAAGACTCATGGACAAACATACCTCAGGAGACATTCCAGCAAAGAACTTGCGACTTGCAGCAAGAGGACCGAGAAGTTGACGAGTCATACCAACAGCCACAGAGCTCTCAATAATAACTGTAGACCCAGCACGAGCAACTTCACCCACAGTCTTCAGCGCCTCGCGAAGATACGAAGAGTCGATCGTCTTATCAGGTCGAAGCAGCGTCGGGACCGATATTAAGAAGTGCGTAGCCCTGCGGAGGTCTTGCGAATCTCTTGAGAACGACACATGGTGTATGTCCTGATACTCTGCACTGAGATCCTTGACTCTCTTGGCAGAGACGTCAAAGCCAATGACTTGATATCTCGAGGAGAACGAGCTGACCAGGTGTGTTCCAACGTAGCCAACGCCAATGACTGCGATAACTGGCTCATCGTGCTGGCTGACTTGAGTCGAATGATATAGAGACTGGTCGATGGCAAAGCCCGTGTCCGAGGACGAGGAGCTGAGGGGAGGAGTGTCAGGATAGAAGGCAAAGCTGCTATCCGTACAGCTCCATGATGAAGTGTCTTGGGGAGTCAATGGAGATCTCTTTTTCTCATCCAAGTTTAACGAAACTGGAGTTGAAAGAGACTTCAGGGACATTACTTGAGCCATTGTGTTGAGTTAGGCTGAGTATGATGTAGTAATTATGAGTTAAGAGTGATTGAATGAACGATATGGATGAGTATTTCGTGAAAACAGATCTGGTTATATGCTCACAGACATTACACTTCCACAGAAAAAGTTACCCTATTCAAGATCCATGGCTTTCGGCTGGTGCTTGAAGATCACTATGATTTCTGAGTTTTCCCTACCGTGAGCAAGTACTCTGTACAGTACAATGAGCCGTGCCGTCTCGGTCCACGACGTTACCATCATGAGATCATCGCCATCATGAAACATTGTACCCACTCTCTCGACTTTTCTAATCACGATGCTGATCTAGACTATTTCAGAAAGTTCCCAATCACTAGCACCGGCCATCTTAGTCTCGATATCGGTACTCCAGGCGCCCGGTTTGGTCTCCTCCCCCTGGCTCCGCATTCCAGTCACGGCGTCGATCATCCCCATGAGGAAGCAAGACAAAATCTATCCTCCCGATATGGTAAAACGCCTGGCCGAAAAGATGCATGACCGTTGCCGCGGGGACTTCTGCAGGGGTAAAAGCAGCTAGACTGCAATAACCTTGACGCCTCCCGACCCGAAAAGCTGGGTAGCTTTGTTGGCAGAAGAAGGCATCTTTTCACTGTAGCACATCAGCGGCATCAAACTCTGCTGGTCAAACCCGTGCTTTTAGGTCCGTATCCACTGCTGCCTTGGGTAGTGTGTTTGCGTGTTAGTTGTGTGAACATCGCCATTCGCGGTTTTTGTTGTTGAGGCGTCTTGACTTTTGAGGCAAAGCTTTTTAGAATTATAAGCATGAAATTACAATGATTATTGCACAATAAACTCGCATTAGTTGTTTGAAAGGCCTGAAGCCATTGTTATCTGATGTCGGTGGTCCTCTGGCCATAAGAAAGTACTTCGTGGATGTTTGCTCAGAGTATAGGACTAGCACCGGAGACACTCCGAGAATTCGCCATATTCACGATATCAATAATATTCATATTGAATGATTTGAAATCTTCAGATGTTCATACTTTCTATGGATTATTCTCTGGGTCGTTTCATCACTGATATGACTTAATATATCGGAGTTCCACTCTGTAGGAAGCGTGGAGATATGGGGCAGTGGAACATCCGTAGTCACGATATCAAGCAGTATCGGCGAAACGGATTGCTTTTCTGATCCTAGAATGGCGTATAAAACTATTGAGTCATGTTAATAAAGCTAGCTGACCCTTTCCACTTGCTCTGGATCGAGCCGGGAAACCTGTTTGCCATGTGCTCAACAGCTAAGAAGCCAAACTCCCCCCATCGGAGCAAGGATTTTAAGCACTATGACGCCTAATGAGACCATGGGAAAGAATAAACTATACCAAATGTTGTCTGAGCTTACGGAGATCTTCAAGATTGATTGGTTTCCCGACCTCGGCCGTGTTTATATGGCGTTTGACTTATCAACGCTCATGCTAAAGGTTCCAGTCACGGCTAAATCTTGGTGTTGCGACTACAGAAACACAATCACATCGCATGTTTGTGACAGAGAACATCCTTTCTGCATTAGCCAGCCGCTCAACGGTCTAGGCATGGCTAAAGAGAGAATCTCTTGGCTAGCACACCCTCACTCGCCTGCTTGTACGCTTGAAGGTCAAAGCCTAGCTAGTTCGTGCATGTAAGTGACCCGGATCAGCGTTCCGTAGATGTCGTGATAGCTTGTTTGGTTCAAGAAGCCCGGGTGACAAGCATTAGTTTGCCTATGAAGGCTGCGTTGGGTGCTCCGTTGAGATGGAGGTGTTGGAAGGCTTAGTCCTTTGTCCTATGCATGTAGCTCTGACAAGCTGTCAATGCATTGTTTAGCGCAGTAACTACTTGGAAGAATAATGATAATGATCAAACAAGACAACACGAGTCGTTATTGAACTGGCATAGATGACTTTTCTCACTTGGACGTTTCATGGCTTGGATATTACATCGTAGAAGCTGACTAGACGACTTACCGCATTCCTGCAAAACCCACGACACTGGGACCCAAGAAACCGTTGTAAAAGTAACTCTCAACTGCCGGACGTTTTGAAAAATTCGAGTTCTGATATTATGTTCTGGAGTCTTCCGCAAGGGGAAGTTCAGACGTGGTTCTTAGCCTACCGAGTCTAACGCCGCACCACACACATATATACACCCCCTTCTTTAGTAGCCTTCGACGGTGGCACCAAAGCCAACACCGACTGTTTTCTGGTTTTAATTCTGCTTAGTTAAGGACCGTTTGTGTGGTCCGCAAGCTAAACGTTAGCTTCCCTCTTTAGATCGTGTTTCGCGAGGCTTCAAGCTCCGGCTGTACCGATATGGCTAGGATCAACGTCGCGATGTGTTTCGGACATCCATTTCAACGTTCGTCTAAGTCGCTATGATAGGGGAGATGTACCAAAAGAGAAAACAAGTCACTCCGTCTGAGCCATTTAGGAACGAAAAATCTGATTCATACAAAATCGTGATCGACGTCAGTGGAAGGTAGTTTAGTTTGTGATAGCGTCAAAGCCGATGGGGACGAGTTGACGACGATGGGGGCTGCATGGAGCCCGGCCATGTACGTAGCAAGGAAACGGAGTGTTTCTTCATGTTTAGGAGTAAGAGAAGGGGTAAGAGTGGAAGTGCGAGATGGAATAAATGATGCTTATGTTAAGCTTATACTCTGTATGACTCTTTCTCGTCTGAAGTTATCATCTGCACTTTGCTTCCAGCTCCTGAACCTCAACTCTTTCACTCGTTCCGCATCTATTGCTTTTGTCTCTTACATACTCTGTACAATGTTGTCTTCACGCGTTGCAGAAGCCCGAGAGGGTAAGAAGACAGTCAGTCAACCCCTTCTGATCTTTCACATCTCTCTAACATGTCGTAGAAGCACTCTGGGCTAAGTTCAGCTTCACTGCAAGAGAAGAGCCATCCGCCTCTACCCTCCTTCTTCACCAAAGGGGCAAACAACAAGTTCATTCTCAGAGACATCGATGGTCACTTCCACGATGTTGCTTTGGGAGAAATCCTGGAGAGAACCAGCCAAGATGAAACAAGGTCATCAGATGAGAGCATTGGCCCCTCGCTATTCACTGTCTCTCCCTCATACAAATCTTCCTTTGCCCAAACACCACTCTCCCCGCTTTCAGTCCGCACAAACTCCAAGCACGATAGCCCTTCACTTTCAGGATCTTCACGGTATAGAGATCTTGTCGTTCCTCATCCCAGACTTCCTGATCCTGTGGCTCGACGACGCGATAGTGGTTCAGAGTACAGCGAGGACGACGTCCCGGTTCAAACTACTAGATACGCTGTTACTGCCACTCAAACTTCACCTCGGAACTCTGTTCTGAAAGACACTGCTTCACCTCCTGTACCCAAGGTTGAGATCGATTCTGAGTCTCAGAACTTGGATGCGTATCTCCAGAAGTTTGGTCAGAGAAAGGTGACTCGACAAAAGTGGATAATGACGGGCTTTCTCATTTCTGTCAAGTAAGTCTCATAATTCTTCGATCAACTGAAAAGCGTCTAACATGATACAGCTTTATGTTTATCTTTGCATCTTGGTGGTGGCCTCGGTACTATTATATCTACATTCCCTTCATTTCATTCCCGCTGGTCCTCAACTGTATCATGATCGCCTCTATTATCGTCATCACCCTCAAGAATCTCATGTTCTCTGAGAAGATCATTGAGCCCGACCACCTTGAGAATCTGGTCATGATCATGCCTTGTTACAACGAGACTCTCGAGGAATGCACCAAGTCACTTGATTCTCTTGTCGACCAAGTTGGCATTGACAATCATAAGAGGGGCATCATGGTGATTTGCGATGGCCGTGTTCGTGGACCTGGAATGGAAAAGACGACAGCCGCGTACCTTAATGAGGATATTTTTGTCGAGCAACTTCACCGCGAGAAGATCACCAGAGCTTATCGAGCCTGGGACGGTCAAGCCATGGATGTCGAGATCTCTTGGGGCTACTACAAGGGCGTTCCATTCTACTGCATCGTCAAAGAGCAGAACCAGGGCAAACGCGATAGTCTCATTGTCGTCCGCTCATTCCTGTACAAGTTTAATGTCCGAAACACAAACCCAACGACCATCTTCTCTTCCCGATTTCTGCTCTCAATGACCGATTGGCTTACCCAAGAGGTCAAAATTAACTCAGTCGACCATCTGATAGGCATGGATGCAGACACCATCTTCGACAAGATTTGCATCTCAGAGCTTCTTAAGGAATCGAAATATCCAAATACAGTTGGTGTTTGTGGTTATGTTGCAGTTGATTTCAAAGACGGCAACTGGAACTTGTGGTCTGTCTATCAGAATGCCGAATACACAATTGCCCAAGGACTACGACGTCTGCATCAATCAATTGCCACTAAGAAGGTGTCCTGTCTCCCTGGATGCTGTCAACTGCTCAAGATTTGCGATATGACTTGTGGTGACAAGGTACTCATTGAGCTCTTTGGATACTATCCTAGGCCCCTGGATGGCATGATCACACGCATTCGAGCCACCGCCTCTGAAGACCGGAACCATATCTGCCAACTCCTCACGACATTCCCTGAAGCACAAACTCGTCAGGCTTTACGAGCAAGAGCTTACACGGATGTTCCTCATTCGTGGAGTGTCTTCCTCTCTCAGCGCCGTCGTTGGACACTTGGAGCTACAAGCAACGATCTGCTGCTCACCACAGCAAGACACTGTCAGTGGTGGGAGCGCATCCTGGCCTTTTCCAATGTTCTCACTTGGTGTCTCAATGTATTTGTCATTGCCTCTATTGGCTGCATGATTGTAGCATTTATGCATCAGCCCTGGTGGATCATCATGGCCTTTGCAGGAATCATGATCATTCCTCTCGTCTACTACATTATCATGGCTATTTGGCTCCCTCAGTCTATGCTGGAGAGATTCCAGTACCTTCTTGGCTTGTTCATATTTGTGGTTCTAGGACCCTTTCTGAACATTGCAGTTATGGTATTTGCAGTTTTTAATATGGATAGCTTTGGCTGGGGCAAGACTAGGAAGGTAGTTACTGAAACCCCCAAGGAACAAGTCCAGGAGAAGCAAACGATTGAGGGCAATGGAGCTGGCTCGAACTCATCGCGAGGCTATCATAGTAGCTCTGTAAACGAGGAGGTGGCAACAGGAGCGGCCGTTAGGAGGCCCACGGTGGTATACGTGCCTCCAACAACTACTCGCCAACCATAATTCAGGATAGTTGATTGTAGCCTTGTTTGCGTTAAAGTAACGTTATCATAGTCACAAACTTGAAAGTCTTAATTCACTAATTGAAAGCCCATGTTGAGGGCGTTTAGCAAAAGAGCCTAAAAAGCCCCGATACTTGTGATGGTGTCGTGAAACTGTGATATATGCCAGACGCCCACCCTCACGTCATTCTCAACTCGATCGTGCTCGTTTCTCAAGTCTCACGCCCCTGCCGATCCCGATAACGCCGTTTTTCAACGTTCCATCCTCGGAATCTTTAGCCCCGCCATCGTCTAGAAAAAGTTGGCGTTTACATTTCAGATAGCTCGAAGTATATCTCCATTGCACTAGACCGCGGGAGTGGCACTCTAAAACACCCCCTCTTAAAACAAATGTGCCGATTATGCACGCTTAAAGTCTTAGAAAAGCCGGGCTATTATCAGGCACAGGCACCACGCGTTGCAAAACGCCATCGAAACAGCCATAGCCTTGCCTAGTCTAGCAGTTCCATGTGGACCAGCTTGTTTGCTGAGGGTGTCTTGGGTTCCAAGTTTGGGATACTCTCGGTGGAGTTTACAACGGCCTAGTGACCTGAATCGCTCAATCTAGATGTCATATCGACCTTTTTGGCCGTTGATCGGTGTGCTAGGTTTCCAAATCTGGATGGTCGACCACATCTGTGACCGTGACCACCAGGAGGAGTAGTTCCTAAGGGTGGATTGCTGTAAGATGCGTGAACGCTTGCTAGTTGACCTCGTATCTCTTCTAGCAAGATTCAACGACACTAGATGGTGTTTGTGACAACAATTTTGCCATCCTTCTCCACAAGAGGCGAAGGTGGCCCGAGGATGAACGCAGTCATCGTCATCAGGAGCCATTCAGCCGAACCTAGTAACGGTCTTAGGGATACCTGAGGACTATTGAGGGTCTAAGATAATCAATAGTGCTTTTGAAAGCACCTGTCAAGTCCGTAACTTACATATATCTAGCAGTTCCGACGTGCTCATCTGCTGATCCTCACTCCTTTCACTACTCTCAAATTATCAACTCTTAATCACACATAGATTCATTGTATAGTTGTTAGATCACTTCAAAATGAAGTCTCTATCCCTCCTATCTCTGGCAGCTCTGCCAAACATGGTGTTTGCGGATGGCTTCATTGCCAGACGCAGAGGGGCCGAAGTCAACGTCGCTGCCCGCCATGCTCACGATGCCTCAGTTCAACCTGAAGGACTCACCAAGCGAGCCACATGCGGCAAAGGTGTTGGCTCGTGTCCCAAGGGACAGTGTTGCTCTGCTTCAGGCAACTGTGGCACTACGTCGAGTTACTGCACCTCACCACAGTGTCAGATGGCATATAGCAATGGCAACTGTGATGGCAGGTATGTATATCTTTCTGTCGAGGCTATTTGTCAGCTCTAACACTTCAATCAGCAAGAAACCCAAGGGCGAGACTACAGCCAATATCCCTAGGTCAAATTCTGGCAAAGCCCCTTATAGTGAGTACTCAACACAAACTCCTTTTAGCAACTACTTTCTAACCAGGTTCTAGACATCTATATCACCAACTGCAGCACCCCCGGGACCGTCGCTCTCACTTTTGACGATGGTCCTTACAAGTACACTGACCAGGTCTTGGATGTCCTCAAGAAGAATGACATGAAGGCAACATTCTTCATTGTCGGAAACAACCTCGGCAAGGGTCAAATCGACGATGAGTCTAAAGGCTGGCCTAAGGTCCTCCGACGAATGCACTCTGAAGGCCATCAACTCGCTTCTCACAGTTGGTCACACGAGGATCTCTCTGCTGCATCTGACGAGATCCGCAAGCAACAGGTCATATACAACGAGATGGCCTTCCGCAACATCTTTGGCTTCTTCCCCAAGTATATGCGTCCTCCGTACGGAACCTGTTCGCGAGTTTCTGGCTGTCTGGACTATGTGACCAAGCTTGGTTACCACGTCGTGAACTGGAATCTTGATACTAAGGATTACGAGAATGATTCGCCGGTTAAAATTCAGACCAGCAAGAACACCTTCTCAGATGGTGTCTCAACTGATGCTAAGAAGCACAGTTACATTGAGCTGAGCCATGATACACACGAGCAGACAGCTTATAACTTGACTGCTTTTATGATCAAGACTCTCAAGGCTCGGGGATACCGCTCTGTTCCTGTGGGTGAGTGTCTCGGAGACGATTCCAAGAACTGGTATGTCGATGCCAAGAGTACCAAGTCTGGCACTACAGACTTCACTGGCAGTAGCAGTTACAGTAAGAATTCACCTCTCCTCTTCCCCCATCCAATCAAGATAAACGCCGATGTGTCACAGATGCTCTTCAAGCATTTGGTACCACTCGACTGTTTCGGAACTTTCTCCAGCCATACAATCTCTGTTGAACATGTTGCTAAGTACATCACCACAGGTCCTCCTCCATATGATCCGCCTACTACCAAGGACGGTACCTGCGGTGCCAAGAACGGCGGCCTGAAGTGCACAGGATCCAAGTGGGGAGATTGCTGCTCCTACAACAACTTCTGGTAAGTCTATATCTTCAACACCGCCCTGCCCAATCTCTCCCCCAGGCAAACAACTAACCAACCATTTTCTTTTTCTCACAGCGGCTCAACATCCGGATACTGTGACGGCGGATGTCAGTCCAGTTTCGGAAAGTGCAACACATGGAAGGCTGGCAGCCCGCTGATTGTCTCGGATAATGGGCTCTGCGGCGACAAGTATCACCAGACCTGCAAGGGTTCTCGTTATGGCAACTGCTGTTCCAAGAATGGATTCTGGTAAGTTCCGTCTGGTTACTCCTAAGTTGTCTCGATATTAACAATCTATCTAGCGGTAAAACGAGTGCATACTGTGAGGGTGGATGCCAGAGTGGCTTCGGAACTTGTCCTTATGCGTAAGACGGTGCAGTTGAAGTCATCTCGAAACGGCTTATTGCATGATCCAGTAGGCATTGTATAAATCTACTTCCTGTGTATCGACGGTATTGGGAGTTTGTTGGACGGTTATCTTGAGGTATAATGAAGTTGTTGTTTAGTTCCAGTTCTTTCAAACTGCTACATCCAGGTGGATTGTCATTTCGATGAAACCCTGATCTTTACAGAATGTCAACACAATTCATTTTGATACCAACCTATGTATTGAAGCTTTGTAAATGATAGTTTAGATAAACCCTGTCCATTGTCAAAGAACCCTAGTAAGACTCGATTCTGAGTCGAAACTTGCCCACACGGCCGAGTACTTGAGCCGTGTATACAAAAGCAATCATGGGCCAGTGTCTACAACGAGCCTTTTTCTAGAACATCACTTGTGGATCTCGGTGAGAACAATCAGCTAATATCCTTGACTGCACGCACACAAACACTATCAACTCTTTTCTCACTGACCAAACTCCCTTGCTACGAACTCATCATAGATAGTTTTATCCTCAGTACTGGAGTCTCTTTTCCCAAAGACCTCAGTTGACGCCACTATGTAGCACCAAAATCTCGTCTACGTCCTTGTGCCGGCCGGGGCGTACAATCAACCAGGGGTTGTTATTCTCACAGCATCTCATCTTAGCCCCGGCAACTCGACATGTCGCGGATCTAGCCACCACGCGTCAAGGCTGCATGTAGCCGCCTTATCGTGCGCTTACAAAACGAGATGTAACCAGACTCTCTCAGCATGAAAGACGCAGTCGTACAGCGTTCGACACCTAATGCAGGCGGGAATACGGAGTAGGTAGTGGTAGAACGTGTCAACTCCGACTATGCACTCCCTTTATCCGTCATACTTGGCACATAAGCTCAGCCTGACCATGTGGCGGGTGTTGGCTAAGTCAAGTTGGTGGTTTGTGTGCCTGCCACCAGCTTTGACAAGTCCATCTTAGCAACGCCCGCAAAGATTCTCTCAGCCTCCACGTTTCTGAGGTGTCAGCTGTAACGTGAACCAACAGCCTATCTACACTTCAGCCTATTTGGATTCGAGTTGGACAATGCCCGACTGTCCGTAACTGTTTGTTCGACGCCTGTCTGTCACTGGTTGAAAAGAGGTCATTCACAGCTCAATACATTATTCTTGAAGCCACCTTCGTATTGATAGCGCGTATTGGTCTCCAACACATTCCCATTTTTAATTCACAGTTGTAGTTGTAGCGGTCAGCGCCGGTTTCACAGCTTTACAGAATGGATATACGTGGCTCGTGTTGGTGATAGAAAAGTCCATGTCAACCAATGTCTCATTCATCAGTAGCATATCGCCGCGATCAACACTCAAAGAAATCAACTGTATTCTGTATGTACAATCATAGAAATGCTGGTTGCATGAATTTGCGCTAGTATTGCCAACTCCTTCGGGATGTTGTCGAGTTCAGTCCGTCAGCCATGCTGTTTAATGAAGTTTGTAGAGGTGAGGTCACCAGAGAACAATAACCCTCGACCAACATCAGAACAAAGGGCGATCGTAATGTTCCTGGATCTTGCCTAGATCTTGATTGATCCGCCGTGCATTCGATTACATCTCGCACCCTCCCATGCTTCCTGTGTCACACAGCGTTGGGGCCTGCAGCACTAGACCAACACCATACGCCTCCTGTTACAAACACCAGAACCAACACTCAACAATATGTCATATGTGACCTTTACAGCTGCTATTGTTAGCTCGGGACCGAGTTAAGCGCCGTACAAATAAGCTCGCCATTGACACTTTGACACCCTCTTGCAGGTCGTTTAATTGTAGGTGTTTGAGTGCGTGGGGCCGGTGTGGTCAGAAGAAAGCTGTTTGCTTCGTATCCACGGAGCCTCGTACCTATTGTACAGTGTGGGAGGCGCCAACGACGATGTCAAGAAGCGCCTCTCGAATAATGCCACATGGAAACCTGCCTTGGAGGGAGGTCCAAGCTTGACGGCGTTTTCAGCTGTTGTATGACCAAAATCAGACGTTTCAAGGGATCCAAGACCGAAATAGCGACATATCTTCTCTGTTTTCACATCACCGTAGATCTTTGAGATGCTTAACCCTAAAGCGCAGGCCAAACTCTCGTACATCTATGTCACTTGAATGGCTTGACCAAGATATAACTTGTAGTTCGGTAGAAGTATTACACTTAAACCTAGTCCCGGTTCCCTACCGTACCACTAACGGGTAACGACATGTTGTTGACCGAGTCATTAATCACAGGTAAAATGTTTGGATGTAAACCCATGAATCTTCAGTTTTTTGTCATTGGGGATAGTAATCTGTCAATCCCAGCAGTAGCTCTTTGGCAATCTGCAGATACACACAAGAGGTGTGACGATAATACCAGGCATATACACGTTTTAGCGATTCTATCGCAGCCTCTCAATACACTCACTGTACACACCCTCAGATGATACGTCCAGAGTCCCTGAAAAGACTATCCGGCAATCCACATAGCTCCGTCTACTCGACAAAAGCTTTCTGATAACCGTAGTCGCCACACAAATACCAGTTGTCTTGTCGATGTCAATCGGCTCCGTCTCGCCGCAATAGAAGCCCGTGCCCTCGGTCAAAGAAATAGAGACAGGAATGGTAGAAAGAAAAAAGATAACATAATGAACACAAAAAAATCCCTTTGCACGCACTTCATAGAGGGGCAGTAGTAATCTCACAGAGCCCTCAGCTTTGCCGGCTCCTTTCCCTGAACGCCCTGAACAATCCCGTCCTTTGTCATTAACAAGAAGCCTCGAAACCACAAACAACCACAAGGCCATAAGTAGCCATTTCGTCAGAAACCGCTTTTTTGATATGTTTATGGGTGAACGTTCCAAATCCGTGAAACATGCACTTTAGCGCTTGCACCTCCATGCTGAGCCAAACGCGGTAACAAAACCAGTGATGTGCTGAAGTTTGCCATCTTCATTCATCCCAAAGAGGTGGCTATTCTCCTCGCCTGGAGGAAGATGGAGAGCCGAAGCCTCCTGGATGCGGTTGCTGGCGTTCGTGGGGCTCTAAGGCATGGTCCTACATAACCGTCGAGGCTAGAAGGCGCGATTCAACATCGTCCATACCCATACCATCCATGCGAGGGCCCTCCATTCCCTGAAGCCTTTGCTCGATTGCCTGGAATCGCGGTTCGTAGCCTCCAGCTCGGGCTTCTAGATTCTCCATCCGCTTCTCAATGTTATCGAGGCGCTGTTCAATGCGCATTAGACCCTGAGCCATGTCGTGGTTTAACCGGTCGAGTTTGTTGGTGAATGATCGGATAGATGTAGCCAGAGGCGCGTTTTCCTGGCCAGGCGTGCCAGCGGGAACTCGCGGCTCATGGTTATGACGTCCCTCTTGGATAGCAAAGCGCCATTGGTTCCCAAGCTGAACTTCGCAAACAGCTTTGGCGCGGAAAGGACAATCAATCTTGCGCGTTGAAGGATTGCGCTTCTTGGCAGTGCTGTTGTACTTGACACCTCCGCGGTCGCAAACAAGATCGTAACGGGTAGGCTTGCCGTCGCGGTAGTTGGAAGCACGCAGCTTTACAATGCCATAGCCCTGATCCTTGGCTACGCGCTGAACGGATGCCATCAGGTCATCGAAGGTCCTGAATATCCCTTCCGGCGGGGGTAATAGCGCTGGAGGTGGTGTATTCGGCATGACGAGTGATTGAGCCAGGGTGGCGGTTGTAACGGGGAAGTTAGGGTAAAGTGGGGAGGGCAAGTAGTTTGCTCAAGAAAAACGGCTTCGAGGCGGTATAAGAGGTCTTGGTACGAGGCGCAAAGTGATATCGCGAATAGGCGAGATGTGCTGTTGGTCGTGGTCGTGGTCGCGGTGGTGTAGTATGTATGCAAGAGGCTGGGCTGTGAGGACTTTTCCAATCCGCACTGTCGAACAAGTAGGTGCACTAAGAAGGTTTAGTGTTGATCCGGTCCGGGCGAGGCGGGCCACTGAGAGACCAGGCCTGCACAAGGGAGGGGCACTAGGGGTGGAGTTACGTACCGTTTGCTGCGGGAGTCTCTTTTCGCGCGGCTTCGTGCAGTTGGGGGAACAAGCAAGGGCAAGGTAGCTCACACTGCTCGCGTAGATTGAGGTGAGGTCAGGTACCGGACTCAACTCAGACTGTACGGAGCAGGTACGGATAGTGTTGGTTCAATATGGGGTGTGGAGGGGTTCAACAACGTGGTGAGAGATCGAGACGGGGCGCTTGTGTAGCTTCAGAAGATGCGAGTAAGAGAATGGGGACTTGATGACAGGAATTCGTTCGTGTTCAGTGATGAAAAACGGAGAAGCGTAGTTGTTTCTGCTGGAAGTCCTGGTCTGATATAAATCAAGTTCTCAAAATGGACGCTAGGAAAGTAGGGGTGTGAAGCTTCACGGCTGATGGCAGGACCATGCAAGCCAAGCACGTGATGAACTGAAGGAAGCGTTCCAGGTTGGCAGTAGCAGTCAACACAGCGGACAGACGCAGCAGCGCAGGCTTTGTAAAGCGAAAAGGTGTTGCGAGTTGTTTCATAAGTAATTAGACATTGGGTGCGTTCTGGCTCTATCTCGATCCACGATAACCTTCTGATCTTTATTAAACAAAGGAAGCTGCCAGACCTACCTAAGTAGGTAAGTTACGTGTCAAATCGACACGGTGCGGGCTCCCCAAAACAAGCTCCAGTGCCAGTGCCAATCCCAGTCCCAATATCCAGGTTCGTTCCTGGTCCCTTGCCGTGCTTGTTTGATCAAGGCTTGTTCTCTAGTAGCGACCTTCAACTGCCTTGCCTGTAACGGTACCTGACAGCCCAGCAAAACAACCCGAGAGGCCTGTGTGGTCACGGTAGCACCGCACCAGCAAAAACGTCCAAGCTTCTATCCTTCCCCTTGAAGTCCGCCCCACGTCGCGCAAGACGACAAGACGCAGTCAACCTCCTAAACTCTATGTGTGTACGCCATAGGCTTCTATTTCTAGCTTCCAGAACAATTCCCTGAATCAACAGGGCTTACGGAGTACAAGCGCTGACAGTCCTGTCCTTTTCCCCTACAGTAGGGTAAAAGTAGAGCCTTGCTCCCTTTCACCAGTGTGATCCTTTCCCAATCACTCACACGGGGCTTTTTCATTTGCTCATCAGGCCCATTGTACTTCGGCCACCCGCAATCTCGTATTGCTGCTCAACACCCTCACCTCAAGTCTTGGATACCCTACCTCTGACCGGTGATATTGCCATATTCGCAACCATGAACCAGCAGCCTGCCGCTCAAAATAAGGATCAGTCTCAAGCCCAAGATGCAGCCGGGCAAGAGGTCTGGGATGAGGCACGCCTCGAGGAAGCCATGAAACGACTCAAGCTTCTACATATCAAGGTAATGTAGTTACACAATGGGGAAGATACAAACATGCTCATCAGGCTCTTGTTTCAGGTCCGACGATTGAACGACACCATCCCGAAGATGATCAAACCGCTCGTGCAGAAGCAACCTTCACGTAGGCTACCTAATCTATCCGCGCTATGTGATGTTCTAAGCTGATTTGCTTTATCTAGCCGATGTTATGTTTGCGGCTTTCATGACTTCAGTCAACGAAGCGCAGACCAACATAAAGGAAGTCACCAACTTGATGCGTGATGAGACTAGCCAAGAGATATTTGACCATGCCAACAAGAGAAGAGAAGAAGAGCCATTAGGAATCAAAACCTGGGAGTACTATGACGACCCTAACTGGTTCAAAATGGACGAGGAGTAGCGTCCCATGCATGGCGGTTATGGATGGATGGGTTTGCTTAGGAGTACTGGTGATAGGCGTTCTTCTTGTTTCGAGGTTGGATCTACGTATGTGGACAGTAGAACTACAGCACTGGATGTGCTATCTTGCCAGGCGTAATTGAACACGGTTTTGGATGTGTTTGAAGTCCTTTCTTGATGCGATTCACTGTCACTCCTTAATATATCATTCCTTCTGCGATAGATTACCACGGGTGTTGCCAAACTGATAAAATATGAGCCCGCTTTTTAACACAGATGGATCAACAATCCACGTCTCATGTCTCTACCATCAATCAAGGCTACAAAATCAATTCGTATAAAACGAGCCTAAGCAGGACTCGAACTTGTAGCCAATACCAAGTTGAAGAAGATCAGTATCAAGATCACGTGCCCGGGCTGATCCACCAACCCTAGCTGATTGGCTAGCGGGGCAAGTGGGCAAGCGCACAGCGTCGTCTCTTTCCCACAAAATCAAAACTGGTGAAATTCCTCATTTTGCACCTCGACCAGACATCCCAAGTATCAACACCAAAGCCGCAGTCATGGTTTCGCAGAGAGTGACTTACCGCCGCCGCAATGGGTACGTCCTCACTTTGATGAGCTCGAAACAACCAGTCGAGCTATTGTTTTTCGCCGAACTGCTGTAACTGACAATCTCCTGCGCAGCTACAACACCACCTCCAACCGAACCCGAGTGATCAAGACTCCCGGTGGTGATATCCGTCTGCTTCACATCAAGAAGCGCGGCACTGTCCCCAAGTGTGGTGACTGCGGTGACAAGCTATCTGGCGTAAGTCGACCTGCAACGACGAATCTTTTTTTTGCGACGTGAAGGATGGGACGAGACAAACACGAAGCACGCACACTGGTTGGCTCAGGCCTGGCGACGAATACACACAACACCTTGATCGACGGTCACCATATCCCCTGATAATCGAATACTTTGAAGGCCACTTCAACCAGCCAGCCGATCGTGTCGTCTCGTCTTGATTCCCTATCGCAAAAGAAAATTCGGACCTACCACGGAACATGTAAAACTAACTTGATCCTCCTATAGATCCCCGCTCTCCGACCCCGCGAGTACTCTCAGATCTCCAAGCCCAAGAAGACCGTCCAGCGTGCCTACGGTGGTTCTCGATGTGGCAACTGTGTCCGCGACCGCATCGTCCGAGCTTTCCTCATTGAGGAGCAGAAGATCGTCAAGAAGGTGCTGAAGGAGCAGGAGCAGAGCCAGAAGAAGAAATAAATGCAATTTCCATTGCCGGATTTGGCTTTGCGTGGGAGCAAGGGACTCTGAGGACTCGGTTCATTGCTTTGGTGTTCATTAGGGCAAAAGGGACTGCATGATATATCGGGCCGGTGCCGGAATGGTAGGCCGTCTGCCGTCTTAGGACTGCTACTATCCTCTTGGTGCTTTGAATGAGAAAAAGAACATCAAGCTGGCGTGGACCGTGCTATCGTCTATATGAGTGATATGACATCTCTGCACTTGGCGAACATGTGTCAAGAAGTACTCGTGGTTGTGAAAGAAAAGTTACTGGCGCCTCACGGTTGATATTACACTCACTTGTATCATATGTATGTGTGTTGGGATATCAACTGTGATTTAATTCTAAATTATCTGAATATTGGCCCAAGTACAATGTTGATGCGTAGACTCGAAATTCTGCCACCAAGATGACGTGCAAGACCCGGAAAAATATCCCCCACGTTAGACAAGAATCTCATAATTCCAACATCGAAATAAACGCAATTCTTGCATCAACCACGAATTCTATACTTCTAACATTTCACACTCTCCCAATTACCACATAACCATGGCATCAAGAGGTTTAATTCGGCCATGCAGCGCGCAGCGTGCCATGCGCCAGGCTTTCTCCCAGGCTACCCGACCTAGCACTCAGTCTTCGATCGCAGCTACAAGGACCGCCGTTTCGACAGTCTCGCCTCCCTTCCAGGCTTCTTCCTCAAGTCGCCGACTTTTCCACGACGTTCCGAGCCGGAGAAGAGACCAGCAGCCGCCAGCGCAGCCTCCCCCGACCGACTTTAGCGAGCTCGACGTACTCGGCAACACCCCAGCGCCCTCCACTTCGGTTGACGTGTGCATGTACGATGGATTTGGGCTGAACAGCGGTCTCACGATTACGGGCGGCAATGGAGTTTTGCTGATTGATGGAGAGGTTTTCAACTGGCGCCCGTGGGAGGCTAAGGGTTCGCTGAATCTTGTCAACAAGAAGGGCCAGTTTGAGCTACCTCCGAACGCATTTTCGCTATTTGACCTGATATGGCCCCGACCCGGTATGTGGAATCGCCTTGCTCGCTGTTCCTCACATGTGTGGTGGTTCTAAAAGGGTACCCTTTGCTAACTCAATTGCAGATCTTCTGGTGATCGGGGTTGGCCCATCGATCATGCCACTCGCTCCCGCAACGAGACGGATGATCTCTGAGCTCGGCATGCGAATCGAGCTTCTGGACACAAGGAACGCAGCAGCACAGTTCAACCTGTTGGCGACAGAACGAGGTGTTGCAAACGTAGCGGCCGCTTTGATACCGATTGGATGGAAGGATGGTGTTGGGGCGCAATGATTATTAAATAATGACAGTATGCTGTCGATGTTGTTTGAGTATTGTAACAATATAAATGGGGAGACTGCGGTGCACTCTCTACGATCATTACCTGGAGAAGCGATACTCCTGAGAACAAATGCATAGACAGGGAACTATGTGTGTTCAGAAGCCATTTGAAGCTTTCTTTTGCATGGTCCTCACCACGGTGGGGTTTAGGTTGTGTCTCTCCACCTTGAACAAAATCATCCAGGTTCAAATGGGATTTGGTGTCTCCATGAGCTTATCGCAGTTTAACAATACCCGACCCCATACTTGGGAAATCTTTAGTCTTAAAAGTAATATTTCAATGGACAGCCAAGGCTCAGAATGATCAATAACAAAATCAAGAGAATTTGGATTCAGAGAAATTGCCTTAAAATAACAGATTAAAAACCGACATATCTTCAGGGTAGCTGTCCCCGCATCAAAACCTGCGAGATGCAAGAATGCCCCATGTCTTTCCTGCAGATTCGCTTCAGACATTCTTCCAATGGCGCTCATCCCCAGGGCAGGAGGAATGATGCAATACTCCAATTGGTTACTGCTCAGTAACCAACGACTCAAACCAAGATCTCGCAATACATCATCGTCCATCAATCATCACTTTAGCACAGCCAAACAATACCCACTTCTTGACTTAATCGAATTCAGTATCGAATTTTGACATTTTAGGTCATCCTTAATTCATATTCTTCTTCTTTGTGGCGCGTCTGGACCGCGATTCACGTGGGCCACATAAAGTCGAGAAACTTCAAAATCTTGGCTGGGCCCTGAGCTGCAGCCCAACCGACCCTTCTTTTGGCGTCTGAGTTTCTACTTCGGCCCTGGTGTTGCAGTGCCACTCGCTTTGAATCCCTAGTGGATAAAGGTTGGTTACGGCCGTCGGAGAGACACGCGAATTTGGTGTTACTGCTGTAGTACCTTTCTTTGCTGGTGACTCAACAGCTGCAATCTCTGATACAGCTAGTGCTATTAACCAAGCTTCAAATTGGTTCAGCAAGTTACGGCCCAAGCACGACTCAACTATACGCATCCAAACCCATATATTTTGTCAAAATTTTTACAAAACCAGTTCAACTACCACCCTTGACCCATCCCTTGACACACAATGGCCTCTCCCGAAGTCGCCGTCCAACAGGACGTTTTCGACTCCACTGACCCTCATCTCACGGACCCTGCTCTTCTTAAAGACCATTCAGAGTTCAAGTCCTACAAAACAAGCCGCTATGAATATTCTGGCATTCGAGTTTTCTACCGACAACATGCCAAGGCTGATCAACTGCCCAAAGACCCTGCTCCATTGCCGTTATTGGTGTTTCTACATGGATTGGGAGGTTCTGTTGCTCAATTTCACCCTTTGCTAAGTAGTCTTGTCGATGAGGCCCCTTGTATGGCGATCGACTACCCTGGTTGTGGACGCTCCGACTTCTCGGTCACCAGTTGGGACGCTTACAAGACAGACGCCCTGGTAGAACTCCTGGAGGCCATAATTGAAGATTACCGAGACAAGGATGCAGGCCAACGTGTGGTTCTGATCGGTCATAGCATGGGAACAGCTCTCGCTGCCAGGTTGGCCAACACAAAGCTTGCTCATACAACAAGTCTAGCAGAGTATGTGGTAGGATTGGTGGCCATCTGCCCTGTGTCGAACCCTCCCGATGAGTCGAAAACAAGATTGTACAGGAGAGCAATGTGGATTCCAGGTTGGCTTTTTAACTTGTGGCGAACCTGGGATAGCTGGGATGGCGCTGAAAGCCCCAGTGTCAAGCGTTTTGTTGGCGAAGGTGCCGATGAAGCTACTCGAAAACTACAGTATCGGTTCAATAAGCAGAGCCGTACACCAGTTTGGAGGCGCATGGCTAATGGTGCTCTGCCTGTCTATAATAATGGGAAGGCTGTAGGTGGTATCCCGACGCTGGAAACGTGGGCAGGACTGGATATTCCCGTCTACCTCATTGCTGGCGAGAAGGACAGTGTCACACCACCAAAGGAAGCCGATAAGATTGTCAAGGCACTTGACCCTGAGAAGACCCTTTCAGAATCACATGCTGGGGAAGAGACGCACGAGCCTATTGTTGATGCTGCCGCTCCCGTCAACACCTCGACACGACCACAGGATCATATACCTCAAGCTATTGTCGACCTTCGTGATGAACACTTTGTCAAGGTCAAGAATCCAGTGGATGAGAGTTCGGGGGAAGATAGTACCAACGATCCCTCTACTCCTAACGAGACCGTGGCGGAATTGCCCGCGCAGCCAAACCACCCAAAGAAGGTCGTCAAATCCGTCGTGATGCCCGCGCCCGCAACACATGCTGTTCTATATACACCTTGCTCGGTTCGCGCTGTTGCCGGACTGATATCGGAATTTCTTGCCGAGCACGTTACCGGTAGGCTGTCCCTTGCCTGGCAGTTGCAATACCTTTCCCGTGAGGGGAAATGGGACGTCAAGAATCTCAACAAGTGGAAGTCAGTGAACCCTGTGTCTGAGCCGATCGGACTCTATGGAAAACCTGTTTTCCGTGCCCTCAAGACACTCCGCGAAGCAGATGATGTCCACTGCCCCCCAAAGTTTGTTGCAAGGTGGGGTTCCATTGTGAAAGATGTCATTGACATCTCGAAAGACCAGCCTGTCTACGACCCCCGAGGCCTCGATCGTGCTGGGATTCACTATCACAAGTTCCCGACAGTTTCAAAGATCCCACCACAGCCGCATGAGGTTGAGAAATTCATCAAGTTAGTTGATGAGCTCCGCAAGAAGCAGACTGAGCGTGCCGTCACTGAGAAGTGGGCTGACCCCGATCAATGTGTCATCGGAGTTCACTGCCATTATGGCTTCAACCGCACGGGATACTTTATTGTATGCTATCTCGTTGAGCGTTGTGGTTTTGATGTGAAGGAAGCCATCGACACATTTGCCCAGGCAAGGCCGAATGGGATCCGACACTCTCACTTTCTGGACCGGCTGTATGTGCGGTATAATGTGGATTCTGTTCCTGCAAGTCAGACATGAGGCACCACTACTAAGAATGCGTTTGAGTTGGAGCAAAATGCGATGCGCAAGGGATCGTTGGTTTAAATTTGGCTTCTTGTCATGAGTAACTCACGTCAGGCGTTTGGACGGAGACTTTGTACTAAGACGGCGTATAATAGACGGGGACAGCGTGTGGATTTCATGTCTTTATTGTCACAAAGCGAAGGGAACGGCGTTAACAGGAACATGTAGACAATGCCAGTCATTTCTGAGGGCACACATACAGGTCTAAAGCGATACCACTAGCAAACATAGCATTTCAAGCCCTCCACATATTATCAAACGGGATAGCACTAACCAGTTCCATTGCACAGCAGATCAAACCCAGTGGAGCGATGTATATTGGCTGGAATAAATATCGACATTTCACAACAGTACCAATCAACATTGTTACAGTCCAAATGAAATTGTATATCTGGGTATAGTACTCTCCATATCTCGACTACCATCTAGCTATCCGCCTCTTTCCTCAATCCGTATCATCATTCTGTCGGACGCCGTAGCATACATCAGACATTAATAGCGTGGTACTTGTCTCCAAGAGCCCACACTTCATCAAGGGCCTCCATACCGGCATCCTGGACGTTGACCTTGCTCATCTTCTCCATGAGCTCCTCAGTAATGGCATCGACATCAACCTCGAGATACTCGCGGAGATACTTGCCAACATCTGTGTTCTCGACGTTGCCGCGGATGTTCTCCGTTCGGGGACCGCCGGAGCTGTAGATGTTGACGTCGACGGCGGTGTGGCCGTGGGTGCTCCAGCCAACGTGGGCGCGCAGGGAAATAAGAGCGGAGAAGAGAACCAATGCGACCGCAGGGTTCTCAGCAATAGTGGTGATCTCCTTGTCGGAGGCGTCGGAAATACCGAGACCCTTGACAATGAGCTCCTCATTGATGTACTTCTTGAGCTTCTCCTTGTCCTTCTTGGAGTTGGAGTTGGATGCGATGTGGGCATTCAGCTTGGCTTGGAGCCACTCGGCCGAAGCAGTTGCGTTGGCAAGGACCTTGGGGTACCAGTTATAGACAGGGAGGTGACCGGGTTCCTGAATCGCAGTGGCGAGACCTCCGGTTTCATGATCGCTGGTTGCGACAAGAACAGTCTCAGTCTTGCTCTGCTTGATGAAGTCGAGAACAGCCTGGAAGGTCTTGTCGTACTCAAGAACCTCATGGACCTGGGCGGCAGGGTCGTTAATGTGGCCAGCATGGTCGATTCGGCTACCCTCAATCATGATGAAGAAGCCCTTGTCACTCTTCTCAGTGGCTTTCTCAAGAGCGCGAAGAGCAGTCTTGGCCATCTCGCTCAGTGAGGGATAGACGTCGTTGTGGTTTCGGCGGTCAATCTCGAAGGGGATATCACTCGAGGCAAACAGTCCGAGGAAAGGCAGCTTGACGTTATTACCGCCCTTGAGAGCGTCAAAACCAGCGCGGTTGTCGGTGTAAGACCAGTTGTGCTTCTCCTTTGCGATCTTGATCACGTCTGTGTCATCGGCGCGGCAGCTGCCCTCTGTGCTGTTGGGCAGGAAGTTGCATCGGCCACCACCAAGCATGAGGTCCACGGTTCGGCCCAAAACGCCCTCTCCGATCTGCTGAAGAGCGATCTCATCTTCCATTTCTCGGAGAATAACGTGCGAGTTGAAACAGGCAGGGGTGGCATCCTGTAGTCTTGATTAGTCTCGTTATAGCTTGCATTCGCCTAAATCATGCATACCTCAATCTTTGTTGTGACGACAAGACCAGTGTGATATCCAGCGCGCTTGGCAGCTTCTAGGACAGTTCCGCAAGGATCGTGGTTTGGTAGGGTAGAAATAGCACCGTTGTAGGTCTTCTTGCCGCAGGAGAAAGCAGTGGCACCAGCAGCGCTGTCTGTGACGAGGGAGCTGCTGGAGCGAGTCCTGCTTGAGCCCCAGAAGTGCTTGTCGAGAGTGAGGGTATCGCCAAAGGGAAGGTCTTCAACGTGCTGTCTAAAGCTGCGCGTCAAAGACAGAGGCGCAGGACCCATGCCGTCAGACACCATAAAGACGAGATTTCGCTTCGCCGCAGGTGTGTTATGGTCATGCTTGGTCTGCTGCGCATGCTGAGTCCAAATCGCAATGACAATAACAGCTGCAGTAGCGATCAAAGCCCAAACAAAAAGGCCGATTTCGCGTAGTCGCGAGTTCCGGGCGGCCTTGCTATGAGCATGGTCTTCGGAGCGGTCGTGACCAGACCCGGACAAGAGAGGATCGTTTTCGTTGGCCTGAGAAGGCATCGTTAGCTAAGGAAGCAGAATTGGGGTTCGACAGTCTTGAAGCTTGAGGAGGAAGCTCAAGCTGAAGCTGGAGCTGGGGGGAGACAAACCATTGTATCTGGCCGCGTAAGGAGGGAGGTGTTGTGCAAGGGAGAAGTGCACACTCGAAATCGGTTGGATGGCTGATCACGGCTTTGTAGCACCTCACATGAGACACTACCTGTTGGAGCTGTCTGCCGGGAGCTCTAGTTAATATACAGGGGGTTGGCGTTCCATTATCAGTGGAGTGTGTGACATCAGTGATAGGCGGGTTGTCATAAAGTTCGCACACCGCGATAAACAAGGTATTTTTAAAGGCCCAACTCTATTTCATGATAACAGATTTGTTATATTAAATTTGTATTATGAAGAGGCCACCATCTGTTTCTGTAGATTAAAGTCCTGATGCAGCTTGCAAACCATGACATTACCTTCTCGAGCTTCTCATGATCCCTACCTGGATATTGTTTCTGCTCGTATTTTATTGCCCAGCTGAGGAGCTGAAGTGGGTGGGACGGGATAATGTCTTATTGCCTGCGACAATCTGTCTCGGGATATAGCACAGCCAATGGCGTTATCTTATCTTGACCACGGGAGCATGATCTTGGCACCTTCTTGAGATCATGAGGTGCTCATCAGACTCAGTGTAAAAAACTATCACGTGCACCTTTAAGTTAATTCTACCTATGAAGAATCTATCTAATGACTCATGTTTTAACCTTACTCAGCCTTCTTTCAACAAAGGAGGTGGTAAAGCAGCCAACCTCCGTAACGCACGTTTCAACAGGCTATGACGGGTCGTAACAACCCGTCCGATACTTTAACTCAGAAGGCTGCTTATAGCAGAACATGAACCGATCATGCCGCTCGCTCAAGCCTATTGTGCTGCTATAACACATGGCCGATGAAGACAATATGTCCCAGATCCAAACGTCCAAGAAATATTAACGTTGCTTTCACTGCCTGGACGGCCAAGCGGCCATTCTACAACCTCTATCGAGCTTTGATCCAACTCGACATGATGGATCCAATGGGCTCTGGAATAAGAGTGACAGCTTGGTATTACAGAGGTGTTTGTGGCCAAGCCGCATGTTTGAGTAACCAAATGCACGTTGCTTCTTCGGAACGAGTGATGACGGTTGTCAAACCAGTTCGCTAGGCAAGAGTTGCTACACACAAGCGTAAGTGCTCACGATGGGCCATCAAACAGACCGAAGCGCGAACCGTTTAAACAGCCCAGCAATCTTGCAATTGCCCGTCGAGCCATAACAACGAACCTCTGTCTCCGCCAGCAAGTGTCATATGATGCTGATCATGATATGTCTCGAGCTCTCTCGGACGACTTGCCTCAAACTCAGTTTCCAGGATCATCGTTATGCTTCTCAATCTCTGGCACCGCTCATGTTACTCGACGAGCGAAGCGCGCAACAGACCAAAAGACCTGGAACAAGGTCCGAAAAGCCCACATGTGTGGCTACGTTTTATTTCTTAACCTGTGTGGATGTTATGGCGAGCTTCAATTCGAGACCTTGTGTTCTCAAATATACCAAGAACTTCACCGGATCGACGAGCCAGAGGCATGGACATCAGAAGCGATGGACGAGCTACCCTTCACTCTTTCCAATGACTGTGTCCCTGGTTGGCACAACACACGATTGATTCCAACATATGGAGTTTGCTGCGCCCAGTGGTGGTTCGACTGCCCTTCTGTTTCAGTACCAGGCTATCCGCATTACTACCATACTACCAACGGAAGCTGAAGGCCCGGGAGAACATATTGTACGATAAGCCGAAGACGATCTAGAGAGGTGCAGCCCAAGCTGACAGTGGAGGACATTGTGACTGCAGACGGAGCGCGTTGTTGAGGGTGATCATCAAATTTTGTTGGATATTGTCATGGCTCTTAATACCCGCACAATCGATATATTTACCAACTGGAGACCAAGGCTCTTGCGATACATTTTGTAGGAGTTGTCTCCTGGGTTCTGAAAGACTGCGACGAAAACCATGTGCAGCATCCGCAACGAACATTTGGAGCTCTGTGTCTCCGTAATTTGTATAACACCCTTTGAGGGTTACGGTACCTCGTGAGACAAGACTTACTTGATTGGCTCTCGCGATACCAGATGTATTCTCCCTATCTTGAACCCAATGGTATACTTTTCTTAGAGTCAGACCGAAGCTGCGCCTTGGTGACTCCAAGTACCTTGGGTAACAGCCTTCAGCGCAGGTGAAAAGATTCCTTGAGCGTTAAGCCAGTGGTACTCGAAAGCAACAGAGACAGGAAGACAACGTGCCGTGGTTGTGAGATACCATACCTAGGCTCTAGCATCTAACACGCTTGGTGCTAGCGTAAAATTCGAAAATTCGTATTGAAGTCGAGATATGGGACCTCTCGATGCCTTCCGACTGGCTGCTTTTGCTACTTATAGAGTCTAGACCCTTGTTTATTCGGAACTGTAGCCGGCGATCATACAAAAGGGGACATTCTTCCTGAAACTAGCAATCTAGTGAAAACCCGCCCTGCTTGTTGATGGAGTGAGGAACAAGACATCAATATCAACATATGAGATGAAGTTGTATTTTGCGTTTTCCGCCGAGGCGGGATAATTGTGGATAAGAAGCTTGTTATGAAAGCTTGGCTCTGGGCAGTGACAGAGCATGAGACTGCGCATCGGCGATTGGCGTGGAGTTTTGGCATGTCTTGGAGGGGATTGACATTGATTGATATCGTCAGAAACGTCACAGTAGGTAGAGAATTGGACTAGGGACGGGTAATCGGCTTCAGAAGTTCAGCTCATCCCAGCCTGGACCGCATATTGATGCCGGAAATAATTACACTAATAGCAGTGGCTGCGAAATTGTCAATTCAATAGCGAGACGAAGGCGCCCCCTAAATTGCCAAATCCTTTCCACTGAAACCCTTCCCCCCTTGGTGGTTGGTGGCCGCTGATGGGCTGAGTTCCCCTGCATCGCAAGACAAGCACCCTTGGATTTATTTTTATTCGAGGCCCGCAAGGCGAGGGTGTCTTATCCTCTTATGTAACTCGACCTTGAACTCGACTTGATCCTCTTCGCTTCAGCTGGGCTGATGGATCTCTCCAACTTCCAGGCTCTTTCTTTTATTCTCCTTTTTCCTCTGCTTAGAGGATCAAGTTGTTCCTTTCGTTTCTTCGTCTTCTCCCCCTTTCCCCCGCGTCGAGCATAATTACCTGCGCCATGTCGACTTCACGAGACTTCGCTATTCCAGCGGAGCGCGATAATCCGCCGCAGGACAATATAGAGATGGAAAGTCGCCAAAGCCATTCGTCAAACACCAACGTCTCTGACGAAAAGGACGAGCAACATGTCCGCTATAATCTCACTCTCAACACCCAGAACCTCTCCCCCAGGGCCGAGCCCATACGGCCAGTGCGATCCGACACCGAGGTCCATCGCGAGATGAACTTTTCGCCCTCGATACTGCGACGCCGAATAACTCGCGTTCCAACATTCAAGACCATTGAAGATTACGATGATTTCGAGACAAACTTTGGCGATCGGCCAGGTTGGCAACCTGGCTCTGAACCTGGCTACGACCCTATGCTCCCCGATGGAGGCCATGCTTCGATGCCTACGCTTCAAGCGCCCTGCCAGATTTCTGTCATCGATTTCGCGCAGGATAATATGGTCAAGCGCCACTTCGATAACGCAAGTTTCATAAGCTTCCTTGATCAGCCAAAGGAAGAGTGGGCAAAGTGTCGGTGGATCAACGTCAATGGGCTTAGTTGGGATGTCATCCAGGCCATTGGAAGTAAAAAGGGTCTGCACAAGCTGGCCCTGGAGGATTTAATGCAAATTCGAAACAGAACAAAGGCCGATTGGTACCCAAACCATGCTTTTATCGTCATGACTTTGCAAAAGCTCGTTCATTTGGTTGATGATGAGGATGATTCCTCGGATACTAGCAGCACATACTCGACCAAGACACTGGGCGCGTTGAGAGGATCAGTAAGGCAACTTTGGAAGAGCCGCAGGACGGTCGACCCCGAGAAGGACTTTACAAGCTCTTTAAGGCCACATGATCCCACATCAGACTTGCAAGAGACTGGCATGATACGGACGTTGCAGCGATATCACGCCTCTGGAAACGAGGCGCGAACAGAATTCATGGAAAGCCACTCATCCCTCACACCCTATCAGATGGCTGTGTCAGCAGAGCAGGTCTCTATCTTTCTGACTTCTGATAATACAGTCATCTCTTTTTTTGAGGTTTCGGCTGGCGACATTGAGCGCCCTATCGTGACCCGTCTTAGCACACCTGGCACAATCCTGCGCGAGTCGAATGATGCATCTTTGCTATGTCAAGGAATCATAGACGCTATTATCGATCTCGCGATTCCTTTAACGGCTGTATACACTGACATTATTGCCGACATCGAGTTGGATGTCCTTACATCCCCCAGCATCAGTCAAAGCAAGAAGCTCTACGTTTGCATCAGCGAGATCAACAAGATGCTCAGCTTCCTGAACCCAATCGACAATCTGGTTAATGTCCTTCGCGATCACAAAACCTCCATGACTCATGACCAATCTATGAAAGAACTTGAGAATCCTTCGTCTGGTGTTATTGTCACTCCCATGACACACACTTATCTTGGCGATGTTCTTGATCACTGTATCATGATCACTGAAGCACTCCAACAGCTGAAGCAGTCATCTGATAACCTTATCAACCTCATCTTCAACACCATCTCAGCCCACCAGAACGAGTCTATGAAGCAGCTCACTACGGTGACCATTATTTTCCTGCCCCTGACGTTTATTACTGGATTCTTCGGACAGAACTTTGCCGAGGAGGGATTTCCCGAGATTCATCACGGCATTTGGTACTTGTAAGTCCACTCACATACCTATCCTCCACATGATTCGCGATACTAACAACTTTCAGCTGGGCTTGCGCCGTCCCAACCGTCGTGGCTACAATCTTGATTCTCATGAGGGAAATGATCTACAACTGGCTCGTGAGCATGGTGCAGAGAAGACATATCCTTACACTCAGAAAGAAGAAGAAGAAGACCAAGCAGCAAAAGATCAAGCTCAAAGTGTAAGAGTGCGATTGTATAGGTTGAACGGCCGTAGCATTTGGATTTGATGATACCCACGCATTATTAAACGGAGTAGGAGTAATGTTCATCGATGAGAAGCATTGGAGTTTTCGTACAGTATTCTGAAGTAGAGTCACGGACCAATGCTATGGTAGTAGCGAATAACATTATTTATTGAGAATTCGATTGATCACATTACATTTATTGCACGATTGCTTATATTTAAGAAGCATTCAGTATCATTTCATAGGTAAGGGAGTTCATACAATTGCCAGTAATTTAAGGTGTGGTGAATTTGAGTGTCAGTTCAAATGCTGACATAAGGTGGTTTTTAGGGGTGTGCACACTCAAGGTGGGCCTCTGGAGCCTAAGTTACAGGCAGCAACGACCTGTGCCACCCCAGATGAAGCTCAATCCATTGCTCACGGTGCTTGTATTTATCTGACCTTAGCCCAGACAAGAAAGGACAAAAGAATTCAAGATGAGCCATCTCTCAAATTGAAAAGAATCCAGATTCACACTTTCTTGAACTGATGATTTCCTCTGTCCCTTCTTTCTTCTTATATCTCCAAAAGCTTTGAATCGATCTTCACCACTGCACGTTCCCTGCTGCACCACAGCTGGCTAGTCTACGCCTCAAAGTAAACAAAGCAATATGTCGCAGACCGACGACGCCAAACATGAAGATGATATTCAATATGGCTCGGTGGGCGTGACCCGAGAAGAGTTGGAAGAAAAGTAAGCAAGTACAAGCCATAAAAAACAATCTTCCTAATTAACATCATCAAAGATATCCCAATCGTCCGAGGAACCACTCCAAGACGCTTGTATTCTCTGAACTCTTTCGAGAAGTCTTTAACCCACTCAGCGAGAACAAGAAGCAGAATGCCACAGGCGCAGGCCCTAGAAAGGCCTTCCGTGGTGTAAACAAGCTTTCCCCTCATGAACAGCGTCGACACATTATCGAGCGTTTCATCATTCGATGGCGCAAAGAAGTTGGTCCTGACTTCTATCCTGCTTTGCGCTTGATTCTCCCAGACAAGGATCGCGACCGTGGAGTTTATGGCCTCAAAGAAAACACGATTGGGAAATTGCTCGTTAAACTTATGAAGATCGACAAAAACTCAGAAGATGGATACAACCTGCTGCATTGGAAGTTACCTGGCCAGACCTCAGCATTGCGCCTGGCGGGTGACTTTGCTGGACGTTGCTTTGAAGTCATCTCCAAGCGGCCAATGCGGACCCGGGTCGGTAGCATGACGATTGCCGAAGTAAATGAGCAACTGGATAAACTGGCTGCATCAGCGGGAGAAGCAGAGAATCTGCGTGTTTTTGAGACTTTCTACAATCGCATGAACTCCGAAGAGCTCATGTGGCTCATCCGAATCGTCCTCAAGCAAATGAAGGTTGGTGCTACAGAGAAGACTTTCCTGGACCTCTGGCACCCTGATGGTGATGCTCTGTTCAGTGTATCATCGAGTTTGAGACGTGTGTGCTGGGAATTGCACAACCCAGAAATCCGTCTTGAGCAGGATGAGACAGGTGTTGCTCTAATGCAATGTTTCCAACCGCAGCTCGCTCAATTTCAGATGCCCGCGTCTTTCCAGAAAATGATTGAGCTTCTTCGACCGACCGAAGAAGATCCAGAATTTTGGATCGAGGAAAAGCTCGACGGTGAGCGTATGCAAGTGCATATGGTCCAGGACAAGAGCCATCCTGGTGGCAGGAGATTCTGTTTCTGGTCAAGGAAAGCCAAAGATTACACATATCTTTACGGCGATGGCCTTCAAGATGAAAACTCAAGTCTTACAAGGCATCTCAAGGACGCCTTCAAATCGGGTGTCAAGAACTTAATTCTGGACGGTGAGATGATCACTTGGGATATGGGTGTCGACAAGATAGTGCCTTTTGGCACCCTCAAAACAGCCGCAATCTCAGAACAGCAAAACAAGTCGGATACGGACTCAGCTGGTCATCGCCCATTGTTCCGAGTCTTCGATGTTCTTTACCTTAACGGTAAACCTCTAACGCAATACACTTTGAGAGATCGGCACCGAGCTTTGGAAAAGGCCATAAAGCCCGTTTATCGCCGACTTGAGATCCATAACTACACCAGCGCAACAAGTGCCGACGCCATAGAGCCTCTTCTACGTGAAGTTGTTGCCAATGCGTCTGAAGGCCTCGTGCTGAAGAATCCACGATCCATGTACCGCCTCAATAGCCGGAACGACGACTGGCTCAAGGTGAAACCTGAATACATGTCCGAGTTTGGCGAGTCCCTGGACTGTGTCATTATTGGTGGCTACTATGGCTCGGGCAAGCGAGGTGGCGGATTGTCAAGTTTTCTTTGTGGGTTGCGTGTTACTCAGAATCACATCCAAGCCGGCGCCAATCCTGAGAAGTGCTTCAGTTTCTTCAAAGTTGGTGGCGGCTTCCGAGGAGAAGACTATGCAGAGATCCGACACAGAACAGAAGGGAAATGGATGGAGTGGGATCAAAAAAACCCACCCTCAGAATACATTGAGCTTGGAGGAGGTGAACAGAGGCAATATGAGCGACCTGATGTTTGGATCCGACCCAAGGACTCTGTTGTTGTTTCTGTCAAAGCTGCCAGTGTTGGACCTTCAGATCAATTTGCTCGTGGTTTTACCCTGCGTTTTCCACGATTCCGACGTCTCCGATTGGATCGAACGTGGAATACCGCTCTCTCGCTTGAAGAGTTTCAGGAGTTGAAGCAAAAAGTTGACGAGGAATCAAAAGAGAAAGCGATGACTGTCGAGGACAGGAAGCGGCGCAATCCTAAACGAATCAAGAGAGAACTTACCATTGCCGGAGAAGATACGATAGCGGCTGAATTTGTGGGTGAAACGACCAAGCTATTCGAGGGTCTGGAATTCTGTGTCCTTTCTGAATCACTTAAGCCCTACAAGAAAACAAAAACCCAGCTTGAGGCCATCATCAAGGAGAATGGTGGTACCGTCTCTCAAAGAGCTGCACCTGGAACCAATATGGTTCTTCTTGCAGACAAAAAGGTGGTGAAGGCTGCAAGTCTCATCAAAGGGGGAAACGTCGACATTATCCGCCCCAAATGGCTTAGAGACTGCTTGGAGCAGGACTTGGGAGCGTTTCTTTTGCCATTTGAGCACTCACACCTGTTTCACGCTACTGATGCGTTGAAGCGGGCGGCGGAAGCAAATACAGACCAGTTTGGAGATAGCTACGCGCGAGACCTATCCATCGAAGAACTCAAACAAGTCATGGATGATATACCCAAGATAGAGGATGGCATACCTTTCGACAAGAGCGGATTTCTGCAACAGCTTGAGGAGCACGGCAAGGACCTGACAAATCTGAGAGGCTTTACTTTCCGACGCTGTGTTGTACTATTTCATCCTGTGGAAGCCGGCGATAAGAAGGTCTTGAGGCTGAAGCATTTGGTGAAATACGCCGGAGGAAGTGTTACGGATGACGCAAATGATCTGTCTGTAACACATGTGGTAATCGAAGGCGGCGACCCGATGCAGGTGGGCGAGGCGGCTGATATGGTACGCAAGGAGCTGAGCTCGAGGCGCATACAGCCAAGAGTCGTGACAGGGAAATGGATTGACGAGTGCTGGAAAGAAAGCACATTACTCGATGAGGAGCAGTTTGTGATTCCTTGAGTAAGAATGGGGTATTTATAACATGTGTATACTACCTAGCCTTTATGTTTTATGTATGTAATGACATTCAACGCTCAGAAGGAGTCGTTGAGGCGCACTCATTTACCAATAGTCAAGAATAGTCTGTCGCCCACGTCTCCCAGTCCTGGCTTCAGCATGCCACCGCTGGTTAGCTCCTTGTCCACTCCTGCGATCCAAACCTCACATCCTTCGGGCCATTCGGCTGCGACTCTCTGAACGCCCTCCTCAGCTCCAATGATAGCGAGAACAATGATTCGCTTGGCGCCCCATTCACGAAGAGTCTGGATGGCGGCAGCGCAGGTTCCACCGGTTGCAATGACAGGGTCGACTAAGATGGCGAGACTGCTGGCGCTGTTGCTGGAGGACTGATCCTGCTGGGGGAGATTGTTGTAATACTCGACTGGGTCGAGGGTTGCAGGCTCGCGATACATGCCCAGATGGTGAACTGGGACTGGTATAGGGAGCATAGTTTGAACAGCTGGAGATGTTAGTTATGAATCGCTGAGTAATTGGATGAAACGAACCATCAACCATGCCGAGACCTGATCGTAGAATGGGCACTAGAGATACGGTGCTTGGCTGGACAGTTGTGGAAGTGAACTGAAATCCCAAAGGCGTCTCATCCTGTTGATGAGGATTAGTGAAGCTCGGTCTACATACTCGATATGCTTCATACCTGAGATCCTTCTGTAGCTTCCAAAGATGAAGCCAGAGCCTCACATGAGACAATCAGAGAAATCTCATGGATCAGAGACTTGACATCTCTTGGGCTGTTGGTCTTTGAGCGAAGCTGAGCCAGCTTTGCCTTGAGACAGGGATGCTGAGAGACATGGACGTTTGAAGGCAACGAAGACATGGTAGCGTTTGAGTACACGGATTATTTTACAGGAAGTAAGAAATCTACGAGGAGACGATTAAGCACCTGTTTCACTGAGTGAGAGATGCTGGGACGAAGCCAAGGAGAAAGAGAAGAAGGAGAAAGAGAGAGAGAGAGCGAGAGAAAGAGAGAGGAGAGAGGGATGGGGGGTTTTGTATGTATTTTTGAGAGACAGTACTAGGGGTCATGCATCTACTGTAAGAATGACAGGACAGGAGAGATATGAGGAGACGAGAGACACGTAACAAGACAGGACAAGACAAGAGACGGGTCAACGTTATCAGCGTTTTCGTGTTGGTGCTACCACTAATACTTTGCAGTGAGATAATCCAATCGACGTTCTAATAGAGATCACAAGGCACGTCCGCGGCCGGTAGTCGGCGGGGTAGCTTGGTACTACAAGCCCTGGAGTACAGGGGGCTGAGGCCCGTGAGGGGATGCGGCGGAGGAGGGCGGGGTGCGATAAGATAAGAAGCGGTGAGCTCCGTGAGTGTTTCAGCACCTATCAACCAAATATCAACGTTAGAATGTTATCGAAACGAAACGCGGTGAGAGAAGACTCGAGTCTTGACATTGGATATTCACCTGACACTCTTGGCATTGGTATGAATAGTTATTTACCCTTGCTTAGGTATCAATTGGATACTATTGGATCATAAAAGCACTATACTTTTGCTCTAAAGTCTGTTATCTCATGTCTCCTCATTTGTATATAGGTAGACCCTTGAGACTCCACAAATACCAGAAACGCCAGTCATCTTTTCGATAGCAGATGGATTCTCTGCTCGGCATGTTTCTCATAGTATAATGCCGTCATATCCGCCGCTCCTACTCTAGCCGCAAAGTATCGCATCGCGTTCCCCATTGACAGCCTCAGACATTTTAATTTAACATCAAATATTAACTAGAAAGATTTTCCACTCAGCACAATGAGCTTCTCCCTTCAATCTCTTTACTATTCCACGCCGAAATCTTTGACTTGATGTGATTGTTTGACTATTTTCGCGACGACGCGATATTGAAGTTATGGCTGCTGAATTTGAAAAGCAAATGCAACACTCGGGTTCTGGAGCCCACAACACGCCAGGCGACGACATGGAGCTTGAAGGGGTGACTCAGAAGCCCATTGGCGATGGGATCGTAAGCCAACGCAATGAGAACACCACGGCTCAATTCCCATCACAGCCCGAGCAACGCAACTCAGGGGCATACAACGCCCCAAAGGCCTATAGCAATCTTGACGAGATGTCGCCTCACTCTCAGCTCGACGAGCTCTCTCCAAGGCCGACGCAGGACCAATCAAGACGACAAAGCAACGTCGTCCGCCCTGAAACCCATGTCGAAGAACCAGTGAGAAAGATGGAGAGCACATCCAAGCTCCTAACGGCGATATGCACACACTCGTATCTTATCTTCTTCGCCATTCTGGGAACACTGGCGCGTGTAGGCTTGACGGCATTGACGCGCTACAGTGGCACGCCTGTCATTTTTAACACATTATGGGCGAATTTCAGTGGAAGTCTTGCGATGGGGTTTCTCGCCGAGGACCGAAAACTCTTTCTGAATGAATGGGGCACTGCGACCTACGATCAAGCGATCAAGCGCGCCGAGCAGAAGGACGGGGATGAAGAGAACGGCTCTGGACTGAATCAGGGGAATATAGATTTGGCGGCAGCAAAAAAGGCTCACCTGGCGACGAAGAAGACGATTCCACTGTACATCGGACTCGCTACAGGGTTTTGCGGGAGTTTTACAACCTTTTCGAGTTTTATCAAAGATGTATTTTTGGCTTTGTCCAACGAGTTAAAAACACCGGGTTGGCCAGAGTCACCTACGAGCCGCAATGGAGGATACTCCTTTATGGCCATGCTGGCAGTAATTATCACGACTCTTTCGTTGTCGTTATCGGGTCTGTTCGTGGGGGGTCACCTAGCCATCGGTCTCCAACGCGTCACCCCATCGATCCCCTTCTCACTAAGTCGACGAGTTCTCGATCCCCTCGGCGTGCTCCTCGGCGTCGGCTGCTGGCTTGGGGCAGTCATACTCGCCATCTTCCCACCTCACGATGCCTGGCGGGGCCAAACTCTCTTTGCTCTCGTTTTTGGGCCCCTCGGCTGTCTTTTACGCTTTTATCTGTCACTCTATCTCAATGGAAAGAGGACAAGCTTTCCTGTTGGAACATTCGTGGCAAATGTATTGGGCACGGTGGTTCTAGGCATGTCGTGGGATCTTGCGCATGTACCTCTGGGCGGAGTCGTCGGTTGCCAGGTACTTGAGGGTATCGAGGATGGATTCTGCGGATGCTTGACCACTATCTCGACATTTGTTGCTGAACTTTCGAGTTTACGACGACGAAGCTCATGGATCTATGGTACGACGAGTGTGGTTGTTTCTCTGGTATTAATGATCGCAGTGATGGGAGGACTGCGATGGAGCGAGGGCTACAGCAAGCTCTTGTGTACAGTATAAGTATAGAGCTCGGCTCAATAGAGAATTGCCTTTGAGATTCGCATCGCCACGTCTGATGAGTGGAAACCATCAAGGACTCTATTCTAGGGCAACGTCAAGCCATGAGGGCTTTTTTAATGAGTATTAAATGGCATATGCGAGGCCTTTCTGAGGCCTTTTCTGGGGAGACATCTAGCCATGGCACTTTACATACGACCGGAACCTATGCTCACATTGTAATTGTATGTGACAATAACCACTTATTGAAACCAGCGATATCGATGGATTTTCCTAAGGAAAGAGGTCATCAACAACCTGTATTACCACCAGGCCCAACGCCTTTACCAACACCGCCAGAATCGCGACAGCCATCGCTAGATCTATCGCCAGAGCTATCGCCAGAGCTATCGCCAGAGCTATCGCTAGAGCCGTCACAAGAGTCGTCGCAAGAGTCGTCGCAAAAACCATCACAAGTACCGCCGCAAGAACCTTTGACATCGGCAACGAGGAAGCAACTGCGCGACAGCTATCGCATGACCCAGTACAACAATCAGAAGAAGGCGGAGAGACGCGCCAAGCAGGAGAAGAAAAGACTTGCTGGTAAGTTGATTGATAACATGTAAGACTTATCTGATGCCGACTCTGACCTTCCAAAAGCCTTTCCCTTGTCCTGGGTCCCAGTCGAGAACTGGGACAGGCCTAAAGTTCACCTTCGACAGTGGACTGGGTTTCTTCGAACCTCTAATGAGGATACCCATAGCGACAACGAGCCGCCAATGTCTAATAGGCTAAGCAAAAGCAAGTTCGTCGACGCCGAGTTCTTTGAAGACGTAAAGAAAATACATGAGCATGCGTTGGCACCTTTTCGGTAGTTGGTGTATAGCCCTTTTCTTATTCCTTAGTCCCCGTTTGAGGCTCCTTAGGCTCCGACTGCTTTTGCTCTGCTCACATCAGCCGCTTCCTTGTTATTATGCAGGTGTTGTCTCAGCTTGGGTGGACCAACGAGATAGACTAAACCCCTGTCGTTGGATTCAGCCCTACATGCGGTCAACGCTACTAGGAGACTCAGCCCGGCGCCGCTCGTTTGACGCTTCTTACCAGGAGCCAATTGTGGTTAAGGAGCTTGCATTACACTGTCAGCATATTCCCACCATGCGGGCAGGGGCTATGCTAAGTTATGCGTCCTTGGTTGTTCTGTTTATATCCAGTTTGGGGTTCTTTTGAGGCTGGGGCTACCCTTGCTTGCCGTATTGTTCTCGATGTATTATAGCTCACACGATATTCTTCTTTTTAGTACAATCTCTTTCTTATTTTCTTCCTTCTTTTCTTCTCCCATGTATTGATCCTTCATTCGTTCCCTTTCACATAGGAAGGGTTCCAGTGCCGTCGTCGCCATGTACTCAAACCAGGCTGGCATCAACGCCCGCTATGAGCCTCAAGCCACCGACGATGATTCTTGGGACAACCGTTCAGACAAATTCCCTTCCAACAACGGCAAGAAGAAGGCCTTTTATCGACCGACAGCTTTGCGATGGTACTTCATACTCGGCCAGATCGCCTTTTTAATGGCTGTCATGGGACTCACTATCTGGGCCTTGATAGAGATGCCCAACTCGGACGGGACAGCCAAAATTATTCACAAGAGAAACCGCAACGATAACCCCAACTTTCCTCGAGATGACTCAGTTATGACTCCGGAAATGCGCAAGCAGACAAGACTTGCCACTACAGTCATCGTGAGCGATGTATCTACTGTTGTCACGGTGCCAGGCACCACTGGCAAATATACCACCCACATCCCAACTACGGAATACAGCACACACTGGGGTCTCACAACGACAGTCAAGGATGGCTCGACAATAACAAGCGTCGATTACACTGTCATTCCGACAAAGGTCATCACCGAGGTTGTCACCACTAAGCCGGGCGAAGCAACAAAATCGGCCATCACGAGTATCAGTGTAGGCTACTCTACAGTGTACCCTTCGGGAACCGCTTCTGGTGAACCTAGCACTGTGAGCTACACGCAAGCAGTCACAATTACCATGGGATATTCACTCCCTGGTGTGATATCTACGTACACTTCTACTTTAGATGCAGACAGAACCGAGACGGTGTACACTACGATCGTCGAGGATGGAGAAACCAAGACCATCTCGCATCTCATTACTGAAGCAGCTCCAACCGTGTACGAGAGTGTGGGAGAGACAACAGCATCAGCAAGTACCTATGTTTCTTATGGCAAGATCACAATTACTTCTATTTACACCGATCCAAATCCGGCACAGGAACCCATGGCGAAGCCTAAACCAACGCATAAAGCCAAACCCACTGTCATTGACGTTGTTACTGTCGACCCTGATCATACGGTGAAAAAGGTCGAGAAACTGGACCCAACAACATACGTTACCAAAGTCAATGAGGTTGAGACGGTAGCTGTGGTCGTCACTGACGCGGTCGAGACAGTAGTTAGCGAGGTTGAAGCTGCTGAGACCACACTCGATGTCGTTGAAACTGGTGCAGATGGTTTACTTACAACTAAGCAAGTTGTCTCAACGAACGCTGCTTCGTTAGCAACTATTACAAGATCCGCTGCGCCTACAACTATCATATCAACAAAGTCTACCGACAAACTCAAGACAGTAACCTCTGAGCGAACGGATTCCTCGACTTTCATCTCAACTGTCAAAGGCACCACAAGGACATATGAAAAGACCACGACTATTCTCCCAACTGCCACCGACGATGCATCTGAAGCTGAAGCCACTGGCGCAGTAGTCAAGGCGGTGATTACAGTATATGAACTGCATGCTGCAAACTACTTCTTGGGCAAGTTTGTTCCTCCTATGTTAGCAGTCATGCTCTCGATTCCTGCCCGAGTCATCGACTACAACGCACAGCTATTCCAACCCTTCTACGCCATGAACCAAGTCAATGGTGCCATGGGACCAGAGTCGATGAACCTACACTTTAGTGGCTGGGCGGGTATAATGGAGCCCTTCAACATTCTCCTCGAGGGCCATCCAGTGCCTTTCATCACTATGCTCATTGTCTGGTTCTCAGCCCTCCTTGCGCCTATAGCATCTGAAGCTGTCGGGTTTAAAATGCATGGCCAGTGCAAGATCAACGCCTACGAAGGCTGTGCACCAGCACTGGGTGTCTCTCCGCTATCATCACGCATCCTTCTCGCGATCCTGGGTCTGACCATTATCCTTCTCTGTGCACTATTGTTCTTCCTAAGAAAGTTCAACACTGGGCTATACGCAAACCCGTGGAGTGTCGCGGGAATTGCATCACTGGCGTCGAATAGAGACATCAGACCCCAGAAGGACTCGGAGCGCAAGATTGAAAAGGAAATGGCCGAGAAGCGATACGGGTTTGGCTTCTTCGAAAACCGCGCGGGTAAGACCGAGTATGGTATTGTCCTCTATGACGACGCGGGAGAGAACCTACAGCATGAGAATTTCTTGTCGGACCCGAATTCTGTAGATACAGAGATTGTAGTTACAGGGCGAAGGAACCCTTTCGCCGTGCTCGGTCTTGCATGGCGTTTGGTGTTTCTCCTGTTCCTGCTGGGATTGATGGTGTTTCTGCTATACTACCACCTCACCATCGATAAGTCGTCATCGTTCAAGAACTTCATGAACAGCCAGACCTTTGGCGTTCGGTTCTTGTTTGCTGCTTTCGGAGTCATAATCTCCTTTTGCTGGACAGCATTCTTTATAAGTAAGTTCCCTCAAACATTATCTCAATGAATCATCACTAACACCACCTAGCCATTGCTATGGTCGTACCATACCAGGTCATGTCACACAGTCCCCAGTCAGCATCCAACTCAGTATTACTTACTCGTCCGACAAACCCCTTCTCTGGGTTCTGGTCAGCCATCAAGCACCGCCAAGTCTTCCCTGGCCTGGTGGCTCTCATGGCAATCTTTTCCGAATTCATGCCTATTCTCCTCGCCAATATCCCCTATTCTCTCTCTCAAGTCCGTATTTCGCATGACATTTGCGCGCGTCTCTCGGTTGGCATCCTGGCACTCATGGCCTTCACGATTTTGCTCAGCTTTGTCATTCGCTGGCCAGACATGCCCGTCGATCCGCGTTCCATAGCGGGAGCAATGTACTACGTCAGTGAGAGTAATATGGTGGACCACTTCAGTGGCATGGCAGCCATGGACGGTGACGATCGTAAGAAGCGTATCAAAGAATTAGGAGGAACCTATCTATATGGTGAGTTGACGACCAGAGAGGGCGAGAGGAGGCCTGCGGTGGAGTGGGACGACCATACGCTGAGCGTTGGTCATGTGGTTTCGCAGCAAAGGAAGGATAATGTACACGTCAGACACGAAAACGTTGATACCGGTTATTACGGGCATCAACCATGATTTATGAAAGCCTTTTGAATTTGGAAGTATACTATACATGGGTCCATGGTATGATTTGAAAAGAAATCGAGGCAATTTGTATACCACTGGGCAGTATTCTGGAGTTTAGCTTAGTTAGTAATAAAAGTATCGCGGTATTCTTTTTATAATCACGACACCCGCAAATGGCTGAGAGGTATCAGTTGATGACGTCTTGAAGTTGGAGTATTCTGAAACGGTGCTGCTCTATTCTTCCTCCAACTCAGGGTAGTGTCGCCAAACTCCTTCCGAGTAGGGTATGCGCCTATCACTCTGGAGATATTTGCTGATGTTTGGCCTCTCCTTGACAGCGTCGTACAGCTTGAACACGCCATCGTACTTGCCAGACTGTTTCAGTGCCTCAATAGACTTGGGAAATGCAAACTTGGTTCCGTCTACAGCCTGAAGATTTGTCAGCACATTGGAAGTAAGGGAGCATTTTGAGGGTGTTACTCACTTGGAACAGCACAAGGTCGGCGTAGGTCAAGCTATCTCCATATAGCCACGGCCCTTCACCACTGGTCTTTGCATCAAAAACTCGCTGCATGTAAGCGAAATACTTAGGAAGCCGATCCTTGATGAAATATTTGGACTTTTTCTTGGACTCCTCCTTCTGATCGTCGTAGTACAGGCTAATGGCGATGGGATGGTGAGTGTCGTGAAGTTCATTGACCAGACCATCGACGATAGTCAAGACGATTCCATTGAGATGGTACAAGCCATTTCCCTCCTTGGGAGCCAGGCCGATTCTCGGAGCAAGGTAGAGCATGATGTTGGGCGACTGGGAGATGAGAAGATCGCCATGTCTGAGTGCTGGAGGTGCTAGAGCTGGGGGGTTGTTATCGTCGCCGATGTTGTCGCTGGCAGTGAGACTCTTGACTGCAGCGAAGCCCTTTTCAGTATCCTGTGCGACGTCTGAGTAGGGAACACCAGCTTCCTCGAAAAGAAGGCGGACGAATTCGCCGCGACCGGGAATGGTAGGCCAGTAGATGAGCTCGTAGGGAGCATCGTCATCAATCTTGACACGCTTGGATTCGGGGTGAGACATTGTGAGTTGCGAGATTGGAAGATTATTCAGGTGTTGTGGATGATGAGATGCGAGAGGAAAAATGAGGAGAAGGAGTGGTAAGTGAATGCTTATATTAAATCTGAGACTACATCCATAGTTTGGGTAGGAACCTCATATCACCTTACTCTCAATGCGCATGAGTGGGGTTGATCCTTCCTGAGCCGTCTTTCAGCATTCAGTCAATCACAATGTATTTCGTCATGGCTAATCTTTCTATACCGTGTCAATCTATTGTAGGTACGCTACAAATAGTGCAGTGGCTTTAGTGCTGAGATTAATGTTACAGTCAAACCTCAAAAGATGCTTATTGCATTGAAGTCGAACCTCGAGTCCGTCGGCCGTGGAGCGGGATAGAGCTGGGGTGGGGTCAAGCCTCATGATGAAATCATAAGCTCAGAGAGTTTACGTATGCAAAGGTGGGATAGAAATGTGTAATGACTGTTTGCTGATGAGAGCACTTCTGACTCACTATCCAGCTGTATTCATCAATCGTTGAATGATTGGTTGGGAGAATTATAGGACATTTATGCCATGTACTCCACGGGTGTTGAAATGGGGTCTAAGTCGACAACAGTCCAAATGACTACGTCGGTTTATACTGATACTAGGACAGAACATGTATCAGGAGAAGACAAGCGTGTATTAAACAATTAGGCATAGGTCAGTCTCTGGGTGAACCGGAAATTCTGCTCACACCAATACTCAAACTCCTTGCCATCAAATCTCGCCCTTCCAGCCTCATACACCACAGTGCCATCATTGAAGACACAAGCATACGAACGTCCATCCGTCACATTCAACGCCAGGGCATTGATCGAGACTTCTTCGTCCTTCTTCTTCCGCATGACCTTCTCCAGGCTCTTATACTGACCTTTGAGGTCAAATCTGAAGCGAGTGTCTCGGTACTGCGCAACCCATGCACCTTCAACACCGAGCCAGAGACTCTCCACGGCAGACCGGACCGCGTTGGATGTGACCTGCAAGCCATTACAAGTGATCTCGTTCGATAGCTTCCATTTCTCGGTGCCGTCGGCTACGCGAGTGTAGAAAGTCTTGTTGGGGCCGAGGTAGAGAAATGGAGGACGCTCGACGTCGTTCTCGGTAAAGAGATCAGTGACGTCTTCGTAATCTTCGAAATCACTATTATCTTTGAGTTTATCGTTAGTGCAGTGACCAAATAGATTAGGCAGTGACATTACTCTGAGCAGCGACGTATCCTTTCCAGTTACGACTGCATCGAAAGAAGCGAAGGCTAGGACCGAGAATGATGTACTCGGAGTTTCGGTCTCCATGTGTGTGGTCAAAGTCAAGCTTCGTGGTCGAAGAGATTTCTTTATGAACAACTCTAGCCAACCAAGTTAAAATCAGGGATCACAGTATATCATGGGTCTGAATACATACCCGTAACTCCTTTTAGGGCCACTGAAGAAGTAGTATGACCCCGCGAGGCTTACAGTTGGAGGTTCATGAGAGAAATCTTCCGCCCCATTCGGACGACCGACTGTTGTTTCAGGACAAGATAGAACAAGACCAGACATTTTGCTGAGTTGAATTGTAGATTTGGGAAGTCTTCACTAAGATTGTTTGAAGTTGCGATTGATCAGAAAGATTGTCACTAAACATCGTTCCTGCTTGGATGGCCTCATACATTTATTTATAGCTTGGTAAATACTAACAGAAGAAGCATGCTTGCTTGGTAGCTTGCTTCTCATCACTGTTCTCGTTTCATGAAGCTAAGAGATAGCTAGGCTTTGAGCACAATGGTGCCACAAGAGCTTTGTTTGTGAAGGACGAGGTTTCTCTGAATAGGGGTACCTTGTCATTCGAACCACAGGATGACAAGACGTCCCCTAGTATTTTCTCAAGTATCACCGTTTGGTATCAATGCCACCAGACTAGACTTTCACTAACATGTAGGTATCTCATGATATTGTAGTATTTAGTATCACTCTTGCTATGAGTGAGATTGTATCTCAAGGGTATCTAATGCAAACTCCCTGCTATAAACTGACCATCTGTAACACGCAGCTTTCCCAACCCATCGCCTGACCTTTCCAACCCACTTTCATTATCATAACGAGATGTTACCAACAATGTGCAATTGTGACAATCCCCAGCGTCACTTCACATCCTCAAAGGTACACAGACAGCAGCAAAAACTTTGGACGACGCGAAAAACAAACATTCCCTTTAAGTAGGGATGAACTTCTGAGAGTCCTTTTCCTGCTGCTCGAACGACTGCGAAAATGCTGCCAAACCAGCAACAATACCAGCGGCCATGAAAAGGACCGAAATGATGGACCAGATGACACCCCAGCACTGCGAGGAGCCGCCGTATCGCTTTGCAAACACACTGGCGTCGGACGAGTTGACTTTCCGCAGGATCAAATCGTCGCAGATATCCCACACGCTGTACAGCGACGACATGACACCGATGAAGAGGACGACAAAGCGCAGAGCCTGGGCGTGCGAGATGAACCAGCAGGCGATGAGCAACCCGACGGCGAGAAGGATGGTCATGATCGTGAGCCAGTCTCGCTTTCCCCACCAGAGAGTCAGAAGGAAGCACACGGCGAGGACGATGCTGGCTACTTTACTGGCGACGATGTTGAAGCCGCAGAACGTGAGCAGGGCGCCGATGATGGAAGAGCCTAGATAACCGGCGGGCAGTGTGAAGGCGCTTTTGCCGCCAACCATGTGAGTGACACCGCCCTCGTTGGGGTCAAGACTGATGGACTTGACGCGACCTCCGGTGAGAACAGCAGTGATGGCGTGACCAAACTCGTGGAAGGCGATGACCAGCATCTGCAAGGACTTAGTATTTGGATTGGTTTGGTGGTCAACGAGCTTTCATACCTTGAAGGGCCAGAGGACCATGCGGATATAGGGAACGTTCCATAGGATGGCGATAACAACGACATAGACGGCGATGATACCCAACGTGATTTGTTGTGTACGATTTGGGTTCTGAAGATCGCGCCTTGTCAAAGTGTCAAATGCGTCTTTGGCTGCGTATTCTACAGCCATAGTGTAGGGATCTGGATGCGGAGCAGGCACCATGTTGTTTGTTTGTCTGTTTCTTCGCAAGGATTGAATTTTATGTGAGAGTCTATCCGGCAGTTTGAGAGTTGCGGAGGTGGAGATGCCGTTTAATTACCTAACGGCGCTGTTTAATCAGATCACCAAGTCAGTAAACGAAAGAAGAGGCTCTTGTAGAGCAAAAAGCCAATAACGTCAAGTTGTGGTTATGGTTATAAAGAAGAAGAAATTTTAACAGTCAAGGTCTTTTCAGTAGAATTAAACGCCTCGTAAGCCGCCTCCTCTCGGATTGTCTTGGCTCGAATGCAATTCCTTGGTGTTGACGCGGCATTCCGAGGCGGAGCTGAAACAGCGCCTCGCTATAGAATGTGGCTGGGAGAGGTTTTATTGGCTGGTATTAATAGGGCTGGGGTTGCTAGGGCAGCCCCCCTGTCCATCAACAATTAAAGCTACGTCATCTCGTTCTTCAAACGGTCCAAGAAAGAAGAAGGGTCCTCAAGTTTATGAAGTTGGGTTAAACTCTAGGATTTTACAATAAAATGCCTGTTTAATTCTGACTTGACCCCCTTCTATCAAAATGCCTGGGCCGCGGTCTTTAGACCCTTATATGGTCAACATTGCTAAGAGAATGCCACTCAACTGAGTGATAATGTTCATGAGTATCAGGTATATCTCATCATCTCAGCCATAAACAACATGTTGTTCTCGCTTGATACTTCACTCAACACTTACTCGTTTGCGCGCACGTCCGGTAGGTATGCGCGGTGTTTGAAGCTACGATGCCCTCTTCTCAGAGACAAGCGATCAATGAGCAACAATAGCCATCATGACAGGAACTGACAAACACTGCCACTCTCCTGTCCGTCAACAACTTACCGCATGTTCACACTCATCTTCTTCACAGGAAAAACCCAGCATCATGAGCATTCCAACTCCTTCTGGGCCGCCCCATACATCAACACCAATAATCCTAGTTCGGTGGGCCCTGATAACGAACCGACTACCAGGATTTTCCATTCTGGTGATACCCGACAGAAGCAGGGACCTCGTTGGCCGCGAGAATTCAATCTAAACGACCGGCCCTACACTAAAAAAATACTACATTATAAAATGGCTTCCGCGCCACAGATCCCGCTCATGCCGTCCTCGCCAACCTTCGGAACCACGCACAACGTCCTCGACGCCATCATGGCTGCCGATTTTGAGAAACAGAGCTACTGGCACGAACGCTTCTCGACCGAAAAGGCCTTCGAATGGCTTCTCCCGTCGGTTGAGTTCATGTCGTTGATCAAGCCTGTCCTCGATCGGCTCGACCCGGCAACGGCCCGCATCCTCCACATCGGCTTCGGCACAAGCGATCTCCAAAATCACTTCCGCTCCCGGGGTTTCCGCAACGTCTTGAACGTCGACTATGAACCGCTTGCTATAGAGCGAGGACGCGACCTCGAAGAAAAAGCTTTCGGGGATATCCAGATGCGTTATGATGTTCAAGACGCTACTCAGCTGGATCTGAGTGAAAGATTTGACCTCATAATCGATAAAAGCACGGTCGATGCTATTTGTTGTGGTGGTGTAACTGCGCTGCGCCGTATGATTGCCGGCATTAGAAGCTGCCTTGCAGATGGTGGTATTTGGATCTCGTTAAGCTTTTCAGAGTTCAGATTCAATCTCGGTGATTTACCATTCGACGTGCAAGTCCTTGCCAAAGTTCTAACGGCTAAAATACACCCAAATGACCCAGACATTTACCACTGGTGTTATCTTCTACGCCCGAGATACGATACGCCCATGGGTTCGCCGTCGGACATGAACGAGAAGCCTCCTGAAGAAGGCTAAAGCGCCGGCGCACACAATGCTACCTACTGCACGGATACAGAGAACAGAGTAGCAGCCGGGTAATTAATAAATATGCATGTGTCAGACGGGCGGGAAACTCAATCCTTCGTCTTAGCGCATTCCGGCTGAATGGTTGACGTTCAAGGAATTAATCTACCCAGTATGGACGTGCGGCATGAGACATCCGACAGTGTTGAGCATAGCGCCATCGTCACGTTGTTGATCGCGTGTCAAATATGATCACCTTTCAACCCCTCTCGCACATCATCAAGGAAAAGCGGGAGTACAGACTTCACTCCCTTGTGGAAGGACAATGTTCTGGCAAAAATAGAGATAGACAAAATAATTTTACTTTAGTTATACTATATTAAATGAATCGCTGCTATGTTAAGTCATTTTATATGCAGATGTTTATCCTTAGTACCTGCCTGTGCTTCATGAGGTTTATTCCAACCGCCCAGTTTCCATAACGCCAATATATAGGTATCAAATCATCATGCCTCATGGCCTCATGAGTTCGCAGGCCAAGATCTAGGCTTTGGCTTGGGTGGCCAGGTGTCCATTTCCAGCGACGACACCCCGCTGTCTGTGCTTTGATGTCGTGCCGGTTCATTAAAGCCCTCTTCGACATCGATCTCGTCGTGTATTCTCACTCCTTTCGTTCCCCGCTGGAAGCTGTTGGCCCATACTCGCGAGTTCTTCTTGCTGCTGGAGATAACTGTGACGACCCCTGGAGCCGAGCCGGGTGGGTAAGCGTGCGATTGAGTGTTGTTGTAATAGCTGCTGCTCTTGGATCGGAACATGTTTCTGAATAGTGGTCGTAGTGCTGGCACGCTGCCGCAGATGACTCCCAGGTTTGCTTCGACGGCGGTCCAAATCCAAAGATGGAATCCTTCCCAGGTAACATCGTAGGTTTCGTCGGTGACATAGTGGGTGTAGTAGGCGCGCATGGAGGCTGCAAAGACGACTACCAGGCCGAGTGAGAAAACTACCATGAGGGCGACGCGTTGCGACATGGGAAGTTTGAGTTGGAAGAGTGTTTGTAGAGGTAGAGCGCAGACAAGGAGATCAGTGAGAACAGTGGTGATAGCTTGGCTCCTACACATGACTTTATTAGTGACAGTCATGATAAAAGTAGAACTTTGACTTACAGCACGGCAGGGCCTTCAGGGATACAGCTATCACCTCCGGTCAAAGACCAGTAGGCAGAAATAGGTCTGTAAGTGGTCAGTAAATCATGTTCCTGTTTTGTCGAGTGTTGCAACAACTTACTTGCATTGTGTCCAAAGGACTACAAGAAAGATGAAGATCAGAGCAGTCACAATGAAAAGAGAGACATATGTCAACCGTCGAAGCCAAGAATGAGCAGGGGCAATGCGCAGGTAAGACACGAGGATAGAGTTCTTTGCAAGGCCTGAGGAGAAGAGGAATAGTGTCTGAGCAGCGAGTGACACTTTTCGGCCAGTTTCGGCCTGGGACATCCTGAGATCCCAGACGTGGATGTTCCATCCGTACAGTTGGGATGCAAGAATCACACAGACAGTGACACCAATACCAAAGACCTAGAGTTCCGGAGAGTCAGCACCAGGGACTGATCGTCGGTTGTTGCACATGCAGCCGAGGTAAGGTGAGGGGAGGGTGTTCTCTTACCATGGCGGCCAACATAAGCCAGTCGTCGAGCCCATGCTTGTTGACTTTGAAGATGCGGACGTAGAGACGAGCCATGAGGGTGAGAATGGCAACGGACATGATGGTGACCTCGACGATAAGCAAAGTAGGCCCACGATGCTCGGGGTTATCGTAGTTTGGCCGCGGCCATTGGGCCACCACCTCGAGAGGCGGATTGCGCATGATGATGCTGCTGTTCCTGGAGTTACTGTATGACTATGGCATAAGATAAGACCGCAGCTCTTTAAAACTCCAAATCAAGAACATGAAGAGAGGATCCGCGGCGGCAGCGGGGGGTGGTACGAGGCAGCGGGAGCATCATTATAACTACTAAATTTACTCTCTTTCTACCTCGATGGACATTGAACTGATATCCAATGCGGTGGTCCGCCGCGTGCGCAGACCCGCCTCCACCCTCCCTCCGCCCTCCACACACCAGAGAGAGGAAGAGTTGATATGGGACAACATCCTCGTCGTGCTAAAGAGATTCCTTGCAATTACTTGCCTCGGGGGGCGGTCCTCTCGCGTGACGGACGGCGGGTTCCTGGTGAAGGCTTACTTACAGGACGGAGGAGGTCCCCGCAGGTTTTCAACGCTAGAAGGCGACGCCATTGTCAGTGGTTGACATGCACCTACAAGGGACACCCTAGCCTAGTTGGGAGGAGAAAGAAAAAAAACTGCGTGTAAGAGAGAGAAAAAATCTCCAGAGGGTTAGAGGACAAGGGAGCACTAACACGGACGGTATGTGACGCTAGTAGCCGCGTCGGAGGAGATCTACGGATTCTGACATTGGATTGCCACCTCGGGACTAAGCTGCGAGGTCTACGTGGAGGGTTAGGGGCTGAAGGGGTTGCCTGGGTGCTTGGGGCTTTGCTGCAACGAGGTTTGACCCGAAGGCCAGACTCCACGGAGCAGCCGAGGCGTGTCGCGCTATTGTTGTAAGTGTCCTTCCTTTAACTTACAGAGCAGGACAAGCCTGGAAGTGTCCCGTAAACTAATGAGTCAACCCGTCTTCGGGCCTTGCTCGACTAAGCTACAACTGCTCTAGAGCATGTCAACTGGGCGTTGCGATTGAACGATCAGAGTCTAGGATACATGCCCAGGGCACCCAGAGCACCCAGGGGTTCTCTACAAGCCTCAACCAACGGGCAACTGGAAACAGCTCTGGTTTCGTATCCCAAGAGGTTTAGTAAAGAAAAACGGACCGACACGTGGAAATCATTGGGTATCGCTTTGACAAGTCGATCTCTTAAGACAGGTCTATTATGACTTTCTTTTTCTTAGCCGTTATTTGTCTCGATCCAACACGGACGTTGAATGATGATCACTTTCGGTACTTGAAATAATATCTATGTATTACCGTAGTTACTTGCCTACTTGCCCGCGTGCCTGAATGCGCATGTCAAAGCGCCACTAGACTAACATGTAGCACGTCCCGAGGTATTGCGTAAGAGTAAAATTAACACCAAGATATTAGAAAAAGCCATGAACGCCATGAGTGAATTTGTTAGAAACAGTATATACACAATAGGCAGGTGGTGCACCAGGGGAGCGAAATTCCAGAGCAATTGTCAAACGCCACCGCATGATAAAACTCCATGTGTTCTTGTCTTGCCATATTCTGCACAATCTGCAGATATCGGATGCAGGGATAAATCTTGGGGCTTTGCCAGGGTTCCAAAGAGGGATAAAAAAAACGTCAGAACACTTGGACCACGCCCTCTTGAGTTCCATTCCATGGACGGACGCCTGTAATACTGTACGGTACCCATTTCTTGGAATCTCTTGATTATTCGCTCGGGTCGTAGCCGCGCCTTGTGCTCTTCAACTTGGCCTTGCTCGAGCGTGTCCAATGAGAAGTTATTCCAGGTCCTTTTTCGGATATTCAAAAGACGGCTGTTGCTTACGGGAGAATTATCACGGTGAGACTTTTCTCCCGTTCTTGGTTCCTGGTCCTTGCTTGAAAACTCAGTATCAAAGCTTATACCTTCCGCTTCCACCATGGATGTCATCGCAATCCGAGTTATTTGGAACTATTAAAAGATGACTAATTTGACACTTGAGAGTTGAAACTTGTCTAGGCGAGACGCGAAACTAAACTTGATCTAGAAGCTCGTTTTGGAAGCGTTGTACATCTCAATAGAGTTTCGATAGATATATATCCACAAAAACCGGACTTGCTCAGGTGTACGGTGGGCTCAACTTAATGCGCACGCTATTATAACGATCAGATTGGGGGAATAATATGCACGCAGCAGGAACATGAACTCAAAACGTTGAGATAAACAAGACTTGTTTTAGAGGACCAGGTTCTCAGTTTATGACAACTTAGGTAATATTTCGTTGCGGAATAGACAGATCACTTACATGCCGTGTTACCGTTACCTGGTGGGTGGGTTTTTATCGCGGCATGTATATCCGACTATCACCAACTACCAGGAAAATGCTTCATCTAAAAAAACGACGGCGCGACTTAGTGGATTGCTCCTCACAATGTCAACAATTTCCCTACGCACATCATCAGCCATGCTCTGAGGTCCACAGAGTACGACAGCCAAAGCGTCACCATCACCACGGTCAAGGTCCTTGTTCACCGTCCCCACCATTTCTCTAATCAAGATGCCCCTTAGATCCATACGCTCCCCCACAACTGTTTCGACATGGACACTTCTCGGCAGAGCGGCCAAGACTGGTCTTAGGGCTGCGATCAGGCCCATCTTGCGGCTGGACCAGAAAAGCTTCGTACTTCCGGGAGTTCCGTGCTGGATATATGGTAGACAGGCTGTAATGCCTACACCTCCTGCGATGCACAGCATGTCTTTACACTGAGCCAGCTGAGGTGAGATATGGCCTGAATGATGATATGGACCTTCTACCAGGACACGAAGTTGGAATGTTTGGCTGCTTTGTTGGCCGTATACGCGCGATGCGAGTTTCTTGGTGATACCTGTCCGAGTGCGGGCGAGAAAGACTGTAGACTTTCTTTCAGTTGCACTAGCCAATGTCATCTGACCTGCGGTGGTGGCTTTTTCGACGTCACTCTCAGAAATTGGTGGAGGATTCGCACCATTTTCTTCTAAAGGAGCAGGTGATGATGGTTGCGGGCTGCGTTGACTAACTAGCGATCCCGAATATGCGACAGAAAAGGGGTGAGTCTCCCAGAAACGCCACGAAAGGGTTGGGAAGGCAAGGTACGCAACACCACCCTCAAGAGGCTTCCCGTCTATTTCGATACGAATGTACTCTCCATCGACGTCGGGAATAGCTGAGATGGTAGCCTTTCGACTACCTTGCCAGGCCATGCGAGCCAGACGTAGGACGCGATCGAGGCCCCAGATGCCACCGGCGACAAAGATCCAGATCTCGTAACCCCAGTTGTACTCATACACATACCAGATGTGGTAGTAGTACCCAATTATGAAGAGAAGCGAAAGTACGATGTGCGACGCTAGGAAGAACTCGTACATCTTCTGCCTGACTATCAGGAGAGAGAAGGGCAGTATCGCACAGGCTGCGGCTGTGCCCACGATACCCCATATCCAATACTTGCGCACCAGCTCATCTTGATACGTGCCCTGCAGGGCGTAGTTGGCCAGAAGCATGGCAGAGTGTACGACTGTGTGGAATATAGCCCAGTACCCGAGCCATCTATGCAGCAGCAGATAAGTACTGTAGCTCCAGTCTGTGACGTGAAGGAGAAAGCTGTTGCGAGCTGCAAAGAGAAACAACACCACGACGTTACCCATGGCCATGACGCCCGCGCGATTGCCCACAATGCTAATTGTCTGCATCTTCAGCGAGGTGAAGCTGGCTTGCGGTTGATGGATGGTATACAGTCCAAGCCAGAGCAAGATGTTAAGGAGGCTGATGACGAAAATGTACAATGTTTGACCCTGGTTGGGGATGTTTCCAACCAAAACAGGTTCGCGGTGACGTTTGCCGAACGCAGCAGGGCATACCAATAATGGCTGCCACTAAGTCCACCCGCGACTCTTCGTCAGAGCAGGGAAGAACCTGACGAGCGATAGTATAACTGGGAGAAAGATGGCAACGATGGCGATGATGATGGCCATGGTCGAGTGGCCTGCTTCATTGGTCTCGAAGTCGTACATGTAGTTGTATTGTAGCTGCCAATTTTCGGGACTGATAAAGCTGGTTTCGTTGAGAGGGTTGGTGCCGCCAGCGGCGAAAGGCAGAGAGCTTGAGACGTTGAAAGTGACGAGACCTTCGTTTACTGAAGTATCGTGACCACCATGGCGTCGCGAAAGAGTAGTTCTCTCCATGTGGTGGCTACCACTCTTCGAACTTGAGTTCCGAGATGCATTGGACTCATCTTCTCGAGCCGCCTTCAAAGCGTCATCATACGACATTGCAGGGGTATACTGATAATCCCCAAGCGTACCCGTTCCAAGATGAGATGCCCAGTAGTCCTTGATAAGACTCATAGAGGGTTTCTCTGTAAGAGGACAGTACGTATCGATACAGAGAGCCATAGTTTTGAGAAAGACATCATCTTCGACAAAACACCCGGGAGGTGTCGTGACAGGATTATGCGCCGTTCCATGGTTCTCACTTGACTCGGCCGGAGTGCAAGAGAGCGGTTGTTTTCGAACAACGTTACGGCAGGCGAAAGAGCATGTTGGATTATACAGAGTCTTTCCCCAGCCGATGAGGCCTATGCCATCGGCTTGGGCGCCGGTAACACATAGGGCCAAAAGGGCTGCTAGGGCTACCTGTGGATGAGGCATGGCTTTGAGGACTCAGGCTTGGAGTGTACATCGGATGAGTTGAATAGGTGGACATCAACAATCTTTATATCTTGGGTGAGTAATGGATATGCAGAGAGTAGCACGCCACAGTGAGCAAGTTTTCTCTAAGCTAGGGTTTGACATGGACCTGATCATTGAAGGGCTGAATCTCAGACAACTACATAGGTATCATTCGTCTGGTTGACCGCTAGCCAAGGGTAGAAATTTCGCTTGAGTTGAGGTCATAAACAAGGTTGAAGTTGAGCAGGATCAGAAGCCCATTCATGAGACGGAGTCGCTTCTGTATCGAGACCCCGAAATACCATGGCGATATAAGGACAATAACATCCGACCTGAACAACTGGTTGTCTAGTCTCCTAAAATCAATAAATAGTATTAAGCATAAAATTAGCTCATGTTTAAGCTCGTCGCCCACCCTGTAGCAAATGTAGAGTCTTGATGCGTAAGGGTCTATCAAACATTGTGTGATAGGTTCATCTGTGATCTTGGCAAAGCTGATGAGCATGTTTGAGAAGATTTCCCTATCTGGAATGCGATCCTTGAACATTGTGGTATCATCGTGTTGCTGATTGGATCTTGGCACTGCCTGTTTACTTCCCTGTGACTGACGATGAGGGCATCGTGATAAGTTGTTTATGTAAGTTGAGCAAAGTGTAGTTTGTGATCATTATTGAATAGATAAGTGCCCCGTCCTGCAAAAAGATTTAATTATAGATTTGATTACTCCATAAACATTTATAGATTCGTCTCGCTTATTGTCTCGTTCTCTAGCTTCCTGATATAGCTCCGAAGTGGATTCGAAATGCAAGAGACTATTTATTAACTCAATCCAGCCAAGGCTCAAGATCAACTGATAAACAAATGTGGACATAACGGAGTTCAGTATCCTCTACGTTTATAAGTAAGAACGACAGGTACAAAAGCGGTAGACGTCACGTCTCACTTTTCGTCTCGTGTGGAAGGGTTCATTTGGCGGCTTACTCTGCGGAGTGTAAGCTGTGTAAGCTGCGTATCTGACTGACGATCCTATATAAAATAATCATCCAACCCATCAAGTAAACTGTGCATTCTAAGCAAAATTTGACAAAATGGCTTCTACGAGAACACTCTTCCAGCTCCCCTCCAAACCATCATGGTTCGAAAACATCACCATGAAGCCTAACGGCACCGTCTTGGCAACTCGTTTGGATCACCCTGAACTCTGGAACGTTGATCCAACCACGTCTTCAGGATCTCAGATCTTACAGATCACCCTCCCTGATGATGTTCCTAACCAGGCACTTACTGGCATCTGCCCTCTAAAACCAGATGTCTTCGCCATAGGTGTAGGGTCCTATGACTTACTCGGGGGCACGCAGTCAAAGCCTGGATCGTGGAGTATTTGGCTCGCTGACCTCACGGGGGAGCAGCCCAAAGTGACAAAGGCAGCCGATATACCTGAGATTGGCATGATCAATGGCATCGCTACGTGGGACGAGAATACCATCCTTGTTACGGATTGTCTCTATGGGAAGATTTATAAGCTTGATGTTGCCACTGGATCATACAGTCTTGCACTCGAAGACGAGACCATGACGGTCCCAGCAGATGCTCCTTTCCAGTTTGGTATCAACGGCATCAAGGTCCATCACTCACCAGAGCAGACTTACGTCTACTACTCAACCACAATGCGCTATTCTGTCTACCGTATGCCCGTCACAGAAGAACTACAGGCTGCTGGCCCCGTTGAGACACTGACATCAGGAGTTGTGGTGGATGATTATGTTGTAGCCCGCGACGGTACCATCTTCGCATGCACCATGGTCTCCAACACTATAGCACGAATCCCCGCGGCTGGTGGAGAATCTGTGACGGTGGCAGGTGAGGAAAAGAGTATGGTGGTTGCTGGCGCAACAGCTTGTGTGTTTAATGAGGATGAGACTGTCCTTTACGTTTCTACATCCGGGGCGCATGTCATGCCGGTAGATGGAGTGTCTGAACCAGCAAAGGTTGTTGAAGTTAAGTTGAACTAGATATATGGGTATGGTATGCGAGCAGGATGCAATTTTAAGAGGTGTCTATTCAATTCTGCACCCCGAGTGATAATTCTCGCTTTGAAATAGCCCTTGTAGTGAGCCAATCTATCATGGTCCCATGCCTATCGGCAAAATCCCCAACGCCAGGTTCTCCCATTAACATATCGACAAAGCCTGTCCATCGGTTTTACCCTCTGGTTTAGGGCATCCAGGACGAATAGTACGTGCAGAAGTGGTACGTCTCAAAAGACGCAATTACCATCTTCCACGACGCCCACGACCTCCAAACCCACCGCGGCCTCCGCCGCCTCCTGACATATTTTGATCGTATCCAAAACCGCCTTGATTACCACCAAAGCCTCCGCCAAAGTTGCCTGCTTGACCACCCTGTCCACCTTGGCCGGCGGCTCCTCCACCATTTTGCATACCAGCAAACATGGCATTCATTTGACTGGGGTCCATCTGACTTGGATCCATGCCTGATGCCATCATCTGTTGCATCATGGCCTGCATCTCAGGAGGCATACCGTCCATTCCCCCAGACATGCCCCCTTGCTGAGCAGCCGCATTACCGCCGCCTCCTGGCATACCCATACCACCCATCATCATCATGTTGAAGTCTTCCATCATCTTCTTGTTGTTCTGGGCAAAGACGTCGGCCCCAAACTCGCCCCGGACTGTCTCTTGCTTGGAAGCGTAAAGAGCCCATGTAAACTCGTCGAAGCCGTAGTTGAAGTAATCGCTGATATCTGTACCGGGTTTGCGCCATGGCTTATCATTCTCTGGGAGATCTTTCGGTCATGTTAGTTTTCGAACACCAAAGCTAGCTAGAGTAGTACTGACCTTCGTCAATGTTGACATGAGTGATAGGCTTTCCAGTTCCAGCATGAATCGGGTTTGCGTTCACATCGATAGTCGATTTTGACGCCGCGGCCGACGTCTTGTCGGCGCTAGGCGCAGCAACATTGAGTGAAGTCTGTGATTCGGATTCCTTTTTTACCGGCGCTGGTTGCGCTGGCATATCATTTGAAGCTGTTCTTTGGGGAATGTTTCGAATGTCACTGTATTTGGCCTGCCTAAAAAAGAAAAGACTAGTTAGTATCCATGAGACCACAGGCGCATAGAGGAATCGCGTACGGTGGAGGTGCTGGTTTGGTGCCATCTTTGCGTTCTGTGATAATGTCGATATCCTACAGTCAAGGTCAGTTGGTGTGTTAAGACGTGTCGCAAGTCAATTCGCATACTGAATCGTCGTCGTCATCGTCATCCTCGTCCATGGCCGCACCCTCATCCTCTTCTTCGCCTTCTTCGAGATCCTCTGTTTTGGGCTTCTCTTCTAGAGGTGCGCTTTCGATTTTGGGCTCGTCTGGCTGGTAAAGATCATCATCCTCGTCGATATCCATATTGGCGATTGTGGAGAAAAAAGATTGAGTCGTGTAATATTGAAAGATTGGGCTTTTGAGTAATGTTAGATCTGGAGATACATGTACAAAGACGTCGAGCTCAAGCTCTCGCAATACCTACCAATAGGTAGCTATTGGCTGTTCGGCGGCCGTGTTTCTCCGGATAGGCTGCTTACCGCTGCTCCAGGCACTCAGCGAAGCTCACCGAGACTGACCGGAGCCCAAATTAGCACTAGCGCCAGCTTCTCCAAGAAGCTTGGAGACATTTTTATCGTGTCGCGGCGTCAAAACACGGTCATATCGCGTGAAATTAACTTTGAAACCATTGTCGCATTCAGTCAAAGGGCTTTGTTTTTGCCCTGAGTATGTCATTGATTCGATCAGCAAGTGGCCCAGCAGGTGGTTTAAGCATCAACACCGGCACTGCTAACGCCTTGTAAGCTCCACACTCTTAACAAACAAATCATTCATTGCCCAACCAGACCGACCTACCTAGTCCAGCCTATTTACTTGCATACCTGACTTTGATAACCTCAACCTCAACCTCAATCACAACCTCTTCAACCTTCCTCTCACTAATCCGCGCGACTTTATCTACAGCGGCGCCACTGCTTCTAAACCTTCAGCTTCTGGCAGTCTCTTTGGTTCATCTGCCTCTGCCACTCCCACAGCCAACACCAACACAACAGCAGCTCCAGGCGCAACGGGCAACATGTCTCTCTTTGGCGCAGCGAAGCCGGCGACGGGGGGTCTTTTTGGACAATCGACTACGGCAAACACAGCTGCACCCTCAACTGGAGGTCTTTTTGGAAACGCCGGCGCTACAAACACTCAGCAGACACAGAGCACTGGTGGAGGACTTTTTGGTAACACCGCCAACAACAACACCCAACAAGGTCAACAGCAGGCCAGCACCGGTGGCGGGCTCTTCGGTAATGCTGCTGCCAACAACACGCAGCAGCAGGGTCAACAACAGACTGGCGGCGGTCTTTTTGGACAATCGACCCAGAACCAAAACCAACAACAGCAACAACCTCAGCAAACAGGAGGTCTTTTCGGCCAATCTACAGCAACAAATACTCAGAGTAATACAGGCGGTCTCTTCGGTCAATCCCAAGCAAAGCCTGCGGCGAGCAACGGTCTATTGTAGGTTATCTGTAGCTCTTCTCGATGTCAGCCACTAATCTTTTAAAGCGGCCAAGCTCAGCCTCAACAAAACAACACACTGGGTCAATCGACAAACCAAGTCTCGGCCGTCCAAATCAACTACGACAACATTCGCCCACGATCCCGCTTCGATGATCTCGCCAAGCCTGTACAAGACGAAATTGCGCTGCTGGACAAGGGTATCCAGCGGGTTATCAAGATGCGAGACGAGATTGGCGAATTCATGCCTCAGCACGAGAAGGATATCGAGCAGCTTGGTCTCGACGTAAAATTTGTCGAGTCCAAATTCCGAACTGTCCAAGTCGCCCTTAACAACGATATCCAGACCGTGAAAGCTCTCCAGGATCAAACCCGAAAGAACGCCGCCGATGCTCGACTTTGCTTCCGAGGCGCCGACAATCTGAAGCTTCCGACACATTACCACCAGACTGGTCTGTTTGCCAGCCAGGCACCCGCTGCCGACACCAACGGCGCAGACGCTGCATCCACACACGCAGATGCGCAGGATTTAATCACCTACTTCAACCGCATCTGTGATGATATTGAGAAGTACAAGACCCGCCTCGATGAGTACCGCGGCGATATTGAGCGAGATATGCCCGGCGTTGAGAACGGTCTGTACGAACAGATTCGGGCCCTGCGCGACCGTAGCGCGGGCAGCGGAGTTGTACAGGATCAACTCAACGAGGTGTTATTGGCGTTGAGAGATACGGGAAGTGCCATTGTTGCTCAGGCTGGACAAATTGCCGACACCCGAGAACGACTATCGCGCCTCCAGGCTGGAATCGTGGACAGCGGCGTGTATGCCATGGGTATGAATGCCTAGACGATTCCGACGAAGGGCATAGGTGACAAGGAGAGGCTGGGCTAAGGTTGTTGGGTGGTAATACCAGAATGTTGGGGCATCGCAAGAGCTCATTTCTTGTTTGGGAGACAACGGGTTATAAAGTCATTATTTAGGAGAAACAGCAGCATGATATGATGTTGTAGCTGTACCGGGAGACCTTAGTGAGGGCATACCCTTACGACATGTACGAATATCATTTGACATAAAAACTGCAATATCGTCAAGGCTCAGGGGGGCAAGGAGTAGGGACAATTGGGAAATACTGAACATAAAGCTTTTGAGTATGGAAAACTGGCTAGTTGCCATGCTTCGACTACTCAGCAATACCAGACCAGCCAGCAATGTGAGGTTGATCGAAATATCCTTAAGTTCATTATCTTGCCTCGCGACCATGAAAATCGTGGGCTTCCTGGGTATCAAGCCAATGCTGTGCCGTGATATGTATATACAAGTAATCGCTGAAGCTCCTTTATCCAACTCCTCTTTTTTTCTCTTGTGCTTATGGGAATAATTCGGGACGCACTAGAAGGTCCCTTCTCCATCGCCATCGTCGCCATATTCCTCACCGAAGTCATCGCCGTTTTCAAAGTAATTCTCGGCGTCGTAATCACCCGCATCTTCATCGTCGTAGACCTCATCCTGCTCTTCCTCTTCCATACCCTCCTCATCTTCAAGTTCGCCGGCTTCGTCGCCCTCCTCTTCCTTGAGCGCCTGCAAACGCTCGAGCAGGTTACGGCCCTGCATTTCGTCTTCGCCTTCTTCTGCCATGCCGAAAGCCTCCTCTGCGCTAGGAAGGGCACTGACACTGCTGAGCTCAAGCTTTCTGCGCTTGAAACCACCGGGAAGACCGGTGTTGTTGGTAGACGCCGCGTCGATGGTTTCGTAAAGCTCGCTGGGGAAGAGCTCGCGGCATACTGGACGATTGGACCAATCGGGAAGAGCACGCTCTTCTCGAACGAACTTGTGGGAGTAGGTGGGCACAGCGGTGAAAGGGTCTAGAGAGGCCTTGCTCTTGGTTCCGAAGCCGGCATTCTTCTGCGCCTGGCCGTAGTGTTTGCGTGGTGCCGTTGGGTCGTTAAGTGCTGTGCGCTTGGATGTGTATAGAGGAGAAGCGTGGATCTGGTGCCGTAGGAGAAGAAGATGTTGTACGGCTGCTTTTTCGTGTTTGGCGAGTTCTCGGGGGGTTGGGACTAGGTAGGGCTGTTTGTTGTATTAGCGATGTGTCACACCTCGAGTCACAGTCCTTGCGCCTGGTGACGACAACAGAAGAAACAGGACAAGAACATACGGGAAACAGCTCAGAGGGTCGCGCATCAGGTTCATCACCTGTGTCCCAGGACACATTGGGCCTTCCACCTCTTCCACCACCCCGTCCGCCACGGCCACCTCCTCTTCCACCTCGAGACATTGAAGTGCGCGCGTTGAATGTGGCAGCGCTCACTTTAGCCAAGGAGATGCGAAGCTTGAGCGGGTAATCTGTAGAGAGATTGAGTCGATTTGGGGTTGATTGTAGCTCTAGAGCAGGTGACACTATTCGCGATCGAGGTTTGTCGAAGTATGGATTTTTGCGGGGTGAACTCTGTAGGTTCTGAATGCGCCGAAGCAGAAAAAAAAGAGGGAGCGGAATTTAGTCCGTCATGACGATGCCCCGCCGACGGTTTGCGGTATCACACTTATGGGATGAAGACGAAGATAACTATCCATACGTGATTCCAATAAATTGAAAGATAAAAAGGAATAAAGGGAGACCCGGAGAATATACAAGATTTTGCTATGTATACATATAATCAAAGATACATAGAATACATTAATTAGAATAAACTATAAATAATCTTAGGATAGGATTATATACGATTTTATAAAATAGGAGGGTTTATTATAATTTACATTATCTCACATATATTTTAGAAGGAAGGATGCTGTCAGAACTTCTGCCCAGCCACTGTAGATAGTCTGTGGCCTCTATTGTTTCTCTTCTTTAGGCAGCTGGAATGTATTGTTTGTCCCAACTTCAGGCTTCTTAGACCACGTACCCCTCCAGCTCCAGTGAACTTGCAGCTTCCACCCGCCCATCACTAACCTCTCAAGCTTCAACTACAACCACGCAATCTGCATCTCTCCAATTCTTACAGATTTTACTGATTAGTAGCGTTCGAAATGTCTGGTCGAGTAGTTCCTCAGCATGAGGCTACCGTCCCTGTCACTGGCCTTGCGGAATTACAGGCCCATCTTGCTGAACTTCATCAACCTGGCAATGAATCAGCACCGTTGGACCACAAGCTCTTTGACGATGTTGAGCTTCAACTCACACGTAAACCACTATCTCCCGTCTCAAACGATCGTATACTAACTCAATGAAGCCTCCAATATTCCCATCATTCAGCCAACTCTTCTTCCCCCGCTCATGTCTCTCCTCAAAACAACCACACAGGATCCAACCGTCGTCTTCACCCTCACCACCAAGATCCTTTCCCCCCTCTCATTCACCCAGTGTCTATCACTCGGAGGCGCCGAGTCTCTCATCTCAGCTCTCCAGTCACCACTCCCTGGCGCAAATCTTCTCGCTCTAAACATCATCCAGAAGGCCGCCACTAGTCCTGCAGAGGTCGATTCCCTAGCTGCTTCACCCGACCTCGTTGAGGAGCTTCTTCGGACTTGGTTGAGTTCTCCAGATGCAGACGTTGGAGGACGTGCTACACGGGTTTTGGGCAGTTTGCTTGAGACGGACTGCGATATCATTCCCGAAACTTCAGCCACGACTAAAGGCGTCAACGGCACCGGCTCATCAGAGACAGAGCTGGTCAAGCGTCATATCCCTGGCCATGCTAGTCTCTGGCGTCTTGTCATCTGGGACCGTCATTACCTCGAAATCATCGTCTCACTCTGTCGTCCCGCGATCATCAACCGCCAAGCAACATTTGCTCAAGACCGCCTTCTTCGGGTCATTCCCCGTCTCACTGCTCTTCATCCCCGCGCCATGGCCATATCCCCCTTCCCGGAATTGTTTCCCCTACCTGAGTACGCCGATGACTCTATCGGCAATGGACTACTTCAGTGGGCATCATTGAGCATGGTTGATACAAGCGATGTACTCATGCACCAGACCCTCATTGTTTTCTATGAGTCGTTTGTAAGCATCATGAGGATCGCTGGAGAGTCGGCAGACAAGGATGCCATTGTTCGCAACGTAGTCAAAACAGCTACGTCACAGGATCAGGAGCTTTTGCAGTCTCTGAGGACGCTTCCTGATCGGACGGTGCAGGAGGAAGCAGAGCTATTGGCTAAGTACATCAGCCGAATACTGGACTGAGAAAGGATGTAGTGGGAAGACGTGCAACAGTCAATTGCAACAGAGCATTACCTGCATAGCAAGTGAATGGTTCTCTTTATTAAAATAATGAAATAACGAACTAAAAGAACTTTTGATCCAATCATGCCTGTTAGCAATTATATGCGCTTAGTGCTCAATTATAGATCTTACACGTCCAAGTAACACCCAGAGAGATGGCTGGCATTGATTTGAAGGGCACATAAACATGCATCTATTGCTACAATCCGTACAACTCGTAATACAAATTCCCAGGCAGGCCTATCGCCGTATCGCATGACCGGGAGTATCTAGAACAACGTCATGAAAACCAACATTCTCTATTATTCCATCCAACGCCCTGCTCCTCTTCACCGTCAGCAACCGTGGAGGAAGCCCATCCTAAAGCATTCTCCTCGCGTCTGCCTCTCGGTCGCCCATTGGCTCTGTTGTCGCTCGGCTGGCCTCACTATCTCGCCGTTGACCTGCCAATGTCATACCTTCGATACCCAGTCCAACCTCTCCAACTCGTCGCAGCACCACCAGGAGTGAACCTCGCAGCTCTGCTGTGAGATCCTTTGTAAGGAGCTCAACGGCAAGAGGGTAAAAGTCAGGGATGTGCTGTTTGAAGGCATCCTCAGGAAACGTGGCGAACCCTTCGAGAACGTCAACGACCACGGGCCGCCATGCAACGATGTTTCGATGCTGGCTCTCCTCCTCCAAGGTAGTGTAGCCGTGGACAATGTCCTTGCAAAGCGGCACCAGCGCATCCTCCACGGCGGGTCGGCTTTCCAATCTCTCCGGCGCATTGTCAGCAAACATGCGGAAAAGAATGGAGATATAAGTCGCAGCCGATCCACTCTCCTGCTTCAGGAGGTTAGGTGGTTGCTTCATGAAACCCTCGCGCCAAAGTCTCATTCGCAATTCCTTATCCTCGTTAAAGCGACGGGCGAACTGGAAAGACCGTTTGAGTAATCCCATGAGTCGCAGAAGCTCTGGTGAAGGAATGTGTGCATAGACAGTGTCGTTGCTGAACAGCTCGTTAACCGTCTCGATCATCAGCAGCTGCAAGACGCAGCGAGAGATGATTCGGTTAAAGAAACGTCGTCGAGCAGCTGTCACCACTACGGGCTGCTGCTGAAGATTTGAAGACGGCTTGAACTCCTCGAGCGGAACGTGAGGGTGGTCAGTGGTAGGCGTCTGCAGTTCGTCTTCAGCTGAGGGTGCGATAGACTCATCATCATCGTCTTCTCGGCCGTTGATCTTAAGAGAAGTCTCATCAACAGGTTCTGCCCCAGCTGTAGTTGACGAAAACTCGAGGCCATTGGGTGGAGGTGATATCGATGCAGTGTTGTTGATAGCAGTAGCTGTGAAGAGCTGGTATGCGGTAGTTCGTTCAAACAATTCGCAGAAAGCACCAACAAGTTTGTTCCAATGTTCTGGCTTGAATTTGGTGACATTCTTGAGAATCAACTGTTGCAAGCAGTTGCTACCGATTCGCGAGATGGTATCATTCTCCTGGCAGATACAGAGCGCGAGAAGCTCCAGGAATCTGTCCAACATGTACTCCAACGCATCGAAGTAATGTGTGAATAAAGTGATCATATTCCGTAGCGCCTGGATCATAGTGGTCGAAAGCCAAACTGACAACTCTTCATGGTTAAGAACATTGGACATCTCTGGACGAGACCTCAAAACCATAAAGATGGGGTAGAGCTGCTGGCGCCACAGGATGTCCCAGAATTCTGATGGAAAGCTGCCACCATACCTGAGCAGTGTGTCGAAGAAATACTCGAGAGCATTCGATCGCACTTCCAAGTCTTCGCCAGTCATGAGAACATCGTGGAAGGCAAAGAGAACAGGGAACCAGTAGCCCTCCTCAACCGAGGTATTTGACCGTGTTCGTTTCTCGGAAGTTTGAGTAGCTCCATCAGGAGGTGGGATGTTGTTGTACTTCTGCGATAGAGGGCATTCGGGTGTTTTGAGCATAGTAGGAATCAAGGACTTCAATAGCTCCAAAGCTGCCAGACTCTTCTTCTGGAACTTAAGGTTCTTGGAGAACTCTGTCAAGCATACGATCAGATCAGTAAATGCGCCCTGGGAAATGACGACTCCAAACTTGGTCCTGTACACCTGGTTGACATTTTCATAGGCCAGGTTGACAATGCTCTCGTGAGGCTCGCGGGCAGCGACTGTGAAGACACCAAACATAGTTCTCCAGCCAGATCGGATATTATCTCCTCTGGCTTGGATCATTTGTATCAGACACCTGAGGACCATGTCCTTGACCGTAACGTTATGTGAGTTTGCAAGCACATGCTCGAAAGGCTTGAGGAAATCCTTCTGGAACTTGAAACCAGCCAACTCTTCGATTTCCATGAATCGCATCGATAGTTGACGCAGGGAATCGAGCGCAAAGAACACAATGTTCATGTTATTGTGGCATCCAACTCGGTTGAAGTGCTCGCCAAAAACCTCCCAGACGTTACTCCACTCGAACCTGACACGGTCCATGTTGTAGTAGCTGATCTCGACAATCTTCTGTAAGCTGTAAGTACGAGGCGAGTCGTTGGAGCCCGACACCTTGATCTCGTCCCAGCTGACTTCTGTCAAGGCCTTGGCGAAGTAAACCATAGATTCACCAGTCAGGTTTGCTGTGTTGGTGAAAATACGGTCGACGCTGCGAACCACGTCATCTGATCGACTCTCAAGAGCAATTTCAGTAGAGAACCCCTTAGACGATGTTCCGGATCTGCCTCGTGCCGGCTTCTTTGATTGAGTGGACGAGCGGGAATCTGAAGTTTCGGTCCTTTGTGGCGGAAGGAAGCGGGCTTTAGACACATCGGGCACGGCACTTTCGTCAACACCACCAGAGATGAGTTGGAGTCGATCGAGTTGGCTGATACACATCAAGATGTCCTTCCATGACTCGCGAAGGACATTGCCTTCCGTTTGTCCAAGTTCGAGAACGACTTTAAGTGCCTCGATGTTCTTGGCCATCATCTCTTGTGGGTTGTTCAAGTTGGTCGTGTTCTTCAAAGCTGACATGAATGCTTCTCTAGGAGTAGACATATCAAAGAGACAAGCAATTTGAGTAGCCAGTTTCATACCCTCGAGGCAAAGCTTGTTGACTTCCAGGTTGTGAGACTTCTGGATTTGGCTTGAAAGAGTAGAAAAGATTGACATCCAAGTGACGCTAAACATAGGGCTAACGTGCTTGAAAGATGTTGCAAGAATGTACTTGGTTCCAGCTTTGCGACGTTGGCTCTTGAAGAGATCCTTGAACAACTGCTCAGATCGCAGAGCAATCTCCTCAGACTGTTGCATGTAGGCCTCACGCTGCAAATCTCGTCCAACATTAGACAAGGCCTGGCCAAGACCAGCAGCAATACCGGTTGATTGAGCAGGCACGTTGCCTGCCGCTGCCGCTGCATCACGTTCACTCTTCAGAACGATCTCGTTGGCGGCGATTTCATCATAGATGGTCAGAAGATATTCGTCAGGCAAATCGGCATCATCGTTAATACCGCGGTTGTTCTTGATGAATTCTTCCTTGCTCATGTGCTTGGCGATCTTGATACTATGCAAATCAGTGTTTAGCAGAATAACTGAATAGGCCAAAACATATGCAGTATCTGCGTTAGCAAAGGCATTCGGGTTTCCGAGAACATATCGCTCCGCAAACTTGAGCATGAAACGATCGATCTTTTGAGCCTCACCGGGCAGGCGGAAAGATTGAAGGAATTGACGCAAAGAATCAACGAATCTCCTCTTCGCAAATTCCATGGTGTCCACAAATGCGTGCATGATATCGATGTTCTTCTGTTCACCTTCACCCAGATACTCGCCGATTTGGGCCTTGTCGAGCTTATCCTCTTTTATCAGGAAATCGGCGATATCCTTGGGGCTGTCGCTTGGAATGAAGCCATCACGCAGAAGCATCTGAATGCCCTTCTTCGGCTTGAAGTTGAACTGGCTAATTCCCTTCATCAAAGCTGTTTTCTTTGCCTTGAGATTCTCGAGCTGATCCGGGTCATCTTCCAAGATAGGGGTTGATGGTGGCAGAGGGGTCTCGACCCGGGACACGCTGTCGTTTATGCTAGGGTCAATCGATGGTCGAATATCGAGGGAAGCTTTTGCATCGTGGTTGTCAGAGCGTGGGGGCTCAGCATCACCTCGAATTGGCGCTGACCAATTCACCATAGATCGCAACGTCTCGACCAGAGCTTCGATAGACAGTCGCTTGATGGCATACTCTTTAGGATAGTCCGGTTCAGAATCCTGATGAGGCGCAATGTGAGCAACTGTCAAAGGAGGTGGTAGAGTTGCCTTAAGCTGCCACTCGCTGGCAGGCGTTGTCTTCAGCCGCATTTCTTCGTACACTTGCTCATTGATCGTGGTAATAGTGAGCGGAGTCGTCGAAAATTTCGATAGATCCTCGATGATTGTTTGGTAAATATTATCAACTGTCTGATCGCAATCGTAATTAAGGTAGATCTCAACCAGCGCTTTGGGGTCGGCGCATAGTCGGTTGAGTATTGTAACAAATTGAAGCTTTTGAGACAGGGGTGCCGTTCTTCGAGCAAGAAGTGCCAAGTAGATTTCGTTCAAGAAGACCTCGATTTCTTTCTGTCAAGCATGTGAGCTATCATTGTCTGCGCACCAGGACAAGACTTACCTTGAAATCAGCGCGCATGTATTTAATCATCAACCAAAAGATCTCGCAGCTGACATTAAATATTCGGTCGACTGAGCTGGCGCCATTGCGGGTGATACTTAGACAAAGATAGAACTTGATGGCCTGCAAAAAGCTTGTAGGCTCGCCGCTTTTTGAATTCTTGATAGTACAGAAGGGAGAAGCGAAAACCGCAATGTTGTTGTTGAGAAGCGTATGAATAAGATGAAGAGAAATGAGCTTGGAGCGCATTGGTTGACCGCGGACATCGTATAGCTGGTCAGGTGGTAGAACCTTGGTTGACAGGTTACAGAAAGAGCGGAAGACAAGGTAAGCATCACGGATATAAACCTCGTCCTCAGCATCCAGCACCTCCCCGTCTTCTGCGGGCGAAGAATCATGGCCCGCCTGTCCAGAAACCGAGGTGTCCGTCTCCTTACGCTCAGGCTTGAGCCGCGTTACCATGGTCGGTCCATCACCCAAGTTGGAGTCGTCAAAGCTCTTGCGATGCTCCAGATCTTTCAATGTAAGTTTAACACCGCTCTCGGGAACTTCGGTCGAGGAATTGGCAGCTTCAGGTGTCTCGGCAGGTGACTCGTCGCGGTCGGCATCATCATTCATGCCGTTAGGCGTTTGAGCCTGATCAAATGTGACATTACTGGAGCCATGTTTGAGGTGCTCTAGATTAAGACGAGCCTCCTTCATATGTAATCTTGTCTTGACTCGTTCAAAAACGGTACCGACCATCTGGGTGAGGGTGCCTTGAGCGACCTGCTGGTTGGCGGTACTCCGCGACAGTAAAAAGACATTGTATACTTGTCGCACGGCCTTGAGAAGACCAGCGCCATGGACAACGATTTTGTCATTGAGGACGGCTGCAAGCAAAGATTTGACGATCTGGAGCTGTATCTCAACGGCGGTCGTCTCGCCTTGGAAGCAGTTGCAGATAGTATCGATGGCTCGCTCGATCAGGGGTGGGACGGGTTCGGTGCCCTCTTCGGTTGACTCGGGAGGGTTGCTCGGCACGGAGAAGTAGGAGTAAGAGATGAGCTTTCCAATGCAATCGAGAGCGGTGGTGGTAAGCTGGACATTCGTAGAACGTGAAGCTAATTGTAGAGGAGCGAAAACGATCTCGGGGTCAGGTAGCTGGTCCTGCTCTTTAATGGCATCAAGTGCCTTGGTGGTGGACTCGGCCAACTGTTTGTTGCGCTGAGCATCCTTGGACGAGGCAATGGCCTCGAGCGAGGACACTACAAATTTGAGGGAGCTCATGGGGGAGCGCAAAGAATGCCAGAGGCCATTCGTTAGGGGCGGAGATTTTGGAGAGATTCGAGGTCGAAGGAGGGAGGTTGTAAGGTTGACGTCGCTCTCCCAGGGCAATTAAAGAAAGGAGACGTAAGTGCAGCAAAAGAGGGAGCTAGCTCATGCGCCGTAGCTTCAATATTTCAGCGCAGCACGCAGATTGCGGTTGATCGCTAAAAGAAGAATAAAAAACGTCCAGAGTATATATTTTAAGTAAAACCCAGCAGGAAGGAAGTATGAGAGAACAAAAACAGCCTGTGTCTTCGTCTTGTTGCCGTCAGCTTCCGACACTCTCGAAGCTTTACACTTTTGTAGGTACAGTACCAAGGATACGGAGTCGAAGTGGACAGCGTTTCCAGTGGAGTTAGTGAAGATGAGCTCTGGCAGCGAGACCCTTGTCCCGGCGGGGGCAGTCGTAAGCTGCCAATTAGCGGCTGCGAAGGGTTATGGTGTCCTCTAAGCCAGGTACCGGTACAAGGGTCCAGTCCGAGTTGGAATGGACGTCACTAGCCACAAAGGGGCTCAAAATGCCTACCCTAAAGATATTCGACGACATCTTAAATATGAAGGGGGAAAAGAAAGAGGTAGAGTGCAGGCTTACTTAGCACGGAAACTGTCCAGCTATTTTTGTCGACAAACAAAGCAGCCAAATTTTATGACACTTTGGGTCTACTTATGGTCGATACACTTTAACCCACAAGACGAACGATCGAACCTTCTATTCATGCAAGTCTGAACTTAAGGTAAAATTCAACTCAATGACGGACCTGAATGTATTATTACAATCACTAGCAAACATACAAATGCTTATTTATCGACCAGCATCATGATAGGCAGCGCTAATTCCCCTGCTTCAACATATCAAGATAGTGACACGGAAAATGCACTGCGCCAATCTCAACTACTCGATTCGGCAAAGAGCCACTCGACTCAGCTTGTCACCAATATTCGTGAGATCGAACAGTTTATTCAAAAGCTGCAAGAAAAATCAAGACCTGTATCTTCGTCTGGATTACCGACCTTCTTACGCACGTTAGAACGCGAAAACAAAGCTTTAAGCAACATCATCAAGGATATATCAAATTCGAATACAATCTCTGACCCTCATCTTCTCACTCTCCGAGATCGAAAAGTTAATGCCAGTATAACTATTGCAAACCATAGCATCGCTCAATGGAACCAGCTCAAGAAAACTCATGGATTTATTGCCATCAACCAAGCCTTCCAAGGGTCGTCCAAAGATGCCCGGCGAGAGGAGATTCAAAAACATCAGATTACAGGGAAAGAGAAGCACAACATGCATCGCCTTCTGAAAGAGCAAGGCCGTGTTGAAGTGGATGTGGTTCATGGGGGATATGAATGGATCACTTCCAAAGCTATCACTCGTGATCGCCTTGCTCGTCAAATGAACGATAGCGGCTGGGGATGGGGTGACCATGAGCTTGGTGATCAAGTCGACCGAGATGAATGGGAGGATACACCTTTGGCAAGATATGTGCAACGGCTGGTAACAGCAGCAAGAATGAACCGCCACGAATATCGATTCCCAAAAATACGCCTCATTCTCACTAGTCTTGGTCGAGGAGAAACGGAACTGGATATCTTCCTTCACCAACTGGAACACATGGATCCTCTTGTCGAAGTCATCATTGAGGATCAAAATAGCACCTTTGTCACTGCGGCCGCTCCGCCGCTTGATATAGTGATAGAAAATCTCGTTGGTGACGAGCTCGCATCCCTTACGCCAACAATAAATCTCGATCATACTATTTTGATCGACCTCATCTCAGATCTAACTCATCTTAACCTCAAACCTCAACCATGGCAGTCACGTACGACACGCGCCCAAATAGATGAAGAAAACGCACATAAGGGTGGTCTTATGGCTCGTATGCTGTATCCAGTGTTGGCAGATCGCAAGCTAGTATGTACTCGTGAAGCAGCGGATCATTTTCACGAAGTATTACGAACTGTCGGGACCGAGACTGAGCGCGAGCGCGGAAGGTTATTAATCCCCTGGGGTAACGACGCACAAGGAATGTTTTCGGATCTTGTTCTCGAGCGCTTTCAGGAACTCACTGTTTACCCTCTGCCTTCCAATGTTCAGATTCCCGTTACTGTCATAGACGAACCATGGGATATGGAGGCTATCATACGTGCTATCTCCGAAGGTACTCTTCCGCAAGTAGCCCACGACGTAGCTTTGGGTAGTGCCTTTAAAAGCTCCAAGCTGTCCATCTTTATGTACGGTTGGGCAGCGGGCTTAACAACGGTAACGAGCAACAAGGAAGTCAGAGGACAAATACGAACTTGGGTCGAGACACATCGGAAACATGATGAAGAGATCGGGCCACAAATTTGGCGACTGGAAGTTACGAGGAATTTGTTAGCTAAAGCTGCAGAGCCGAGGGAAGGGTGGCAAGAGAAGGATGAGGCTGATGCTGATGAAGGCGATGCTGAATGATGATAGACGATAGACCAGCACCTGTATAATATTACGAGGAAATCCGGGGATATCCCCAGTCGCAAGTACACCACCAGACGATATCGTTGTATACACAGAAGTTTTGGAGACGTTATTCCGTAATTCCTAATGCCATCACAAGTTACCTACTCAGATACATCCTTGAATATCAGATCTTTTCTAACATTGCCCTAGTAGTATCATGATTTCCTCTTATTCCACAAACGTATGCTGTATGGATACCATGCTGGTTTTATTTCCGACGGGAACTGCAATGCTGTGTTAATATCCGTACAACCATAGACCAATATTAGTTGACAGGGATTATTCACGATAATTTCCACAATCCAATAATCGGCCCAATTCTCAACCGAGTGCTTACATAGAAAGTAAAAAGGGACGTAATAGCGATAGGTAGAAGTTATATCCTCTTGCATAGCGGTTCAGTCAGATCTCGTCAGTACCTACGTACAGAATTGCCCTATGGGGTTAGCTCATGCGTCTCACTTACAGGATCTCGGTCTTTTGTCTCGGTCTTTTAACATCTCCACTGCCTTAACTCTCATACCACGTCTAAAGCACCAGCATGCGAGCCATTGTGTCTCTTTCATAGAAACTCTCATTATTGAATTCTCCGTGTCTCGCTGATTTTTAAGTCCGGGATATACAAGCTCTACATGCCTGACATGCCTGCGGATTCACCACCAATCAACCTTTCAACACCGAGCTTCTTCTTTAATGATCCGCTAGACGAAAATCAAGAATTAATTGGAGAGGCCTCAGCTGTTCAGGATACCTCTTTTGATTTCCCGGCTGATACGGCCGTCGTCAGCGGTGGAACCGTGTTGTCGGCCGCCAAGACGGAGAAGAAGCGGCGCCGGCCGGCCCTTTCGTGTGAGCAATGCCGGCGCCGCAAGATCAGGTGCGACCGTAGTTTACCCTGTGTAAACTGTGTCAAGTCAAAGATATCGCCTTGCACCTATGCCCCTACACATGTGCCGGCTTCACGGGCTAGAAAAGCTACGAACCACGCTGTCGGTGCAGACTCAACCTCCCATGTACCAGCAAGGTCAGCGACTGTTGATCTTACAAGAAAACAGTCTCTTTCAGATACATCTGCGAGACAACCATCTTCTAGCATCCCTAGCTCGACAGTAGGATCCAACTCAGGAGCCTCTACAGTTGATGCTTTGGCCGCAAGAGTCAAGGAGCTTGAACAGAAGCTTGCTGAGTCTTGTTATATAACCCAGCCGGCAGAAGGCAAACTCTGGCAAGATGAGGACCATCAGGAGGATGAAGCACCTATGAAAGGGACTGTGTCTAAGACTAGATTCTTTGGCCAGAGTCACTGGATGAATGGCGTTAATATGGTAAGTTGTCCCGTCTTACATGCTGAGAACATTTTCTGATATGAGTTGGTAGTTTCCTGGCATTGTTGATGTGCTCAAACAGGCAGAGTCTCAAAAGGCCCAGGCTTATATGGGTGCTTCAAAATGCAAAGCTCTAGCACGTACCATCAAGAAACACCGTCTTCGGCCTGTGTCGACCGACAAGCTGGGCGAGACTATTCCTGAGCGTGGCCTTGCCGATCAGCTCGTTGACGCCTACTTCGACACCTTCGAGGGCGTGCTCCGCATCCTCCACCGTCCTACATTCTATGCCGAGTACGAACGCTATTGGCAGAACCCCAAGGCAGCTAGTCAAGTGTTCGTCATGCAGCTACAGCTCTGCATGGCCATGGGGGCAACTGTGCACGACGACATCTTCAGTCTGCGCTCCACCTCTATGCAGTGGGTGCAAGAAGTTCAGATTTGGCTTATGCTGCCGTCGGAGAAGAGCAGGATGACTATTGCCGGTGTTCAAATCATGTGTATGATGTGCCTTGCCAAGGCGTGCTGTGCTGTTGGCCAGGATCTCACTTGGATCTCAACAGGATCTTTGGTCAGACAGGCCATGTACATGGGACTTCACCGAGAGCCCCGGCTTCTTGCCAACATGTCTGTTTACCGGTCTGAAATCCGGCGACGTCTTTGGGCTACCATCCTCGAGCTCAACCTACAAACCTCCTATGATGCTGGCGGCCCACCTCTCCTTTCTCCCAAACATTACGATACACGACTCCCAGCCAATTTGAACGATGATCAACTTACGGATGAGCCAGATGCTGACAGACAGCCAACTAGTGATCCTGAGACACTGACTGACATGTCCGTTCAGCTTGCGCTTCAAAAGTCCTACGCACTTCGCCTCCTCATCATCAAGCACGTCAACGAGTTTAGGTCTAAGGAGTCTTACTCCGAAACCCTTCGTCTCAACTCTGAGCTCACCAAAGCATGCCGCACTTTGACAGAAACACTTGCTGCTCTATCTCAAGCCCAGAGACATCAGCCGCGGACTATCTTCAATCAGTTCCACAGTCCTCTGGTCCAGATGTTTACGTACCGCTGCTTCCTTTCACTACACCAACCTATGGTCGCTCGCTCGGCCGATGATCCAACCTACTACTACTCTCGCAAAGTATCGCTTGACTCTTCCCTCAAACTGGCACAAATCTGTGGTCTTACGACACCTCGTTACGGAACTTATCCACCTGGCGGCTCGCAAGATCCTGTAACTAGCTTCAACCGTCTCATAACCAATGGGGCGGGGGTCTTCCGTGTGGTCCCTACTCAGACGCTCTTCTCCGTTGCACTTGAGTTTGTCAAGAAATCAGAGGAGCAGCGCGATAGTCTCGGTGGATTAGCCCCGATGGGCAATGGAGACCTTCGCTCGGTTCTCCATGCTGCCCAAGTATGGTATGAGCGACGAATCCTAGCAGGAGAGACGAATGTCAAAGGATACTGCTTTGTTGGTGCCTGTATCGCGCTCGCTGATGCCCTCGAAATGGGATTGTCGCAGGAAGAGACTGACCAATCTGTCATGGATGCAGGGGCAGCTGTAAGCCTTCATAGCTACGATCTGCTGAAGCAGGCTGCTGAGTGTCAAGGCATAGTAGTTCCCGAGTCTCCAGATGCGGAAACGGCGCCTGTTGATATGCCTAGCCTCGACAGTGATACCATGCAGGGTATCATGGAGATGCCATTCGACTGGATGGTTATGGGTGATCTGGGCTTGGATGGTATGGGAGGGTTCAATTGGACCAGGAGTGGTATGGGCATGTCTCAACAGTTTGACGCTGTGGATCCATCAGTTGTGTCCCAGTTTTGAGACTGGTGATAATAGAGTTTTGGACGGCTGAATGAGTAAATGAAGGATTAATCCCACCTCTTGTAATTATAATACTGTACACCCCATCTCTACATAGCCCCGAGTTTCATGTCATTATGCAAAATAAACGTATTGACGAACCACACCCCTTTCAAAAGTATGACTCGAGCGACGCATGGTTGAAGATAAACCTGACACTGTCTCGAAAAAGGAAATCAATATCCAAACAGCCACACGATTAGCAGCCAATTGGCCAGCATTAGATTATGACGCTTGGATCAGAGTGACGTTGGGTTGATATTGATCTCATCAAGGGATATATGCAATATGGCACATTGAAAGGTCATAAACATTTCTAGTTTTTGGTAGTTGTACAGCAAGCAATAGGAGGAGCGAACGTAGAATGAGGGCATATGCAATAGATTCTTTGTCCAAAACATCCCCCAAGTTCGAAAAGATATAACATTATTAATCAAGGGTCATTGTACACGGGCTTTTTCGGCCTCGTAAATCTTCCACAGCTACTGCAACGTGACCAGACGAATGAGCTCTATGGTATCCTCATAGATCATCACCGTCGTCTTGGTTCACAGATCTCCACCCGGGATTGCTCTCGTAGGTTTCCCACGATGTCCCAAGTAAACTCCTTGCAGCACTTTCCGTCCTTCAGAGATCATCTCCTCCGGTTCTATAAAAAGTCATTTCCTCGCTCGGCTGGCCTTTCGTCACTCTCCACATGCTTCAGTTTTCAGAGGCTGATTGATGTCCTACCCCTGACTTACAGAAGAAGCTCAAGAGGGTTCTCGATAACCTTCTTGACCTCCTTGAGCCACTCAGCACCGACAGCACCATCAACGACCTTGTGGTCGAAGCTGGCAGTAAGGGTGATCTGGTCGTCGAACTCAACACCGGCCTCGTTGTCAGCGGGGATGGCAACCTTCTTGGTGGTGCCAACAGCGAGGATGGCAGCCTGGGGAGGGTTGATGACAGCGGTGAAGTGGTCAACAGCGGGGTTCATGCCCATGTTGGAGATGGAGATGGTGCCACCCTGGTACTCCTCAGGCTTGAGCTTGCCATCGCGAGCCTTCTTGGCGAGCGACTTGACCTGGCTGGAGATGGCCTCGAGACCACGGCCCTCGACACCGGTGACGATAGGGGTGATGAGACCAGTGGGGGTGGAAACGGCGACGGAGACGTCGACGTTGTTGAACTGGCGGATGTTACCGTCGCGCCAGCTGGAGTTGACCTGGGGAACCTTTCGGCTGGCAACAGCAATGGCCTTGATCAGGAAGTCGTTGACGGACAGCTTGTACTGGCCATCGGCAGAGCTGTTAAGAGCCTGGCGGAGCTTGAGGAGCTTGCTGACGGACATAGAGCTGGTGACATAGAAGTGAGGGTTGATCTGGGTGGACTCAACCAGGCGGTTGGCAATGGTCTTGCGCATGCCGCTGATGGGGATGTCCTCGTAGGTAGCACCGGGGGCGGCGCTGGCGGCGGGGGCGCTGGAAGCCTTCTTGACATCCTCCTCAGTGATCTGGCCGTTCTTGCCGGTGCCCTTAAGGCCGTCGATCTTGATGCCCTTCTCGCGGGCAAGGCGCTGGCCGGCAGCCGAAATGTTGGGCTGACGGTCGAGAGCAGTCTGGAGACGGCCCTCAGACTGGTATTGCTGAGGCTCAGGAGTGGGCTCGGGGGCGGACTCAGACTTGGACTCGGACTTCTCCTCCTTGGGAGCAGCGGGCTTAGCGGCATCACCACCAGCGTCCTCAACGGAGAACTTCTCGAAGGCGGAGATATCAGTACCCTCCTCAACAAGGACGGCAATGGGCTATAGGCGGAAAAGAGTTAGTGACATGATACAACAAAAGTGAATGATGTTGAGCGCAGGAGCAAGATACCCCGAGACCCGAGAAGAGGCCTTGGTGGGTTCAAAAAAATCAACGACTTACGCTGCCAACAGGAACATCCTTCTCACCAGCCTCCCGGAGGATCTTGGCGATAACACCCTCCTCCTGGAACTCAAAGTCCATCTGGGCCTTGTCGGTCTCGATCTCTACCAGGACATCACCAGGGGCGACAGAGTCACCGGGCTTCTTCTGCCAGCCGCCAATGTTACCAGCCTGCATGGTGGGCGACAGAGCGGGCATCTTGATGACCTGGTGCTCGGGGAACGAGGCATAGTGTCGCACAACGTGGGCAGCGAAGCCGGTTCGCAGAGCGCTGTGGGTAGGGGCGAGGACGCGCCTTCGGAGAGCGGCGCTGAGCATTGTGGGAGGTTATTAAGATCTTTCTAAATGATAAAAGATGTTAGTCGGTGATAGACATGGGGGGTCGGAGCGCGAATATAGAAATTTGAGCCACTTTTGGGGGGGAGGATTTGGGGAAAAGCACTCACCGGCCGGAAAGGCAATTGAAAGCAGAGTTATCCAGATACGTGACGTGAGGTCACGGACAGAAAATCGAGGAGCGGAGGAAAGAGATCAAGGACGGAGAGTGATGCAGCTCTGGCGTGAGAAGGAGAGGGAGAGAAAGAGTCGGGATCGGAGGAAATTCTTTGGGGTTGGATAGACGTGGAGTTTTTTGCGTGTTGAGCTCCGACGACTGAGGTACTTTGAAGCTTTGGCGTGGACTAAACCCCTTCGGGACTGAGAAAGGCTGCAGGGGCCTTGAAGAGAACCCAGCGTTGGTGGTGCTGAGTCCTGATTGCAGCCGTTGAATGGACAGCACCTGGGCGATTTCAGAACATTTGAGGCCGTTTCTCAAGGCATTTAGGGGACTACGGACGCTGTAAGCCACTTCGAACCCTCAAGCACGGGACTGCACGATGACCCGCCAAAGGAGCTTGCGAAAAAAGGGACGTGGACACCATCATGGTACCTCGAGTTCGGGGGATCATTACGCGACATGAGCGAACTCCGGGCGAAGAAGAATAGCGAACGATGCATGTGTAAGTCGTTAAAGACTATGCATATCAATCGAGACATCTAGCTATCAATTGTAGCTTGCTTGATCCCTCCTAAGCCCCTCCGCATGAAGGACCGGTATAAACCTCAATACTTCCTGATATTTATGTTGAGACAATTATCAAGTCCCCAAAGTACCTCCATGTTATCTCCATTGCTCCCAGAGTTGCTAAATTTTCTTCGGGCGAATTGTCCCATGCTCAATTCGGGACATATCGGCCCGGATAATGGTGGGGTCGTAATTGGTTGGTACTGATCAACTTTTAGAGGCAACGGGAATAATGCTGGAGGGACTGTTTCCTTAGCTTTAACCGCAACAAGCACTCTTTGCCTCTGTGAAGAGGAAGTCTATAAAGTCTCATATATGACTCGTGATGGCTTAGCCAAGGGCATCAGTGCCACTGGAGTCATGCCTTCTCTTGATCAGCTTGCATATTAAACTGGTGTCTATATATCACATTCATGGAAACGTCAAGACAGCTGTGAACACCATATAGCATCAGAATACCGTTCAAATTTTGAAAATAGGGAATCTAAATTATTCATCATTACATACATCTAATATATCAAGGCAACCTTTATACTTTTCCGTTCCTCTCATATCCCATTATATCTCAACCGCCGCCTGCCCACCACACTTTGACCAACTCCTTTGGCCCACTCAACGCTGATGAGATGGATCTTTTTCTCTTTGGCTCATTACTCCCCTGAGAAGTCTTGGATCCCTTGGATCCCTTTGAGCCTTTGGAGCTCTTTGACTTTGAATTCGGTGTGTGCCCTTTAGTAACGAGTACGGATTTCCTTATTATATCGTCCGCTTCAAGCGCTGCCGTTCCTTGATGGACTCTCCCAATTCTCTCGCTGGTGGGCTTCGGCGGTGATTTTGGAGGTGGTATCGGCCTCATTTCTACTTCCTCTGGTATAGAATCTTTTGGAACAATTGCGCGGATTCCGAAATTACCCTCTTCTTTCTTCGCCCGCCCATCTCGTCTTCTACCTCGTCCCTTGCGATCCCAACCAAGTTCGAATCGTGGTGTAAGATCCCCTTCAGTGTATATAGTTTCGAGCTCACTGTCTGGCTGCCATTGCGCGGCCCGGGGTAGCGATTTGAAGAGGTTTCCGTCAACAAGGAGCGCAGTAATGGATGCGATAGTCGTTGGTGAGCGAGGGAGTCTAATTCGCCGCCAATACATCCATGAGGTGATATGAAGAATCATCAACGCACCAACGAGACCTTGAAAGATACGCGTAGCAATCGTGTCCTGGCGAAGCCGAATCATTTCTGTCATTTTACTGCCGCTGATGACGGGGACGGCCTGAGAAACCGACAAATTAGGGCTGACGCCGCTAACAATATCGGTGCCGTTCGCTGACGGGAACGTGCCCCTCGAGGACAAATGCCGTCGACTCTTGGAATTCAATGACTGTGCTCTGATGATACCGTGCTGTGAGAGAATAGCAGATTGAACTTCGGCGGCAGCACTGGAAGATAAGTCGCCAAATGTGGCATCAGGGATAGCGAACTGGGAGGCGTTCAACATTGCAAAAAAGGAGTCAAGCAGACCATTTGAGGAAATGTTGACGAGCGACGCATAATCGAGCTCGGGAATGGCAACAGTTGTATCCTGGGCTGTGCTTTCGAAAACAACAGGAGGATGGTCGGGATGTATGTGAAGTTCTGATCCCCGGAAAACCGCGTCAACGTCAACTGCTTCAATCGACTCGTTGCAGGCGAGAGCATTGATGCTGCTTACTGACATATCGCTGCTGCCGAGATCGGCCAGGCTTCCCCAGATGTATATCCAATCTGAACAACGCGGCGATGATTTCGTCTTTCGTAGACCGACGCCAAAGACTGTGCTACTGCTACTCAAGCTTCTACCGTTCTGTGTAGAGAACGAGCTCATGGTGGTCCCGATGATTGCGTTGCTGCTATCTCGCTCCCTGTCTCCACGACAAGTCTCGCCTTCGAGATCGACACGGAGCGGATTGACTGTCCCATCGTCCGATTCACGCTCGATAGTGATGTTGGTGGATATCTCGTTGGATTGATAAAGTCGACACGACATATTTGGGCGAATTGCGGTCAGCCGTGCGCCGATCTTTAAATCTTTGCTGTTGTCCTCTTCGACCAGTGATATACTCGGTAGGTTGAGATTGGTGTAGGTAAATGGGGGATACGGTGCGTTGCCAGCAAGAATCAGGGATGCCATGACAGTGTCGTTGTTGCAACCGGTACAGATGGGATCGTCGGCGGAAGACGCCAGACTGTTGGCGAAGAAATCCTCGGTGCGTAGAGGTATGCTCGTGTTCCGTCCGGCTGGCATTGGTTCAAACAACGGAGCAGATGCAACGACCACAAGAAGTGCAAAAGATGCACCAGAAATGGCGGCCAGGGCAGCGATATCTCGGATTTTGAAAGCTCTCCTCCACGCTACGTGCCTTAAAGCATTGGCAAGGTTCAGCCCTACCGTCTCGTCAAAATCTCCTTGTCGTGAAAGATGAGAGAAGGGCGAAAGAAGCCTCGTCCACCACTCCAAGGAAAGCATGTACATAGCCACCAAAAGAAGCACTAAGGCTGGTACAAGGGTTCATGCCAGATATGCTGTATCAGTGTTCATAGTCCTCAACCCATCAAAGCGATGTGACACTCTGAGAGAGATTTCAAACCCTATGATGATACAAGCAAGAACGAGTATGTATATCAACCTGATCAGACCATGTAGCGGAACAGGTTGTCGCCATGTCGAAGAATCGAACCGCCGTGGGAGAACATTAGGCGGAGGTGCATTCCCACCAAATATATGGTAATATCCCAGGTTGGGATTCTCCAGCTTCTCATGGCCCTCAGCTCCGCTCATATAGGTAGAATCCACCAACCTTGGTCGAATAGCTCTATTCGGCGCAGGTCCCATGCCTTTCAGACATTCAACCAGGGGATGGCTGTGTGCCACCACCGAGGCCATTCCAACGATCGTGCTAGGGTCGCGTGGGAGAAAGCCTTTCTTAGGAACCAAGCACATGGTTACCAGAGCCAGAACGAAGCAAATTGCCAGGAACGCTGTTATCAAATACGCGGGAACAGGTCGTACAACAAGGCGTCGTTCAATAAAGCTGGCAACAGCTGTCGAGGAGTCAGAGGATGGCTCCATCATGGCATATCGAGCGATCAGGGCCGAATACTGTGCATAGAAGTCTTGGGCCAGTTGTCTCAGGGAATCGCCGTCTGTCAATGACTCTAGTTTGGGCTGATTCCCTCCTCTTGAACTTAGTGCAAGGGCAGCAGACATAGCTTCATCCGCATCAAGAATAGCCTCATCGTTATATGGTACGCCTGACGATGTAGATAGTAATTGCAACTCGGCTGCTTCGTTGGACTCTAAAGTGACAAATAGAGCGCGTGCGATATCCCATGGAGAAACTTGGTCAAGAGTAGTATTTGTCGCCTGTTTATCGGGAATGGCTGAAAGGACTGTATCGGGTGTTTTAGAAACCTTTATCGTGGTGATGGCATAATTCGGTTTGCATAGAAATGCAGAGGATGACGATATCTTGCCATTTAGTCGACTATTCGAATTCTTGGATTGTCGCTTTAGTTGATCGACGTCGATCTCAAGAACACCAGCCATAACAGCAATCCGCTGCTGAGCGTCCTTCGTAGAGTCGCCACAACTGCCTTGTTGAAATGCAAGAAATACTCGTGATAAGTCATCGTCCTTGGTGGTTGCTAGTTTCGCGCTCACAAGGGCTTCTTTGACGGAACAGTTGGAGTCCGATATTGTCAAATTAAAATCAAGAGAACCTTCGCCGTCTAACCGCATCGATTCCAGGGTTAATTTTGCTTCTTCACAGTCTAAGCCGCCGATAAAACCCTCCACGTCCGCTGTGATTTCCTTCAGCTCAACAATATCGCTTGCAAATGGCGTATATGCAGCCCGAGAGGTGACTCCGTTTGGAAAAGTGATGTTGTCTATCGCGAGAGCAGCCAGGGTAAAGTAAGGCAAAGATCCGATGTTCTCCAATCCAGGGAGACTGTTGAAGAACTCAGCCTCGATGGCTATAGCAGATTTGTGCCTTGTAACAGTCGTCACTTTGGGTGTAACAAAAGCCGTCGAGAATATTATGATTAGTTTGAAGACTATCCCAGCACTCAACGGAGTTGCTACTAGCCAGTCGGTGTTTCGAATCGCTTTGACTATAGCCACAGGCTCAGACAGAGAGACGTAATCCAGCAAAAGAGACTTGTCAACTTCAACTTGGTTGTTTAGCATTCGGATCCACGGCATGGCAGCGGACGCCTGAAACTCGACCCTGTTCCAGAAAGCAGCCACGGTAATGAATACGAGGGTTGTCCCATACTGCCAAAGATATCTTGATAAATCGTCAGACTTTCGGAGGCCGCCGTTATATTCGGATAACTGCAGTGCAACCTGCACACCTGCGATGAGAACCACAAATACAATAACGTAAATAGCCAAAATACGTCGATGTAGAAAGACTGGTCTCCATGGTAGTTCGATTTGAATAGGCTCGGAGGGTGACAAGATTCGCGGCGAAGATGGTAGCGACTGGCTGGCCCGCGATCTAATGCTTCCTAGAAACGGCCACCGGATTCCTCTACTTGTGGCTGGCGATGGATTATTACTTGGGTCCCAAGGCGCTGCCGAAGTAGCTAATCGTTCGGAATCGAAGAATGTAGTGATATTTCCAGGCTGTGAGCCTACGCCCGAGCTCGAGGGACCTGACCCGTGCCGGCGCGAGTCTGATGTGCCTAAAGCACTCGATCTTGATGGCCCTGGCTCAGAAGAGTTGCCGTTGACGCCATGAACTGCGCGGATGTGTTGATGATACGAGTCGACGGGTTGGCGTGTCTGAGGACGAGAGGTATTCGTGCTCTGTTCCGCTTGGGGGTCCATCGTTGCTAGGAGGTTGTATGATTATCTATGATATTCAATATTGCGCATCGTCGATCCGTCGCCCTGTGAGGCAGCGAGGGCATGATGCCAATAATTAATCGCTACCGTGGAGTGTGCCCACGGGTTTATATCGACATGTTGAGAAGAATTGTAGTAGATTAAAAGTAGTAGAAAGAAAATAAAGAAAAAAGGAGGCTCTCGTGAGATTGGTATAGAGGCAGAGCAACCTGATGCGACACGATGAAAATAGAACGGATATCAGGAGTTCGAGAAAGGAATAAGGAATGGACTCAAGTCAAGGCCTGGACTGGAAAACGATTGGAAGAAACTTGAACGAAAGGACGTAAGCAAAGCAAGGCAAAGCAAAACTGAAGAGAGTGACTGTCACCGGAAGGAAGAGAAGAAAAGAAGAGACAAATCACATTGCAGCATTGATATCAAGGACTTCCTTGCTCGCATAAGTGCAGTAGACTACAGATACACTAGACTGGAGTACAGACCAGTAATGTTAATGGCCTCAGTATATCGGTACTACCAAGGCTGAGTTACTGCGTAGTACATAACAGAGCACAGTCACCGTCCCATGTCTCTGGTCGGAGGAGCCTCAAAATGTCATCGCTTCTCCGAAGTCAAAAGGAGATGGCCCACAAGAGGATAAGCCAAGTTTACATGAAACAAGGGCCTGGCAGGGGTGATATACCATCCTTGTAGTCTGTAGCCTTGGCCCATGGGCCTTGGGAGTTGAACCTCTAGGTTTCCCAAGTCCTGGCTTGCAGTAGACGACAAAGTTTCAGTTATTGGTCAAGGGCTTGAATAGCACTGCAACCCTGTGATGTGCACTTTTCCCCTTCACCTTCCCACATTTTCGTGTCACTTCGCACGAGAAGCGTTTGGGACTGCGGTGGGTGGTTTCTGGCGAGTTGCATATTATTGTTATTATTAGCCGTGAGCCTTTGACATTGGCGGAGAAATACTTTGCACGTGTATTTTTAAATGGAGAACAAACTGCCCGTCGTGAGGATTTAGCTCAGGATGAATTACCCAAAGAGCTCTTTTATTCCCCGGATAGACAGGGAAGGATATGTGCATGAGGTGAGTGTATCCCTGCCATCCATGTGCATGGACGAGTTATCCATAGGCGAAATTGTACGCGCATTGTTAGCTGGCATGCTCGGAAACATCCATATCGTTGCGATGTTATTGCTAAGATGCATGGTAAAATGAGCAGATCCTTGCTTGGTTTAATTAAATGCGGAAATGCTGGTCAGGTAAACAAAACAATTGCGAAAGAAACGTCTTGTCAGCTTGGATGTGTGCTGTACAGATAAATAAGAGGATAATGATGCCCCCGTCTTCTCTCTCCTTCTAACAGTTATCGTGGCTGTCTCTTCAATCACCATGTCGTCAGATGTATCATTTCTTTTTCATAAGTGACAAGGATTATATATTATTGTATTCGTGGCCAACACACTCAAAAGATGTTATTTCTCTCCAGTCTCATCGGGAAGACGGCAAACTATTAGTTCCCTTTAGATTCAATAGTTCAAAGCTTATGAAATCTCTCTCCCATGGAGTATTCGAAGCTGTCGTTCATCCGAATACCCGGTCAAGACTCAGGTTCTAAGCGAAGGGCCGCCACTGTTTCGAATATCGCTAGTGTCGTCCGATTGCACGGAAGAGCTCGGACTGCCGTAGCCGAGATCTTCAAAGTTCCAACGGTGCCAGATCTGGAGCTAACGGTGACTGCAGGACTGTAGATCAACAGAGATGTCTGCTGATCGTTGGATTGGGAGTGGTAGATCAGTGCCCAAAGAATACGTAGAGATAACTTCACCTCTTCAACAGAGTACCTCTGTGTATGTGGCTTCCAACGTGCATTTCCCAAAGCTGTGAGAAATCCAATCACGTTTGTGCATAATAATCAGAGTCATATGGTGTTCACCAATATGCGGGTGGAGTTGTCATCTCTAGTCTACATCATCATCTCAGCCCAACACTAACGGTTCGTGCCCCACGCGACAGGAACATTTGAGACACGCATCGCAAACGAACGACGTATCTAATTTGCAACGCCCTTACATATCCTGTTTCCTTTTTCAGCCTCATCGCCAAGCATGGGTGCCTCAAGTTCAAGGAGTGCCATGTCAGCCGACAACTCGACGGGCGCCTCAATTGCTGCATACGAACTATCCAGTGCGCTCAGTCAATCCTTGAGCGAAATCGACCTGCATGGTCAGTAGTTTTCTGAGCGCGTGTTTAGTTGGATTAATTGTATAAGTGCAGAGGACTTACACAGCTGGTAAATAATTAGGAAACTTGAGCCAACAGTTTAAGCAGTTGCTTCAGCGGCTGGACCAGGAAGCGTCAAAGTATACCAACTCTCAAGTCAATGACCAAAAGTCCACAGAATGGAACCCGTAAGAATGTTGTTCAAATTCCAAACTAAACTCACTCCTCTAAACTTTCCCTATAGCTCCAAATCTGAGATTGACCTCGTAGGCTTTGCGTGGGACTGCGCTCATAATACGTATAAGACAAAGCCTCGCAAAACATCTCAACCACCAATCGAAAGCGCCCATGAGCCGCAGACGAGGTTTCAAAACACAACTCCATCGATCGAAGACAACTATGACAAAGATCTATACACTGTTCGTGAGGAAGAGGTGCGCCAAGACTGCTTTGCTGGCACAGTAAAAGCCATCACAGCGACTGTCATTAAACGAACGGGCTCTGATGACATCAATGAATTGATGCCGGTACTGGTGATTTCGATAAGAGGTAGTGCCAGTAAAATGGATCATATCGTCAATGCCAATTCAGACCCTAAGAACGCTGGAAGTTATATTGTAGGTTATTTCTGTTCTCTTTCACGTTCTAAACACTCATCGGCTTCCTTTACGGGCCTATATCCTATAACCTGTGCATCGCTAATGATGGTAGCACGGTACGAGCGACATCAAAGCCCACTCTGGATTTTTAAACAGCGCCCTGGCTCTAGACTCAGCAGTGGCCACAATGATTGATACTTATCCACTCAAGTTCAAGGTACGGAGTGGGCAGAAACCTCATGTGGTATTCACAGGGCATTCTGCTGGCGGGGCCGTGGCCCAGCTCTTATATCTTCACCACATATCCCATCCGGGTCTCAGTAAGTTGGCTGAAAATATCCGACTGTGTTAAGACATAGCTCATAGAATATAGGCGAATCTGCAAGGTTCTCATGCGTCACATTTGGTGCCCCTCCTTGCCTGTCATCACATGTTGATCTTTCATTATATCAACCTAGCGAAAAGACAATCTGCATCAATATCATAAATGAGTTCGATGTCGTTACCCGAGCTGATAAGCCCTATATCTTATCCTTGGTTGATATTGTAAGATCCACGCTTGACTTGCCACCAAAGAATCAAGTATCCGAATCAGCAACAGATGAGGAGACAATTTACGCTGCTCTAAAAGCTACTGATACCAAGGAATCAAGACTCTCCTACGAGTTTGAGGGTTTAGACATTGACCAATCGAATTTTTGGCGCCTTCCACAGTCTCTATATCATCACGTTGGACCGAGAGCTGTCCTGTTGATGCGTTTAGTTGACGGCGAGATGAGCCTCAAAACAGTCGAGGTAACACCCTTTGAGTTCCAGAAATTACTATTCTGCCGCGTGGCCGTCCACGGCAAAAGGATTTATGCAGAGAGGGTGAAAACATTGCAACAAGGGCGTTTCAATGGCCGTTTAGGGTGGGAGCAAGATGGAGATGGCGAGGAAAAAGCTTCTTTATTGAGTGGCTCTTCAACCGTCTATTAAACCATACGAGACTCTCCCTATCTAGTTGACTAGCGGCCAATCTTCACGGACTGGTAGCTTGACATGATTTCTTCGTCTCGCAGATTCCACAGACCGGAAATACTTGACATCTTCCAGGATCCTATCAGCAAGGTTCCCTTCAAAGCCTTCAGACCGCATTTCCTCAACATCTCCATCCCTGTCAGAATCCTCCACAGCAGACATCACAGCCTGACACTCCCAGCACAAACAAACCGAATACTCAAGCCCGAAACGAATCCGGTAAAGATTCTGCGTTTCGTCGTTGCCGACAACCAACTTATGCTTTGCGATCTTGTCATCGTGGTTGATAAAGCGACCGCATCGTGCCTCCACTGAAGCTTTATAGGCGGCCGGCGAGAGCTGGCTCGTGTGCCAGACCAGATCAATGTCCAGTGTAGGAACGAGCATCTTGCCTGGGTAGAGTCTGAAAAGCTGGAGATACCTGTCGTATCGCTCGACTGCTCTCTTGAGAGTTCCCTGCAGCGCTGGGCTTCTGATCCAGAGGTGGGCATTCATTTTTTGGACAAAGACACGTTGGCGCTCGACGTTATCAACGAGCTGCTTGACTGCCCAGGAACTAAAGGGCTCGTCGATACGAAGAGTTTCTTCCTTGCCCTTTGCGATAATTGACTTCAACAAATTGCCACTTATCGAGGAGTTACTTTTAGGGACTTCCCATGATTTCGCCTCATATGCCCAAGCGTCGCGGATGGTGCCTTGAGACCGTATGACCCTGTGCTATACTTTATTAGCCTTGATGATTTGTTACAAAGATCGTCAATGAACGTACAATGAGCTTCCAGGGGAATATCACCCTTTGAAGATAGTTCCAGGATGTCTTCTTGCAATAGTCTAGAAAGTCGGATGGGTTGAGCAGGAAAGCATGCCAGACCATAAGGACATCTAAATGGATCATTCAGCCAAATGTTACTTCAGGAGCGGTAATTCACTTACCAACGGGCGGTAACCATGATGTTTCAGTCAATGGTATCTCAGTTCTGCCATCATCTACACCATCTTTTGACAGTTTAGAAGCCAGGGAAGTATTATACTCATCAGCCCAGACCAAGAACCTCGGTACAGCTTTACCAAGATAGAAAGTCCATTTCTTATCGCGATTCTGCTCCCACACGGTATTTCTCAGCGTAACCTCTTGGTTGACGGTCTTGTTCAGACCTTCGACGTATTTAGTACGGTAAACTGTCTTCGTCGCGTCGCCCAGCTCGAATATCTCATCGAGTTCTTTTGAATCGAGGATCTTGATGCGCAGCGCATGGAAGACCTCGAGAAGCTCCAGATGAACCGCGCACTGCGCTGGAGTTGGGAGGTTGTCTTGATGGGAGTCATTGAGTTGGTCGAAGATGCCTGGGCTGGGAATTATAGGGTTTTTGTCTATGCTGGATGCTGATGGGTAGTATTTGGTTGTGATTTTTGTGTTGAGTTCTCTGCTGGCTTGATGAAGAGCGCCTAAGTTGTATCCGATGAGGTGAGACATGGTTCTATACGATCTGGGTATAAGTGATGAGAGGTACGGTAGGGTGCTGTGAGATATGTGACTAGTCTTAGAGTCGGACAGTGGTTAAGATGGGTTGTTAAAGAAGAGTCAGTTTCTATACTGTCAGTCCCTCAGTTGGTGTTATTATTCGAGGAAGAATGCCTTGATCGATTGCATGAAAGGGAAATAATACAGCATCAGCTGAGCTAGAGTGGCATGGCTGAGCCGACAAAGTGAACCACGTCCATTTATCCTAGCATGGGTCCCTCCACGGATACTTAAAGTCGCTATAAAGATACGAGAGTAATCATGTATCTTCTGCCGAGGTCACTCAATCGCAAGTTAGTTACTCCAAGTCTTGGTGCAGAGGGAATTATCTACAGGCAACAATTAAACTCTGCGGAAATTGTCAGTAAAAATGCGGAATTTGGGGCTGCTCGGCAGAAGCTCCAGCGACAATCTTGCTGTTTTGGGGGTTGAAACACTCTAGCCGGGCGAGCTGAACAAACTAAACGGGGTCCTGGCTGGGGCGCAGCATCAGATGAGATCATGAGAGGCAGTCTGTGAGGCTTTCAGCGATGGCTAGGTGTTTTTATGAGAATAAGTGGTATCATTTCATGTAGCTGCCTCTAAGTGACTGCAAAATGACTCATAATGTAAATAAGAGCTGATCATCTTCTCTTCATAATTCACTTAATTGGCGCTTACCAGAATTCCTGCTGAATTACTCTACCAACGCGCAATGTCTCGTCTAAGGAGCAAAGTCCTGCCTGTTCTGGCGATAACTTCCCTATCCTCATCAAATATCACGACAGCGCCCGACATATCCTGGACGCGAGTCGGTTCCGGAAAAGACCACCTCCTCTCAGAGCTCGAGAGTCTGTACTGGGATGGTGTCAAAGCCGAGCTTGAGAACATTGTCCGCACTCTCAAAGCATGGCAGCAGCCAGAGTATGCCGATGTATCTATAGAAGATGAAGATGATGATCTCGTCCATGGCTTCGATACTTTTCTCGACCAAGTTAGCCAGGAGAGCCGCGCACATGCTATTCGATACGGTGAGCCCCAGACCATTCTTACTCACGACCGTTAACACTAATATTCGTAAGGGAAAATGAAAGAGGAGCAGTCCAAGCATAGACGGAATCTCTGGACTTCAAGCAGATCATACGGCCAAAAAGAGGCTAGAGATGCTCTCATAGATAGCATATCTGATCGGGTAGCGCAACAAGCCAGTGACAAAATCAAGGCTGAAGTGAGAGAGTCAATCGATAGTATGTTACTTGTTGCTATAGATGCTACAGAAAACTGACGCCTTGTGTAGCCATCACTAAGCTCAAGGGAGTAGAGCATAGAGCATGGATGCTTCTTCAAGCTGCTGGTAAAGACACTTTTCAATGCTCCCCAGGCAACGCAGCTGACATGCTTTGCAGGTTTTCTAGATATAGAAAAATTGATTGAGCATCGTCCTCCCCCTGATAAGTTCGGATTTTGGAAGAGGCCAGCCATTCCTCAGCGTGAGTTTCAGCCCTACATTCTAACAACACATTGCGGCCTTGATACTGTACTAAAACCACAGTAGTTGCATTAGCTGAGGTCAACACCGATGGAACTCCCAGTTTCGAGCCCCTTTGCTGCATGCGGAAACAATGCAAGAAGATCGTAAGAGGAAGTATGTTCGTCCTTGACAATTCAGGTACAGATCCTGGCATTATCTGCGAAGAATGCTACCGGGCCCATTACTACGGCCATGAAGCATACACAAAGGCATACAAACACTGCATCCTGACAGAGTCAGTCACGCCTGAGATGAGCAGAAAGATCTGCCAATGTGTCAGGCCGCGTCAGAAGGACTCATTGAACGAACTTCCATCCTTGTTCCCCATCGAGCATGTAGAGGATCACGGCAATTGGCCGGATTGGCAGTCACGTTTCGTTGGCGCGGAGGGGAAGTGCAAGCTTCTTCAGCTTGGCGATACGATTGCTCTGGCGAAATACAACGGACTGCAGAGTAGTGTTGGGATAAAGCAGAGGTCTCAGAAGGAGACTGAAAAGGTTGCGAAGAAGGCAAAGGCGGACGAGGTAAAAGTCAAGATCAGGTCGATCTACGACCCCAAACCTGTGGACCCAAAATCTACCAGCGACTTCGAAGACGACGAAGATCCCATGAGTAAGTATGAGTCTCGAGATCGAAATGGACGTCTCAAGGGAATGAAGACGGTTCAGCAGAAAAGCTTGACAGGGAATGACCGAAGACCTGCTTCTAGCGATGTCAGCGTGGCAGAAGAGGCCGCAGCCGACAGCGATATACCTCTGTTCTTCAGGAACTCTGTAGAGAAGTATCCATATGGAAATGTCCACATGGCACTCCGAGTTGGTCCCATTGTCATTGAAAACGGAGTCTCGCAGTAAGTATCTCCCAAACAAAGACGTCGCAATACGGACAGCAACTAACATACGGCTTACAGTACCAAGGGCGGCGCTCTTATCTCTATTAGAGAAACTCCCGTATTTCACGAGCGTTTTCATCTTCAGACGATGCCTGAGCGAGACTTGGCCGTCGGAGGAGGCTCTGATCGTCTACTGTGGCAACGCAAGCGACCAGCGAAGAGCCCAAAGAGATACAAGGCCATCATGAAGCAAGTCGTTGGCGTACCATTTGGCGGAAACGACATTCTCCCTCGCGATCAGGAACTTGAGGTCGTTCATGGTCTCTTAGCTGCTTGTAAGCAGCCATTCGACGACCCTGGTTTACCTGCGTCTGACCAGCTCAAACTCCTCAACTCGGCACTCGAACCAGCATTACAAAAGCTCAAGACACTTCTGGGCTCGCGGTTGAAAGTGTATCTTAACAGCATCACACAGCGTCTTTTAGATAGCAAGGTGAGGCTTGCCTGGAGTGCAACACATAACAACTGTCAGACATTCTGCAGCTCCCTCATCAACAAGAAGATCTTCGAGCCTCTTGTCAACGGAGAAGTTCCTGAGTCGAGTAGAGACGCATATCCTCTTTACACAATGAGCTTTGTATGTCCAGACGAGGGTTACAAAAGACGAGGTGTACGAACCAAGTTTGATGTTCCGTTTGGACTCACAGAGGAATATCTGCTCCGCTTCCACTTTGGTCGCCACGACGAGGCTGATATTATAGATACGTATCAGGAGTACTGGTACGATTGGGGTGCCTTTGGAAGCACGCTCTACAAATATCAAGACTTGTATCCTTGGGACTGCACGGAAGCATATGGGAGATATCCAACCAAGTGCGGCGAGTGCAACCTCGCCAAGCACGTTTGGGCATTCCCCTTTGACTCGTGGTCTATATCCTCACATCACTTATCACGAGATCGTCACATGTACGCACCAGCACTGACAGATCAGAGCTTGACAGCTGTTGGCCAACATGCCACCGCAAGCTCGTGGATGCGGAACCGACTTACCGTCCTCTCAGCCACAACCGTTCTTCACCGGGCTGCAACAGCCATGGCTAACTCGCTCAAGTTCCAAAAGGCCACTGCATGGCTACACAAGGGCTCCTCAAACACCATTCTCGACCCGTCATTAGCAAGAGTCAAACTCGGTGGCATCCATCGTGCCCAACCTTGCAGTCACTACTTCGAAGCGGGAGTATACAGCCACTACTTCATTGCACCATGGGCAGTCCTCACGCGGCCCAGGCAGATCGAAGCCTACGAGGTTCAGCGAGACGGCCGTGCTAACCTGCCCGACATTCCCCGCGCCATTCGCAAAGCCCGCTTCGAAGGCTTTACAAGATGGGGCGAGTTCAACTTTCTCGACTTCGCCGGCCAACCCACCTTCATGGACTTCGACCCGGCAATCAATACGCCTGATCACTACCATGTAGGCATGGGCCATGTAGACGGCTGCTCCAGCGATTCCCACTTCAGTCCTACTAGCGAGACGCCCTGCCATACATGCGCGAGCGGGTGCGGGAATTCGACGCGCGACGCTGCGAACTGTGCGAGTGCAGAGGCTGTCAGGACGGCCGAGATGGCTACTGCAGCGGCGGCTGCGGCACTTGCTAGTGCTTCATATTCGAGTTGTGGAGGGGGTGGTTCTAGCTGCGGAGGAGGCTCGAGTTGTGGAGGAGGAGGCGGTTGTGGTGGTGGTGGTTGTGGTGGCGGTGGTGGTGATTAGTGACGAGTATAAGTCCTGAGTTGTTGGTTTATTTCTGTATGTAATTGTTGAGCGTCTCCTTTCAACTGGACGTATCTGCCAAACAACTTGAACGCGAAGTTTTATCAATCAAGCCAACTGCTGTCTTCTGCTTAACCCAAGGAACTACAAACATGCTGTGATGGTTCTAGTTCTAGCCAGTTCCACGTCAACAAACTAACACTCAACTTTACTCATGCAGTGTCTAACAAAGTCATTGAATATGAAATGCAACAGCCCCTCTTACATTGTCTGTCACTATAGGCTATACCAGCCAGGCGGTAGAACCACGTGCCAAAGCTTGACATATCGGTGCCTGTTTATTGCTTATACAGCTCACAGTGCATATTTCCTCTGTGCCACTCACCAACCCAAGAAAACCTTTCTCTGGAACGAGTCAACCGTCTCATGGTGGATTGGTTAGAGCATGAATCATGTCTGAGCGGGACATCCGCTTGTCAAACTCCCGGCTCGTGATTCGGCTGCCTTGGGCACTTAAAGCTGCTCAAGGTTCTTCCCCACTAGTTAAAGAGGTTTTCTATCACATCGCCACGGCCCGAGTGGTTTTCTTGTTAGGGCTTTGACACATGGCTAGTTAGGGAGCACGGCATGATGTCGGTACCATTTAGCTGGCGTTAGCACTCTATTTGGACTGCAGAGTTTGATCTTGAGCGATTTATAAGTTCTGCAAGAGGTTTTGTTTTGTTCACAATCATGTACCAGTGAACGAATAGTGATAGCGCTTTCGTGTGTGGTTGCTTGTCTATGTATAGTCGACAAGGTAATGCTACAATACAACCCAGCTGCCTCTCAACACTCAACACAACAAGAATACTTCCAGAAACAAGGCAGTAAAAATCACAAGCTTTTTCAAGATGCACACACTTTAATAGACCTCCACTTCTTTTGCGACTAAAGGCTTTATCTTGCCTCGTCCCCTCTCGCCCGCTCTGACTTGATGGCTACTCCACAGCACAAACGTGACTCAAGAGACCAAAACCTCCACCAGTATCCGTAAGATGTACACATCAGCGGTGACGATAACGAAAACCCTCAAGTCTTACAGAGCATGACTGCAGCAGCAGCAGCATGTCACTCACCAAAAAAACACGTACACACTCAACGCCAAGATAATCAGAGTCTGCTGGGTGTAGGGTAGGGCAGGGCTCTTTTGGCTCCACCGACGCCACGTTGTGAGGTGTGCCATGTGCCAGGTACTAGTCAGGGCACGCATCGCTGTGATTGGCTCTGTGTTCAAGTACCTGAAAGCCGTTGAGAGGTAAAAATGTCAAGGCCAAACAAAGTTTATGACTCGTTAACTAACGAACAACTTGAATAATAGTAAAGTTTCTTCTAGTTGGAATGATAGAGAAGAAAAAACAAGCACATGGCATTCCAACGGGTTCTTGCGGGCCGCTACCGAGAAACGAGAATTCAGCTTCTGATGGACTGTGTGTGTGACAGTCTTTTGCAACCACCTTCGTCATAGCTGAACTATTCTGCGTAAACACTCTGTAAAGCGACCGTCACTCAATATTCTAAAAAGTCCTATAGAAACATGTCACAAGCTAATTCATTGTACAACCACTACCGGAAAACTCATCATCAGGAAAACAAATTCCCTCACACGATCCCGGAAGCAAAGCCAAGATGCATTACTGTAGCCCCTACGTTAGAACAAGTTGAACCTGCATTAACACACCGCCAGCGCAGGTCCAGGGCACGCGTGGGCAACTGGGAGCCTATCATAAAAAAGCCTGGTTGTCATGTCCCCATCATAGAGAATAAACCAAGAATTCAGTGACAAAAAAGAGAAAAGCACATGCAAGAAAGCGAAGAGATTTCCAACAAAGACGGAAAGATTTCTGTTGATCAAGGTGGGAGAAATCCCACACACAGTGTCGTTTGGTTGCTATCTGATTTAACTTTTGTTTTTGTTAGTATCAATACCCAGATTACAGAGTTGCTGGAGGTTGTGTTGCATTCAGCACGCACGAATGACACACCGATTCAAAACTGACTACAATTGATATTCACAAGTGGGAGTAGACAAATGAGGAACGAAGTGATATATATATCATGAACAATACTATGAATATATAATTTAGAAGATGTAATAAAGATGATCCCAAAGTCTGTATCCAAGATGGCTCTGGATAACAGTTAAATCCCGCGCACCGTAAACACCAGGTATAGATAGAATAAGCCCAATTCTATAAAATCAAGTTTACCAAGGCATGGTCCGCAAAAGACCAGACCACAATCCGTTGGATAGCTTAACCCTTGTAGTCAATGTCGACAGTGAGGCTGATCTTGCCGGGGTAGATGTTGAGACCAACGCCATCCTCAGCCTCCATACCACCGAGGTAGGCGTTGTCACCAGTGCCACCGGGGTAGATGGTGGAGCACTTGTCGACACCGCAGACTCGGAGACCGGGGATGTCGAGCTTCTTACTGGCGGAGACGAGGCAAGAAGCGTCAGCTCCGGACCAGCCATGGTTGCGGGTGCTGCCGAAGTCGAACTCGAGCCAAGTGCCGGCCCAGAGATCATCATCGGTGGAGGGAACTTCGCCGGAAGCGCAAGCGCAGCCACCCTGGGAGTTCTCGTCGAAGGCAACGTCCTGGGAGCCCTTGGCAGGGACGGTGAAGCTGAGGGGAGCCCACTTCTTGAAGAAACCGTCGATCTTGCCCAGAGGACCGATCTTGTTCCAGCAGACACAGGTCTTCTCGGTGTCGTGGGCGTTCTTGAAGGTTGTGACGTAGTCGTACTTGGAAGCGACGTTGGAGTCAATGGTCATCATGTTGCAGCCGTAGTCGCCCTCGACGCCGGTGTTACCGGTGGCGGCGATATCCTCGAGAGTGGCACGCTTGGTCTTCTTGCCACCACAGAAAGGCTTGTAGCCAGAGCCGGAACTGTGCTTCTTGCCCTTGTTGGTCTTACCAGAAGAAGGAGAGGCGGCAGAGGGACCGGAGGTGGCCTCAGCCTTGGGGACAGCGGGGGCCTCGTACTTGGGAGCAGCAGGCTCAGGAGCAACGGCGGGAGCGGTGGCAGCAGCGGCCTGGACAACCTGGGTAGCGTACTCGGTGATGGTGACGGGCTTGTTGGCAACGACGAAATCGCGCTGGGCGTGAGCACGCTGATGAGCGTGGCCGCTGGGGTGGGCAGAGACACCAAGGGCGGCAGCCAGGACGACGGCGGAGGAAGAGAACTTCATTTTGATTGTTGAGTTTTTGTTGAAATAGAAGTTGCTTTTGGGAGTATTTCCGGAATACGTCTTTTTGCCTTTATATAAGGACTGGAAGCTAAGTTGGTTTAAGGGAGTGTTGGCAACGCGGAGCGCTGTGAAAGAGTGACTGAAAGGCGAAGGCCGTGATTCCAAAAAAGACTGATGGGTGAGGACAGAAAGAGAGACAAAAGAGGGAGGAGATGAGGGTTATAAGGCGAGCAAGGGGTGTGTGTCCTGGGCCTCCTTTCAACCCGATATGGGTGGTGTGTTGTGGTGTGTGCGGACGCCATGTCTCTCTCGTCGTCCGCATTCACACATTGGTACCCCCCTGCACTCCAGCGTGTTCAGGTTCTTTCCCCAAGGATACTGAAAACCCTTGCTTCAAATTCCCACCTCCTTCTCTTATTTCCCCTGTCTCTCCGCTACGAGATGCACTGCTGGTTGTGGATCTGGGATGTGGGCGAGCAAGCAACGCTTGCACCGGCGCCGACGCCACGCCAATGCAGAAACGACGCTAATCAAAGCGTCCTGGCCCACCACCCTTTCGGTCCAAGTTCAAGTTCAAGCTCTGCCAGTCAGCCAATCTGCTTCCACAAGATCCAGGGGAAGGGGAGCCCATCCCTGCCAGGTACCAAGACCGCTTGATTGGACGATGTCACCCTTCCAGCAATTCTGAGCTTGAAATATTCAATTCGCCTGCCGTCTGCCAGCTTACTGTCCCTGGCGGGCCTCGTAGAGTCTCGTCGCTGGTCCACCGCCAGAAGCCAGGACCCAGAATCAGCGACAGACACAGGATCGCCGGCCGCGTAAGCAACCTCTGCCAGGTCCGGAGTTGTAAACGGAAAATACGACGCTGTTCCAGCGGTAGACTAGACCGGAAAGAAGCTAGATGTTGAAAGGTAATCGCTGATCTTCGCGACTAGCTCTTGGGTTGTTGATGCACATTGATTTTGTTTGCAGGCGACGAGATTGTTCATCTTAGAGAAGAGCATGAGAGGAGGTCGTGAGACCAGGGATATTTCTTGTGACCAGACATTGGCACATAAGTGCTGTGCTCTGTAGGATCGTTATATTGCCCAAATAATGTGACTGCTAATTCCGACCTGCAGCTTTCTTGCTTGTGCTTGGATCTTCGTCGTGTCTTGCAGCCCGACTGGTGCATGACTGAGTTGATGTCTGTCGTGGCAGCCATTATTGAATGCGGTGAATCAATGCTCGAATACGTGGACCCGTCGGAGCAGCGTAGGGTTATGCTCGATCCGAACTACAACCTGTGAGCTGTAAATCGCTACCACGCATCACGATACCCGTGATAGTGTGTATTCGCAGGCATGCATACGTCTTTGCGTGCGCGTATGGTAAACCGCACAGTTTCATCAACCGCTGTGGCAGAATGTGCCGGCATCAATCTGCCCGTTATGTTATTCCCAAGCTTCCAAACCTTCTCTTCTTCTTCAAGCCCCAGGAAATTCCCCGTCCCAAGTCCCATTCGCTAGCGGTAGAATAAACAGGCGCCCTCTCCCTCACCGTTCGATCCGCAGTTGGCGTGTTTCGTAGTGGTCTGTCGCCCTGTCCCGGACGACGCTTCACGCCGCAACCGCCTCCTTTCCAAACAGTAAACAAAAAGATAAAGCTGGGCTAGCCATGATCAAATTAGACACTTTCGCTTCCCGGATTAGAATGACGCTTGGCTGAGAGGGAGAGGCCAGAAACGCTGTGGGCGATTTGGCCATGGTCCCTGGGGGCTGAGGAAATGAGACGAGCTAGCCAGTCACGGCTCAGGAAAGGACTTTGGCCTGATTCAAGAAAGTGAGGCCTGGGCTGAAGACGCTCTCGATCCAGTAGGCGGTGATGAGTGGCAGATCTTGCCATGCCACAAACGGTCCATAAGTGACATTGTTTGATGGCATTTCCTTGTCTCTCAATTAAGACAAAGAAAGGAATGCTTTTAGCAGAGAAGTCGTATAAAAGCATCCGGGTTTGGGAGGATATCCTCCAGATCTTGGTTGCTCTCGATCTTCGACAATTGCTGCAATCGCACATCTTCAACTCCTGATTGCCCATTGGGGAAAGCGAATAAATGAGAGACTCTTGGCAGCCCCAGCAACAACAGGGGAGTAGTGGGTGGTAGTCGGGTTTAACGCCTGTATCAAGCTTTCACCCATGCATACTTTAATATTGACCCTTTCCACGCCAACTCGCTACGGTTCAACCTCTCATGTAATAGTTAATGCTGAAGTCGAACAAGCATTGTTGAATACAGGGCTACAGGCAGTGGTTAGTTACTGTTACTCCGTACACCTTCGTCCTTCCTGAAAGCACCTTGCAACGCATCCACATACCAGCCGTGTCTTTGTCTCTAAAAAGCCCAACTGTCTCAGATTCATTTCTCACGAACAAAGGCATTATTGTACGGATACAGTCACGGGTATAGTCTCTGTGTACTATAGACCAGCTACCCGATACCATACAGCTCTCTCAAAGACTTCTCGACAAAACACGTTCCTGGTGATATGATACTTGCTACATGCTATATTCCTGGATAAGACGATATATGTGGAGAGTATCCGTTGCCAAGTTGCTATTTCTGTCCTGGCCTTTGCTATCCCTCAGGCCCGGCAGACACTCTCTTAGGGTCTTTCATGAGCGAGATTAGGGCAATGACAATCTTTCAATCACTATGCTATAGTTAGGAAAGGGGTCAAGCGCATTTGGAACGAACCGATCTTTGTTACATGCATGTTACGCGCCATTGAGATTTAAAGTAAAAGCCCCGGTTCCGGTTCCAGCATGGGGATGCTACTGCAAGATCAACAGTGAAACAGCCCATGGCTGGAAGCGGTTGACAGGAGGCAATCCGCCGTCAACGCCACGATCCACCCGGATCAGAAGCTAACGAGTAGATCATAACTTGATGGCAATCTTATTACTACCTACTCTGTACTCCCTTACTCCCTACAGGAGTCCATGCTCAACTCAATCTCAGGAGCTCAGCTTCACAGCAAATGGCATCTCAAGTCGCATCCGAAGTAACAGGCACCAAAAAGCACTGTATCAGAAGTAGCTCCTCATAGCATCCTCGTAGCCAGAACCACCCTTCAGATCCTGTCCAAACTTGGCATGGACATCGAGAACTTGTCGGATGTGACGCATGCTAAGCGCCTCGCCCTTGTTAACGGCGAGATCCTGAGCTGAGCCTACCACGTTCTTGATTTCGCGGCCATTCAGATCCTGCTTCGATAACACGTTGAAGTCGTCCTCCGTCAACGGCTCTACCTTGAGCTTGCCCAGCTTCTGAACCCGGTCCAGGAACATCTTGAAGATGGTCCGCTTTGCTTTGGAGTCGAGGTTCTCGTATCGCAATGCGATGTGAATTCGAGACTGAAAGGCTTCGTCGAATGTCTGATATAAGCTCAAGTCAGTAACTGTCCGCCAAGGAAAGCTAAAAGATTTTGGATACGCACCTCTACCCGGTTGGTAGTAAGGAATAGAATTCCCTGGAAATACTCCAACTGTCGGAGGAAGATGCTCACAAGAGCATTGCGATGAATGTCGTGCATGTTGCGCTTCTCCAAAAACACATCCGCTTCATCTAGCAGGAGGATAGCACCCCAAGCATGGCAAATATCCAATATCTTCTGCAGCTCCACCTCTAGGAAGCGCGAGTCCGTTCCTAATTCTCCAGCAGATGCCATATACAACGGACACTGGAGCAGCTCGCCGATACCCTCGGCAGTGAGTGTCTTACCAGTTCCAGGAGGTCCATGAAGAACGGCTGCGAGAATGTTAGCTTCTTCCACACAGAACTATTGCAATCGCATTACTTACTGACAAGGCCTTTTCCTTTACCCTGGATAACATCATCAATGGTGTTAGCCGCATGGTACTTGCGTGACTTGACAAGAGCTTTGATCAGTTCCTTGGTGCCGTCGTCAAGAACGAGCGAGTCCCAGGCTTTTTCATTCCACTTGATGTCGTTGACGCCAGAGACGGCGAGCTCGAGCCATTGCTTCTCCGAGAAGGCGAATCCAAGCACCACTGGTGAGGCAATGAGATACTCTTCGTCAGTAAACTCGAGAACATCCACATTCTCTTCGTCCTCGTCTTCACCTTCCACTTCCACTTCCCCTTCACCCTTCTTAGACGGAAGTCTATCCAGTTCGACCTCCGATTCCTCCTCGATCAAGTGCTTGGGGAACCTAACCATTCGCACCTCACCGTCCGAATCCTTATATACTTTGGTGACCATCTTGACCTTTTCCCCATCTTCACCGTCTGAGCATTCGGAACAACCCTTAGACTCCGAGTCCGAGTCCTCCGCATCAGAGAGGATATCTGGGTCCTTGGGCTTAACAGTCGAGACGTGGTAGTTAGGATTGATTCTCCGAAAGATTGTAGGGTCGATCATGACTCGGCTAGGCTGGATGTTGAACTTCATAACCATTCCCTTCTTACGCTTCATGAAGGCAATTCCTGAATAGCCCTTGTAGTGAACACCACTCAGCGAGACGAACTTCTTACCCCGCTCCACCAAATCACGACGAAGTTTGTCTTCGTTATGATGGTATTGAAGCGGGTAGCAAGAGAGACTGGTGATCTTTTTGGCGCCCTGGAACTCATCTATATCCACAGACGTGTTGCCATAGCCGAAGCGCTTACCGTCAAACTCGAAATACTTTCCATCGACGTAGTAGTAGTCTCCTTTGAGGATACTATGGTGGAGGTGTGTCACCTCGACCTTGAATACCCGGGGCTCAGACGTGTTTCCGTAGGTTGTGGTGTAGGCCAGTGTGTTGGGCTTCCACAGTGCCCAAAGCAAGTCGAACGTGATAAGACCGCTCTCCAACATGGGATAGAGGCTTTCTTTGATAGATTCAAAATCATGATCCAGGTACTTGATCACAACCTTAAGATGCTTCCTCTTGTCCTTGAGACGCTCTTTGTTCTTCTTGCGAGACTTCTTCGAATCGCCAGCTGGTTTGGCTTTCCGCAACGCCTTCAGATGATGGCGCATTTCTTCCAAGTACCTGTCAAGAGAATCAGTGAAAATGCTACAAGCAATTGTGTGAACACGTACAGAAATAAGAGATTGGGGCTAATCCTAGGCGTCTCGTCCACAAGGCTGACGCCTTCGACATTACCGATAACGTCCTGCAAACATTCGCGGAGGAGTTTACTCTTGATGTCAATAACAGTGGCCCGGTATTTGCCCTCCCAGTCGAAGGTTCGGCGAACATGGAAGATGTAATCTTGGTATTGGGCATCGTTGTTTGCATCAGCTGTGTCCTGTAGTTTGTAGTTGTGGATATTGGTGTCCCACACCTGATCCACGCGCTTGAAGGCAGGATTCTTGGCCTTTTTGTCCTTGGACTTCTTCTTATCTACAGAAGTGCGATCATTGGAGTCCTCATCCAGATCACTGCTCTGTGGCTCAGCCAGCCTGCGGAGTGTTGTCCTAGAGGGCAGACGCCTGCTGCGCCTGGCGGCGGCAGATGCTGAATCTAGAGGGTTTGGGAGTAGAGACAATGAGGGGTGCTGGAAAGAATACGGGTTGACAGAGGTTCCATAAGAGGCGATGTTGTTTGAGTTGGCTAGTTGTTGCTGAAGTTGAGCGAATTGAAGCTCCAGAGCCTTGAACTGGTTCTTAAGGTTGGAAGGTTTCTTGTCAGTCTTTTTCTTTGCTTCGTTGTCCGATGAAGCGTCAGAATCTGACGACATAGATTCAGTGTCAGAGTCCGAGTCCGAATCTGAGTCGGTATCAGAAGAAATTTTGGACTTCTTTTTGCTCTTGTCATTCTTCTTCTGCTTGGTCGACTTCTTGGTAGTTTTCTCCTTCCCTGAATTTGTCTTGTTGGCACTTTTCTTGCTCTTGGCTTTGCCCTTCACCCCGATATGCTTTTTAGCAGCTGGTGTCGGTTTGGGAGAAGCTTTATCGTCATCAGCATCAGAGGCAGCCGCCACACTCGAGCTATCAGAACCCGCAGCATCCTCTTTCTCTTCCGAGATGGTTTCGGTCTCCTTTTCCTTTCCCTTCTTATCCTGAGTCTTCTTCTTGGAGCTGGAGCTACCCTTAGTAGTTCGCTCAGCAGACTCAGAAGAAGCTGCAACAGGGTCTGCCGACTCTGCTTCTGATGCTTTCATGGTATCAGATTCTTTCTGTGGTGATTTCTTGTTAGTCTTTAAGCCACCCTGACGATCGGATGGAGCGGTGGACTCTGTATCTTCCATCTTTGTAGGGATTTAACCACACAAGGGTAGTTTTGTTTGACGAGATCGGAATAGATGGTGTTTGCTTTGCATGTAGGTTATGCTGGACGTTGAATAAGAGAAGAAGTTGTAAATCAGAAGTTCAGAGGGGACAAGTGCCCCGAAACTGCAAGCACAGTATCGGGGGAGGGAGAAAAGGGAAGAGAGGAATATGAAGAGACTCCAGAGCCGAATCAAATGTGTTGATGGGGAAGGTAAAATGGAGATGTTCGTCTCTTGCTAGTTTGCAATCTCGATGGCTTAAGCTGGATGAGATGCTTGAATATTTTGATGGAGTATACTTCAAGCGAACGCTGATCTCATGCAGGTTTGATGCTGACAAGGAGGACTATATTCCTGAAGAACTAAGACGACGAAGACGATGGTTAGGGGCCAACCCGTTTCTTCTGATCTCCTTGCAAACCTTTTGAAGGTAGAGACGATCGAAGATATTTCTCGTTCTTCGGAACGGTTTGCTGAAGAGATACCAATGTCCAGATTTTAGGTATGAAAGGGTAGTTGCTTGATGGTAGTAAAGGTTCAGCCCGGAGGATGATAAACAATGGGCGATGAAGAGGGGATTAAAGAATGAGGGGAAAGGAAATACTTCCAGAGGATGGAGGCTGTGCAGGTAATAAGGCAGCGAAGAGTTGGCCGCACATGTTGCTTGCAGGTCATCAGGCAGATTTAGAGGCCAGTTGCATCGCATTACACAGAAGGCAACATGAGATGAATAAAGAGGCCAGTGCAGGCACCATCTGCACATAAGCCACAAGGGAAATGCACATTGGAAAAAGGCATGAAAGGATATAGCGAACTGATTGGACAAGTATGGTTCAGCAACAAAGATTCCACTGCATTGCCCCGTTGGCCTGGGCAGGTTTTAAATTGATAGGACAATGGAGGTGATCAAGTTTGTTGCGATACACATCAGGTAACCATGAAGTGTTTTCAGCCTTGATGCTGCCTGGAGCAAGAAGTCAAGGTTCTGTAGGACATTTAGTGCCCTCATGTAGTGTGAAGGACATAGGCCAATCTGGCCCTTTAGTGACGGATACAGGACATTTTGAGGTTCTCCCAATCTACACCGAGAAAGTCACATTGATTATCGCGTGAAGTGTGAAGTATAAGAGGTGGTGGGTCAGAGGCCAACGCTAGTGGGGGACCATGACCGATGACAGTTGATGATCGTCAGCCTCAACTTTTGGACGGCTACGAATATCAAGGTTTCACTGCAGATGAGCAACATCCGAACAGATACTGAAAAGTGTAGAATGCAAACTCCACCAATGTCATCTTGTGTAGAGTCAAAATCACTGCTCACCAGGTTCTCAAGCAGTACAAACTGCATCTACAGTCATGCACATTGATCAACAATCAATCAACCAACCGCCTTACCCTTTTTGAGGTATCAAATGAATGATCTTGACGCCAAGAAATTAGCCAGCAGTTTGACCTCTGCCTCCACCTCCGCATGCTGTTTGACGTGAAAGAGGATTACACCGGGCCTATCCCGTACCGGCTACTGTCATGGCCCACTTGTTTGCTGAGGCTCTGTGTTGAAGCACGAAACATCGCGGCTTCATAAACCATATTGACAGCAGCCTGTAATATTTCGCGATTGAAGTATGACCTGGGTAAAATCGGGGTTATCGAACAACCCCGCTCGTATCGGTGCAAAAGACGATCAAACACGATAAATGACAAGAACGGGCTGGGTGAGCTGGATTGTTTTGCTGCAACAACCCATATGCGGTGCTTGTGTTCATCTTTGTGAATATTCTAGCCTCGATCGTCCATGACCAATAAACGATCTATAGATTTCTAACCACCGTTGATGCGCTGGCGATGTGCAGATGATAGCCACAGCAGGAAGCAACCGACAAACGCCAGCCCGCAGTGTCACTTCATCGGACGACCAGGACGATAATTTTAGAATGAAAGGGATCGGTAGCCAGTCCTGTCTCACAGCTCCCTTGTCTAGGTGCCTGGCAGCCAGTCTGAACCAGGCAGCCAGGCAATAACTTGAGAATGAATTGAAAAGATATCACGACAAGAACTGTACTACCTGGTAGGTAGGTAGTTTGTCAACATTTAGTCGCAATGCTGTGGGTATTTTTATTTGGTGAAATAAGAAGCATTGTAAAGAAATATCGGGGAATTGACTTTTGAAGCCAAACACAAGAGAGACAGAAGCAGCAATGCCGATAAGCAAACATTGGTTGATGTTTCATTCTAACACATGATAAACAACAGCAGGAACTGTTATCGGATCGAGATCGAATCATAATTAAGCATTGACCAAGGTTCTACCCATGAACCAAGAAAAAACCTGGTCTGGAATCACATCCCTCCCCCACTTGCAGGCTACAAGCCGCTCCATCTTAATGAAGTCAAGCTTGTGATTCTGAATGATCGAAATAAGTAGATTTTGCGCCATTGACTTGCAAGGCAATGTTGATGTAAAACTGAGGGAGTTTGCATCTGAAGGACACTATCATAAGATAAACAAACACATATACCTACAGGAACCGCGTAGCTATAAACATTGATGATCATCGTGAAGTCTAGCGCGCCCCGCGACGGGCCCTTCCTGCAAGCAAAAAATAAACTATGGGGCCAAGCACTGAACGCACTGCACCTGAAAAGCACAGACCGTTCGGCTGTTTCTCAGTGGACCAATTGCCAGCCTCTGCGACGTCATCTCAGTCGCAAAAAGATAGCTCCCTCCAGCTAAACCCAGGTTGGCCGCTGGCGGTTGGTTAAACCTTGACTTGGGGGAGAAGGAGCAGAACTTGGAACGAGCAGTTCACTGTTCACACTCTCCTCCTCTTCTTCCTCTTTTCATTCTGAGGAAAATTGCCCAGGCTTGTTTCTCCTACAAGCTGCAATCGCCCGTCAATTGCTGTACAGAGATCTCTCTGAGACAGCTTTCGCTTCCGGATCTAGATTTAGTTTGATCCGTTGCGACACAGCATCGCGTCTTTGGAACCCGGCAGATTGCGAGACCAAACCCCGAGTCAAATCTTGTCCAGGAATCTTCGAGTCGAGAGCCCCTCTCTACGTGCTCGCTTCCTATCTCTCAACCAAGCCCCAGGACATCACCCCTATCATACACTCACAGCATTCACCATGCCTGGCCCTTGGGATCGTGTCAAGAGCTTCTTCTCCAATGGAAACTCCAGTCGCCGCGAATGGCTTCATGAAGAGGAGAGAGCCCGTATGTAATTCCAATGATAAGAAACCAGCCATTGAGTTAACCTTTAATCAGTCCTACCAAGCCATAGGAACCAAGGCATTGCGTCTGCCATCCCGCCGGCCGAGGTCATGAAGGTTTGCCTACGACTGCGACACTTGATCCGCGAATGTGTTCCCTGCGAGCTTGAAGAGAGCGCCATCACCCGATCCCACAGCACGGTCATCACCAACAAGGTTGTCCAGGCGGCCAAGGAGGCCGGTGGTGAAAAGTACCGGGCGTGTGTTGTATGTCGAGCCTCCCTGACGACCTTCAACATGTCATGCTGATTGTGCCTATTAGGTCTATGCTTTATTGGTCAACATGCGATGGTTCAAGCGGGAAGCAACCGCTGAGTTGTGGGATGCCGACCTCCATGCCCTTCGTGCTATCGCCTGTACTGTCATTGCCAAACAGATGTAAGTCTCGGCCCATTCACTTTCGTAGCGGCCCTCATCTAACCCCTACCAGTATCGAAGGAGAAGAGGATATTGAATATCTGCTTCACCATATCCTTCTCCGCCGATACTCTTTCATCATCGACAAGGTCCCCACAGCCCCTACCAATGTCGTCGAGAAGGCCGTAGATCTACACGCAGTACGAGTTATTGGATCTTCTGGTTACCAGAAATGCATTCAATACCTCTGGCGTGGCTGGTTGGTCCAAGACGAAGACGATCCGTCCCAATTTGTCGACTACAAGAACAAAGCCAATACTGGCTTTTTCATCCATATGGACCCCGATCGTATGCGTTCCCCTCGCTATCAAAACGCCGCCCAGCTTCTCTTTTCCATCATCTACCTCGCCTTGTACACGGCCGCAGTCAACTCTGCCAATGCATCAGGAGTGCTCGACGGTGCTGAAATTGCGCTTTACATCTTCACTTTTGCCTATGTTTGCGACGAATGCCTCAAGTACTACAAAGCTGGCTATCACATCTTGGGATTCTGGAACGTCTTCAACTTTGTTCTTTACGGATTCTTGACTGCTTCATTGGTCTTGCGCATAATAGGACAAGCATATTGGAACAATGGCGAGGTGCATAAGAAGTACAATGAACTCAGTTACAATGTGCTATCATTCGTCGCGCCTATGTTCTGGTCTCGTCTCTTGCTGTACTTTGACAGCTTCCGATTCTTTGGCGCTATGCTCGTTGTGCTGAAGGTTATGATGAAGGAGTCACTCATCTTTTTTGCGTTACTTATCGTTGTCATCGTTGGGTTTCTCCAGGCATTCATTGGTCTGGATATCGCCGATGACAATGTTCTCGGAGACACTTGGTTCATTATTGAGGCAATGCTTAAGGCTATTATGCAAAGTCCCGAGTTTGATGGATTCGAAGATTTCGGACACCCCTTTGGTTTGATTCTCTACTACTGCTTTACCTTTGTTGTCATGGTGAGTCAATAACAAATCCTACCTCAGAAGAACAAATCTAACAATTCCACAGATCATTCTCCTCAACATCCTCATTGCGCTTTACAACTCAGCCTACGAGGATATTTACGAGAACGCCGACGATGAATACCTGGCACTATTTGCACAGAAGACGATGCAGTTCGTTAGAGCTCCTGACGAGAACGTCTACATCGCACCATTCAACCTTGTCGAGATGGTGATCTCAGGTCTGCTGGAATGGTGGGTACCCAAAGACACGTATGAGTTCATCAACGATTGTGTCATGGCCACTCTATACTCCCCTCTCCTCTTCGTAGCAGCCTGGAACGAGAGACGCGACGCTCGCAAGATTCGAAGCAACCGCTCACGAGGCGAGGATGATGATGACAGGGTCTTCGAATGGGAACAGTTCCACGAGGACTTCGACATGGAAGGCGAAGGTTGGACCAAGACCTGTGAGATCGTCAAGCCTAATGTGGAAGACGAGCCTGCCGTGATCGAAGTACGCAAACTGCGGTCTGAAGTGGAAGACCTCAAGACAATGCTTTCGCAACTCACCAACGCTATGCAAGGGAGCGACAACAAGACATTGACTAGTTCGACGAGCGGCAAAGAACCAGAAGCTGAGGACGACGACGACCAGGACAATTCGGAAGCTACCGAGACCCAAGACGCGCCGGAGACATCTGATACCGCAGAGGCAGAGGCAACTTCAGGTGATAACAAACAGGGCAAGAAGAAGAACAAGAAGAACAAGAAGAAGGGTCCTGGCTCTAGTAGCTAAGGATTAGGATCGCGCAGCAGTTGATTTGCTTTACTATACTTATGCAATTGAGTGTGGGCCAAGAAACCTTTCTTATGAGCTTGTCTTAGGTTTAATGCTCAAGACCCCTAGACCCGGGACAATTTGTATGCTTCAACGGGTGGTTGCAATATTACTTGTATATCTAATCTTGTTGAATTGATATCCATGATTATCAAAGCTTTGTGTGATTGTGAATAAATATCATTCATGCTGCTCTTATAATCTCAGCCAACAATTAACAGAAGTGAACATGGTGAAAAATCTGACCGAGTTGGATAATGTGTGATTACTAAAAGTCTTGTCACAAACGGCCGTATCCATTTATCTCATGATCCAAGACAGAGTCCTTCATCTGGTTCTTCGCTAATAATTCAAGTTTCGTCTTCACTCCGTGGCCCCTTCCTCTGCAGGAGGAAACACTTTCCTATGAAGACAAGTCAGTTGATGTACATGGGCGAGCAATCGTCCGACTTACGGGAGCGCCGCATTGTATGCGTCGACATCAGGGGGGACAAACGTAACAAAAACCACTTTAGAAAGTGTGTTGCCTTCTTCAGTCTCAAGAAACTCCCTTACAGTCTTGCATGCGATCTTGGCGGCGGAGGAGCTTGGGAATCCGTAGATGCCTGTGCTGATGGCGCTGAATGCGACACTCCCCAGGTTGTTCCTCACAGCAACCCTCAAACTCTCGCGGTAGCAGTTCGCCAGACTCTCCCTAGGGTTTGGGTCGGTATCGTAAACTGGTCCGACGGTGTGGATGACATGCTTGGCGGGGAGGTTGTAGCCCTTTGTGATGACAGCCTCGCCAGTGTTGATGGGACCCAGCGGGCTACATTCCCGGACCAGCCGATGACCAGCAGCTCTGTGAATGGCACCGTCAACACCACCGCCACCTAAGAGACTCCTGTTTGCAGCATTGACGATGGCGTCCAGGCGCAGTTTGGTGATGTCGCCGCGGATCAAGCCAATACGCTTGTTGATGGATTCGCTGGCAGGATAGTCAGGCTCCCTTCTGGCAGAGAGGGCGGCCTCAGAAAGGTCAGACTCAGAGTCACGATAAAGTTGAGAGAGACTGGGAATCTCGCCAACGCCTCGAGTAGCCATTGCGATAGTTCTCTTAGCGAGCATGAAAGTAAGTGAGTTGTGGTGGTGTTGCTTGTGGCAGTCCTGAATGACTGAACTGCAGATTGTCAGGATCCAAGTTTGAAAGGGAAAAGAGCAAGGCAGTTAAATTTATTTACCGATAAGGCTGTGCTTTATTGCGCTGAAAGTTATCGCGAATCTCCGAGGCGTCTGCTAGCAATATGCTATGATGCAATAAGTGATCGAAGGACCTGTGCTTTGCTTTGATGAATCAAGAACAAAGAGTTGGGAGTTGACCGTGAAAGTTAGATGTAAGATGAAGGGGAAGTCGGGAGGGGGCGATCTCAGACTGCGTGGTACTTGCACTTTTGTTTGCTTCTTTGTTCCTCGTGAGAATAGGAAGCAATGACCAAGGCTCAAGGTCAGAGACGGGAAGCTCAGGTGGGACTGGCCCGTTTCTGGAAGCTTGGATGGAGGGGCAAGTCTCAGTGGGGCTCACTATCGATCTCGCTAAGGCTTAGTCCTCGATTAACAAACCTTAGCTTTAACACCAACCGTTTAAACACTTCACAATACAAAGAACTCTGGCATTATCAACTGTTGATCACATAACACAAACGGAATTTTATTCTCTATTTCTAATACTCTTGTAAGGACTAGGAAGAGTCAGTAATGAATGATACCTTTGAGCCACAATTCAGACCTTGTTGTAGATACGTATCTTGAAACTCATGTGTAATATGATCCCTGTTTAAATACTATCTAGAGACTTTCCTAAATGTTAAAATATGAATAATTTTAGATAATTTTATTAGGTGGCTTAGGTATGATAAGACAAGAAACACAGTACTGGTATTGGATTAAAAACTCCAACATATCACCACAAAGAAACACAAAACCTATCCACACAAGAAATCCCCAGGTCTAAGCACTTTGCCTTCCAAAGCTCGCGATAAACTTCCGCCAAGCCCATGGGCTTGCTTTCTCCTTCTTGGTGCTCTTTACTCTATCTTTCTTGGTGCCCTTTGCTTTCTTTTTCTGGGAGCTTGACTTCGAACCTCGTTCTCTTTCTTTGTCTTCTGAGATATCCAGCTTCTGCTTCTTGGTGTGGACTGGCGCCCAACTTGACTTTCGTTTCAAGCTCTGCTTTTTTGCTCGCCCTTCAGATGTCTTAGAGAACGCAAGATCGCTGCTTCCACTGCTTGACTGCTCGTCCTCAGCATCTGAAGAGTCAATAAGAGTAGTTTCGCTTCCATCTCGCTTCAGCTGATCTTCAATCTCTGATAACTCGGTATCGCTACTGCTGGGGTTAAAGTCCGACACCGCTGTGGCACGATTTCCAAACCCTGAGAAACCCCCCATAAAGATATCATCGTCCCATAGAGATCTTGGAATTCGATCATCGAGAAGTCCTTCCCTAGGAATAGGTGGTAGAGGGAGAGATGCTACTGGAGGTAACTTCAGTTCGTGTTGCTGCCGCGATTGGTCAGGGTCTTGCAGAGTGTCCGTCTCGAGTTGAGTCTCATATTCTTCTTCCAGTTCCTCATCAAGTTCCTCATCCATGTCCTCGTCCATTTCCTCGTCAATTTCCCCGTATGGTCGCTCGTAGATGATGGGGTTCCTCATAGGGAGTGATAGTCCAGAAGTTTGTTGAAGATCCTCGGTGACTGTCTCGCGGACAGCATATGGGTGAGGCATAATGCCATGTGGTGCCGCAGGTGCATCCCCCAGGCGCCCATTTACCCAAGCCGCCATATCAGCTGCAGTTCCTGCTTTCCATGCAGATGGCTGGCCTGGCTGATGTGCCGGGAAGGCTGAACTGCTTCCTGAAGCATAAGAAGCGAATGGGGAATTGGCAATGTTGAAAGACTGTCCAACACTAATCGGTAGAGCCTGGTTTTCCACGCTCATCTGCTGGAACTTGGGAGGAATGCGAGACGGTTCGCTAGCCTGCGCTGCTGCATCTGCCTGCAGAGTAGGAATATTGTAAGACATATTATTCTTGATGCGGTTGACCATCTCCTCTTCTGCATCTCTGGTCTGTTGGGTCAAGCGACTAGCTAGTTGCCTGACTCCGGCGAAATCAAAGATACCTGTGGATGGTCCCTTGATCTCTCGATCCCGGGCAGTATCGCCTTCAGCATCATCCAGAGTTCCGGCCAATCTTTGGGCAATGCCCAGCTCATCGGGATCCATTCCGGGTACAACGATCTTATACCCTCCCAGGTTGAATACTGACTGGAAACGCCGTTTGAACTCTTGCAGATTTTGCAATTGTTTCCCTGTCAGACTCATCATCTCCTTCTTGGCCAAGAAATAGAATCTTTGGTGCGGCTTTCGGTTTGACTTGCGTAGCATAGGCATGGACATCAAAAGGTCACGCCAGTTATGCTCGTATGCATTAACATCCAGCCGCAACAACCGCGAGATGTCCTCAACCCTTTGACCGAGATTCAATGCTCGTTGGTGCCATTCTCCGTCGAATTGTTTGATACCTTGGTCCGCAAACTCCATGACAGCGACAATGTTGCTCACTGATGACAGCATCTTATCGACTCGTTTGCGCCAAGCATCAATATGTCCGGGGGCAAGATGGAAATACAGAGCCCAATACGTACTTCCAAGCTGGTATAGCTCGCAGGTCATACTTTCCATATGTGCAAGCTCCCTTTCGAAATGATGCATGAAGTCCACAAGCTTGGGTATCAGTCGCCCTTCGTATTTGTCCATTGTGACTATCCTCACTTGAGTAGCCCAGTCGGCGTTGCCACCTTGCCCCAATACATCGGCGAGCAGAGAGGATTGGTAGTCAGGATACCCTCCAAGCTCATACCATGCATTCTCCCAGGTTCCATAGAGGAACATAAGGACAGCGTTATCGGAAGAAGGTACATGTACTTGGACAAAGAATGCCGAAAACTCGCAGAGTATCATAAGAGTCTCGCTGCTAAGTTCGCGCCAAACTTTGTCTCGAGCATCCCATGCGGGCTGATCCTCCTGGAACTTGATAATCATGATATCGAACTGGCATGCTTCAGTGATGAGGTTGTTGAGGTAGCTATGCAACAGATAGCTGTTTTCGCTCGGATTGTCATCGTCTTTCAGACTATACATGTATTCCCATAGCCAGTCTGAATCGTCATCTGTGCCTAGATGAAGTTTGTCGAGCTTTTCTGGTGACCACGGAAAGATGGAAACATCATTGGGGTAGTGGCTGATTTTGTGAGGCTTTCTTGACGGCTCCCTCAAAGCTGCTGAGCCATACTTGTGAATCGACACGTCCCAGAAGGCTTGGGTGTAGTACTTCTTGATATCCTCGAAGCGAATGAAGTGCCTGATTTGCATATCCCGAATCAGTGGCGCCGCCAGCATCGGAGATGAATTTTTGGCGCCTTCTGGTTGCGTACAATGAGTGATAAGACCACCCGCCGTCTGCAGCAGCGAAGGGCTCGGACGTACACTCAGGATAGACTGTCCCCATGGCCAATAACCACCTCCCATAACCTATGTATCAACTTCGTTAGACATGTATAGGACCAAGATCTGGTTCCTGGACTTACGTGTGTCTCAAATGCATGCCCGACCTCGGAGTAAACATCGTTTTCGAAGTAAGGTTCTTCAAATCGATCCTGTTTGACCATGTCGTAGAGCTCATCATTCAACGTTCGACAGGCTTGGAGTTGTCTCATATCTGTAATCCCGACTGATTCGGGGTATTCAAGCCACTTCCAGTGAATGGAGACGAATGCATGCTATTCTGTGTGTCAGTGATTCAATTTCTTCGTCAAGAACCATGACCATCTGCTAGGGGGAACTTACCATCATCTCATGGGCCATGGTGGTCGAGAGTATAAGGCTCGCCATCAACTTCTCGCTCTTGGAGTACTGGTCAACTATCAGTGGCCAAACCAGTTCAGCGTCAATGTCGATAAAGATCTTGGCTCCCGGACCGAAGTATGAAGGGTTTCTTTGACGGCCCATGATGTGTTTTTTTGACTCCCCGTAAAAGTCGAATCCACTGGCCAGTCTGATGTTAAAGACTTGGCACAGGGCCTCCCAATTGGCTGCAAAGACATTAATGCCACTATCTTTCAACGCCTTCGCCCCGAAAACCCTCTTCGGATCCAGGGGGTTGAGCTCGCGCATGAACTTGAGTTTCCTCCATCTTTTTTGCTTCGGCTGGTTCAAGAAAAGACCCTCGTCGACCCACAATCTGTTTGTGACGTCTTGAAGACTTCGGATGAAGCTTTCGTCCATCATCAGGATCCTGGTAGCGAGTTGTAAGGCAGGCTGCATAGCATTCCATACTCGATCGTTATACTTGAGAAGTTAGTGATAGGATTATTCGTGTCTCCGTTTTACATACCCTGGGATCCCACTCTTCACGTTGACCATCTAAGGTATACATGTAACGAGGCCGATCAGCCGTACGCCCAAAGGCACGAGTATCTACCCATAGGTCACGAGAAAGAAAGCTTGCCGCAAGGATTAGCGAAGGTTGAAACAAATCAAGAATTATCCTACTGATATAAGGGGCCCGAGAGCTCGCTGTCTACGTCGTTTAACATGGTAAGATACCCCTCAGCTTGTACCTGGTGTTTGTTAGCCAACGCCAGAGGGAACTAAATGGACTTGCTCAGCTCACTTCATCCATTGTCAAACTCCCAAAAAGGATAGTCTGCCAATTTTCGTCCACAAGAAGGTCTTCATACTGTTGCATGTACTGCTGCTCAGTTTCGTCCAGTTTCTGTAGATCCGGCCGCGTCCTCTCCATATAGTCCTCGACACGCTCCCCTGATTGCTGTGCCAGTTCCTCAAAGCGGTCGAACAACTGCTTTCCAGTCTTCACCTCTGCGTTGGCAGGAAAGAGATGCCGGCTCTCGGTCCTAGTAGGTGAAGCTCTCGAGCGGCCATCGGTTCGACCGGGGAAGATGCTAAATCGTTGGGCGTAGATACTTGGCTTTTGGAACTGATCACGAGGTAGTAATGCGGGACGAAGTCGATCTAAGACCTTGTCTTGGATGTTGAAGACAGACTTTGCTCGTTCGGGTCCTTCATCTTTCCAATCTGGATCTGTCCAGACAGGGCAGTATTGAACGTAGCTGTAGCTTCCTTGTGATGCGCTCTTAGTCGGGGCACGAGGCTGCGTTCGCGATTGATCGCCCCCGGTTACATTGCTCGGATTCTGTGGGTTGAAAGCCATGGCTAGAAGATTGAAGCATGTGACAAGGAAAGAAGGAGGAAATTTGAATTTATGATACGAGAACAGGAGGGAGTCTTTGACGTTTATATCGATCCAAGAGGCGATCCAACAACACCCGCCATTGTAGTGCAAAGCAGCATTCATGCACAGACATTGTGAGTAAGATCACGAGCCGCTTGATGAGAAATGTTTCCGCAAATAGGCTCTCATTTTTCAACAAAGAGATCAGACTCTATAAGGATTCAGTGCGTCAATAATAGGGATTGAACTAGACCCTCACAGAGCTCAGCTCAGCTCCAAGATCTCTAGATTTGAATAACAAGGAGTAGGCAACAAAGGTTTACAAGCCACAAGACTGTAGCAGTACCGCCACAACCCATACTTGAATCAGTTGATGATACTCGCAAGGGTGTCATGGACAAACAAAGACATACACAAAGCGAGTTGGTCGACTTCAATCAGATCACGATTTTCAACATGGAGGAAATTAGGTACGGCGTTAAGTAGCTGTGTCTAAACGTCATTGATTGGACAAGAAATGATGCAGTACCAAAGCAAGCATTGACCGCCAAGTACATAAAAGTATTGATCTTGCATGATTAACAACAAGAAGTCAAAGGTGTTGGCTGAGGGCTTCCGGATGATCAAGTACGAATCGATCCATCCATGTACCATCATATTGAGTACATGAGTGCACCTTGCTATTTGTTAACCCCTTGTGTAATTTGTTGAGTATGACGGTTCTGAGGCAGTAAATATCGCTAGACATTACTGGCAGTCGCGATTATCATGTATAGCAACTGTCGGTGAGTGGCGGGGAGATAAATCCGGGGGATTCTGATGTGATCTGGGGCCCCGCGATATTCATGTCTGGGGATTCCAAACGGAGATATTTACAAAAAACAATTTGATATGATGAATTCCTGGTATTTATTACCTCGAGAGTCCAAACTGTACATGTTGCTTTGATACTCGACCTCTCGGAGGATCTTGGATGTGTCGCATCGCACGTGTGAACTCCGTACCCGTTCTTTGTGTCGGCTGGTGAATAAACGGTAGCCACTAGGATGAAAGTGCCGTGGCAACGTGGCGGAGAGAAAGGCAGGGAAACGCAAACGCAGCATTTTCTTTTTTTCCCTTTTCTCTCGTTTTTTTAGTCGTAAAGCCGGTCCCACCACCCATGATCAACCAAGGTCCAAGGGTCGAGGGGCAGAAACCCGATGGGGACTAGACTGCACATGTTTGACTTGTACAAACTCGGCGTGGCCGTCGTTTGTTGGGCGAAAGCTTTATTCTCGAAGACAATGGAAGACGTTAGGTTAGGAGTGCGATAATAGGAAGATATTCGAGGCCAAGAGAACTGGTGCAGTTCATAGAATTGCTGTGGGCTACCCAGATAAATGAGGACTTTCGACTTGGCTCAAGGTTAAACTTGGGGCACATGTTATACCGCATATATACGGATGCAAAAGTCAAGTATCAACAATCCACGGACTTATTGCTGCACTGCTGAGTACATATATATATATATATATATATATATATGTATATATCCTAAAGACAATCACTCTTCAAGATGAAGTTATCTAGGTGTACTTGAACTGTCTGTCCCCCATAATTTCATTTACAACTGCCAAGGTTCGCTAAAGGTAGAAGGCTTCATCAACGGGAGTTTCCTATGTGAAATAGAATTTGGCAGCACACCGACTATGGCACTGCTTTTATCCGAAGTTGGCTCGACGAAAGATCCTAGCATAACAAGTAAACGTTTGTTTCTTACGGAGTACCTGCAGAGGAGCGAGTCAAGCTATTCCAGGCTGAACTATGGAGTACGAATACGGTTATGAGGTCACTAGCTCTAAAGGCTCGCCAGACACTTTGTACGTAAATAAAAATATCGTAAAAGATGGCAATTGCAAATCTAGGTATCGATATTGAAACAAGGATCTCAAAGAATCTGTAACATGGACGCGGCTAAACGTGAGAGAGGTGGAGAGGCCTCGGAGGGAATAAAACACGGGACGTGAAATTCGCTAAATATTAGACTTTTTGGCCGGGACATTTCCCATAAAGTGAGAATAAGGATACGAAGACTGCTATCTCTTAGAAGAGGCTTTATGAAAGCTTAGGAGGATATAATTTGATAAACACACATAATTTTATTTGATATTATTACTTACTTCATTGAAGATACTTGGGGCCAACTCACAGCCCGTGATTTATTCCACCCTGGAGAGGTCGTCAGGGAGACGGCGGGAAGTGGATAATCGAGATAACTCAAGTGGGCAAAAATATTGGAGCAGTGGCTAGAGTGCTTCATTGATTCGAGGATAAGTTGACTACGAAGAGTAAGGAAGGACCTTGCCAGCTTTTGCCAGCTTTTCTTGATGGAAAAGCTGGTCCGAAAACATCCGTTGGGAACCAGACTTGCCAACGTTAGAGCCAGAGCCAGAGCCAGAGCCCAACGAAGCTTTGATATCTGTCCACTGAAACCTTTTGCAGGATATCTCAGGTCTCAATGCAGCAAAAGAAAGTCTAACAGGAAGTATCTTTGATAGCAAAATACCTTATAGCAATTATGCGTAGGGTTTCATCTCTCACGTTGTGACATAATTTGCCTCTTCTAAAGGGAACCGCAGATAATTAATGAATCGCTGTCCTCAAGATACATCATTTGTGGTGCATTATGCATGGGTCTAGCCCAGCGAGGCACTAAATCGGATATGCCTCCAGTTAACTTCCAGAGCTTTTCGAGACAAGCCCTCTCACCGCCCTCATCCACTTACTCGTTATAGTTTAGCTTATGCGCTGATAAAACCGATAAGCTGAGTCGCCGTCGCCGAGGAGGGGTTAAAAAATGGAGGGGTAGAGTAGAGCGGCGGCTTTGAAAATTTTGGTGGCAAAGGAAAAATTTGAGCGGCCAGAGTGCATAAAATTTGTGGCCCTGCCTCTCTCTCTCTCGGCCTTTTTTAATACTTCTACTTCTTCCCTCCTCTCCCATCTCCCTCCTATTCTCTTTTTCTTCCTCCTCCATCGCTCTCCGGTCGTCCTCCTCCAGACGAACCTCTCTCTTACTTTCTTTACTTCCGCGTTCTAGTTTGTTCTTCGGACTTACCTCCTTCGAACGAACACCGCCCCTCATCAAAGAGGAACTTTCCCCATCATCGCCGATTAAAAAAACAGAGTCGACTCCTCCATCGATTTCTGTCTCTTCGACGACCTCTTTTTCTTCCTTATACCCCTCCTAAAAAAGAAAAACCCCCAAACATCGACATCATGCCTACCGAGAACCAGCAGTCGATCAAGGTCCTGGACGAGCTTTTCCAGAAGCTCACCGTGTCCAAGGAGTCCTCCGACATCAAGGAGTCTTCCAACGAGCTGGCCTCTTTCATCAACGGTCGCATCGGCGACCAGGTTGTCCCCGAGAAGTAAGTACACATCTCATATTGCCAGCATTTGGCTTTCTACTCGGGCATCATTGGGTGTCTGGAGCAGAGGGCTTGGGCTACACACTGGGTACTTGTCATTCATATGCACTCATCTTCCGCCTCGCACACTTGGCGCAGTCAGCAATCGTAGCTGATATGCACTTGGCATGTGAGACGTGAATTTAAGATGCAGCCTGAATGGCTGGCCTATTCCATTAGCCCAGCCGAGTAGCAAAACTTTTTCCGCCTCTCCCTCTGTCCCTATGCCCCTCATAGACGCCCAACTTTTGCCCCGCCAGATTTGGGCCAAGGGCGATTTTGAGCGCTAAACCCGTTCTTGATCACCCCTCCCTGCTGAGCATCCACAAAAAAAAAACTCAAGCGATTTCATGTGCTAACCACTATCGTCTACAGTGTTATCGAGGGCCTGAAGAAGCAGCTCGCCAACAAGAAGGACGCCACCGCCCGTGAGAAGGCCTGCATCGCCATCGAGACCATTGCCTCTCACGCCGAGGTCTCCGCCACTGTCGAGCCTTACCTCGTCATCCTCCTCCCCAGCGTCCTTGCCGCCGTCGGCGACAAGATCACCGCCGTCAAGAATGCCGCCCAGGGTGCTGTCCTTGCCATCGCCGGCGCTATCAACGCCAACGCTGTCAAGGCTGCCCTCATCTCTGTCATGGAGTCCATCCGAAGTGCCCAGAAGTGGCCCGAGAAGATGGCTGCTCTTGACTTCGTCGATGCTCTTGTCAAGAACTCTCCTGCCCAGCTCGCCTACCGCGTCCCTGAGCTCATCCCCGTCATCTCCGAGTCCATGTGGGACACCAAGAAGGAGGTCAAGGAGCGTGCCTACAAGACCATGGAGTCTCTTTGCCAGCTTATTGTCAACAAGGATATCGACCGTTTCATTCCCGAGCTGATCAAGTGTATCGCCAAGCCCGAGAACGTCCCCGAGACCATCCACTTGCTCGGTGCCACCACCTTCGTCACTGAGGTCCAGGAGCCTACTCTTGCCCTCATGGTTCCCCTTCTGGATCGTGGTCTCGCTGAGCGTGACACCGCCATCAAGCGAAAGACCGCTGTCATTGTTGACAACATGTGCAAGCTCGTCGACGACCCCAACATTGTCGCTCCTTTCTTGCCCAAGATGATGCCAGGTCTCCAGAAGAACTACGAGAACTTGGCTGATCCCGAGGCTCGTGACAAGACCAAGCAGGCTCTTGACACCCTCACCCGTGTTGGTGACATCAAGAACGGTGTCATCCCCGAGGCCAAGAACGATGGTGCTCTTAACGTTGTTATCCCCAAGGTTAAGGCCGCTCTCTCTCCCAAGTTCACCAACTACGTTGAGAAGATGGGTGCCGTCGTTGAGTACATTGCTGCCATTGCTGGTCAGCTCGTCGACGAGAAGGAGGCCGAGTCCATGATCTGGGTCGAGAACCTCAAGCCTTACGTCGCTGTCATCTCTGGCATCGACAGCGCTGAGTCTATCGTCGAGAACCTCCGCAAGACTACTCTCCCCGGTGCTGTCGCCGAGGCTGAGAAGGAGGAAGACGAGGAGGAGGGTGAGGATCTTTGCAACTGTACCTTCTCTCTTGCCTACGGTGCCAAGATTCTTCTCAACCAGACCCATCTCCGCCTCAAGCGTGGTCAGCGTTACGGTCTTTGCGGTCCCAACGGTTCCGGAAAGTCCACTCTTATGCGCGCCATCAACAACGAGCAGGTTGAGGGTTTCCCCAAGCAGGACGAGGTCAAGACTGTCTTCGTCGAGCACGACCTTGACTCTGAGGACACTGAGATGACCACCATCGACTGGACCATGAAGAAGCTAGAGGAGGCTGGTGTCACTACTACTCAGGCTGATGTCGAGACGCAGCTCAACGACTTCGGCTTCACCGACCAGATGGTTAAGGGTGAGATCAGCGCCCTCTCTGGTGGTTGGAAGATGAAGCTGGCTCTGTGCCGTGCCGTCTTCGAGGCTCCCGATATTCTGCTTCTTGACGAGCCTACCAACCATTTGGATGTGAAGAACGTTAAGTGGCTCGAGGAGTACCTCAAGAACTCCGCTTGCACTTCCATCATCGTCTCTCACGACTCTGGTTTCCTCGACAACGTCTGCCAGCACATCGTTCACTACGAGCGATTCAAGCTCAAGCGTTACAGAGGTAACCTGGCTGCCTTCGTCGCCCGCAACCCCTCTGCCAAGTCTTACTACGAGCTTGGTGAGTCCGAGATGGAGTTCACCTTCCCCGAGCCCGGTTTCCTTGAGGGTGTCAAGACCAAGGCCAAGGCTATCCTCCGTGCCACCAACATGTCCTTCCAGTACCCCGGTACTTCCAAGCCCCAGATCAGCGACATCTCTTTCCAGTGCTCTCTAGGCTCTCGTATTGCCGTCATCGGTCCCAACGGTGCTGGCAAGTCTACTCTGATCAACGTCCTCACTGGTGAGCTTATCCCTACCCAGGGTGAGATCTACCAGCACGAGAACATCCGTATCGCCTACATTAAGCAGCACGCTTTCGCCCATATCGATAACCATCTGGACAAGACTCCTTCCGAGTACATCCAGTGGCGATTCCAGACTGGTGAGGATCGTGAGACTATGGATCGTGCCAACAAGATCATCACCGAGGCCGATGAGAAGGCTATGGACAAGGTCTTCCGTGTTGAGGGTTCTCAGCGTCGTGTTATCGGTATCAACAGCCGAAGAAAGTTCAAGAACTCTTACGAGTACGAGTGTTCTTTCGCTCTCGGTGAGAACATCGGCATGAAGAACGAGCGATGGATTCCCATGATGACTGCCGACAACGCTTGGCTCCCCCGAAACGAGCTTCTCGCTTCTCATCAGAAGATGGTTGCTGACGTCGATATGAAGGAGGCCCTCGCCTCTGGTCAGTTCCGACCTCTTGTCCGAAAGGAGATTGAGTCTCACTGCGCCAACTTCGGTCTCGATGCTGAGCTCGTTTCTCACTCCCGTATGCGTGGTCTGTCTGGTGGTCAGCGTGTCAAGACTGTCCTTGCCGCCTGCTCTTGGCAGCGACCTCATCTTATCGTCCTTGACGAGCCTACCAACTACCTTGATCGTGACTCCCTCGGCGCCTTGTCCAAGGCCCTGAAGAAGTTCGAGGGTGGTGTCATCATCATTACCCATTCCGCTGAGTTCACCGCCAACTTGACTGAGGAGGTCTGGGCCGTCATGGACGGTATGATGACTCCTTCCGGTCACAACTGGGTCCAGGGCCAGGGTTCTGGTCCTCGTCTCAAGGCTGACGATGGTGATGAGGAGGAGAAGTTCGACGCCATGGGCAACAAGATTGTTAGCACCAAGAAGAAGGTCAAGCTGAGCTCTTCTGAGGCACGAAAGAAGAAGAAGGACCGTATGGCCCGCCGAAAGCGTGGTGAGGAGGTGTTCTCCGATGAGGAGGATCTGTAAACGGATCTTTGTACACCAATACTCGATCATGTCTTGTGACGACTTCTCTTGATGATTACATACCATTTTCCTTTGTCATGCGTTGATCAAAAAAAGTTACGGGTGCGTCTTTTGGTAATGGATGAACGCGCTTTTGGGCTCCCGATAGACGGACTGCTCTGTTAGACTACCATCATGGAGGAACGAGGAAATAACATGGGGGATTGGAGGATCCCAACTATGTTGAGCCCTCGACCTGGTGGGTTTGGAGGTTGGCAAATAGTTAGAGCCAAATAGACTTGATTACGATCAATCTTTATGTCTTGTGAATCATTTTTCATGCCGTAGTTTGTGATACGATGTGATTTCTACTGTCCAGTTGATCCGTGATCCTTCACTGAGATCACAAAATGTGATATCTACAACAGGGCCCGGCTGATCTTGAGTGTCGACAAACCCAGTCATCTTCTACCATGTCAGGTCGAGGAGAACTGTAAAAAGGGTTACAGGCGAGCTTTAAAGATTCATCTCAACATTCACAGACGAGTTCAACTTGTCTGAAGCCCTTCTATCCACAAAGCCCCAGTCACGACCCGATATCATCTTCCTCCAGTCTCGCTGCATGATCATAAACCACATAGGCCAATACTTATGCTACATTGCTAAAGTTCAAAAACGAAACATCACTACCGATGGTGATGGAACTGACACGGAAAGGGCAAAAAGATATATTTGATGAGACTGGGACTCGAACCCAGGAGGATTGCTCCACCAGGAAATTGGTGTTAAGGTTAACCTTAACCTGGCGCCATAACCAACTCGGCCATCTCACCGAACTTATTAGAGGCATTTCTGGTGTTTTGATATATGTTCCCCAATCCCAATGATCCTTCTTTTCGTGACTTTGCAAGCTTTCCCATCTGGTGATCGTAAAGCGACGAATTACATTATACCGCTCGTTACTTCCTTCGATGGAACGCTTCAATATTTAAATGTTTGAGAATCCAAGCGTTTCCAGGCTCGTCCCGAGATTCTAGTCGCAGCAACTTACCCTATTGCACAGACTGGCAATAACGACATTGACTTATACAATTGCGCATCAACGACAGTCCTGGAAGGCTTAAGTAGGATTGTACTTGCCTAGATTTATACTATGGTTCTAAGTTATAGCACTCTTGTGCGCTGAGAAATATTATTTCTTCTGCGGCAGTTAGATACGCGCGAAATATGGAAGCTGAACTGGACTAATAACAACTACTACAAATAACCAGCGCACTCCGTCCCTAAAACTCTATCAACAGAGCACGTAAACTCAGTTGTTTCTTCTACGGTACAGCCTTTCACTTTCAAGTGATTCAGTTCAGCTCTTGTAACCCAGCGCTTCCTTTCAAGAGACCATATGCTAAGACACTACCCTATCGTCAAATACTCGCTGATATCGCTCATAACACTCATGCCTAGTCATCCTATTCCCCAATCTACGAGAACACCACCTTGTAGAGAGTATAGCTCAAATACCTAGTAACAACAACAAACACTAGATACAATCGGCCATCACGTCCTACAACCTCCGACCAAGCCCCGACTCTCCGGCGCCGAAAGACCCACCGCCTTCGGGAACCATCTTAAACGCCCACCGCACCGCCGCAACTCATCCGCATACCCCAACACTCTAATTCTCAAACGGTATAAGCACATACATATTACCCCAGTCACATACACAGCCTAGGATGCTTCCTACAGGCATCGGCAACATGGAGATAACTCTAAAGAAACCGATCCCTACCGTATATACATACCAGGACCGACACCAGAACTACCCTTGCAAACACTCCTATTTTATTCAACACGGTCTTCAATACCGAGATATAAGCAGCTGTGGACGGTTTCGCGGTTTCAGACGCCGTGCTGTCTTCTTTCACTATCAGTACATAAGAATCCGCAGCACAATACTTATCAACTCCAAAAACCTTATCACCACCATCCCTGCTTATCACCACCTCCTCACCACTCTCGCCTCGCCTCTCCAATCTTTACCACACGCCCCCTTCTAGAAACTCCCCTCAGTTGGACGCAAGTCTCACTCCCCCTCCATCCCCTCCCGTTTCGTTGCATCAAAATGTCCCGGGACGATCTGCATGGGCTATCCCCCAAGCTTCCCCATTGAGGCACGGGGCTAAGGAGTTCCTTAAAGCAACTTTACGCAACGGTCAATGAGAGGCACAGTTGATGTTTGCTCTACACTGCCGATCACGAGATCGGCAACGATTAGCTATTGGCCGTACCATGTAAGGACTGCCAACCTTGATGCGCAAAATCGGACATATCACAATGGTGCAGCAACATCAGCTTGGCTGCGTTCTACGTCATGAACGTGCGGTCATTAGATGTACTGAAGTGCGTAGGGGCTTCATTATAGTATGAACTTAGATTAGACTATATACTATGCTCTTCCATCATCAACAGCAACTTTAGGCGAAATGCTATCATGGCTGGCGTCTTTTCTTTAAGTTAGACTGTTAGGTTACCATGATGATTCATCCCAGTCTCATTATTGCGACCAAAGTTGGGATACATCAATTTCACGAGTAAATCATGTCATAATTGAAGAACGAGATTGAACAAAAAGGTGTCTTGGGTATAATTTTAACAGCAAACTACTCAATACGTACAATCGGTTCGCATATTTTGAGAACTCGTAGATTGCACCAGTAGCTAACATTCGACTATTTTGCGCACAAAATCACATCCGCCCTACTCGTCCGTGTAAGTCTTGGGCTTGATGCCAACAAGCTGCCCAATCTCCTGCCAAAATCCTGTAGGGGGTGTTGTAATTGAGTTCTCGTAAGCATCAATAATTGGGCGCTCCCAAGTGAGGTCGACCTCATGAGGGCGGAGCCAGCGAGTCTTCTTGTAAACTTTCCAAAAGACGAACAATGCGGGAGCAACGAACTGCATAGTGTAGTTCTGGAAGAACAGCTCTGTGTTCCAGGGCTGGAAGGACTTGTAACCGTAGCACATGACAACGCAAAATTGGAAGACAAGGCCAAAGATAGCGCACCACGGCTGGAAACGACCATAGTAGGGCATCTTGGATCGATCGACTCCCTGGGCATTGCAAGCTCGGTAAAAGCAGAGGAAGGTAATTCCCATAACGAGGTAGTTGATGAGACCGCCAGCTGTCATGAGGGCAATGAGCCAGTTGAGCACCTTGGCTGAACCACTACCGCACTGGAGGAACGAGAGCATGGGGAACAACATGACTATGCAGAAACACCAAATTGGAACACCAGAAGCGGTAGTCTTTCGAAGGAATCGCGGGGCACGACCCTCAAGAGCGAGGCCATAGAGCGATCGTGTGGCACAGTAAGTGTAGGTGTTACCAGCCGAGAAGATCGAGGTAAGCAGGAGAGCGTTGACGATATCGGGGAGGACGCTAACGCCCAAGATGTTCATAGCCATAACGTAGGGCGAGGCAGCAGCAGTGCCGCCCCCCTCGGTGCCATCGACGAAGATGTTCACAAGCTGAGGGTAGTTGTAGGGGACCACAATACCAACAGCAAGGGATCCAGTGATAAAGAAGAAGCAGAATCGATAGTAAACGGTCTTGAAAGCAGCCTTGATGTAAACACTAGGTCGCTTGGCCTCAGCAGCCACCATGGAGATGTATTCGGGACCAACAATAGTGAAGCCGGCACTCCAGAGGGCAGCGAGGAAGCCTTCGAAGCGACCGAGGTCGTGTGTGCCGTAGACGTCGGAGAAAGCACCGGGGTTTGACCAATATCGGAACCCATACGCATCTCCCTGGGGGTTACCACCAACCATCGTGATGAAGGTGAAACTGAAGAGGATGAGGATCAGGATGACCTTGCCGCCCGACAGCCAAAATTCGGCTTCACCGTAGGCTTTGACAGCCAGGATATTTAAGAGACTAAATCACAAGAACATAATTTAGCATGCGATCTTGATTCACGGGACAAGGGAGGATAGATCCCATGTCAACGGCTGGCTAGGAAGATTCAAGCTCGAGGGCATAGCACCAGCACAGCAAACAACAAAGAAATATAGGATCGTCCTGGGGAGTGGTTCTTACGCGTATAATATGATGACACCAATACATATGCCGGCTGTAGGACCAGGTTCCGTAATCTTGGGGCTCCAATAGGAAAGGACAAGATTGATAGCAGTAATTTCGAATGGGATGAGGAGACCTTCGTAGAGGAAGAAGTTCCATCCGGCCATAAAACCAAGAGCATCGTCGCACCAGTGACCAGCAAGACGGATGAAGCCACCAGAAATGGGCATATAGGTGCTCATCTCTGCGACACCATTGTTCACACATGCGAGGACACCGGAGTAGATTGTATAGGCGAGAAACAGACCGAGAGGACCACCTTTGGCAAGACCACCACCGATACTCACGAAAAGCGCTGTACCGATAGAGCCACCAATGGCGACGAGCTGGATCTGTCGGTTGTTGAGAAGACGATGCAAGCCATCGGCATTATCCATAGTATGCCCGGCAGCCACATCGCCGTTGTCGGCCAGGTACTTATCGGTCGAGTTGCCATTGCTGACGAAATTTTGGGAGTTTTTCTCCTCGTCGGAAGCCATCTTGCGAGATTTAACTGACACCAGGCTAGTAGTATTCGGTCTGTCGCGATGTTCTTGTGAACAAGGTTGAGGGGGGGAAGCTCAATGGAGCAAATAGTCTGCAAAGCAATGAAGCAGCAGACAGTTGAATAATACGCCTTGTTAGCCACAAGGTGTAGAAAATACGTTCAAAGTATGAGACGAGTGTGGAAGAAAAGAAAGTTGTATCATGGAGGTGCGGGCGTTGAAGTTAATAAGTAAAATCCGATATGGGGGAAAGCAGTTCGATCGACCCCAACGGCGCCTTCCCTGTCTCGTCCTCTGCTCCTACCTCGTTTACTTGCCCTCAAGGCAAAGCAAGGTAAGGCAGGCAGGTATGGATGTCATGGCATGCATGGCAAGCCAAGTCTTGGGAGTACGACATAGCGCGCTTCCCACGCTATTCCTTAAGCTGAGCCTGCTGAGGTCTACTTGAGATCAACGCAACTACAGTACATGCGCTGTTGGTGGCTGTCAATGACAACGGGGTGGATGGCGGCCATTCCGAACAGGGATTAGCTGGAGTGGGAGTGGAGAAACAAGCCAAACTCGAGTTAATACCAACTCGTTCGGGCTACCTCTATTGTAGGTATCCGCAACTTGGCTTGAGGTATATTAAATACCTCGGTCGAATGTAACAGGCTGGGCACTGCCCGTAACCCGTAACCTGTACCTGCACGCCCTGTTGATTTCACTTTCAACTGCTAGCCAACCAATCCTTCCTTGGACCGGATTTTGCAGTTTCGATTTTTATTGCTTTTACTAAAGTAATTGCCTTCAACTGTTGAGCTGTTTTCTTTTCCCCAATAGACACTTTTACCTCGACACTGTCATTGGCTTAGTGGAGTGCGTCAGGGTCAGCCTCTGCGACAGGTCGTATTCGGTGTTGCTTTTTGCTGACCATCGACATGATCCAGAGGGACGGTTCGCTGCCACAATTCTATTGATGACGGGTCACGAGACTCTCTCAACTTCCCCAGAGACAATTAATTCAAATGGTTTCAGCTCTCCACTTAGTATCACTATGGAGGCACTGTCCTCCCTTCATTCACAATCCTTCCGTTCCTTGGCTTATTCCATCCAGTTTTACACTACAAATTATTCGAGCTAGGACAGACGCAATGTTCCTTTGCAATATTAGCCTAGAGCCGGACTTTACAGCTACAGTTTACTCCCGGTAGCCTCCAAGATAGCCTGTCGGTCCGTTTTGCGTTTTTGGATAATGCCTTGTACGGATACCGCACCAAGAAAAGTACAGTACTTGACCCATGAAGCTCTTTTCTCCACCCCCATGGAGAGGGGTGGAGGCCTTCCCCACCACGCATATCTGTTCTCCACCATCATGTACCTTGTACAATGGATGCATCCATGTCAGGGTGCTTCCCCGACAGATAAGGGTACGGCGGCACAATGGCTTTTGAACCCTACGAGTACAGTAGGGGGCCCTGACGCCTAGATATGCTGATCAGCACAACTTATACCTCATCAAGTCTAATGTTTTCTGGGCATTGTAGTTATTATCCGTAGAGGACAAAGGTCTTTCCCCCCGAAATGCGAAACAAGACCGGCCTATTCGTTGTGGTGAACAATAGACGGGAGTTTTCGAGAGGCTCCGGCTGGAGACGATAGGTAGGCTATAGCCAGAGGCAGGTGGCCGGCGCCGTCAGAAGGGTTGCCTCCACTGAAGAAGCAGTGTGGAGCTTCCCCAAATATCGCCCCAGGTGGGTAATCATCACTGAAACAGATGGTTGGAGCTTTCATTCAGCGGCCAATGCCCTATGGATTATTGGGCCCAGGTCCCTGGAAGATAAGCATGGAGTCAGTTTGAATCAGCCAACCAGATCGATCATAAATATGATTGCCTGTGTAGCATGAAATGATGGAGTACGTATTACTGAATAATCCGATGTTTAAAAAGAAGGAAGAATATGAAATGAAAGTCATGTTTCGTGAGTATCTCAAAGGAACTACCGTCGCGCCAAGTGATTAAACCACAGACTGACTGCCTTGCTTCTTACTCCAAACCTGGGCAACTGCTTTGACGTCATAGCTGCTCGGCTGAAGGGTCAATCCCACCTGCCAAATTTGGCCAACCGTTAACGACGCACGAAGCCTTCCACTGCACTGAGTTAGTGGGAAAATGGGTAATGTTACCGACACCAACGTCGACGTTTTCACATACACACGCCATAATCGCTTCACTCCTCTAATACCGGCAACACAGTCGCTGATCAGCGACAGAAATCCGATCTAGCCTTGCTTTAGCTATGGATCTTGGTTTAAGAATATGGAGGTCGCGTGGTGCATTGTAGATCCGCGAGCTATGTACTGTAGTCCCAGCACAACGGAATCTGGGGTTTTCTTGTACCATCTTACAATTCAATGCAGGGTCACGAATCTCATGATGAACTTGAAACATCTCGAACGATTCTTACATAAAACCTTTATCTGAACGATGCTCGTGCTTGCTGCCCTCCCCCAGTATCAACCAACCCTCATTAACGTCAGCTCTCGTTATCACGCCACGGGCTTGGCTATCTGTCTCGACACGTCAACTCCTGAATAGTTCATTATCATCAAACTCAACTGATCCCGGGAATGATAGAAGTTCACCGGTCACGTGCAGGTCGCCAAAGTGGTGTTGAGGAACGGAACGAGCGATGCAGCCAAGAAACACTCAGACATTCAGATGCAACCTCAGCGTAACTAGAGGTTGTCGCTACCTGGACAACCTATCATTCACTCAAGATGAATGGTGAAGCCACATCAGCCCGTGAGAAGCCGGATCTGTGATCTGGAAATCAGCATCACAGACAAGAAAAGCTTGCCCAGACGGGCGTGAGCCTGGCCATCTAACATATAGCAAGCCTCAATATTCACAAACTTCTCCAAGCCCCGATTGTGTACTTGGAACCTGCTGCAGGGCATCTGGGGGAACTGCATAGTTCTGCTGCGCTGCTACACTATGATGACAGCAACTGCAGCACTTGCTCTGCCCCTGTCGCGCGGGGAAGAGGTCATAGTGCAGCCAAAGTATGTACCCAGTAGGCACTGCTCCTTGTCGGTTGAGAATCAGCTGAAGTTGATATGCTTGATTCCTGGGACATCCTTGCAACACCCAGACCCTCGTTGCTCAGGAGTTACGCCCGACCAGAGAAGTTGATTTTGCGGACTGAGACACACAATATACTATGTATGCAGTTCCATGAACTGCGCTTGGTGCGGCTGGTGTTAGTCTCACTTATTCGATTTATGGGGTCTGTCGACCGATTCTTAGCTTACAGCGCGTCTGCCTGGTCTACGGTCTACGCTGGCTAAGCCCGCCATGGGCTGTCGTCTGTTACGGAATAAGTTCTGTGCGTTCCTAGAGGAATGTCTTACTGGTATCCAATGAACCGTCTCAAACGTTCAATAGCTCGACGTGCGTGCAACTAGGGACCTGGCCTACTCCACAACTCGATTCCTTCGCCTGGAAGCGATGCAGGCAGGCAGGCTATTCACAGTTGGTGGAAGGCTGTGTCTGTCAAACCTTGGCACGCGACGCCTGCTTGTCGCTGTGATGCCTTGGCAACAATGTGCATGATGTACGGACTTGGCCGCTTGTTGCGCGCCGTACAAAACCCGCCCTGGCAGAACTCTGTAGGGGTCAGATTTCCTTTGCCTTGGCTGGCAACTTGGCCGTAAAGACGTCCGTACTGTATTCTATGTACTACCGCCGTTCTGTATCCGTCCGTACTTGCGGCTCAGTCTGCGCCGTTGTACGTCGGGCGTCTAAGCATAGTGGCGTAGACGTCAGCGCAAATCACTACAGTTCAAGGAAGTAAGCTTTTTCTCCGAATCATCACTAACAAGTTCAAAGACAAATGAGAAATTCCCTAGACTTCGGTAGTACTCCGAATCTGGCGCTATGGGAGCCATTCATAAGCTACTAACTTCACCATCTTTGACTGCGTCTAAGACTTGCCTGGGCTAAACCTTGCTGGGCTTGGCAACTGGACCGTTTCCACCCAGCGCTGTATTGTGTTTCTTCAATTGGCACGGCTTCCCACTCGACGACCCCCCGTTCTAAACGTCTTGGAGAACAGTTAGCAACTGTCATGCCATGCTGGAGACCAATATAATTATGCCCTTCCCCGACTCATCCTAATCACGGTCCGTTTATGTCGATTGGGTCTAGGCTAGCGACTGATGAGTGGGGATGAGCTTGAGCATGGGAGACAGACAAGGATTCTTGCTGAAACGGAGCCTAACGCAAACGACGCAAACGCTGAGAAGCTTGAGAGAATTATTTGCAGGGTAAATAACGCTTTGTTCTTAAGAGGTGCTTGGACCGTCCACAACATGGTATGACTGGTTAAGCGACTGGTATTGTCGGACGACAGTGATGAGGGTATCCACACTGTCAGAAAACATCGTATCGGTTCTTGACGCTCTCTATCGGGTCGATTAAGCCGTGGTAGAAATCTCTTCACCCACCGGACAATACGAGAATTAGTAGAGGCAATTACAGCCAAGAAAGCGAAAACACGTTCCAAGGACGCAAGTTTCCATGGCCCGTTTGGGCCAAGTGACCGAGTTTTCATTGTATAGGACTGTCTACAAGGGCTGTGACCACTGACATGCTGTACGTAAACGTTTCGACAAAGATTTATCATATTAACTCAACAGAAGCTTCATTAAACCATCCAAAGTCTAGAAACCAGATGGGTTTCGTGTTTTCGGTGATTGTAAGTTTACACAGCTTAATGAGCTGTTTAATAAGTTGCCATAACACTCAAATGATCTGCTTGCTGTGCACGGATTAGATGACATATCAATATGTTCAGCGGATCAAGCAATGATATGACCGTTGTTCTTAAAAATAGATCAAGGACATGCATAATAATGTGTGATAAATGCCCCGACCCATCCTATTGACTGCTGCGAGAGGATCGTTTTGGGGCCGTGAACAGGTCGGCCGGAGCGGAGGTTTTTCGGTGGGGATAAAATTCCGTCCTTTCGGTGGCCGGCCGGTGAGGGGCAGGTGCGGTGCGGTGCGGAGAAGTGGGAAAGAAGAAAAAAATCTACAGCGAAGTGACTGGAAGCCTATGACTGTATTAGTAAACAGCAGGGCAGGCAGGCACAACTTTAACACACCTCCACCAAAAATTATACCAACAGAGGATCATCAGATAATCAAATCCCCTGCTACGTTGACATTTTATACACAACAGCACATTTTGTCCATCGTATCGCTCAAGAAAACACAGTGCAAGAGAGGCTATCGTCAGTGCCAGTGCGAGCGCGAGACCGGGGCCAAGACCTAACCCTGCTCTTGAGTCGCTATAACGTTGACGCCCAACTCGCACCTTTTTTGGTCAACCAAAGACAAATTCTTGCTTGGGGATAGCTACAGATATAGCTATGAGTAGTACGAGTGCGTACGGCAGCGCCTTGCGCAATGGGCGATATGCCTCCATTCTCCTCTCAAAATCCGATGCCGCATCGGACCCAGCTCCGGTGGCCGGGGCCTTGATCAATGCCTTGGTTGCCCGGTTGATATCCTCCGATCCCGATCCCGGCTCCGACTCCAAGACGGAGCCATCGGGAGATGTTCCCCAGCTTCTGTCGGTCGGCCTTGCTGCCTTGAATGCCTTCCTTCAAGTCAACGTTACCGGTCCTGTTCTTCCTGAATCAGCGGCTCTCAGCGCTCTGATCACCAAGGCATGGGCTGGTGTTCAGCCTGACGATACCAAGAAGACCCAGGTCCATCTCCACAAGGCTTGTCTTAGTTACCTAGAGGTCGATGGTGTCTCGCCATATGCTTACATTCCTCACTTGGAACTCTTCGCTCTAGCACGGCATATCATCACACAGGAGCTCCCTCAAGCCACCAAGGATGTTGTTGAGATCCCCGCTGAGGAAAAGTCACTCAAGTGCAGTCTTTCTTGGACACAACTTCGAGTCAATGTCTGGCACTACAAGCTCTTGACACAGCCTAGCTTGGGTCACGGTTCCAACTTTGCTCGAAGCTCTCAATGGAGTGATGTGCCAGCACTGGCATCGCAAATCTTGGATGGTATCGACAGCGTACGCGCGCAGGTTCTCGGTAAGGAAGTATGGGCCTCTGAAAACGATGCATGGAGCCGCGAGGAAAAGGTGCAGTTTCTTGTCGAGGCTGCCAACAACTACATCTTGCTAGGCCGTGACGATAAGGCCAAGGAAGCTCTGAAGGAGGCTTCCCAAACAAGTGGCCTTGAGTACGCACTGTCAGGTGCCCTTGGAAAGAGGACCAAATTCCAAGAGAACAGTATCAGCCAACTTGTAGTTTTGGCCAAGAGCGCCACTGAACAAAAGGTCGATAACGCTGAAGAGGAGGCCAAGCCGGATGCCCTTCAACTGAACGATGACACTCTGCACGAGGAGATCCAGTTTGCCAAGGAGGAGAACGACAACGACAAGAAAGCCTCGCTACCTGCTGCATTGGTCGACCTCTCACCTGATGACCAACCTCAACTTTCACCGCTGGACCAGATTATCCTTCTCACCGAGGCGACACTCAAGGATGCTTTCTCGCCTATTGACACCTTGACTTCAGCAGAAGTTCTGCCTTATGCGGTGCGAGTTATTGCAGATAAGTCGACCAATTGGCAGATTTACACCCACGCCTTGCTTGTTCGATCGCGAATTGAGGTTCATCGCAGCCGAACTGTTGAGCGAGCTGTACTTCAGCTCCAAGCTGTGGCTGATCAAGTGTTGACAGACACAACCGCTGAGGCCCAACAAAAAGCCGAGGCGAGAGAGCAGAACGCTGAGAATGAAGCTCCGGCTATCCAGATCACTACCCCTGATCAGACTTCTGCGCCTGTCCAAAACAAATCCACCTCTTTCCTTCCTGCACCCAAGGCCTCAGAGTCTGCCCCTGTACAGGTCCGTCTTGAGTACATCCACGCCATTTGCTCTCCTCCGCGATGGCATCTCGAGTCTGAGCTGGCCTATGCATGGGCTGGTATCGGATCTTTGGTCTCTGCTCTCGAGATCTTCAAGCGCCTTCGACTTTGGGCCGAGGTAGCACTCTGCCTTGCTACCGCTGGAGCATCTGAGGATGAAGATGGTCGTGGAAGTGGTGGCGAGGAGAAAGCCAGAGGAATCATCCGCTGGAGGCTTTTCCACCGCACTGGAGAGACATCCCCATTGGATCCCGATGATGAGGATATTGGTGACGATGTAACACTTCTCAAGGGTGCAGATTTCTCTGGACCTGAGCGCGATCCTCCACCACCTAACGCTCCTCGACTGTTCTGTATTCTGGGTGATATCGAGAACGAGCCATCTTATTATGAGCGTGCATGGGAGATCTCCAAGCACCGTTACGCCCGCGCCCAAAAGTCACTTGGCGAGTACTACCTACAGAACAAGGACTGGGAAAAGGCCCGCGAGGCGTACAAGAAGGCGACAGCTGTTAACCGTCTGAGCCCTGAAATGTGGAGTCGTCTTGGAGACATCAGTCTGCGACTTGCGCAGTTTGGTGATGCTGCCGAGGCCTTCAACCGCTCCATTGGGTCTGCAAGCGATACAGCTGGAGGCGAGGATGCCCGAACTTGGAGCAACCTAGGAAGTGCCCTTTGGAGTTTGTACTGCGAAGTTGTCGCCGATGCTAAAAACAAGCCTCCTGTTATCGAAGAAACCCCTGCTCCCGCCCCTGCAGAGGATGAAGAGGATGACGTTGCGCTCGCCAAGACCACCAAGTCCTCGGACCGTGACCCGGCAACTCTGCTGTCCCAATCTCTCGCGGCTTACAAGAGAGGTGCTTCTATCGCTCACGACAACTGGAGAATCTGGGACAATGTACTCACTCTGGGCGCGCGTGTGCAGCCCCCTGCTGTGACCGATATGATTCTTGCACTTAAGAACATCATCCGCATCCGCAAGTCAGAAGATGCCGTTGACGCCGACGTCCTCGGAGCACTGCTCCAAGACGCTGTCCTCTCAGTTGAGAAGACAACAAGTACAGGCGTGTACGATCCTCCCCGAGGAACACCAGAGCGACTTGTTATGCGTCTGTTTGAGGAAGAGTTGATACCTCTCATCACACAGCGCTCGGAACTATGGACTCTGGTCTCACGACTTCGGGGTTGGAGAAGAGATTACGCAGGTGCCATTGATGCAGCAGAGCGAGCCTGGCGTGCAGCCGTAGGATCCTCCGGCAGCGGTCTCCTGCCCGGTGCGGCAAGCACAACAGCCGACGAGGCGCGAGACTGGACTGTTGACGAGGGTGCATGGACCATTGTCGTGCAAAGGACCGATGAATTAGTGTCTGTATTCGAGAACTGGGGCCCTTCCGTCGAGACCATCGGCAGCAAGTGGAAGGGTAAGGCGAGAAGCGCAGTGAGGAGTGTTATGGGCAGAGGCAAGGAAAATTGGGAGGGAAGTGAAGGGTGGAAGACATTGGAGAATTTGATGGAGGGCTTGAGGATTTCCTAAGAACATAGCATGGGTATAAAAGGGGTTAGCTAGGTCTTAAAAGCACGCCAGGCATGATGAAAGAGTTACACGAAGGATAGACAAGATTTGGCAAATGCATGTTTTCAAGTACTTCGCGTCTGTGATGAAGAGCTACGGATTGACCACCAGGACGGTATCATGAGTACATTATCAATGGGACATTAAAATCTTCAACAAGGCTTCAACGCTTCTACTATTGTCCTACACACTAGACGATACCTTGTATCAAATACATCGCTTAGACAGTAAGATCATCTCCAACACTGTTCCAACAATATTGCCCCTCAGCGTTTCGCCTTCACTCATCAGTCGTAATCCCAACCCATGGCCAAAACAACGTCTTTCATCCCTCTCCAGTTTTGACTCGAGGTAATCCCAAAAGGCTGCCAAAAGAATGTACAGACAAACAACATTAGGGAACCCTCATGTCGCGATAGTTGTATGTTCAAGGTTCAGCATTCTATTTCTTGCTCTTCTTTCGGCTTGGGACAACCTTAAACGGCAAGATACTATCCTCACGAGGGCTGGTGGCAGCCGCAGCGGCGGCGTTGCTTGAGCTTCCCTTCTTGGCAACTTCGCTCCAACCGCCGCCGCTTCCTCCCTTACTTTCGGGTTGCTTCTCAACGACACCACGCTCAGCAAGACCTTTTCGACGGATAAATTCCTCGGCGAAATGGCGACCGTCCATGGTATTGGAGATGGAATAGATAGCATCAGCAATTATACTTGTGTCAAGAGGCATGTTATCCAGCGCAATTTGGAAGGAGGCAGCTTGGTGGTTTGTTAGTTCAATTTCTTGTCCAGGTTTTATCATGGGGACTTACTATCAACCGTGTTGATACCACGGGAAATCTCACGGGCGACCCATTTGTTGAACTCCTCCATAGCGGCATTGTCAGCCTCAGTCTTTCCGTTGCCCAAAGCTGCAGGCTTCGAGACAGACTTCACTGGCGAGGTGATGGGCTTGATGTTTGTGGCGCTGACGGATCGGGCCTGAGATGATGGGCCAGTGGGGACCTTGACCTTGCCACCAGCACCAACAGTGGCCCAACCGCTCCCAGGAGGCGGAACCATAGCCGCAGCAGCCGCAGCCGCAGATGCAGCATTAGTGAGAGTGGACTGGCCAGGTTTGCCAGCAAGGTTGGCATAGCTCTTGGAAACGCTAGCAGTAGGGGTAACGGACTGGGGGCTCGCTTGAATAGCCTTCTGCTTACGGAGCTCCTCCTCACGCTGGATCTCGGCGAGGGTCTTCTTGCTTGAAGTCGAAGCTGAAGGGGTAGTAACCGCCGCAGTCTTAGAAGGCCCAGGCTTGGACCAAGGGCTAGCCGAAGGGGCAGGTGAGCCGTGTCCCCAGGTACTGGTAGCAGGTAGGCCAGCATTGGTAACGGCAGCAGTCTTCTCACGTTCACGAAGAGCAACAGCCTCCTGCTCAAGCACAGCCTTCCTCTGGGCAGCAGCAGCCTCCTCGGCCTTGGCAGCCTTACGCGCTTCGGCTTCTTGGATCTCCTTCAGGCTAGGGCCCTTGTGTGACTCAGCGCCGTGGTCCTTAGCCCAAGGAGCCAGGGGTGGTGGCTGGGCGTTGGCTACACTGTCAGGGGTTCCTGTCTGAGAGCGGTTGTATTGTTCGGGCAGATTGGAACGAGCGCGTTGAGCGGTCGGGGCAGGGAGGGGTGTGCCAGTGGACGCAGGAGGAGGGAAAGGCATAGGCATATCAGGCTCAACAGGTTGAGCGGCGGCGGCGGCAGCGGCGGCAGCGGCAGCCTGAGTCTGCTGAACCTGCTGCGTAAGAGATAGGGCGTCCTCGGCCGCCTTCTTCCTTGCCGCTCGTGCGGCCTTACCAGTCAAGACTGGGACCTCTGCAGGTCGACGAGTTTCCTCGGGAACAGCCTCAGAAGTAGGAGAGGATTCTTCAGCGGGCTCTTCCTCGCTGCCCTCAGCGGCCTTGGCGGCCTGTTCAGCCTCAAGCTGGGCTTGGTAGTTCTCAAATTCCTGTAGACGCTCCTTGAAACCTTCGTCATCCTGTTCGAGGTCTTGGGTATCGGGAAGGCCAGCACGCGCACCAGCATCGGCACCAGGGGCCCTGATCGGCTGAGGAGCGCCAGAACCCTGAAGGCTGGCAAGAATTTGACGCTCAGAGTTTGCGTAGCTTGTTAGGTCATCATCCCTGAAGGGATCCCCGTTTCCCGAACCAGAAGGGGCGGAAGTCTGACTGCCAACTGGCCCAGCTCCATCGAAGAAAGCACCCGACGGGGGCATGGCACCAATGGGTTGCTGGTGAGGCATTCCGATAGGGTTGGGAGACGAAATGCTTCCAAAGCTTGGCTGACTCTGGAGGCTATGAGCACTTGAGTGGTGTTGCAGCATTGGGCCTGGAATAGGGAATTTGGACATGGCTTGAGCGCGCATGACATACTCGCGCTGTTGCACCATGAGGTATTGTTCTTCTTGCTTGCGCCTCTCTAGGTTGTTCTGTTCTTCAGCAGTGAGGGTTCGGCCAAAACTAGGGAACACACCACTCAAAGGAGGAACTACACCACTATTTCCCTGGGGAGAGAAAGGGCCGGCCTGGGATGGAGGTCCGTGAGGGATACCAATCTGAGGAACAAGGAATGGTTCACGGGAGTTCCCTATGCGCCTGATGAGTTGGCCCAGAGGCTCAAAATCGGAATCCTCCAACTTCTTCACTCGAAGATCGGGGGTGAAGAAGTTGGCTTTGTACCAGTCGTTCATCTCGAGGCCAGTGAAGGGCCCCTGGACCTGTCCCTGAGGATCAAGATACACCCACCTCATGCGGTCAGGCATGACCATCTGACGAACTTGGGTAGCAGGAGGTTCGGTACCACCTTGGCCACCAAAGGGCAAACCACCGCCAATAGGAGTGAATGACTGAGGCGCTGTTGCAGCAGTTGGATGGTTAGAATCGCCGGTGCTAAATACACCCTGAGCGCGAGAAGCGTCACTGGAAGGGAACAACTCCTCAAAAACTCCACGGTTAGGGCGCATTGGGCTCTCAGTATCGCGAGATGGAATGCCGAAGTTGGTTCGACCAATGGCACCCAAAGGATTACCCTGACGAAGGTCAGGCAAAGAATCAGCCAGGTTGTTGTCGTGCTGCTGCTCATGAGACTGCATTTGTGCCTGCATCGCGGCAGGGAAGAGCGAGCTTATCTTGCTTCCACGGCCGATGCTTCCTGTCCCGAGACCACCAGCACTGGCAGGGCCAAATACGTTACCAAGATTGGATAAACCAGGCGACTGGAGATCACCCATAGGACTGAAGAGAGAATTGCCAAATGCACTACCCAAGTTAGGCCTCTCACGATCGGGAGTGCCAATCGCAGGGCCGCCGGGCGCGGGCCAACCTGCCAGGGTATTCAAAGAAGGATAGCCCTTGGCACCCACGCTAGAGGTCTGGCTACGATCGCCTCCGTCATAACCACCAAAGCCGCGGCCAATTGAGCCAAAGTTTGAGGGTGCGTCATGAAGGTTCGCGCCGTGGGGTTTATCATCATGGGTTTCGATATCGTCGTGGCCATGGCGCTCGGCTGGAGGACTGCGGTAGGGATTGGTCTCGGAGGGACTAACTGGACCATCATCACCATGACTCCCAAGGTTTAGACCTGCCATGCCAAAGTCGCCTGCAGAACCCTTGATTGGAGTGCCTAGGGTACCCGCTCGGTTACTCTGCTGAGGCATGCCGCCGATATCGGTATCCTGAGCACCACCGAGAACCGCACTGCCCGACAAGGTGTCGTCGCCAAATGGATCAGTGTCGGTTCGTGGACGAGATCGCCAGGACTGCTGATTGAGAGGGCTTTGGCTTTCAGCAGCCTTGCCACTCAGATTATCCGAGCTGTCCTTGGGGATGAGATGAGCCAACCTGCTCCCACCAGCACCAGCACCGCCGACACGTTTATCCCCAACAGCAGGTGAAGAAGCCAGTGCAAAGTTACCGAAACCGCCTGCACCAGGTGTCGTCTGATTAGAAGGTGGCCACATAGATCCGCCTCCAATTCCACCCGTGTTGGAGCGCATCAAGTTCCCAAACGGAGGCAGCCTTCCGGGAGCCTCACGAGAAACAGGGTCGGTATCGGACTCGTCAGGTTCGGATTCTTTCAAATCAGTTTTGCTGCGCGTAAACCAGTACGTTGGGTCTTCACGAGAGAAACGTCCAGCAGCAGTGGGAGATGCCAAAGCGCTTCCACCGAAGGGATTAGATTCGATTGTCTCACGTCGTCGAGTACCGGGTCGCGTGGCTGACGAAGGTGAACTGACGCCGAAAGTGTTGGAAGCACCTTGGGATAAAGACGCCTTGCGTCCGTTTGTAGCACCTTGGTGAGTATCTTTGTTTTGGGTTGGAGGTTTAAGCGGCGAATTGATCTCTGTGTTAAAAGTCTAATAGTGGTTAGCACAAACTTTGAATGTCAATGAAAGTGTGGGGGCTGGCGCACCTCCTTCTCCTCCAACGACATATCATGCAGTCCCATTGGAGTTATGTCTCCAGTATCGTCCCAGCAGGCGCCAGGCTCCTGCGGGATGTGGTTGTCGTTACTCTTACCCCAGCCTCTTGGAGCATGCCCATTAACTTGACCAGGATTCCACCCTGGGGCAAACAAATGAGTCGCATCCTCGCCTGATTTTTGGGGGCGGAACATATCCAGAAGTTCGTCCTTGGTGTAGCGCGTAGCAGACACTTCGTACGTCGAGGCGGATACAGATACAGGGCTCTCAGTGGCGGGGTGCTGAACTGCATGATCTGTCGAGGGTGGCGGCTGCGACGAGGGCTGCCCCAGAGGAGTTGTTGATGATCGTCGGAAAGTGAGAGTGCCATTAGTAGAACGACCGTCTCTTTTTGCCCTGAGACGTAGTTAGTAACAGTTGACAAATGCCGTCTAGGTCCTGGTATGTTGGTGGGAATGTATGGCATGTCGAGCAGATCGTACAGCTTGGATTCGAAAGATGTTCATTGTGACGCGGAGACCGCTAGTAACAGCATGGGCATACTTGTGGTCTTGTGCTCAGGACAGGGGAGTTAATGGTAATCCCAAGCGCCCATCGCGACAAATAACCCAAGCGCTGCGAAGCTCCAACATACTGTGCACCACAACGCGGGGTGACTGGGGACACAGTATGCAACACAACATCCTACCATGATACGAGATCGAAGAAAGAAAGGCCATGAAAAAGCAAAAAAGGGAGAGTGGCAAGCACTTACCAATCTCCAGAAGTAGCTCCCCTTCCATCAGTTCGTCCTCCTCTAGAGTTGGTGTTCTGGCCAGCGGCAGCCGAGGCAAAGCTCGAGGGAAGATTAGACGGCATATTGAGTAAACGCTATCGTAAAAAGAATGGTCAAGCAATTTAGGATCGTCGTCTCGAGTGCAAGTGCGAGTTCGAGTAGACGTGAGTGAGTGAATGTGGAACGTCTTTGTCGTTCGAGGTCAAGGGGCGCAGATGTTGCGTCGATGGTGGATCGAATCGGCAAAAGATAATGCGGATACAGCTGAGGAAAGGTAACCTAAAGCTGTAACGTGGCCAAAAATGCTTGTTGATGAGCTTGCTAAAGCGAACGTGCAGTAAGAATGCAGAAGCTTTGGTGGGAGGTTCGAGAGATGGGAGCACAAAACGTTGCTTAGGGCGATAGTCAAGAGACGAAGGCGGCGGGCAAGGTGATATGCGATATCGTGAACGATGGTGTTATTGATATGATCGGCGGATTAGCGCGACGTAATGGTTGAGTAAATAGTGTTTCGTTTGTTTTTTTCGGGGATCCGACGAGAAGAAGGTTTCGTGTGATGTTGTGGTGGTGATGTAAACGCTGTGGTCTGGGTTACCTTTAAACGGGGAAAGGAAAAAAATCGAGTGGAAGGGTTTTGGGGGAAGAGCGATAATTAGATAGTGAGGTACCTGAAACTGACAGTGGTTACCAGCCTTGTCTGAGGTTCCAGCTCACCATTCCATTAGTGGGCATGGACCTGGCAAGCGGAACTAACACTGTCCAGGCCACCTCTCACTGAAGTCTGTGATTAGTGGGGTTAAGGTTGCTACAGCCCGTAGAACTCTAGTAGCATCCAATCAGTCCCGCGTCTTAGCAGATGGAATTTCCAGTCATGACTGATCAGGGCTGGATCCTAAACGAAAATGGACGGCATGCAGACGCCATTGAAGCTTGTACACCCAAGCTTTTGGCTTTATTATCTAGGATTAACATTGACGAAGAGCCTGGCTAGGTGCCTGGGTTATTGGCTACCGAACACCTGGGTCAGGGGGATTCTACTGTTCGATCAAGGATTATTAAATACCCTAACCTCGGTCCTGACCAGAAAATAGATCTGTGGCAAAGAATAAGGATAAGGTAAAAAAGAGAGGGGTCACGTGGCGTCACACAGTAAGGCACTGTATGACATCTGTTAGTTCAGATCTCAGCCGTCAGGTTGGTTTCACATCACGTCACGTCAAAGCGCGTCGCGTTCTTTGAACCTCATCAAGAATGAAGTCAATTACCAAGGTTAGGCATTATCCGTACTTGTCGCCTTAACAAGGTATGTTTGCCGCGCAACGCATCAGTACTGTACTACATGCATCTTGTGATGTTTTTTATTCCAAGAGCTCTATGGTGATTCAATGCCATGATACTTAGAGCGAAACCATCAGCAAATGATATTACATCCAGTCAAGCCAACCATATTCTACCACAACGCTTCCGTATTAGATTAAATTAAATCGTTGTGATCTTTATAAATCCGTACTTGTCTACTGAGTCATTTACCCCGCTAAGAAAGGTTGGGCCCATATGCTCCTGTCTTCTTAGCATGGTCTGCCATGTATTCGCGAGGTGGGTGTTATAGATAGTAGTAACCAGATGGCTGATAATAGCCATGGACCAACTGAAGTGCGGTAGCCCGATTCCTCGCCCGTCTTCTCCCAGCCATACGTGCACTGACGTACAAACACCATAAAACAAAACACGCCTGTGAGACAAGCAATTGAGCATTTGCTGTGGATGCAATAAGGCAATTTGTGCAGCCGTGTGATCGGATGGAGGCCGGGAGGCAATCCAAAGTCCGCATGTTGAGAAATGGTAACAATATCTGGAATTTGTTACAAGTTATCATCACTTCTGTCCATTCCCTTGTTTTGTGAAGGAAGGCAGGCCAAGCAAAAGTTAGAGCAATTGATAACTTTCAATACCCTCGGGCCTACCAAGTAGACGCAGGCAGCGAACACGCTCATCGATGCCAGCATGGCCAGCGACTTGAAGTTACCAACTATAGTCCCAAGCAGACAACGTCGTAATGTTCGATGTTTGCACTCTCGCCAGCGCCACCTTGGCATGTGGAGCCCAGTACAGGAGCACGTGTTGGTAAGACTTTCTCCAACATCTGGGCTTGGGGCACAAGAGGATAAGGATGACAGGACGAGGTCTGTTACTCGGTCTCATCACGAAGAGCCTTTGCAGAAGAAGTTTCTTGCAGTAACACTTAACCCTCCCGCAATTCAAGTAGTCATGCAACCACTTTCATTAAATTTGATCGGAAGCAGGGATGTGCTTAAATGTTCGGCAGGAAATGTCCTTTGAACTTCTTGTTCGCGCGATCTGGTGCCCTAAGCATGATTTGATCACCGAGCACTTCGCAGGCAAATCTTTTATCGTCGGAGCTTTGCTCGGGCTTTATAGTTTCTTCGTTCGTCGGGATCTCAACTCTGAAGATGGTGCCCTCCTTGGGAACAATTTTGACTCCTCTCTTTTTGGTGATGATTTCAAAAACAAACTTGCGATCGCGGACAACCACGCCTTGAATGCCAACTCGACTAGGACAGTGACTTCGGACAACCTGGATAGGAGCGCCGTGAAACTCAGCGCTTGCAAGCTTCACCGCTGCGCTGGGTCCTCCCGTGTGAATATCGTTTCCAAGTAACTCCCGAGCGTATCCTAGCCACAGCTGGCTCAAAGGCTCATAGATATGGTATTTCTGGCCATCTTTAGGTATGTCGTGGAGACCCAAGTTTCTCCTTTCCCGCGACGACAGTGGCTTAGGTTTCTGCTTCTGCTTTTCTTTCTTATCTTGTCGACTTTTTCGGCGAGCTGCGCGAGCATTGACGGTGGATGGCGGAGGAGATGTCGGTCGAAGGATGAGTGAACGATGCTGAATCTTTTCCGAATAAATGCGATTCACGCTATCAGGAGAATGCGCTCTGGCCAGCAGATTCTGGGTAGCTTGCTGCGGTGCGCTAGGCATGATTACTGCAGACTGAGACTTGGGGAACAATGAGCGTCAGCGGTAGAATGTTACGTCGGGACTAGGTAGGGAAGAAAAAAAGTGTTTGACGGAAATATGCCGCGATCCCTGCAGGCAAATCTCAATTCTGGGGAAATGACGGGAGGAAGGAGACAAGGCAGTGGGACCAAGCTCCTTCCGCTTCACATGCCGCTCGGCAGCCCGAGTCAAATGATGCCAGCCCCGCTTGGCCAATCCCGTCACAGCTCGGCCATGTCCATCCATGTCATATCCCTATTGCGAACTTCCATTTAGGAACACCTTACGACCTTGTTTCAATTAAAACATACCCAGGAGTGAGAAGCGACAAATGCTCTTGGAATCTGTATTGCAATAGCCGGAACTACCTCGCTGTGACGCGACTTGGTCACTTAATTGCGATGGTGCTATTGACAATAAACAACAACTGATCGTTTACACCTCGGCAACTCAAGAACTGCTACGTTATCATAAGAAAATCGCCAGCCATGTCGCATAACGAAGACGACGTTGATCCGTCGACCAATTCGGCACCAGACCTTCAGATCTTGGGTGATGAAGTCACGCTTCAGCCCAGTGGCTTTGTTCAGCCGCCTCCCAAGAATATTCCCGAGGGTAAGGAGGAGGCTTTGATGGACAAGTTTGCCTCGTTTCGCTCTGAGCCTTTCCGGTAATATAACCTTCTCATTGCTACTGCAGTAATCATAGTATGCATGACTGACAGCTCTTGTGTTAGGTTTCTTCGCGAGGTGTCCCTCTATGTCTCGGGTCAAGGATGGCGAGCCTACGATAATGCAATTGGCCAACCTGTCTTTTATTCTGGGTTTTCGGAGAATATGAAGAATATGGTTCTTTCGGCGCCACTTCTTCAGCAGAGAATCAGCCAACTTGCTGAGCATCGTGTAGCTGTCGAAGAACGTGAGGGAACGCTGCCAAGAGACAGCAAAGACTATAGTATCAAACGCTCTCAACGACTCAATGAGATAGAGTCAGGCCTTCAGGAACTGGCAGATAAATGGACCGACGACATGATTTGCAAGATGGAAAGCAAGGCGTTTATTCGTGGAGCTTATTATCTTTGCACTCAGTTATTGACGCGCGCTTACCATCAAGGCATCCATGTCTCTAGCGAGGAGGTCCTGCGACTGCGCAAAGTTGCCGAAGTAGCAGCTAAGAAGAAGCAAAGTATCATTTTCTTGCCCAGTCATCGATCCCACGTTGACTATGTCTCCCTGCAACTCATCTGCTATCGTTTGGGTCTTACACTGCCAGTGGTTGTGGCAGGAGACAACTTGAACTTACCTGTGCTCGGCGACTTCCTGCAACATGCTGGAGCCATGTGGATTCGAAGAGCGTTTGGTGATGATGTTTTATACACCACGCTAGTCCAATCATATATCGATACGCTTCTCCAGGAAGGCTACAATTTTGAATGCTTTATCGAAGGAGGTCGTTCCCGGACCGGGAAGTTGCTACCCCCAAAGTTTGGCATTCTTAGCTTCGTCCTCGACAGTATTTTATCGGGTCGTGTTGAAGACGCTATCATCTGTCCTGTCAGCACTCAATATGATAAGGTCATCGAAACGGAGGGTTATGTTACCGAACTACTCGGGATGCCTAAGAAAAAGGAAAACCTAGCGGACTTTCTGAGCGGAGGATCATCTGTCTTATCTCTTCGCTTGGGCCGAGTTGATGTTAGGTTCCACGAACCCTGGAGTTTAAGAAAGTTTCTGGACGACCAGCTGTCAAAACTTCCCAGCATCCCACGCGGACTTGATACCGACCACCAGCGACCTGAGGTCCGTGCAGTTCGAGAGAAACTTCTACGGACGATGGGATATCAGGTACTGAGCGACATTAACGATGTGTCCGTCGTGATGCCAACAGCGCTAATTGGTACTGTTCTTCTTACACTTCGTGGTCGCGGAGTTGGCAAGGAAGAACTGAAGCGTCGGGTTGCATGGCTGACAGAACGTGTGCGTGGAAAGGGTGGGCGTGTAGCCCATTTCGGCAACGCACCTCTTGCCGAGATCGTTGACCGTGGCCTTGACGTGCTTGGCAAAGATCTCGTAGGAGTAGTTGAAGGTCTTGCTGAGCCTACATATTACGCAGTTGACCGCTTTCAGTTGTCGTTCTATCGCAATATGACGATTCATCTCTTTATCTACGAGGCGCTGGTTAGTGCAGCAATGTACTCACGGGTAAAGAGAGGAGGCGGTGCTCAAATCCAAGACATTTCGTTCGATGAATTAAAGGAACAAGTGTTCTTTCTTTCGTCTCTATTCCGTGGCGAATTCATCTTTTCCAGTGAGGGCCTGGATACCAATTTGGACAGGACCTTACGAGGTCTGGAGGTAGACGAAGTGATTCGAGTTGATCGTGATGCAGACGGCAACGTCACTATGGTTGGGCTTGCAGAACAGGAGAGAAAGGCCGGAAGAGAAAACTACGACTTTTACTGCTTTCTCATATGGCCTTTTATAGAGGCGACTTGGCTGGCAGCGGTATCTCTCATGGGGCTCACTCCTCCTCCTGGCCAGAATGAAGAGACCTGGATTGAACAAGGCAAGATACATAACAGCGCCCAGCTCGTAAGTCTTTACCCGCATACCTATGGATATAATATCACCTTTATTTTCAGCTCAACATGCTTACAAAACTGCTCATCTAGCTTGGCAAGACGCTTTACCACCAGGGTGACTTGTCATACTTCGAAGCTGTCAACAAAGAAACTCTAAAGAACTCGTACTTGCGCTTCGAGCAAGATCAACTCCTTCATGTTATAAAATCGAAAGACACCAAGATCCCACCTCGCGCTCAGCTCGACGCCTCCTGGAGAACTCCTCGAGACCCAGAGACAGGCGTTCTCCTTGCGGAAGGCAAACTTTGGGATTTCACCGAGAAGATTGCGAAGTCACGTCGCGAAGGCAAGAACCGTCGTGATGGTGCTACGGTTAGCAGCCGTGTGCTCCGTCTTACGGACGAATTGGGCCGCAAGCTTTGGGAGGAAACGCTCGAAGCTGAGAGAAGCGGCAAAGGCAAAGCTCCTAGTCGACTCAGCAACGAAGAGAAGGAGGCTTTTGGGAGGAGTGTGAGAGAAGGAAAGAAGAAGAGAGAGGAGAGAGCTCGGGCTCATCTGTGAACAAAGTGATTTATCCAAGAACTCTGTATAACATTCCATGCTAGCGAGCTTAACTTCTTTTGCATTTACCATTGTTATTGGGTTGAAGGGACGACCCGAGTCTGCCCTGAACTATACGAACACGCTGCTATTTTATAAGCATTATACATATTATATACTCAGTCAGATACAGTCGCCTTTTCACTATTTAGTCCAATGTGCCGAGTCTAATTCTTGAACAGCTTAAGCCTGTTCGGGTATACTGCTTTCAATTTCGTTTCTCATGCTTTATGTTTTGTATCTATGCATCGTTCGGCTCCAGCGGCTTGAGGATGATATTATCTATCAAGCGCACTGGTGGCCCTCCACTGAATCCCAAGTCCTCAGCTTTTTTGGCCTCCTCGACGGGTAACATCTTGATTGCAGCGCTTAGAACAGCTCCTCGTGTTGGGTCAACTTCGTCAATCTCAACTAGGGTGTCTGGGTCTGCTAGGGATATGTAGTCGACCTCAAAGACCACTCGCTCCGTTGGAGGAAGCTTCGACATGTCGGATGTGAATGTCTTTATGAATTTATGCGCCGCGCCGAGAATACTTTCCCGGTCACAGTGACCATTAACTGAGTATGCGCTAGCGGCTCTGGTTAATGCGCCTGGGAGAACGATGGCCGCTTCTCTCCGTCTGGGGCCCAGATAAACGTTTCGAGAGCTAAGCGCAAGGCCGTCCCTCTCACGTTCTGTAGGCTGGACAACTACTTGCATAGGCAAGACAAAGTCCTTGACCATTCGGCGGATGACAACTGTTTGCTGAACATCCTTCTGGCCAAAGTATGCACGCTCGGGTTGGACAATATTAAAGAGCTTTAAGCACACTGTCGCAACACCCCGGAAGAAGGTTGGTCTGCTGGCACCCTCAAGGAGTTCGCCCACAGGTGTAATAGAGACGAAGCTTCCCTTGCTGTCAACTTCCTGGCCTGGGAAGCCACTGGGATACATCTCTGGTGTCGTTGGCGCAAATACAGCAGAGATGCGACCCATATTTCCTCCATCATCCGCGAGTTCTCTATCCAGCGCCGCCAGCTTCTTTGAGTCTTCTTCCCATGTGACGGGATATGATGAAAGATCCTCTTTGACGCCAAACTGCGCAGGGTTGACATATATGCTTACCACAACGTGGTGGTTCTCTTTCGCAGCAGCACGGATCAATGACAGATGGCCTTCGTGCAGGGCACCCATGGTGGGCACAAAGCCCACAGAACGGTGGTTGATAACATGGGGGTTGCGCCAGCGGCGAACAGATTCGACAGAACGGAGGACACGAATAGACGACTTGGGGAGAGTCTCGAGGCGGGATGAAGTCGAGCATGCGGAAGCCATTGTGCGAACCGAGGTGGTGAACGGCGAACGATGCCGGAGGAAGCGAAGAGGAAGCATTGTGTCGATCCGGCGGGAGGAGGAAGTTTTATAAGAGAAAGAAGAGCAATTCCCTTAGCCGAGGCTGAAATATGGCATGATCAGTGGGCAGAATCCTCTCGTGATGGTTTCTGCAGCGGAATTTTGGGGACGGCTTGGGATGTAGGTGGAGTTGGAGATGCAGGGGTATACTTTTTTTGGAGTTGATGTTCAGTGACCAACATGTGATAGGAGGTTACCCTGTACCACCACCATTTCCCATCTTTTTAGTTGTGATGTCAAGCTCAATAAGCCGATATATCTATACAGACTTTGGTACGGGATTAGCACTAGCTCTTTTCTCTTTTAATTGAAACTTTGAGAAAAAAAATTACGAGGGTCGAAATGACTTACGATACCGACGCTTCCACCATGGATTCGGCTGTTTGTACGTGGCTGATACATCACAAAACGTAGTAAGAAACAACCAACACAATCGCCTTATTAGGCTGGTGGTAAATATGCAGAACTAGTATTTGTAATAAGAACACCATGTTAGACAAAGTTGATGGCTGCCAATGACTACAAGGCAATAGACGGATACGAGGCCAGTACCTGAAACATAACGAGTTCAAAAATATTATGTATATCATTAATGCGTAAAATAGGAGAGTGCATCTGTCTAAATCGAAACCTCAACGCCATTCTATGTGCTGCAGCCGAGACTGGCCCCCGTGTTATCCATCATGGTTTGTAGTGACTCGCTAAGCCTATTGTTCCTTCATTACATGCCCAGGTTTCTATCATATCAAACAAAGAATAATCAACTATGCGACATTTTAAGCACCACCAGTGATGTTTGCAAGGTTGAGCTTCTTCCAGGGGGTGAGCAAGCTGATCAAGAAAGATGTACCAACAAAGGCAACAGCAATGGCGAAGACGACGTTCAATCCTTGCATGTAACCGTTGATGACACTGACTAGCTCCTCAGCGTTGAAGGCTTCCCGGAGAGCGGTGGCTCCAGTGAGGATCAGACGACCCTTGCTGATTTGAGGAGCATTCTCTCCAACATCAAGAAGCATTTGATTGACAAAGGCAGCCTGACCTGCAGAGACGATGTAGGCACCACCAAGACCTTGGAAAACTGTATCGTGTTAGTGAGATGATCATGGCCGGAGAATAGAGAGAGTACTTACACAGAAGAATACCGGTAGCAGAAGCAAGATCCTTAGGATCGACAGTACCTTGAACAGCAATCATGGGGATCTGGAAGGCAACACCCCAACCCACACCAGCCACGATCTGGTAGCCAATCCACTTGCCCGTAGAGGTGTCAACATCGAGGAGGTAGAGAAGACCAGCTCCAATGGTTGCAACGGCGGCACCGCCGATGAGTAGAGGCTGGTAGAAGCCGGTAGCGGTGACGAGACCTCCACTGATGATGGTAGCGAATGTGACTGCAAGAATCAGGGGAAGGTTGCGAACACCACTGCCAGTGGGGGTCGTGCCGTGGACGGACTGGAAGTAGATGGGGATGTAGTAGATGGCGAGGAAGAAAGATCCGGCAAAGATGAAGGCGAAGGCGCTCATGACCCAGACAACACGGTTCTTGAGGATTCGGACGGGGATCATGGAACGCTCACCCTGGACGTAACAGGAGATGGCCCAGACAATGGTGATGGCAACCCAGCCAACAAGAAGACCAATGACAACAGACGAGTCCCAAGCGTGAGCCTGACCACCGTATTGGACAGCGAGGATGTAAGAGATGGTAAGACCCATCATCAGAATAATGCCAAGGGGATCCATCTGGAGGAACTTCTCAAGGAGAGGAGCCTTGACAGGGACCGCAGCACGAGGAGTCTTGAAGAAGATGAAGATGATGACGGCGGAGACACCTCCGATGGGAAGGTTGATGTAGAAACACCATCGCCAAGAGACATGATCGGTGAAAGCACCACCCAGGAGAGGACCGATAACACTGGCGATACCGTAGGCAGCACCGATGATACCAGTGAAAGCAGGTCGTTTCTTGGGAGGGGCAGAGAAACCGATGATGGTGTACGCTCCGGCACCGAGACCGGCACCACCAACGCCGGCGATGGCACGGCCAGTGATGAGGGCTTCGGCATTGGGAGCGGCGCCACAGATGACGGAGCCGAGCTCGAAGATGAGAATGGCGACGATGAAAGATGTCTTGAGCGGGAAGTACTTGTAGATTTTACCCCCTTTGGCGGTGTTAGTGGTGAGTCGAGGTGAAAAAGGGGTTGGCAGATTTTGACTTACAAGTTGACTGGAAGGCACCGACAGTCATGAAGAAGGCAGCGCCATACCATCCGACCTTGTCAAGACCCTTGAACTCATCAGTGATCTTGGGGATAGCTGTTGCGACAATGGTCTAGTGCACGGTTGGTGTTAGTAACCTGGATATGTTTGACAGGAATGAAGGCGTATCTTACCAAGTCAAGGGAGAAGAGGAAGACAGCCATAACTAGAGCCAGGACGATGAAGAACATGTTGATGCCCGTGGGGTATTCATCTTCACCGGGTTCATCACTATCAGTGTTGCCCTGAACAGTGCCAGTCTCGATATCCTCATCAAGCTGTCCCTCTTCTTTCTTCTTCTCCTGAAGATTGTCTTCTCCTCGCAGTGTTGAAGTTGTGGATTCGGGTCGTTCCCCGGTCTTAGGGACCTCGAGTTTTGTTGGTTCGGCAGACATGGTGTAAGTGTTCTCGCTAATCTGCAAAGCTTGAGGTTGTTGGTTGTGCAGAATTAAGCTTATATGGAAATAGATCCAAGCCCTTGGGTAGAAGGGGGATGTATCTTGTGTATAAGTGCTTGTTTGATGCTCTACAAGTACGGAAACACTAAGGATGACAGCGAGCCTCGACTATCTATATAACCTCCCGAGATGAACAACATAATCGTATCTCCCATCTCCCTGTCTGACCCTTTGTCGCAGGAGTTAAGGTTCTGCCCACACAAAATCCGCCCACGGGCATAACTGATAGAGCAATGCATACTATTGCCCGTCAGCATAACGGGTTAAATTCTAACAATGACAAGAATCCAGCCAGTCAAGAGCAGGCGGAGTGGCGGACTCCACCTAATGTCCGCCGTATACACCCTTCTTCCTTCGACATCTCGTAAGCCCAATTCCGCTCAAAACATGTCAAGCCCCGACGCTAAGAGCAACATGCTCACCAATACAAGCGATCATTACAGAAGAGCCTCTGAGGCCTCATCATAACGATCGAGTATTCCTAATACTTCATAGAGGACCTATGGAACGCAATTTTTACTACGAGCTGCACGTCTGCGGCGGGGGTTGAAATTTGAAACCTCCTGGGACAATCTTGGTCCGAGTCGGTGGACAAAGATTGTTGTTTCTGAATCAGCAATAGCTCCCCAAACCGGGCATTATTGTAGTGATGGGATCATCCCTTGCCACGTGTGATTGCAAATTTTTAAGGAGACCTGATACTCTGTATGACATTTTGTATGGAATCCGTGGCAGTGGATCGATTTACACACATGTAAGCTCCCAAGGCAGATAACCTCACAGCAGTCACGCATAACGCTTGGCATAACGGGTGAAACAACACCAACCAGCTCAACGCTTTTGGGGGGAAAAAGAAAAAAAGACACTAAAAACTCTTTCAGAGTGCAGACTGATCAAGAGCGGTCAGACAACGATCGCGCCATGATTCACTTGATTGGGAAAAGTCTTGGAAGAAAAACAAATTAGCCAGGAAAAATGTAATAGAGCATCATCAACTCAAGCCTAGCAGATACTATCCGGGGATCTTTGCACAGTAAGATTTGGTCTGACGACCATCGGTAGCTCCGGAGTTAAGAGTCACTGGCTCTAGTGATTCAACACCAAGAAGAATAAGACCCGAGAGGTCTCGGATTTGAATCCTTTTCGTTGGCTTAAGTCCCTCCATCATCATCATCTTATCTCACGGCTCACGCGTCAGCGCTTCTGCTGAGGACTAGGTACAGCGGTTAAGACTTAAGAGTTTACCATGTCCAAAGGGTCCAAATAAGAGCCGGGGACCCAGTAAACGATGATCTCCGCCAGGAAGTGGTTGCAGATCTCAGGCGTGCTCAGACTGATCATTGATTTTTGACCAGTAGCATGTTTTGCGGGTCTTGGTCTTGGTCTTGGCTCTTTGTTATCTCGTCCGCAGCCAGGAACCTGCTCGATGTTGTTGCACGTGAAGTAGTGTAGTAACAAAGGAGTGAATTCACATTCCGCACGCATTCACGTCCGCGTTCACGGACGAAGGGCGGACGTGTCTTGCGGAGTTTGTAAGCAAGGATGTATTTGGCTATTTGCTGCGAGTGATTCCCCATGGTAGCGGCTCCGATTAGACTGGAGCTGACGAAACGAGTCTCGCCAACGACTTTGATTGGAGAAACCATCCTTAAAGGGTGTTGTCTTAGAAATAAACTCATATTCCGTGTGCGTGCTGATTGATGATGAGATCCAAAAGCAGGGTACTGACTCAATCTAATCTTACTCCGTACATGTCGGAGACTTTTCGACGACTATTGCGGATAAAGTCGGCCATGTTGCCACGTCTTCAACTGCAACTGCTATGCCATGAGATGATATTAAGCCATGCATTCAGCCTGTCTTTTCGGCTGAGAGCTTTTGTGTATGTTTGTCTATCTTAATTACCTATTGTTGAGGCTCACGCGAGGGGATCTTGGTGATGATCCCCATGCCCAATGCCAGTTTTGACAGCCTTGTGGAGCTCAGTCCTTAGGTCTCGTTGACAACATCGCCTACCCGTGCCGCTAGACCGCATCTGGTTCAATGGGCGGCCTGGTAATAATGTTGGTTTATGAGTTATCTGCGGAAAGTGCTTGCTGCCTACCTACTTTATCTAATAGTATCTATTGGAGGGAAGCTACGACAGTAGGGAATCGCTGACCACATAACTACTCCGTACTTACGGAGAGAATGATAATCCGAGAGCACGACTCATAGGCATCCACATTAAAGATTGGATGGGTGAACCTGGTTCCCCAAGCTTTACTTCTCGATGCAACCTCGGCACATGCTATCGATAAGAGCTGTCATAACAGCGCCAAGCAGCCGGCAGCTTCCATCTTATTCTTCCCTGTGTTTTGTCGCTAAACTCAATCAGTAAGGTTGAAGCGGCTCCATGACGTTGAGCTGTAAAGCTCCGGCTCCGAGAGCGTCCAGACGTAGCAATTGCCCGCCGGCTCCTCAGTCACGAACCCGCACCCGCATCCGCACCCGCTCGCCGGCGGCGTTGCAACCGTAACCGCAATGGGGCAAAACTCTGCACGTTTTCGACCGCGATAGAGACCCTTCTAGGACCTTTAAGCTTATCAATTGCTTTCTTGGGGAAGCCGCAATCCTTTCTGCAGGCAATTGACTGTGGGGATTTTGCGGAGGAGGCTGCTAAATACGGAGAAGGGTGCATCGCATACTTAGCTAAACTCAACTCAGAGGTGAACTACCCCTCCTCAAAACGCCTCCAGCCATGTCTTTGAGGAGCTATAAGAAGATGGGCGCTGCCCTTGCCTCAAGATTATCAAACGTCACTCTCTGTCCTCCAGCGTATTCTGCTTCAACTAGAACTCTCACACACTCGCCGTGTCGACTTTCAATTCCTACTTTAAGCCGACTCATTACCACTACACAGAGAAGCTTCAGCACAATGTCGGACCTCTTCGTCAACCTCGAGGCGCCTAACGGTGTCAAGTACAAGCAGCCAACCGGTCTCTTCATCAACAACGAGTTCGTGCCAGGCTCGTCCACCCAGAAGATTACATCTATCGACCCTGCGTAAGTAAACATCTCGGCAGTTCCAAAACTTACGCTAACGGAGGCGTCTATGACAGTACCGAGAAGGAGATCGCCACAGTCCACGCCGCCAATGCCGATGATGTTGACAAGGCTGTGAAAGCAGCTTACGCCGCTTTCCACGACAAGTCATGGAAGAAGCTACCCCCTCCCCAGCGAGGCGTTCTCATGAACAAGCTCGCCGACTACATTGAGGAGCACACACAGATGTTTGCTACTTCGGAGGCTTGGGACAACGGTATGTCATAATGATATGCCGAATAGGCGATTTGAACCATACTGACTTATAACAGGCAAGGTCTACTCCGATGCTGAGGGCGGTGACATTGTTGAGGTCATCAACTGCATCCGCTACTACGCCGGCTGGGCCGACAAGATCACTGGCCAGACCATTACTGCCAACCCTAACAAGCTCGCGTACACTCTCCGCCAACCCCTCGGCGTTGTCGCTCAGATCATTCCCTGGAACTACCCGCTCGCCATGGCCGCCTGGAAGATCGGCCCTGCGCTAGCATGCGGTAACACAATTGTCATGAAGGCTGCCGAGCAAACGCCTCTTAGCATCCTTCTTCTTGGACAGGCTATCAAGGATGTTGGATTCCCACCTGGAGTTTTCAACGCTCTTAACGGTTACGGCGGCGAGGCTGGCCCTGCTCTTGTCCAGCACCCCCTCGTCGAGAAGGTCGCCTTCACTGGCTCGACCGCTACCGGTGCCAAGATCATGGAGATGGCTTCCAAGTCCCTCAAGAACATCACCCTCGAGACCGGTGGTAAGTCGCCACTGTTGGTCTTTGCCGACAGCGACCTCGATGAGGCTGTCAAGTGGTCGCACATGGGTATCATGTCGAACCAGGGCCAGATCTGCACAGCTACTTCTCGTCTGCTAGTCCAAGACTCGATCTACGACGACTTCGTCAAGCGATTTGTTGAGACCACCAAGACCGTCAGCAAGGTCGGTCACCAATGGGATTCAGATTCGTACCAGGGCCCCCAGGTCTCTAAGCAGCAGTACGATCGCGTCCTAGAATATATCCAGATCGGAAAGTCCGAGGGAGCTACACTCCTTTCTGGTGGCCAGCCAGTCGATTCCTCCAAGAAGGGCTTCTTCGTCCAGCCCACCATCTTCGGCGATGTTCACAACCAGATGCGCGTCTTCCGCGAGGAAATTTTCGGCCCTGTGGTCGTTATTACCAAGTTCAGCGACGAAGCGGAGGCTCTCAAGCTCGCCAACGACACAACATACGGTCTTGGTGCTGCTGTCTTCACCAAGGATGTTGAGCGTGCCCATCGTGTTGCCGCTGAGATCGAGGCTGGTATGGTCTGGATCAACAGCACGCAGGACAGCGAGCCTTACATCCCCTTTGGTGGCGTGAAGCAGAGTGGCATTGGCCGTGAGCTTGGTGAGGCTGGTCTTGAGGCATACAGCCATACCAAGTCTATTCACGTCAACCTTGGCTCTCGTCTGTAAGCTGAGATGCGGTCGGGAACTCTGATTCATGATGTGGAGCACTTGATACCGGAGGAATATTTGGAGAAATAGGCGTTTTTGGCGTATCATCGTCGTATTTATTAGGGGCTATGGAAAATACCAAGATCTACAATTCTAATCACTGAATACGCTGCTGTGAACCCTTGTAATACTGAGGCGAAGCAACATCAGCCCATGAGTCCCCATAGCTACCTAGTGAGGCTGTGGCTGTTGGTGCATCCTCCCGGAAATAAACATGCCGCGACACACGTCATAGCAGTTGCAGAGGTCCAGAAGATAGATGTGTAGTGAATCACAGCACACGACACTTACGTTTACTTGTTCCCCATTTTATTGAATTGTTTCTATCATTGCTATTTATCATTTCTATCTTCAAATCTACACTATTACCATATTCCAAAATGACAGATCTCCCTCCACCTAATTACTCAGACCTGGAGCTGCCCTCCTACAACACCCTGATCAACACTCCCGCGCCCGCCAACGTCGCTATTGCTGCCCCCACTAACAAATCCATCCTCGGCCCTGCAACGCTCTACATCTCAGGCCGCTTCATCTACTCAACCGACCCGCAGGAGCCGCCGCTCTACGAGTTCTCGCACTCCATCGGCTATCTCCACGACAATGACCGCAGCGTGAAAGTCGAGCGCGTCGGCACCGTCGTCAAGAACTCGGGCGAGGTCGCCCCTAAGAACCGCCATCTCTTCGACCTCAAACATCCTACCGCCGCCGAGTTCCCTACGTTCCCCTACCACGCCGAAGTCGCATCGCGCCGCGCCCTGTGCTCCTTTGGAGTTTCGCAATTCCGCTCCGGCAACCCGCTACGGCACACAAAAGGGTACCGCTTCGACCGCGCCGTGAAGGGAGCTGATCGCAAGTTGGAGCCCCAGGATGTACTGTTCGAAGCTTATTCCTCGCGGAGTAAAGGCGTATTTTACGAGTGGCGGGATTGCCAGGGCGAGATAATAGCGAGAGAGGTCGAGGACGAGAATGTGAGTATGAGTCTGGTCATCACGGCCGAGATGAGTGTCGAACTGCGCGACGCCCTCGTTGCGGCGTGGATACTCAGGATATGGTGGGACTTGTCGAAGGGGAATACCCACGCCATGCGTTTAATGACGGTGCGTTAGCCACGGCACGTTGGATGCGTAATTCCTTACTGACGTCGGCTACAGACAAATGCGGCACGCGGCCAGCGGCTGGTAGGGTCGGTAGGGTAAGTCTATTGCTCCTGTCTTGAGTGGACGATATTAACGGTCTACAGACTTTCTACGTTGGGTAAGGGTATTAATGGACTGGGGTATTGACTTAAAGCGTTTTCATTTATGCCTCTGATGTCCTTCAGATCTTGCTCATAGGATTAATAAATGTCCCATAAACTAATCTTACCATCTTTGGCCCCTGCTGCGATCCAATGTGTTTTCCGTGCTGTCGCTATACGCTGCTCTTTAACACTCAATCCTGCCCTGATCAAAGAGCCGGTCCTTGTACTCAAACTGCCTGTTGTTTTCGCCTCATTCTCCCGATTGGGAGTTGAGCTATTCGCTTGATCTGATACCTTGATATCGGCGAATGCAACAGCGTAGCATCCGACTTGATGCCATTTCAACACAGCAAGTTCTTTCATCGTCTTTGTAGAGTACACGCGGACTTTCGAATCCCAGCCTGCTGTGGCAAAGATTCGTCCGTCGGATCGTATATCTAGACTTTGCTGTCCGGAGTGCTTGGTGTTGATACTCTTGAGCGGATCTTTCCACGCAATGCCCTTTGGAGGCGCACTCGTAGATGCTCGCGACGATGACTGGAGGCCTGCTGATAAGGATGACTTGACTTCAGGCTCGTCATCCATTATCTCGACGACCCGCTCTGTGCTCACAGGCGGTATGGAGTCTTCTAGGGGAAAGAATAGATCGATGGGTATGGGGTGTTTAGCGATGATAGAGTCGGCACTGGAAGTAATGAAGAAGTCGTTGTAGACGCTCAGCGACAAAACAGGCTGCGAATGCGCTTGTGAGTTGTACATCGTAAGCCAATGCCCATCGGACTCAAGACGTTGCACGACCACGTAACCATTCTCAAAAGCAGCAATAAGCGTAAGGGCGTCTTTGTAATGTAGCAGAGCAAGACACATTGCCATGCCGGTTTTGTCCCCGGCCTTGATAGTATGAATGCGCTTTTGTGCAGGTAACTGGTAAATATCGATCTATAGCGGCTGTCAGTCTGGGCTCGCCATGGCTGAGGTGGTTCATACAGCGTCTGAATGCAGAGTATTAGGCACAGCGACCAGCACTTCCGAGGCTGTATCGACAGACCCAGGCGCGCTGGAGCAGATACCAAAAGCGCAGAAGTTCAAGGTGTTGACTTCTAGAAGATGAAGCATCCATGGCTGGGCTCGGGGAGTCGAGACTTCTTCCACGGGTAGTGCGGTGCTGAGATGCTCCTCATCTGCCTCGCCGAGTTTCCAGACTATGAGCTTCAGATCACGTCCATGTCTATAAATCCGCGTCAGTCAAATATTCTTTTAATTTCTAAAGTTCCAGAAGAGAGCCTACGTGATGATCTTGTCGTCGCCCCAACCACCGAGGCCCAAAAGGGCCTTTTCATGAGCGCGCCAAACAGCCCGCGGGCGCATTATTGTGAGGTCCCATAGCACGACGAAGCCATCTGCGTCGCCCGTGATGAGGCGCTCGTTAGATCTGATGAAAGCTGCTGCATGGATCTGTGATTTATGACCGCGTAGTATTGATTTGGGTGTTGGCGCTGAAGGGTCCATTTTGTTGATGAATTTGTGGTCATGGTTAGGAATTGCAGGTTGTTGAAATTGGACCTGGGCTATTGTGGAACAAACAGTGTGGTCAGGCCTTGACTCGGGAAGCCCATTTGGTAAATGTTTATTCTCATACAACGAGTAACAATGATATTGTTTTCAGAGCGATATATATTCCTGGTACTATCCAATATTATTCTAATTGGGAAATAGTAGACTGTCTAATCAACTATAGTTGAGAATAACGATGGATCAGCTATAGACTGCGGTTTGCATCCAAGACTCTTCTCATACAATGATATATGGACATCAATTTGACAAATAACTCAACAGCCAAAGTGTTGTATCTAGCAAATATCGGATCACTGTCAAAACCACCAGAGGACAAATCCCCCACCATTTCATTGGCCGTCAAGCCCGAGCTATTTTGGGCTGTTGTCTGTTGTGCTACCTATCACTTACAACCGACGCCTCATGAACTACAATCCTGTATATCTCGGGCGCACCCCGTGCTACTGGCTCCGTGTCGCTCGATTGCATCGCACATCGTCTGACGGGAACTGAGTCTTGCCGCAGGAAAAGACATGGTGGTGCACGAGCAATATTGACAGCGGATTCAATAAGCGAAGCCTACGGATGGATGGAAGCCATTATCGATCCTTATACGAGCATTGGTCTCGCCCGGCTTCCGGTAATTTAAGCCTGCTAGGATCTGAGCCGAGTTCCATCCATCCTAGGCGCCACATGTGTAATGCATACATATAACATATGCGGCAGATAATATTCGCTTCAAGAGCCATTATCAATTCGATCCTATCAGGCCACGCTGCTTTCATCACTGACCAGCCTTGCATGGGGTTCTCCTGCATACTTGAGTTGAGCCATCTCGCCGGAGAGTTTATTCGGTAGGGCTCGGCCTCACAACTCCTCCTGCGACAGAGGTTTCTCTATCCTTAAGGATAAGACAGGACAGAACGGAAATTGAACACAGACGCCATTCCGTGTAATGGTCTCAGTATCTGTCAGCTTGCTTTCCGAATCACAGCCGAGAGAAAAGGCTACTCGTACTCGCACAGCAGCCGGAGTACACGTCCGTGTTTATTGGCCTGCGTACTTTGGCTAGGAACTGGTGTTTCGCCATATACCCATGATGCAGCTTTCGGGTTCAGGCGGAGACATTCAGCTGCTAGCAATTCTCTGAGACTTGATGTTGCCTTGGGCCTATGCCATCTTGAATTTATATTCCTCAAATCCCGTCCGATCCATTCTCTTGTCTTTCGTTATTCATTACTGCACCCCCCGCCTTATCGCCCCTGGTTTATCGTCTACCCCGACTGTGGATCCCATAAAGACAATCCCGAACCTGCGACGGTCTTTTATGCCGGGGCCGGGGTAGGGAAACCGGTACAGAAGCCGTGGCCTGGGCCGCAAGCTATGATTTCATTCCATACTTCCTTTGACTTTTCTAGAACGTCGAGAATCGTGGGTACCCAGTCACCCGGCCTCAAATGTGACTGCAAAAGTCCCTATTTGGAATATCCACCATTAAAGCTATCCCGTCAGCATCAGAAACTTGCACGCAGATTCCAACACTACTCTATCGCCCTGGTGTATAGCCAGGCAAGTGATAGTGTCTGCTCAACCCGGCCTCAATGATATCGCCGTGCTTGATGTTAGTTACGGTGCGGCGATGCAAAATGAAGAATCCAAAGAGAGGCAGACAATGCCATTCCCTGGAGGATGGCAAGGTTATTCACCAGCGGCATATGCGTCAGGCAACGATCTGGGGTTCGACTTCTTCGACTTTAGTCCCCCTCGGCATCCGCAGATGGGGACGACCCCGATCTCCGAACCCCCGAACAGCAGCCAAGACCCAGAAGGTCAACTTGGGGGAAATTCCAGAGGGATGACTCTTCAAAGTCCTATGTCGAAGTCAACTCCGACGCAAGCCAAAGGGAAAAGAGTGCGAACAGGATGCCTCACATGTCGTGAGAGGCACCTAAAGTGCGATGAGGCAGTGCCTGATTGCATGAATTGTCGGAAGCGAGGTCGGGAATGCAAAAGAGGAGTACGTCTCAACTTTCTGGAAATTAACTTATACAGTCCCGACACTATAAGGTTTCCCGAAGACTGGGCGGGTATGGGCTCTCGATCCCAACTGGAGAAATTTTGCTGATTCGAGTTACAGTTGAGTTTCAAGACGAATCCCGAGATATTGCATCGGAGTATCAAGGCGGCCTTGGTCGTTATGCTCCATACGATTCAAGGCCTGAAGAAGATCATGATGCCGCAAAAAAGGCAATACTCTTAGCGGAAGCAAGCAGCACACGAGACGTTGACACTTCGATTGAGAGACATCAGTTCAGCCCGCAGCGCACTTTGAGCTACTCTCGGGGCAATACCACACCCATAGCTTCTGAAATCTCGAATCTGCCACAGGATGGTGTAATCAAGCTTGAGCTCAACGAAAACAGCCACGGGGCCATGTGTGACATATCTAACATTGCAACACCTGCATCATCAAAACAGTCTGGCATGACACCGCGAGTAGAAGGCTTTCCGGAACAGCTGATGGCAATGAGAAATCGGCCTTTATCGCAACAGGCGGCAGCCGAAAACGTTGCAGACCTAGAAGTGCCACAGTTCGATACACCGCCTCAGATTGAGAAGGCTATCATCGAACAGCTTGAGGATGATCAGCACTCAGCCAGTCAATCACACGTGTCGATGGGTCGCGATATCTTGACCTCAGCGGATCAAGTTCATTATATGCAAGTCTTTGTTGAAGACGTTGCCGTGTGGATGGATTCCTTCAACAAAGACAAATACTTTGCTAGAAGTATCCCGTACCATGCCTTGAAATCAACCATGCTTCTCAATGCTCTCCTTGCGTGTGGGGCAAGGCATGCTTCTATCGCCACTCCAGAGAACCATGAACAAGCTTTGTTCTACTACAATACCGCGACGACTCAACTTCTCCGCAGTCTGCAGAATCCTGATCGAAATACGGCTGAGTGCGCGACAACAGCCATCGTCTTGAACGTATATGAGATCATGTCCGAGAAGCCGCCACAGCGGATGAACCATATAGCAGGTTCTCGAGCGCTTGTACGAGAATGTGGATGGGATGCAGAGAGTACTGGGATTGGTTTGGCTTGTTTCTGGTTGAATATTGGTATAGAAGTCCTCAATTGCCTTGCGACGAATTGGCAGACGACATGGAATCCTGACGAATGGGGCATGAATTTCGCAACTCATAACAACGGCCAAGATGCCGAAATAACAGATGAACAAACTTGGGTGTACCGCGCTCTATATATCGTTGCAAAGGTCACGAACTTTCGTGCTAGCGCGACTAAATCTGACGACATGAATCCGTCAGATGAGCAAAGCTGGATAGGCAACCGCTTGTCGCAGTGGTATGAGTTGAAACGGCTCTCTGATAGTTGGAATGCGCGCTGCCCAAGAATCATGCAACCGATTGGGTATATCAAAGCAGCAAGGTCGGCAGGCATGTCGATGTTCCCTCGAATCTGGTGAGCAAACCACCATCTTCAGGATTGGGCTTTGCAATTGACACATCTAGGATGATCCAACAAGAGGCGACAATCGGCCAACTGCTTTTCCATACTGGTCAGTGCATTTTATCACAGACTCATCCTCTGGAAACACTCAGGTCGTCAGACAACCTGCGGCTCATGCAGCTACGCCACGCCTACCAGGTATGTGGAATTGCAGCCCATACAACAGACAGGGGGGTGACTACTGTTGCAATTCGGTGCCTGGCAATTGCAGCTGCCGTGCTTACCAATGAACTTGAGCAAGCCGAAGCCCTCGACATCCTGGAAAGGATCAACAAGTTAAACGGCTGGCGGCTGGATGTTGTTGCAATGGGACTCAAGAGAATATGGGGCTGGGATCTCATGAAACTCCCTATGGTGAGCCCGAAAACAGAGAATAGCCATGAGGCGGGAACCTCAACGGCCAGAAGAACCTCGACAGCTTCATCGACACCGACAGTCATGACTTCTGCGGGCACGAAGACACCATTGAACCCACTCAGCTTCGCTGACTTCAAGTTACCTAACCACCCTTATCAAAATTGGTACGAGCCACCAAGTCGATCAAGCTCCTTCGATCCATCATCTTTATAAGGTTCTGAGTGATCATGGTGTAAGGCGTGATCATATTCAAGCTTGCGCAGGCCAGATTCGGAAGCGGAAAAGTGTTCATTGCTGGCGAAAGGAAAACAGGCGACGTGGGGATATCTATTGCTTTTCTCTATGTTGTGGGGTTTTGCTTGTTGATCGATAGACGGATAGAGATTTCTCTGCTTCCACCAAAAAGTGTTGTACTTATGAAGACTTTCCACCAGGTTGGAAATTCATGCTGTATCCGCCTGAATTCTCATCTTTGACCATTTGGAAGTTGTTCGTGCTCAAGCCAAATGGCTTGAGGATACCATTGCCAAGGTCTTTGAGCTTACCCCACATCTCACCCATCTCTTTCTCTTGTGCAACCTTAACGCGCGGTGGCAAGTCTCGTAATTGCTTTCGAACCACTCGAAGGTCAGCTGGGCTAAGGCTCTCTGGTTTAGCAGCGAGGGCCTTGCAATCTTCTTCTGCGCCAGCAAGATTGTGCCAGCCACCGGCCTCTGAGCGACCGCGAGCACGACGCATCAGTGCTTTGCATCGAATGCGTTGAATGTTGGCCTTGAGTGTCTCGACTTCCTCATCGACTTTCTCCGGTGCCGGAGCTGCACGCGTAGCGCCGTTACTGATAATTTCCTCTTCGACGTCCTCGTCTTCCTTCTTCGCTTGCTCTTCACTTTCTTTCTTTCCATCCGGGTTTAGTCGAGGGTCGTTCTGCTCAAGCGTTTCCAGAGCCTTGATAGAATCAGACGCCGCCTTGGCGGCCTCCTTCCAATCGTGGAGTTGAATGTGACAAGCGGCAATGTTACTGAAAATGACTGCGCGTGGATAATGCAGATATTTAGGACAAGAGCTGATTGCCTCGTCATACTTGTCGATAGCATTTTGGTATTCCTTAGCTGCGAACAAAGCATTCGCTTCTTCCTTGGACACCGTAGATTCCTTCACTAAAGCCTGCATATGTTAGAAGAGTAGACAGATGCATGAAGTGAGAAATGGAACATGTGCAGCTATGGTGGTAAAGTTGACGATGGCTAGAGGGCCGGCCACTTACTTCTTCTTCCTCTGGTGTGAATCTGAGCTCTTGGCCATCCGAAGGGTCGGCATTTTCTTTGTTTCCGTCTGTTTCAGGCTTCTCCACCACGTCCTCTTTGCTAGGCTCGCTGGAGCTCATATCTGCTGTCAGAGGGCAGGTGTCGCTAATGAGACGCTGTCGAATTGAAGAGATGGCGGGAAGGATGAATCGATATATACAGTGTGATGGTTAAAAGCCGCTCGCTGTTGGGGAGTTCCTGAATTGAAAGAATAAGGCACGGATGGTAAGGTCGTTAAATGAACTTGGTTAGGACACTAGGACGATGCCTCATGATTCCAGGCGGTTCCTGCCCACTTGCCAGCGACTAGGCTGCAGGGGGACTAGTGGTTTTTGGTCCAGCTTGACATGCCCCGCCGCGGGGTAGTCTTCCAGCGAGAAGCAGCAGTGGTTGAAGAAAAGTATGATAGAAATGTTGCTCATATTTGATACTGAAAGAGATTTTGATAAAATATGGTCAAGTAAACTAGGACTTATAGGCAGTTTCTATGAATTGGTATAAGAATCTTGACAATAGCTATTAGCAGAGACCTTCGCGGCTTTATCATGATCATGCCGGCCTGTCATTACTGCCCCACTGGCGAGAAAGTAGCTCGCCGATAACTCATGATCGCCGGTAAAGGTCTGCCCCGCGTGCATGTTTAGTTCCCTTTTAAAAGACTTCACGATTGCCTCTTTTTACTATTTTTCACCATTCTCATAAAGCCTCAACCCATCCAGACTACATAATTTGGCACTCAGCGTCTTCTCTTTCTTCCACGAGTTCTCGATACCCGTTTGCCTTCGTTTCCTACCACATTTGCATTATCAACCTCGACCGCAATGGCTCCTCGCACTGAGTAGGTTTGCCTTCTGGAGCTACATATGATTTGGCTGGGCACTTTTCTAACCAAGGTATTCCTTCGCAGTTTTCCGCCCGTCCGGGCCTGTCTGTTCGACATGGACGGCCTCCTCCTCGATACCGAAGACATCTACACGGAGTGTGTCAACATCATCCTCGAAAAGTATGGCAAGGGTACCCTCCCCTGGTCCATCAAGGCCAGGCTCCAGGGTCGTCCCGGTCCCCAAGCCAACAAGATCTTCCACGATTGGGCTCAGCTTCCCATCACTTCCGAAGAGTACATCATCGAGAACACCGCACTTCAGAAGGAGTTGTTCCCCCGCACCAAGCCTCTCCCCGGCATTGTCGACTTGCTTGGTCACCTCGGCCGTACCAGATACTGGGAGGTCAAGGAGGGCGCCAGTACTCAAGCCAAGGAGAACGTCGAGCCTCAGCGTGTTCACATTGCCCTTGCTACCAGCTCCCACCTCGGCAATTTCCGCGTCAAGACGAACCATCTCGAAGAGCTCTTTGCTGTCTTTCCTTCGCATCGTCGTGTTCTCGGTGACGATGCCCGCCTGACTCCTGGCCGTGGCAAGCCCTTGCCCGACATCTTTCTACTTGCACTGAAGACCATCAACGACAGTCTTCCTGCAGGTGAACGACCCATCACCCCAGAGGAATGCCTTGTTTTCGAAGACTCAGTACCTGGTGTTGAGGCCGGCCGTCGTGCTGGAATGCGCGTGATCTGGTGCCCTCACCCCATGCTCAAGAAGGAATATGACGGACGCGAAGACGACGTTCTTGCTGGTAGCACCGGTGAGGCTGGAGAAGTCGACCTCCACCAAGTTGGCAAGCCTGACGATGGCTGGGCTGAGTACATGCTCAGCCTTGAGGACTTCCCTTACGAAAAATTCGGCATCGTCGTCCCCTCCGTCGAGGTCGAGAAGGAGGCTTGCATGAAGGAGGCTCCTGAGGAAGTCGTGGCTGAAGTCTAGGAGACTGAGCCTCTTCTCCCTGGAGGGCCATTGGTGATGACGAAGTCACTGGAAATTGGTCAGTGCATCTAAGCGCAAAACAGGCGCGCCATTTTCTCGGAACTCCTGGCGAACGAGGGCTATATCGGATCCAGGAAAGTCAAAGGGATGGACAAGATGTAAGGTACATAAAAGCGGACTCCTATAGAAGGGCTGTACTGAGGGACAGTATTGTCCGAAAGTCGATATAATCAGATCATAGACATAATAACAGAAGAGCAAATGAACCAGTACCTATGAACCGGCTGGCTCGAGAGGTTGATGTTGATGATATAACCACTGATGATCATCCGTTAGTGAAATCCTCGTCATACAGGAAGGTCTACTAACTTACCTGAAATCTTTCAACTTTTCTCTCTTTTAACGAGGAATGTTCGATGGCGGGGAAGAATGGGACTGGTGCCCAAATCTCAGATGTGTAAGTGCAAGTTGGATTTGGTATAATAATGGGATGCTCTATTAGGCTCTCAGTTCCCACCATACGTACAAAGTTGACAAGAGTCTTTACAAACGTCTACCATTGCATGATTCATACTCAAACACATAAGTTTCAATGGAAACCTACACTTGGAACCGAATATATTCATGCAAGTGGTAGAAAATCGTCAATATTCTCGATTGCTTTTTGCAGGCTATGGCCAAATAGCGAACAACTTGCATTACACTTGCACTGTCCTGGTAAAACATGGCTATCTCTCACTCCTTCACTCGGATCAATGCATTGTAGTTGGTAGATAACGAACTTTTTGTGTTCTGTCCAAGTAATGGAATCCTATCGCATTTCCGTAGTGAGGCCATAATATTGTTTCAGTGCTTGGGTAGGTAACAACAACCTCATTCTACACGGAGCCTACATGATGGAGCCCCTTGGGTCAAATCCAGCTCTGTGTTTAGTGTCTGGTTCAAACTGAACTACAGCGCGTCTCCCACTAACAGACTTGCTAAACAGCGGGCAAAAATGCAAAAAAAGAAAGAAAAAACATACAACAGCGGGGATTCGCTGGTCGTCACCGACCCAACTACTAATCCGCCGGTTAGTGGCTTGACTATGGGAGAGCGGACGGGATCCCGTATTTTCCACTACCTTTGGTCGTATGTACTATATTACACCTCACCTTTGGTATATATCGGTATGCGTGGTGCAAGGCTCAACTGAACTACACAAACGAAATCCAGGTGCTCTGCTTCTTCAGAGCGAACCTTGAATGGCCATTGGCCAACAGATACACTGCTGGAGCATATTTTAAGGAGTTTTGACGACGCAGAGTTCGTTACAATACCTTCCCAACCCTCTTCCACGGCAAATACGATTTACACCAAACCAAAAGGCTTTGGTATGTGATTTCAGCAATTTTATGAAATTATGGCCTTACCCTGTGGCATTCGAACAAAATGAAGGCACATAAAGCTCCTAGTCATAAATCTGTGAAATGCTATCTTGATAATTCATGATCTGTTACGCTGTACTAAGGCTACCTGTTTAAGTCTAATACTACTAGCATGGTGACGGGGGTGAACTGGAGGAGTGCTTTGAAGTCGCTTGTTCTTGTGTCTCGGCTTAAACGTCGATCGGAGCATTTAACAAAATCTTGGCATAGAGCGCACTGCTGCAATGCAACTCCGCTGGTGAACATTGTAGTAAAGGCCAGTGATCCTGCGTTTGAATCCTCTTTAAGAGTTCATGATTTCAGGATGATCAGATTCGTATGGTCCTGAATATATACTGAACACTCAGCATTGACCCTAATCCCGCCAAGTTGCGAAGCATAACCTATACGTCGGCTTCATTCATCAAACTCGCAATCGATGAACAGCTCTCATTATGAGCAGCAATCTCCATACTTTTCCCCAGAAACTCACCCCAGAAGCCAATCTGGATAACACTTTACTCGGGATCTAATCCTTAAAGAGTAATAAAAATGCACAGTTAAACGCCCCTCGGTTCCCGGCTCTTGCCAGGCCGGAATCTAATTCCTGATCTCCAAGTACCGGAGCCGTCGACCCCGGACCGGAACCGGCGGGGTTGAACCGGGCCGGTTCTTTTCGCCCCCAATCGGGGCATTTTGGGGCTTGCTTTAGTGAGCCGCAGCATTTTCTTGCAGTGTGTGGCACCCTCTGTAACCCCGATCTCGCATTATTTACCCCAATTGACACCGGGATGGGACGGTTCGTTTTCATGACGGGTCTTGATTGAAGCAACATTTACGTTACGGACGTGATGCAGCGGTTAAGTGAGTTGCCTCGGTGGGGTTGGAGAGTTTCTAGCGCGTCCATGTGACGTTTGTTAGGAGCAGTCGTGGATCTTTGCGTTTTTATTTACTTGAAGATATCCGTAGACCGGAAGCTTTCTAATAGCTTGACTCGCATTCTCCCTCCCTCTTCTTTTCATCTTTTTATTTCTCAATCACTATTCTAGTTGTATTATTGTGAATTTAACTAGACTCCCAATTTACATACAGATACAGACATAATGGCTGAGAGCTACCACAAGGAGGTCATTGCCGGCGTACGTTGCCCCTCACTCATGAAGCCTTTCTGCCCCTCACTAAGCAACGCCAATTGCTAACTTGATGCTCAACAGCTTAAGGACAAGAGTCTCTTTATTCAAGATGCTTTCATCGATGGAAAATGGGTCGCTAAGGACAACAAGTTCGATGTCTTTGGTTCGTAACGGCCTCATCATGAGTACCCAATCCGCGAAGCTAATCTGTAATTTAGAGCCCTCAACTGCCACCGTTCTCGGTCAAGTCGCCAATTGCGCCCTCGAGGACTTCCAAACAGCCATCAAGAGCGCCGATGCTGCTCAGACAAAGTATTTCGATAGCACAACTGGCGCCAGCCGAGGAGCCCTTCTGAGGAAGTGGTATGACCTGGTTCTCGTTCACCAGGAGGACCGTACGTGAACCCTCATTCCGTGGTTCTATCAAGACTAACAAAGAACTATAGTCGCAAAGATTCTTTCTCTCGAGAACGGAAAGACCTACTCCGAGGCTCTAGGCGAGGTCATCTACTCCGCCAGCTTCATCTCATGGTTCGCAGAGGAGGCCACTCGTTCCTACGGCGTCACCATCCCCTCTTCCGCTCCCCACACCACCCTCATGACCATCCGCGAGCCCGTTGGAGTCTGCGGTATCATCACACCATGGAACTTCCCCGCCGCCATGATCACCCGAAAGATCGCCCCTGCGCTGGCCGCCGGCTGCTCCGTCGTTATCAAGCCTCCTTCCGAGACTCCCTACTCCGCCCTCGCCTTTACCAAGCTCGCCATCGAGGCTGGTCTCCCTCCTGCTACCATCCAGGTCCTTCCTACCCGCGATCGTCAGGCTGCCACCGAGCTTGCTACCAACCCTCTCGTCAAGAAGATCTCCTTCACTGGTTCCACCGGCGTTGGCAAGTACCTTGCTAAGCTTGCTGCTGGTACCCTGAAGAAGCTCAGCTTGGAGCTTGGTGGCAACGCTCCTTTTATTGTCTTTGAGGATGCTGACCTTGACCTTGCTGCCGAGGGTGCCATGTTCTGCAAGTTCCGATGCTCTGGTCAGACTTGTGTCTGGTAAGCTATGATATATACTGTGCATTTGAGAAATGTAGCTAATTCGTCCCTCAGTGCCAACCGACTTTACGTCCAGAAGAGCGTCGCCAAGGAGTTCACTGCCAAGCTTGTTGAGAAGGTCAACGCCCTCAAGATGGGCGGTGGTCTCGACAAGTCCACCACCCAGGGTCCTCTCGTCAACAAGTCTGCCGTCGACAAGGTCAAGGAGCACATCGCCGATGCCACCTCCAAGGGCGCCAAGGTCGCCACTGGTGGCACCACCCCCGACGGCCCTGGATTCTTCCACCAGCCCACAGTCCTCACCGGCGTCACACAAGAGATGGCCGTCGCCAAGGACGAGACCTTCGGACCTCTGGCCCCGGTCTTCGAGTTCGATACCGAGGAGGACGCGATCCGTCTTGCCAACGATACCGAGTTTGGTCTCGCTGGATACTTCTTCTCCAAGGACATCAGCCGTGTGATGCGCGTTGCTCACAAGATGCAAGTGGGCATGGTCGGCGCCAACACCGGCAAGATCAGCGCTGCCGAGGCACCATTTGGTGGTGTCAAGGAGAGCGGTTATGGAAAGGAGGGCAGTCTGTATGGTATGGCCGAGTACCAGAACATCAAGTCCATCACCATTGGAAACCTCAACATTTAGAGTGGGAGTTGCGTGAAAAAGGATGTGAGCGAGGAAAAAGAAATTTGTTTGTTTAGCCATGATCAATAATGACGGGGTGGGAAAACCTCAAAAGGATAACGACCGGGATTGATATATATTATATCTGGAATACAAAATAGTAAAACGAGCCAACTTTCTCACTTCATTTTACTTGCTGGTCTGCGCTGGGGGTTACCAATACTTTTGTAGTATTCATAAATCATTGACTTGACTATCTCAGTCCAAGACGGGGTGTTTCAATCTTCAATGGTGTTAAAGGCATCAGCGTTGGTAAAAGGCTTGATCATACTCGGTAATTCCAGACCAATTCTACCTACGTTCCCAGTCAATTGACGTTCAACTATGACGCTACCACATTGAGCATTGAGAGAAACCCTTGTAATTTTGAGGGTAGCACTTTGAAAGCCACTATATTCCCCGCACTCCACTACCTGTAGCAAATGAAGGCTCGCTAATTGACTTCTTCAACTTAGAGCTCCCGGTTAAATTATTCGGGATATTAAACGTTTCCTCCAAACTGTGGTTGGTTCGCCTTAGGTTGAAGATGGAAAACTGTCAGTATTTGTAAACTTGACGCAACGGAACGCAGCATAATCCTACTATCCAAGACATAATTGGATCATTATGATCAGAAGTCCCTTTTTATCTTCGGAATTCTCACCGAGCACCAAGTATATCTTTTCTCAGTTCCCAAGGTAGTGGAATCAATTCTCCCCTCAACTCTGTATAAGACGACGAAACCATAAACAATGACTACCAACGGACACAAAAGCAGCGACATATTGGCAGATCAAGGCCACTCCCGTCTGTTCAAGCCATCAAATGCACCATCTCTAGATACCTTCAAAGCCTTGTGCTCTCAAAAGGCCACAAGAGAAGACTACCCGCTCGCGGCAGACATCAACAAGAACGTACCTATCTACAACCTCGCCGAGTACTCAACTTTGACCGAGGACCAAAAGTCTGCCCTTCAAGATGAATGGTATAAGGCCCTACTGCACGGCCCTGGAGTGTTTGTCACTTCAGGTCTCTATACAGACCCGAATGTGATTGATCAGTCAACGGCCGCTTTCAACAGTATCATCGCGGAGGAGAGTCAGGGCACCAAAACGGCTGGTGATCACTTCGCCAGCGCTGGCAAAAACGACCGAATCTGGAACTCATTCAGCAAACACGCTCTGCAAGATCCTTCCTCATTCTTCGACTACTTCTCAAACCCTTACCTGAACATTATCTTCGCGTCATGGCTTGGCCCAGGATATCGTATCACCACTCAGGTAAACAACGTACGACCGGGTGGCCAACCTCAGGTTTCACATCGCGATTATCACCTCGGCTTCATGTCTTCTGAAAGCTGCGGCAGATATCCACGTGCTATGCAGGTTGCAAGCCAATGCCTGACTTTACAAGGGGCTGTGGCTCACATCGATGTACCACTTGAGAGCGGTCCAACGAGGCTTCTGCCATTCAGCCAGGCTTTTGCCCCTGGGTACATGGCGTATCGCCTGCCTGAGTTCAATGAATTCTTCTTGGAAAACTATGTCTCGCTTCCGCTGCAGAAGGGTGACGGGTTATGGTTTAACCCAGCTCTTTTCCATGCAGCGGGAGAGAACAAGTCTGTTGACATCAACCGTCTTGTCAATCTAGTTCAGATCAGCAGTGCTTTTGGTAAGCCCATGGAGATTATTGATGCGTTGCCTTTGGTGGAGAGTACGTGGGATGTGTTGACCGCCGCATACAAAGAGCAAGGTCTGGGTGATGAAGTCAAAATGTTTATTTCTGCTGTGGGAGAGGGATATCCTTTCCCAACCAATCTTGACAACAATCCCCCTAAAAACGAGAGCATGGCCCCTGATTCCGAGCAGGACGTCATTCGAGAGGCGCTGGTGGGAGGGAAGAGCAAAGCTCAAGTTTTGGCGGATCTCAAAGACTATCGGAACAAGATCAGAGCTTAGATAGGCGTATACTGGGGTATTATGCGTGAATTACTACTTCATTCATCTCTATAAATATTACTTCTATCTTACAAGCATTCCTGTGACAAAGCCTAATAATGTCTACCCTGTCATTTTCGTCTCTTGGGGGTTGAAGATAGTTCTCGCCGTCTTCTTCAGATATCCCCGGAAGCTCTCAAAAGCAACAGGATCATGACCCTCTAGCCATCGACAGCCAACGGACACTTCTTCCTTGCCAACCCGCATGAACACCTTGAAAGCAAACTCACACTTTGCCTCTTTAACTTCCGAATCTTGTATCTCACCCCTCTGCTTCCTTCTGCGCCATGCTCGCGCCCAGACACGGCCTGCTGCTCGTCCTGTGCCCTCCAGGCGACCATTGTCCCACTCCCATGAGATCAAGTCAAGCTTCCCAATTTCAGCACGGAATCGATCGGCAAAGCTTCCAACCTCCTGAGTTAAAGGCACATCGACGACTTTCTCTTCTGTGATCTCGGGAAGAATGTTTCTGGAAACTGCTGTCTTGATTCCACGAGCGGCTTCCTGCGTTGGCCGCATGCTTCCGAAACTCCATGCAATAGCCCATCGTCTTGTCTTGTTTCCCTGTACAAATTCTGTAACAGCGTAGTTGTCGATATTATGCTCTCTCAGTTTATCAACAAACTCAATTAAGCTTGTGAGAAACCCAAACATGGAGGTGTACCACTGTACACGCTCTCGAAGGACGAGGGATTCTTTAAGTACGCGGTCGACAAAAGCAACTTCACCTCCCTCAGTGACCATCTCGACCTTGGCGCCTGTACATGCTGTGAAAGGGGGACGAGACTTCTGTTTCGCACTTGCTACTAACTCAGCTTCGGATTTGTAGAAGGGTGGGTTTGACATGGTAAATGCGATATTATCTATTCCCAGATCATCGAGCGGGATGACAGTATCAGACGACTTTCGCTCCATGACATGAATCCTGTGCTCCAATTTGTTCAGGCTCACGTTCTTGCGAGCATACTCAAGACTTTTTGAATCAATGTCTATTCTTGTTAGCTATGCGCTCGTCCATAGAGGAAATGCTTACCTGTGGCGATAAATTTCCAGTCCCGTTCAGTGCATCCCAGCAGAGGGTAGATACAGCTTGCACCAGTACCTATATCCAGTCCAACAATTTGCCGACCTTGCTTCTCGTATGAGGTGCTATCAAGGAGGCCTTTCAACCATAGTAAATAGTTGTGTCGATTAGTGACCTAAGTGAGGCGCGTTAGATGAGCCGACGCGTCAAAATAAAGGATAACTTACCGGTGGGCACAGCCGATCATCGGGAAGTTCAAGTTGTAGTCCAAAATCCAGTTTGAGAAGAGTTTTTGTTAATTGCATGACGCATTCCGGATCGTTAAAGAAGTCACTCTTGTGTTGGTCCCACCTATTCAGTGTTAGGTATTGGACAACTTGATCGCATAGACAACGAATACTTACAGTCGTGCAAAATCTGCATCTTGCAAAGCCAACTGTTGAAAGTCCGGTGGTTTGGCGTATAATTCAGCGTAATGGCTGTCGCGAGATAGATCGTCGTCTGTGGGACCATCAAGAGCTTTACGCGAAACGTCTAGATCTTCAGCAGTGAGGGAGTGACCGCGCAGGTCCTGGGAGGCCTTGCGCTTTCCGCCCATCATTCGCAGAGTAAGCAACAATATAGCTTTATGTATGAGAGTTTGTCGAGGGCTCTAAAGAAAAGCGATGAATGTATGTCGTGATGTCTCGTCATCTATGAGTTATTGGTGAGGATGAGTTTTGCAGGGCGACAGTGCACGAACCAGGCGTCATAATTAGCGACAATTCAGAAGCCCAAATTTCGCCAGACCAAACAATCTAGCAGTTGCCAGTAAACAAAATTTCATAAACTTATCAAATAACAAGAACATTCCAAACTGACTATACCTTGAAAATAAAATGGCAATCTTTACAAACCCAAACAATAAAAAGCAATCGCGTCGGCTTCGTTACAATCATGTCCTCATCCAATTTACAGCGCTTCCAGTCCCCACCTTCACCACAGCAAAACCCTCCATCGCCAGCCCTCGAGAAGCTTCATGTCCTTGTCATCAATGTCCGGGTCTCCATGCTCGATTCTCGCAGTCAGCTTCTTAAGCCGCTTCTGCACAGTCCGGGCAACTCGGATGGACACCTCGTTGGAAAACACAAAGAGTACGGCAAACACGATGAAGGCTAACTTGGCGAACCGGCCTTTGCCTAGCACGCCGTTTTTTATATGGTCTAGGAGGCCCTTTGACTTCTTGAAGGCGTACTCGGTGTCGTTGGCCGATAAGTGAGAGTCTTCGTCGTCGTCGCTTCGGCGCCAGAATCTGCGGATGAAAGGTATAAAAGTGGCACTGCTCAAGTCAGTCAATTGTTCACAAGCTCGAATGAGAGGCATATGCTTACATGGCTCCTCCGATGATCCATCTTCGCCAGCGGTGATTCTCGGCTTCTTTGGCGATGCTGCGCACCTCACCCTGCAGGATCCTCAGATCATTCAGAACCATCATGGTTTGATGGCGGACGCGGGTCTCAAGCTCATAAGCCGAAACAGCTGAATCGCCACCACGTCGCTGCCGCTGCAGGCTCATGTACTCGCGCAGATTGAACTGGCAATTTGTCCTGAGAGCCTGTAGCTCTCGCAGATCAGCCGGGACCACGGCGGGGACCATCTGCTGGGGTGCTTTTATCGAGTTGGCCATGGCTCCGGGATGGTTGGGAAGATAAGACTCAGACACCGGACGCATCGGGAGGTTGTTGTTTGGTCCTGTCTGAGGGCCGCTGACGGGAGGATAGTTCTGAGGGTTGTAGGATTGGTTGTAGCCCTGAGCATTGTAGCCTTGCGAGTCGTAGTTCTGCTGGCTGTAGCCCTGGGTGCCGTAGTCCTGGGAACTGAAGTTGTTCTGAGACTCATATGGCCCAGATCCATACTGAGCTTCAGGTCCTGGATATGACTTTGCTCTCTCCGGACCGCGATCAACTCCACGCTCCATCCCACGATCCATACCGTGATCTATCCCACGCTCCATACTGCGATCTCGTCCTCCACGATCTCGCTCTCGTTCTCGGTCCCGATCTCGCGTGGGAGACGGGCTGCGGATAGGTTGCGGGTCCAGCGATTGAAGCGGTGACTTGTTGGACTTGCGAGATTCAGACATGGGAGGCGATTACTACCGCTGTGTCCTTTTCTTTTTCGCTTATGAACCAGAAAAGAATTGGACGGAGTAGCAGGCAATTGCCAATGACAGCTCACGGACAGAAGCAGGACAATTTCTGCCCAACGTGACCGACAAGAAAAAAGAGGTTTTTAGCTTAAGGTGTTCAGTGTATGCGCTGGCTTCTTCGGTGGAGAGAGAGGCTGGTGAGGTAAGGTAAGTTAAACGAGGCCAGCCCATGACGCTCGGGTGACAAGTGACAAGGGATATGTTGGGCTTGAACTTGGGGGGTGGGGTGAGGTGAGGTGAGGTGATGGGAATTCATAAATTCATGAGGCTGGGGATGAGAAGTGACTTGAGTTATGCATGTGATTCGTAACTATCCGTACCTACTGAAGTTTACATATTGTTTATGAAAATGACTGGTCAAGTAACGTGATTGATTCTCTTTGTCTCGACTATTCTGAAGGTTTCTAGTATCCCAATGTTCTATACATGCGGTGCGCCATTCCATCGATGCCCTCGACTGGTAGCGCACGCCTCATGTCGCCCAACAGCTGTTCCTGTACTTCAGGATCAAATTGGCTCCAGATCCTACGAATCTGACGCACCAAATCGCCTTGCGCTGTGCGAAAAACACCTGCAAATGCTTCAAAAAGAATCGTCGTCCCCTCCCACCCCAAGAGGTCATGAACATCTCTGATGAGGAATTCGAAAAAGTCGAGCATCTCGGCCAGAAGATCCTCTGCACAGCCTAGACCTCGCTCGTTGTCGAGCACGACGCACAGAGCGTGCATGATAGCCGCCCAGCGATTCACTGCACGGTCGCGAACCGGGTCATGGTCGATTTCCTGCACTGCAGCGCCGAACATGTCGAGTCTGCCAGTTCGGGAATATTCCTGTAGGTGGTGAAAGAGCAAATGCAGAGCGCGATGTATCATATAAGGTGGGTGAGGGTCCAGGTCCACCGGGAGGAAGAAGCTCTCCAGCATGAGCGTTCCTCGTCTCACAGCATGTCTGGTCCGGGGTAAGAATTCGAACAGGGTATTCCGGTCGACACTGAACCGTTCGCCTGCTTGTCCAAATCTGCCACCACGGGCTTCGAGATCGTACAAGTGTACGCTGATGTGGTTCTGTCTTCCGTCTGGGTCTCGTCTTGCGATGTAGGGCTCTAAATTGAGCGGGTATCTCTGTCGACCTTCTCTAGGAGTTCGATCATCCAGGTCTCTGAAATCTGCAAAAGGAATATCGTGACCAATCTCAGCAAGACCATTGATTGCATAGGGCATATCGTTGGTCATGTTGTACGGTATGAGTATATGCGGCCCACGCCTTGCTACAGGGTATCGTGTGCGGATATGTTCATGGGAGTAGTTTTGCCTGAACATGCTGGTAAAGAGTACCAATGAAGTTCTACGTGAGCATTTTATCGAATAAGAATGGTATTTCTGCTGTTTTATAGAACCAGGGGATTATTATGGCATCACCCAGGTCGGGCTTGTATCAATTGCTTGTTACGTTTCTCGTGTGGGCAATTACCAAACAACGAAATATTATCTGAATAATTCAGTCATACGAAGAGTTTGTCAAGCGATTAGATATTGATTGGTATTGCAAATATTCTCAATCGGAATCAATCATCGTTTTCATCCACAACCCGCCACGGGAAACTTCGTAGCAAGGAAACGCATCTATTCACGCGAGCTTGTAAGTGGTTCTGGGCGATACTCAAGTTTTCATGATCATTTGGCACGACCCATACAACACGATTGCGAGGGAAAAGATACGCGTTACGAACTAATGCTATCAAATCCTTACAAAGCGTTTATCCGAATTATCGCAAACTTGGTCTGCTGGAGCGGTAACTATACGAACCAGATGACACCTGAAGTCTCAGGCATGATTACAAGGCCCCCGTATGAATCAGCAGACAACCCCAGACACAGGATTCCGCTGAACCCCCCGCTGTTCTCTCACACTTGTTCTCTCGCCCTCTCGTCTTTCTCGTATGGGCATATGAGGCGACCAGTTCGCCATATCTATTAACAATATTCTTTTGTCTCGTTATCGCACTTGAATATACCTTGTTTTCTTCCATCAGAATGATCAATTGTTGTGAACAGCTTCATATTCTCCAAGCGCGCTCTGAATACTGAGCATCGTGTTGTTAGTGCTTCGTTTGATGGTCTTCTTACTTATCTAGGAGCGGTCTCTTCAATATTCAACGTCTTTACTCATGCTGACCAGACTGTCTGCCTAATTTTGGCGGAAGGGAATTTTATCTTAGCAATTGCCTTGCCCCCAGCTTCTCTCATACAAGTATAAATATCTCGTCTTCTCCCTCCTCCATTCTATCTTCTGGCATGCTCCTCAGTATTCTTCCTCTTCTTTACCCTACATTACTCTGAAGCATACAGTCCTGCTGAAGACATTACCTTCTCTTCCCTTTGCTTCTTAACCATCGTGCCCTATCCATAACCGTTGTGCCCTAGGCATTGCCGTTGCCCTACCATACCTCCGTTTGGTGCTGCATACACGACATGATGGCAGCCTCTCCTCGAACATTTGCCACGGACGTCGGCCATAAAGTCGAATATAAGATTCGCGACCTTGGCACGCGTTCGGTTACCCTATTCCCTCTGCAAGCCCAGGTGACTCGGGACATCAAAGATGTCCCTCTCAAGGTAGGAGTTCTCATGCCCTGAGTTTGTCCATATACTCATTTATTGTCAGCCTGGCATCAACGAAATATCTATCGTTGGCTTGACTCCAACCATTGACAAGAACTCGATCACTGTCGAAGGTAGTGGTTCTGCTACCATCACTGGCATCAGTGTCGAGTTTCTTCCTAACCATGAACACTTTGACGAAATTTACCCGGACTCAGACCAAGATGATTCTGACAGTGAGAATGAAAATGAAGATGAGGACGAGGATAGCGACGAGCTCCCCGGTGTACCTCGAGACCCATCCTTATATGAAATCAAGAAGAAGCTCACTGAGCTCAACGATGAACAGCAGCAAGCTAGGGAAATCGTCGGAAGTGCTGACTCTCGCATCATAATTCTTGATGCCTATTCCAGGTCCATGGAAAAGAAAGAAGGTATCGACATTAGCAAAGAGCTTGAGATATACCAGAAAGAGCACGTCAAAGCGTTTGAGCAGCGCCTTGTTGGTGTAAAGAGGGAGCGACAAATCACAGAGGCCATCAACAAAGCTCTCAAGGAACAATCTCGCCTCACCAAGCTATTGAAAAAGGCAAAAGCAAAAGAACAGAAGAACAAGGCCAAGGTTCAAAAGGCAATCAACAAGAAACAGCAACAGCGCGAGAGGAGAGCGGAGGAGAAGCGCAAAGAGAAGCAACGCCTTCGCAACGAGCGTTCACGCTGCTGGCCCAAATACTGCTACACGGTGCAGATCCAGCTTGAGGTCAACTCATCCTATACGCCAGCTTCGTCCCGCCGTGGCTCTGTGTCCAGTGAGGTCGAGTTTGTCCATCGACCCCGGAGCAAGACCGCAGACGTGGGGGAGACACTCTCATGCGACCTTGTTTTGACTTATGTCACGGAAGCAGCCTTCTGGAACCCCAGTTATGACATCCAACTTTCAACAGTCAATTCCACGGGCACTCTCTGCTTTGACGCCGGTCTCCACAACACAACATCTGAGACTTGGGAAAACTGCAAGATCACTCTATCTACCTCCCAAGCTACATCCTCAAGTCTTGACGATGCCATTACCGCTCTTACTCCATGGCACCTCAAGATAGCCAGCAAGAGCGAGAAGGATTCCGTGGCTATTCGTGGTGATGCTTTCGAAAGCAAGAAAGAACTCGAGCAGTCGGCCTCTTGGCGCAATAGATTGCCGGCGCCGCCACAGGCAACGTTCAGACGAAACAACTTTGGCACCGATGGCGAGGCGCTGGGTGACTACCAGATGCAGCTGATGTTGCTGGAACAGCAGAATAAGAAGAGGCTTATGATGGCTAGACAGGAGAACGATAACCCTCAGGCGCCACAGCAAATGATGATGCAACTGAGGCAGCAGCAGGTACAACAACAGCAGGCACAACAACAGCAGGCACAGCAACAGCAGCAGGGGCTACTACGGCAAATGTGGCCGAATCAGGTACAAAACACGTATAACAACATGTCGGCTCCGCCACCACAAGCTCAAGCACAGATGCAGATGCAGCAGCAAAACGACGTGCTACAGGATTTTGACTTTGACGCGTTCCTGCACGGTGAGTTGGGTGACGACCCAATGCCCGATCCTCGGCCTGCGATCGAGTTCCAGGAATCTCTTATCGAGGAGACTGGCTTCACAACAACCTTCGATCTGCCCGGCCTCAAGACTCTGGTGCCCAAGTTCACCGTCTCTAAGCAGCGCGTTGCTCGCCTGCAGTTCACGAACGTCTTGTTCAGCCATACCATTGTGGCCAAGTATCGGCCTGCGGCTTATCTCAAGGCCAAGCTTAAGAACAACAGCAAACTTACTCTTCTTCGTGGGCCTGCGAGCTTGACGCTTGACGGCAGCTTCATGGGGCAGGTCAAGGTACCTCGATGTAGCTCAGGCGAGACCTTCTCCCTAGGTCTCGGTGTTGACTCGGCGATCAAAGTCGTGTACCCCAAGCCTGACTTCCAACGAAGCACGATCGGCATGTTCACCAAGGAAGACAGCTCTATCTACGTCCGTGCTATCACAGTACATAACACCCGCGTCACTGCCAAGAAGCCCAGCCACATGCTTGTCCTGGATCAGATTCCTGTACCTGAGGATGACCGTATCCGAGTTGATTTGCTGAAGCCTTGTGGTCTGGCAGTCGATGGACCGCGCCAGCCGGCCGGAGTTCCTGGTCGCGAGACAGCAGAGGATAAGGACTGGGGCAAAGCGACGGCGTCTCTTAAGAAGGACGGACAGGTCTCATGGGATGTTTCACTGAACCCAGGTAAGACAGTCAAGCTGGATCTCGAGTATTCGGTTTCGATGCCTAGTGGTGAGGTTGCGAAGGAGTGTTGATAGGCAGGTGGTAATTTGATGGGGAAGGTCGATGGCATATTGATTGAGGTGGCACGGATAATTTTGGGATGACTTTCTTAATTAATCTTGTTATAACTGTTCATGTTACTATTGCAGATTGTCTCGTGAGTTGTCTTTGTTTAAGGGCTTACATTACACGACTTTTACATAATGATCAATTATATCATAGAATCATTAGAGTTTCCCCTGAATAAGTTCTGTCAACCCCAGCAAGTATTTACAAAGTGCTTCTTTCGTGGCTGGCGTGAAGCTGTTCGGCTGATGTCCAAGTCGAACCCCAGTATTGCTGGCTCAGTTCCTATTGGAAGCAAGGACTCTGCGATAGGTCAACCCCAAACTGCGTAAATAAACTGATTGACAGCCCCATGATTCCCAAGGCTTGTCCTGTCTGCTGTTAGGTGTTGGACAGAAAATTGATAGGGTTAGTGATTATAGTGGTCCCGGAACTGTACTGTGAAAACTGCGTTAGAGTGTTTCTAGATTCCACTGTTTGGGCTTGCTGGTCCATCTGCCGTCCTCTTGCTTCCTGAAGTATCCGCCAAAAGGTGAGGCCGGGCGGTTCAGTTCGAGAAGCTTGGAGCCTGTTGCCGAAGTTGGGGGCGAAGCTTGGCTCAGGGCTGATGTGAGTGTGTAGCAACAGCTGAGGAGGGTGTGACATGAGGAGGTACGTAGGTTGAGAAACCCATTGAAGATTGCCTCCTTTTGCGGTATTGTAGGCTGCCGGCGATTCTGGTTCGTTTCCATTTCTAAGAAATTCAACTTGCGCAAGCATCTTCAATTGTTCCCCTGGAGGATCCTCCGATGCGTTGCTTGTTCCAAAATCCACCAGTTGCCAAGGGGCTCGAACTGACCCTGAGTTGGCCTGCTGGCGCCAATAAGGGTGGTTCTGGACGTAGCGGTCCGCGAGCTCGGCTGGGTTCAAAAACGGCACCGGAGTCTGCCCCATGTTTCTGTTTTCTAAAGAGCCAATATGGCTTACGGTATTTGGTGCTTCGCGCGATATCTCGTAGACTTGGAGTCGGCAGACACTTTGGGTTGTGGGAGATGTTTCCGGGAAAACAACTTCACATCCCACTTGAGACGTCAGCCTGGCATTGCCTGGGTTCATGCCACGGGTGTAGACAAGATTCCCATAATGACTACGACCTTTCACAGCATATATATCTGCGGCGCGGATATAGAAGACCTGGTTATAGAAGCTCCTGAAGATCTCTCTGAGGTTCTCTTTAGGGCACTCAAACACTGAGGGCAGGTTGGGGTTGAGTTGGGTTGATTGCGGAAGGTCGAGGTTCGGCATATTGTCAGGATTTGGCCACGGGTTGCAAAGAAGCAGTTGCTTTTTCTGATGTCGTTCTTGCCCTCGAATTATCCCGTTTAGGAACTTGTTGGTGATGATGAGGGTTTTCATGTTTCCCGATTCGACAGGGAATGGGGACCATTTCATTATGAAGGTGATTCCGGACTGGACAATTGGGGACAAGGCGAATGGATATAGCTTAGCCCATTCACGCTCGAGTCTCAACTGCTCCAAGAACCATTCCATACTTATACGAGCCGCAACAAGCGAGCGGTTTTCGAGCTTGCCCAAAGTTGATCGCTTGGGTTTCTATACCTCATCACGATCGGCAGCATGGGTAAGCTCCGGGTTGTCGGCACCATCGAAGATGGCTGTTTCTCCTTGCAGGCGAGTGTCGTTAGTATATAGTTCCTGGTCGTAGGCGCAGTCTGAGCATTCGTGGCCTTCTTCGAGGAACTTGCCGCAAACGTAGCATCGGGGCATGGGTCTATAAAACGACGTCAAGATAAATATGGCATCACGTCGTCCCTCCTCCCATGCTGGATCGACTGATGACTGAGTTCTTTCGAAACCCCGAATCGGGACACATCGAGAGCAGAATCCTCTTCGTTGTACAGAGGGTAAGTTGCGCAAGCAGAGATGGCATTGCTGCCATGTGAAGCGCAGACACTCGGTACACAGTACAGTACAAGGTCCACCCCGCGGTCGTAACTGGCAGTTGATGCAAACTTGGTCAGGCGAAGGTTCATCCGGCAGTTCTTGTAGATACTGGTTCACCCTGGTCTGGGCTTCTTGTGTATCTAGATCGTCGTAATCCATGGCGAAGTATGTTGTTGAAGTAGGCTGTTTTTTTCATTGCACGCATCAGTATCATTTTGTATAGACTTCTGCTTCGGACTTTGGGGCCTAACTGTTGAAGTGTTCAAAGATTCGGTAGCGGGCGAATGGTCGAGAATAAGATCATTCCGTGAGGGCTCACGACTATCATTAACGCAGAGATCGATTCAGCTTTATATAAAGGAGAATGACAGGTTCATGGTCGAGTGACGGGCATGTTTTCTCGGATATACTGGAGCTTGTGGTTGAGGATGAAAAGTATCGAGAGAAAGGGGCTATCATGAGGGAGTGTTTGTTTTGAGAAAGAATGCCGAGTGACTGTGAGTTGAATAGTGGAGTCCTAACCAGTCCAGCATTTCCTTGAGGGAGGTGGCGGTGGTGGTGGTGGTGGCTTTGGCAGTTACAGAACAGGGGACATGGCCAAGTGAACAACAACCTTCGAGCTTTTAGTACAATGCCATAAATTCGAGAGCACCATGTTGTATTGCCCAACTGACCCACAATCTCTTGTCGTTGTTTTCGTTTTAGTTCGACTTTGTTCTCTCCATAACCGTGACCTCCCTATTCGTCGAACCACCACATAATGCTCGTTCTATCCAGTATCTGCCTACACCAGATCCTCATAATCATATTTATATTCCCAGTCTGCTGCCAAGAAGGATCGAAAAGATGGACACTGTGAATTGCACCGACTTAAGGTGCAGCTCTCCTCCTGGCTGCTTTGGCCATTAATCCGCCTACTGGTCAGAGCTGTCCGATTATCGTCTCGTCTTCTTTGGAACTCGATGATGATCCGGCTCTCAAACAGGTCCATCCTCCAGCGTTTCGTTTTTTGACTCATTCTACCCAGACCTTCATGTACATCCCGTCGATAGGGACCAGCTCTGAAGACTTCTCCAAGCCGATCTCCTTGCGCAGCGGTATAAACCGTAACTCGAATGGTCCCTCACACCTAGAACCGAGATGTAGGCAATTCGATCTCATATGTAAAGGGGACTATTTATGATAACCCACCAACCCTCAATTCGAATATTTAGGTAGTTTGTGACAAATCGCACTGTTGCTGCAATCCTGAGACGTGTGCACATGAGTAAGTTTGAAAGCCATCGCTTTAGTCAAAAATGTGTCAGTCCGGCGACTTTTACAGGTGGGTAATTGTTACTCTATAACATAAGCCAAAACTTTACAAGCAGTTTCCTCAGGCTTTTTGTTTCATGCTTTGGTATTGGGCATTTTATTTAGCAATTTTGTATCATGCCGAATGACTCTACATAGGAAATGTTGGTAGAGTCAGACGCCAACAAGCAACGGCCTACCCTGTGCCCCCTTCGAGGTGGTGTTGATTATGACTGATGCAATTGACAAGTTCTATCCAACAGCTTGAGTCAGTTCTTCAGTATGTATTGTATGTGGACTACACTTATGAATTGAGTCATATAACCACCTAGGTGAAGGAGGCTTAAATGCTCTGCGATCCTAATAAAGCCGTCTAATTCACTGGCTACCTAGACGGGTTCATATCTTTTGATGCTCTTGATAGTCCCAAGACCTGCCCCACAATAAACGACCCCTCCATCCAAGTCAGGTGATTCGAGCAATTGCCCCTCCCCCTCCTTCTTGGGCTATCAACACCGATAAAAAATCCACCGTTAGGCCCGACCATACTGAACGAATATCGTACAACCGTAAATCGCCAATATGCTGGACATTGAGGATTTTATTGAGGAGCGTGGTGGAAACCCCGAGGCCATTCGGGACAGCCAGCGTCGCCGAAATGCTCCTGTAGAGCTTGTTGACGAGGTTATTGCCCTTTGGCAAGATGCGCGCAAGAGTGAGTCACGGGACAACTCGGAAATATCTTGACTATTTGACGCTTGCTAACTTTCGACAAGCTCAGTATGGAGTTACTCAGATCGGAACACAAATAAACGGCGTCCAAAAGGAGATTGGTCTCAAGAAGAGAGCGAAGGAGGATGCGACCGATCTTCTCAAGCAGAAGGACGAGTTGACAGAGAAGAAGAAGGCCCAGGAGGAGCTTGCTGCGGCCAAGAACGCCGAGCTCAGGGTCAAGGCCAAGCTTGTCGGAAACTACGTCCACAAGTCTGTACACGTTAGCGATAACGAGGATAACAACACCATCGAGAGAACCTGGGCCCCCGAGACTTTCGACAAGACCCAGCAGGCCACACTCTCTCACCACGATGTGCTCCTGCGACTTGGAGGATATGACCCTGTTCGAGGTGTCAAGCTTGTTGGCCACCGAGGTTACTGCTTGACTGGCTACGGCATGTTCCTGTAAGCCAACTGGGTATCGCGACCATGATAATGATCCTAACGTTGACAGGAACCTGGCCCTCATCAACTACGCTACAACTTTCCTCTTTAACAAGGGTTCGTGCCTTTTGATTTCAAGTCGCAAGTTCGTTGCTAACGTGTAACAGGCTACACTCCTAACCAGCCCCCTTTCATGCTCAACCGCGACCAGATGGCCAAGACTGCGCAGCTCTCCCAGTTCGACGAGGAGTTGTACCGCGTTTCTGAGGGTCCTACACCTTCCGAGTCGGATCGATACCTGATCGCGACCAGCGAGCAGCCCCTCTCCGCCCTACACGCCGATGAGTGGATCCAACCCGCTGAGCTCCCCATCAAGTACTGTGGTTACAGCACTTGCTTCCGAAAGGAAGCTGGCAGCCACGGTCGTGATGCCTGGGGTGTATTCCGTGTGCATCAGTTCGAGAAGATCGAGCAGTTCGTCCTCTGTGGCCCCGATGACAGCTGGGACCAGTTCGACCAGATGATGGCCAACTCCGAGGAGTTCTACAAGTCTCTTGGCCTTCCCTACCAGGTTGTGGGTATTGTCACCGGCGCTCTCAACAATGCTGCTGCCAAGAAGTACGATTTGGAAGCTTGGTTCCCCTTCCAGAAGGAATACAAGGAGTTGGTTTCTTGCTCCAACTGCACAGACTACCAGACCAGAGAGCTCGAGATTCGCCACGGTGCCAAGAAGGGCAAGCAGATTGTTGGTGGCGGAAAGAAGGAGTATGTGCATGCTCTGAACGCTGTAAGTCTTTGTCAATATTCTCACACATGGAACAAAATCGCTAATAGACTTCCTAGACACTCTGTGCCACTGAGCGAACACTTTGCTGTATCCTCGAAAACTACCAAACCGAGGAGGGTCTGGTTGTGCCTGAGGTGCTCCGAAGATACATCCCTGGCGAGCCTGAATTCTTGCCCTTCGTCAAGGAGGCCCCCAAGGAGGCGGAGAAGGTTGAGAAGAAGGATGCTGGCAAGAAGGAGAAGACATTGCCCGTGCGCGAGACCAAGGCATAAACAGAACGGTTGTCGTAAGGTGTCACGAGATATCATAGAGGAAGAAAAAGTCGGTACATTTGTTCATGATAGATGACGAATCGATGGAAAGGATGAATGAAGAAATCAACAACAGTGATGGCCAAGCTCCGAAGGACTGGATTCGATCACGTCCAACCTCGTCCAATTTGTTGGACTTTTGATCTCATGTGTTCTTGAACGAGATTGTGAATATTGTAGCTCAGGTAACGAACTCGGAGAAGGGAGAACGATATATCCGAAGGTGCACGGCACGGCACGCTCACAGTCCGCAGAGCTAGCGCTGCGGATTATGATGCCTTTTCCCCGTCCCCTGTCAAAACGTCACCGGCCGTCTCCGAGTCTCCGTGATCAGGACGGAGATATGTAATTTTCATCTTGTAAGATCGAATAATCTTCGCTACGAAGCACGAAGCTTCCACGACTAGTTGTTCGATAACTCATCAATATCAGTGTTAATTATTACTGACCATAGCCTTGCTGCCTTGTTATTATATGTCTTTCTCGCATCGTTTTGCGGTACAGTGCCACCGCAAGATAGAATCACTGTGCTCTGCTCGGAAACGGCCCCACCTCAAACCCTCTGCCGGAGACGCGCCTCCTTTTCATCACCACTGGAAAATCAGCGCCTGTGACTGGTTGAGCATGTCGGCCGGGCACGGAGGGTGCGCGCCGTAATCTGCCTGTAGCAGGGTGAATGTATCACAAGAAGTACAAACGGTGGTTCTGAAAACAAAACAGTATTGCGCTGTGGATATTACTCGAGATGGCGCCGGGTGGAGTGGAGGGTGCAGTCCCGACAAAACCTGGACCATGTCCGGTCACATTCATTGTTATCCGGAAGTGCCACAGAGCATAAACACGGGAGGAGTGATTTCACTTACGATATTTTTGAGGACAGTGCTACTTGGGAGAGAAATTTGAACATGCCATCTATACCATACCGATTAGCCCTTTTTCAAAGGGCTAACTTAACGTGAAGCTGGTGAGGTGTTTTGAGGGGAAGAGGAGAAGATGAGCGGAGGGCACCGACAGCCCCGGGGCCAGAGTCGGATCATCATTTGCCGGACCGGGGGCCAATGAAGAATGCGGCAACACAAGTGCACGAAAACAAGACAATGTCACAGTTGCCTGAACCCCAAAGCCAGTAGAGGAAGAGCGCTACCTCTATGAAAGGATTGTCGGTACCTGTGGCCCCTACGGAGCGACAAAGAATATCGTGTGGGATGTTGAGGCTCCGAAGCTCTAGATTTGATAGCTACCCCAACATGGGCGTCTGAAGCACGGTGGCTATCCAAGCCACTTGGCAACATGGTAGATGTTCACTTTTCTCTTACAGCATATCTCGTGTTCATTGGTACCACAAGAGGAGTAAGCTTCACAAGCCTTCAATGTTGAGTGCATTGCCTTGACGCAGGAGATGAATAGAGACGTATCAGGCGTCGCTTTGTCCTACCTCCAATCTCAACCATGCATCTCGGAATGTCAAGATTGCCGCTTGGCGAATCCTACTAATAACTCCTGGTTCCCTTTCAGAAGGAGAATTTGAAGATCAAACAGTTCATCTGCGGATTTCGAGGGCAAAGCGACGCATAAGCCCCAGCCCCAGTTCTTGAGAGACTGCCGATTTTACCCCACTCGTTGTGCCTGTCTGTGATTTAGAATTTCCGGTCTGTGTGCACTGTGCTGAACGTCCGGGGGAGACTAAGGCGGCGGTGAATGGTAGGAGGAACTTCGGGCGGTTCGGCCTGGGGAAACGAAAAAGGAAAAACACCACGCCCCGGCGACCGCGCCAACGAAGTCGGCATCGCCACCATTTTCAACGGGTCATCGCAGTTTCTTTCAGTAGAAATGAAGCAAAAACTGCTCTAATGAAAGCATTAAACACGTTTTTTATTCGGCTTATGATGACGGGCACTGGCATATGAGCTTAATAGATGATTGCTCTATCACAGGCCGACGTTACCGATGCCCCGGATGTACCGATGCCGGGGGCGCGTCTTTTTCCCCCAGTCTGGATGGTAACGCGACACCAAAACAACCGAGAACAAAGGCGGGAAAGTGGCCCAGTTCTGTCTTGCAGATGATCATGTTGCTGATGCTGCCGCGGTTACATCAACTATGCTGTCTAGATGTCAAGCAGCTCTGGGGATAGTGAGATCGCAGCAACAAGTGAGTGATGAAACCTAGCGACGATTTCATGCGTCGACCTGCGTTGGATGGTGTAACCTGCAGGGTCTGTACGTACCTTGGGTCTGGTCACGACCAGCATTTGCTTCTTGCGCGCGCTTGCTCGATTTGTTTGTTCCTTTCTTTTAATCTCATCAGGCTGTTGTTGCTGTACGTTCCGCTGTCAGTCAGTCCGCTGATCGGACTGCTTTGTGGCCCCACTCCCGTTTTAAACGCCGGAATATGGAGATGAGATGGGATGGATGCGAGATATTTATGCACCAGACCGTGTTTATGAGTTGGAAGTATATCCTGGATGTTGAGATAATCTGTTCTCTCATACATAGTTTAGTTGGGCATGCCTATTTATAAACCCAATCCAGATTCTCAATCAATCCTGCCTCAATAGTGACTATGGCACTACGGTGCCCCTGAGAACCCGAGCCCCGAGCACCCCGTAGCGCTGTTATTTCTTTCGCCGTGCGGGCAACGGCCGACTATCACCCCTGGGGCTCTGAAGTGAGCGTCTACGGGTAGCTCCAGGCACCTTCAGGACACCCTATCGGTTCATGGCCCACACACCCCCGTGGCCCTCCTCCGTTTCCCGTTCTCCGTCCCCCGTTTTCTTCTGCCTTGCCTTGCTTTGGCCTCTTCCAGTATTACTGCCTTTGTCTTCAGGCTGTCCTGTCCGCTCTGTCACCCTCCTGTGCTTTTGCCTCGTCTGCCCTCTCCGCTCCCTCCGCCCCTTCTCCTCTTCATTTCCACCTCCTCTCGTCTCGCCCCATACACACGATCCTTTTTTGCGTGTGCGTTGGTCTTGTTTCCGCTGTCTTTGGTAGTCTAAGACTGTAAATTCTGGATTTCTGCAGTTGTCTGGACATTGAGCGTGTATTGTCTGAGTAGCCGGACTTTACTTGGAGCTTCTCCGAGCCAGCCACTGCCCGCTCTAATTCATCAGCCCCGGGGCTGATTCTCTTTTCCTTCCGATCCCACGGCGCCGCCATTTCGGTTGTTTTCGCCTACCAAATCTCGTTCAAGAAGCGCGTAAGTTGTTTTCACCTATTTACTCAACCTCAACAACATCGTTGGGTAGTTCCTCTTATCTTGATCTCCATTCATCACCATTTTGCGGTGGAAGTTGCGGTGGTGGCTCCTTCTGAAGCCGCCCGATAATCCCCAAATTCGCGCGTGTGCCTTCCGTTCGGCCTCGCTCGCCTCCTCCTTCCTCGACGGGACCCTCCGGTCCTCTTCCGCTGATTTGCAACCACCCGCACGGAGCCCACCCCGAGAATTTCTTCCTTCTTTCCATCACTCACTTTCATCGTTTCACTTCAATCGACCGCATTCTCAGCGCATTACATCGTCGCGACGGTCTCACTACCGCATCGCGTCCGCACTTTCACTGGCGACACATACTTACCAATACCCACAGCGCTATTGTCTGTCAACCACGACATCCACAACCACACCCGCAGGCCATGTCGTCTGGCGTTGTGCGCTCAACCGCCCTCAGGGCTGGCGGCGCTTGTGTTCGTTGTCGCAAAGGCAAGACCAAGTGTGTGTACGAGAATGGCCGCGCGCCATGCAAGAACTGCGCAAAGGGAATGCACGACTGTTACTTGCCTTCAGAGACCATGGCTCACCATCACGGCCAAAGCCCTGCGCGACACGCCAACCCTCATCGTCCCCCTCGCGACAGTCTTCCTGCTGCTGGACCTAGTGCTGCTACTGAAGCGCGACAGCCTGTCGTTGGTTCCAGTGCTGCTCGACATGTTCAGGCTGGCTCTGATAAGTATGTTGCGAACTTTCTTTCTTCTCAATCACAGTTCCCGTCGTGTTTCTATTTAAGCACTATCGTCTCTGTCCTTGATCTTCCCCACATCTGGGTTCATCGCAACCCTCATTGTCGCGCATCAACACCGGAAAATCCATCTGTCAACTGTTTCTTTGGCCATTGCATCTTTGTTGCTTGACCGGGTGGATCGGCAAACAGTCATCCTCGCCTCGCTTCCCTGTCTCGTCTCATGGTCAGACTCTTGCGCCCTCAGCCTGCTCCGTCTTCTCGCCCGAGTGGCCGCTGCACGCCTCTATTAGCCCCTTAGCCGGAGCCCTACCCCTGCCCTGTCCCCATCTCTCATTACCACACCCGCACCCGTGCATTTTTGGTTGCTCCCCCCCGAATTGTACCTTGACTTGACCTCCAAGTCCGTCTTTCCGCTCCACTTTATCGCCGTCGGTTTACGGGGCACCCCGAAATAATTCTTGGATCAACGCATACCAGTCGTTGAAAGCTCAAGCGCCTGAGCATGAGACGGGCCGTGCCACCCCCTACATCCCGAGTCTGTTCATTTTTGGCTTTCGCTACATTCTGATATACATTGCTAACTATGGCTCTTTTACAGACTTACTCCTGAGCTTATTGCTGAGTGTGAGCGTGTTGTTTCAAAAACATTTCCAGCCTGCGTCGCGTTCCACAAGCCATCTTTTGTTCAACAGCTTAAGAGCGCGTCTTTGGACGCTGCCTTGGTTTATGGTCTTTTGACCTGTGCAGCCCGGTACGTCACCAGTTCCGAACCCTGTTTCCCTATCACTTCAGCAGGTCGCGTTTCATCGCGTTGTCCGTCTGCTCATTTCCCACTTCAACCCTTACTCGCTCACCCGCCCGGCATGTGGATCCACACCGATCGGGGCTACCGCCACCGGTATTTGAGCTCCGGACTTGAGCCGAGGATTCCCGAGTCACATTCCCACAATCCTTTGCATTTCCGTCATCCAAGACCGCAATCCTTGAAGGAGCAGACCTAGACGTTGTTTGCACCTTCTGTGAAGTTTATTGCTAACAAGACATCTTTTATAGGAGCTCACCGAGTCTTATTCGACGTTATGGGGGACCTACCCAAGCTGCGGAGACCTTTGCTGCTAAGGCAATGACATTGATTAACCAAAACTTGGATCATCCAAATCTTGTCGATATTCAAGCTTTGTGCTTGATCATTATTCACGAGTGGGGCTCGCGCAATGCCGTCCGCGCTTACATTTATTTGGGCCAGGCTGCGCGCATGGTGCAGATGTATCGCATCTTGAATAGCCACCATCCATCCCCTGACGCTGATCTGTTTCTGCGCGATGAATCGCTCCGACGTACAGTCTGGCTCATCTACATTCTGGATTGCCTCTTGACCAGCACTCCTGGACGTTATGCTGCGCTCTCTCCACACGACACGGCAGATGTGTCTTTGCCTTGTTCAGACATTAACTTTGCTTTTGGCAATGCTGTGTTTGTCAAGACTTTGCGCCAGCAGCTCGATCCCACTGCCGTTCCACCCGGCCAGCCTCCCTCTGAGATCGGAGAGTTCGGTTATATCGTCTTGGCCTCGACCATCTGGCGTGATGTTGTTGCCATGCTCACCACCACCACTCTCGCTAGCTTCCGTGAGGAGGACTGTGGTGATTTGATTGCAAAGATTGAGGGCCTTCGGGCCGCTTTGCCCATGCAGTTCGTGGACAAGCCGGGCCAGATTAATCTACATATGACAATGGGTTCTGGCTACACTTTTGCCATGCTTCACTGTCTTCTGCATTGCGCGACGGTCTTCGTTCACAGAAGGCGATTGTTGCAGGAGGTTACTGCAGTCAACTTCAGCCTTGACTCATTCCGCCTCAACGCTCGATGCCACGATATCATTGACCGCCTCTTCACTTCTTGCCACGGCACGATTTCACTACTCACTGCCGTTGAAGCAGGGTCTGAGAAGGACCATGTTCCTTGCTTTCCAATTTTCATGCTGTTCTCTGCTTTCACAGCCAGTGCCACCGTTGCCTACCTATCCCTCAAGGGTTTGACACCACCCAATGCTGTCGAGACTGCCGCGCACATCGTTAAGGACGGCCTGCGCTTCATGAGCGACGGCACTGAAAACTGGCCTCTCATGGGTAGCTGGCTACGACACCTAACCGTTATGCAAAGGGTATTGAACAATGATGCCGCGGCTTCCAACGGCAGTAGCCTGCGGCACGGCTCGACATCCCACGGCGCCGGCGGTGTCAAGGATGAGATTTCGTCCAATGCTGACACCAACCCCGACGCAATGGACTACGATCAACAGACCAACCATGCAAGCAGTGTCTCAGGCCAGGGCAACCCTAAGAGATCTTTGTCTGAGTCAGTGCGCGGCGACAGTGAACCTCCCGTCGTGCTCGCGAGACGACCAGGCGTTACGACCATCAACGGTGGTTCGGGAGGAGCATCTACTCCTACAACAGTTTCGCCGCCACCATCGAACACACCTCATGGTATTGTGCATCATGATATCAAACAATCCAGCCCAGAAATGGCGAATGGCATCGTGCCTCCTCAAGATGGGCAAACAACGAGTCAGGACATGACAGCACCTGAGTTGTGCCAAGCGTTCGAGAGGCAGTTACTTGATCTCGATGATCTTGCTGCTTTCATGGGTGGCGGCGTGTAGAGTATGGAGTAGGTCGACTGGATCTTGATGAATATCTGAAGCAACAAGACTTGCATAGGGACTAATGAGGGATATAAGCGACTGGGGTTCTGTTTTCCGTTTTTTTTATTTCCGTCTTACCTTGTTATTAAGTGGTAGGATCAGTTTACACACAGCGACTGGAGAGGATTGATGTCGCATTTCTTTTTGGGGATAGAACATGATCCGTAATGGTAAAGTGGGCGGTGGAAGGTGTTTGTGCATCGATTAGAGTCAAAGTATTTTAAAGGACTACATTGCGAGGGGATACCCAATATACCCTGGATCGGGGGCGTTGGGGTGGGAATCGTTTTAGTACCAACAGGTAACCGCATCGTTGATACACAAAAGAATACAATATGTTTCTTTCCTTCAAGAAGTCTGCAGTTATATCGGATCGTTTGTTATCAGGGTCGTTTCAATCACCGTCCGGTTTGCTCCGCTGTGGTCACCACCACACCTAAGTTTGAGTTTCTTTGAGATAACCTAGCTTTCCGACATTTAATCTAGATGCAGTCGTTAAGACTTATGAGGCACTTTTGAATCAACAGATGACCGATGCTTAGCATATATGTTGGCGCACTGTATAACCAGACACTGACAGCCTCCCTTGACTTATTTGTTTAAGTGAGTTCCTCTCGATAACGAGTGCCAAAGATAGCCGAGGATAAACCAGGACTGGATGGGTTGTTGATATGTGACAGATGATAAGGCAAACCTTGGAGCCGGTTGTAAGCAAGACAATTAACCCTGTGGCTTTATATTTCGGAGACTCGGGAATGATGCAGTGAGTAAGTGAAGCCATTTGTGATATCGTTGCCAGTACAGAGAAAGGCGGCACAGTACAGAAGTTCTAGAAGGCTTCTGGAAGACTCGGAAGGAGGTCGGATCTTGCTTACATTCAAGCTTGAATGGTAGGGATTGGAAACAGTTTAGCTGGAGCCTAGAGGGATTAGCGGGCGCAAGTGATCGTCTAAGTTGGAGTAAGAGGGATTTTCTGGGGAAACAAGCTTGTGGACACTAAGAATGAGGAGATGGATGGATGCTTGATCGTTGATATGAGGAGGGTTGATGATTAGCTGGTGCTGATAACTGAACCCCAATTTTGTATCTTTTGGGTACAGCTGGAGTTTAGCAATAGTTTCTCGTCAAGCTAACGAATGCTATTCATCCCTCTGAGTCAATCATTCCGAGTTCTTCTCGTAAAAACCCCTTGATCAAAGCATCAAAGCTGATTGATTCCTGGGGATGATGTCAATCGGTAGACGCACAGGCTCCACCTCAGATGCCGGATTGCCGATGTTGCCAGCTGCATCTTACCGAAACCAGGTTGGCGCCGGGGTTTGATCCCCACTTTATCGGCCGTCCTGTGCCGGGAATGGAGCGGAGACTACAGATAAGGGTTGCTTCTCCAGGTTTGGGGGATGTGTAGTGCGGAGGGAAGTGTCCTGTAAGTTGGGGGAGAAAGAGGAGTACGTCAGAGGAATTGTGAGCGGGGAAGATCGAGAAGATGTTATGATGTAGATGTTGATAACTTTTGTTGTACTTGGAAGAGATAAGTGAGTATTCTATCCTGGGAGTCTTGCAGGAAAAGAAGGCTTACACAATCCCACATACCGCGACACAAACAAAACTACCACCGCGTGATGCAACTCAAGACCCTGCACTAACGACGATGCACGCAACATCAGCAATCCCTGTCTCTGCAACATGAAGCACACGCCAACACCGAGATCTGCAGCACCACGATCCCGAACGAAAACGATTAAGCCTCCGTGGCCAGGTGTTAGTAAAGTACGGGGCCATGTAATGTTGATATCACGTTCGCGTGATAGGCTTGGACTGTTCCGTAGTGTAAGTGGGGATGAGACAAAGTATATAACTGGCATGATTCGCACCTTGGAGTTCACTTCTCCAGAGCAGCATTAACCTGTGTCTCATTGACACTGTTATTACTTATATCTACTTCGGTGGTCCACACCTACACTACACTCAAGCTGGTGACTATCTAGCTTAACATCTAAAGTCTACTCGCTACTCAATCGTTACGTCCACCAACGTCATACAACCCTCTGCCGTTATCATTCAACTCACGCCCAACTACACTTTGCGTACAACGAAAGCCCAACATGGCTGAAGACGAGTACGATACTCGAGCGCCTCACGAGGGCATGTCGCCTGGGCGCTACGTAGCTACTCGATTTTCCTCACTCAAACCGCCAATGCATAGTGTGCCAAATCCAATAAAACTACTACGCATGCTGAATTCCCAACAATGGGCGTTTTTCTTTGTCGCTTTTGCAGCCTGGGTACGATTTCCATCGGAATACTCTTCTGGAATGATATACTGACTTGATTCCACAGACATGGGACGCATTCGACTTCTTCTCCGTCTCCCTCTCCGTAACAAGTCTTGCCAAAACATTCGGTAAGACCAAAACCGACATCACCTGGGGAATTACACTGGTTCTCATGTTCCGATCAATCGGCTCCATTACCTTTGGTATCGCGAGCGATCGCTACGGTCGAAAATGGCCGTTCGTGATCAACAATCTTCTCTTCATCGTCCTCGAACTTGTCAGTAGCATCCCCTGCAAATGATCCCTGTTCCTGCGGCGTGGCCCGGCTTGGCAGGAGATCTACGAGATATCTCCGAAGTGTTGCTGACGAGAAAATCAGGGAACGGGCTTTTGCCAGACTTACCAGCAGTTTCTAGCATGTAGAGCCCTGTTCGGTATTGCCATGGGTGGTCTCTATGGTAATGCGGCTGCTACCGCTCTTGAAGACTGTCCTGAGGAAGCGCGTGGTCTTATGAGTGGTATTCTACAACAAGGTGTAAGTGGCGAGCCCTCTCTTTTCTCAGTGTCATTGTCAATGACTAATTGTTGTTTAGTATGCTTTCGGATATCTTCTGTGCGCCGCTTTCGCACGCGGTCTCGTCGACACGACTTCCCACGACTGGCGTCCTCTGTTTTGGTTCGGTGCTTGTCCACCTGTGTTTTTCATCATCTTCCGTCTCATGCTTCCCGAGACAGAAGCCTACAAGGAGCGTCAACGCATGAGAGAAGCAGCCAATGCAGACGGCAAAGGAAAGGTATTCCTCAAAGAGGGAAAAGTCGCGCTCAAGCATCATTGGTTGCTGCTCATCTATCTCGTTCTTCTCATGGCTGGCTTCAACTTTATGAGTCACGGTAGCCAGGACTTGTACCCAACCATGCTGGAAAACCAGCTCAACTTCTCCAAGAACAAGATCACTGTTACTCAAGTTGTGGCCAATTTGGGGGCTATGACGGGTGGTACTGTCGTTGGTTTTACCAGTCAGTCTGTGGGTCGTCGAATCAGCATTATCGTGTGTTGTGTTCTCGGAGGCGCCCTCCTTTACCCCTACACCTTTGTTCGCGACACGTCCATAATTGCGGCAGCGTTTTTCGAGCAATTTGCAGTTCAAGGAGCTTGGGGTGTGATTCCCATTCACTTGATGGAACTGTCACCTGGTGCCTTCAGGACTTTCGTGGTTGGTACATCCTACCAGCTCGGTAACCTCGTATCGTCCGCCTCATCCACTATCGAAGCTCGCCTCGGCGAAAACTTTCCCCTTCCTGAGACCGAGAAGGGAGAGAGTCGCTATGACTACGGCAAGGTCATCTGCATCTTCATGGCGTGCGTATACGTCTACGTTATCTTGCTGACCTTTATCGGTCCCGAGAACCTGCGGGGCAAGTTTGACGTTGCTCACGACTCGGACGCGAAGGAAGCCATGGGTACCCGAGCGATGGATCAGACGGCTGGGCATGAGCATCATAGGTCGCAGGATGAGGAGAATGGTCTCAGGATCAGCACTGAGAAGCCTGTGGTTGAGCATGTGCGGGATTAGTTGTGATGGCATCTGCAGGTTTGCTGTGAGGATGAATAAGAGTTACAGGAATCTATTGATGATGTTAGTCTGAATCCGGTTACAAATTGATCAGTTGAATATTCCAATTCTTCGCTTCTGAGGATTGTTTCAGCCCATTGCTGCACTGCCGGATCACACTGGCGATTCCTCATGATAACTACCGTGTGTTCCCCGCTTCGGTGCAGCGGATGTCGGGACTGTAGCATATTCTCCACGGATCGTCGTTGAAATTCGTTCAAGTCGGGAATCTTAGTTAATTCCTCCGCTTTTCCGGATTAAGCATGCGAAAAAGGATTGGGGAGCAGGTGAGGCTATTTTCCCCGCTTCAATGGCTTCCGAATATGGACATGTTTTGCAAAGTGGTCGATGATTCCAAAACTCGCAGAAGCTGACTGATTGTAAGTGAGGCCAGTGTCGAATATTCGCATAGAAACTCCGGAGAAAGACATCTCAGCTGCTTACCGGCTTCAGCCTCTTGCAATAAAGATTCCTAATCGATTGACATGTTCTCTGTAAAATACATATCCACTTGGAAATGCAATGCAGTCGGATTCCAAACTAGTTCCCGCCCTGCCGCTTGGCTTTGGGACCAATTGAGGGGTTGAGCCTTGACGTAAAGAAGATCATTCAAGCTGTGACGTGTGGAATCGATCTCTTTCAATGGGGATCGTTCTCAGGTATATATAGACCAGCGTCCGAGAACCTTGAGAGCCTCTTTCACTCCACAGATCATCACTCACAAACACCTTGAGAACCTACACTTTTCCCAACATATCCTAGCTTCAAGCTTATTTATTCAAAGAACATACAATGGCTCTTACCGGTAGCTGCATGTGTGGTGCTATCGCATACAAGAGCACCAGTACGTACTTGGTTGTCTAAGTCATCAACAGATATCTAACTTTAGCAGGCGAACCTGATCTTACCGCTCTCTGCCATTGCACCGATTGCCAGAAGTGGACCGGCGGCGCCTTTACTTCCAACGTCGTGATCCCCGAGGATGCCTTCAGCATCACCAAGGGTAGCTACGGCCTCCATCTCTAACCAATTGACCCTCCAGACACTAACTCTTCCAAGGGTCTCCTAAGCAGTACGACGTCACTGGCGCCTCAGGCAAGCTCAACCATCACTTCTTCTGTGGTGATTGCGGCTCCAGCCTGTACACTCGCCTCGACATAATGGAAGGCAAGATCATCATCAAGGCTGGTGGTCTTGACGAGGGCAAGGCCAACCTCGATAACAAGGTTGCTGTTGAGTTCTACTGCCGTGATCGTGTTAGCTACATCCAGGCTGCTGAGGGTGCCAAGCAGGAGCATCTGTTCGGTTAAGACTGTACTGTTTGGGATGAGTTGCAGACGTCATACGATTGTTGGTGACTGAGCTGTTGTTGGAAGGAGGTATTGGTGGAATTGTGTCATCTAGATTTAGGTCTCTCGTTTAGTTGTTACTGCTTATACCGATACTCTTGCAATCGAAGCTTCCTCAAGCCATTACGTTTGCCTGAATTACATGTCCAGGAGAAAGCCTTACTTGTTCTTATTGACTAACACTCACAAGTTTCACGCTGGTCCTAAGAAGCATACCATCGTAACAGAGAATAGTTGTCGGACTTTAGATCATCAATGCAGAATCTTCCAAGAGTTTATGATGAATTTGCTAGAGAAAGTCTAAACTTCTCATCCGCATTTCAGCCCCTTCCCTCTCAATTCATCCCATCTTCGACCCCACCCGTTCTTCCCTCTGGTGATGTCCCAAATCTCAAGACTTGAGGAAGGAGCCCGATAGGAAGCCATGAGATATAAAGCACTCCCTCTTCTATTTCTTTTCACCTTTTCTTTCTTTTCTTCTTCATCAGCACCAGATTGCACACACACGATTACTACAAAGCGCTCAAAATGCTCACATTTTCCATTCTACTCTCTGTCACCTTCATGGTCATCCTCTTGGGGGGCTGGTCAGGCAACGGCTTGATCGCAACCCTGGGTGCCATCCTCGCCAGCTTTTCACTGGCTCTGCGTGTCGCTTCTCTCTTGCGCCCGGACTCGTTTCCGGTGTTCCCCTATCCTCGCCCTCCGACCCTCCCTCCGTCCCCCCCGACCGGTTCGTCCCCTCCGGCCCGCGAGAAAGTCGAAACCTGCACCCTACAACATGCTAGGGATGACGACATCAGGTGGCTCGAAAACCTGTCTGATCAAGTCAGGGAACTGAGGATGGCTATTTTACCGGCAGAGGGTGAAACAGCCGAGGTTCTTTGGGATATGCTGTGAGATAGATCAATGACTGAACAGGAGATCTTAACTGCGCTCAGGGACCTTCAACAGGAAACCCGGGATACCTTCATTGCACTTCGAAGGTATTTGGATTCGCTAAGGCAACTGCCGGACGCGAGTATCCTCTTATTTACGCGAGATCTTGGTCGGACAGGAATGAGGACAGCCTTCGCACGGAGAGTCAGACCTCGACACGGTCTACGCCGCCGGCGGTACTAAAGTCCTGGTGCCGTCTAGACTCGAAGGCACATTACCAGTTGTTCTCGCCAACTTCTGATGTAGCCGCTGGCTAGAGGGCTCCATGCTCTTCCACCGAACCCACCGATGGTGAGGTGGCGGTTCCTTCGGGGATCGCTCCAACGAACAGTTCGCACCTCAACGCGGTGTTGGAGTCCAGTAACCTCTTCTTGAGGTGAAGCTAAGACGAACTGGCCACCAAGACCAAGCATTCCCCTATCCTCATTTGTTACGATGCTAATAACCAGAAAGGTAACTCGGTTCGATTGTGGGCTTGGTTTTCCTATGAGTGTCGTTGATTTGGAAGACGGAACAGATATGTGAAGTCAGGTGTGCATTTATCTGGAGGATTCAACAGTAGTCTCAGCTGAGTTTGTATCAACATATCATAAACCAATCATAAATTCTATTCTGAAAGTTCTCCTGATAGGCTTCACTCCCCCATGTGATGGCTCAAAGAGCAACAAGGTTTATAAACTGCACGTGAGTTCAATCCTGTGAAGTTGAGTTCGAACAACGCAACTTTCCTTCAGGTTCTTCACGTCATACTCTTGCCCACGACAGCAACAAAACTCATGGTTTTTGGACGCTTCTATCATTCATTTCGAAGATGGCTGCTTCCAAACCCAGACCCAAGGGGAGATCTAACAGTTCTTCCCCTCGAGATCATTCTGGAAATTGCCCAGCACCTCCCCGACGCAGCTCTGCTGTGCTTAAGCCTTACCTGCCGCCCGTATCACAGTCTATTTTCTTCCGCCGCCCGCAATGCGAGGCTTGAAGGAGCAGATTTGGAGGACTTCATTCTGCTTCTCGAGAAAGACTCTACCGCCTTGTACTTCTGTTATAGTTGTGTAAGACTTCATCGATGGAGTCCAAGGTGGACCAACAAAAGTCTATCTAGACGTTTGCTGTATAGATCTTCTTGCGTGCGGGATTTTATGTTCTATTCAGCTTGGCAGCCTGGATTAACAGTATACTATCCTCATGTCAAGCTTGTCATGAATCGTCACTTCTACGGCATTTCTCACGGTCTGTCTCTGTCCATACTCAAATATCATGGCCATGACCGCTTGTACAAACAGGGAGGGTCAAACCATTGGGCCATCGACGCTCGCATAATCAACGATGAGCTCTTCCTGCGAAGGTCCTTCAAGGCAAGGTTCCGTAACGACTTTGAGCAACGACGATACCTTTTGCAGGTAGATTTCGTCCTCTGCAGCCATATCGTAGGAGGTAACTTCAAGTATATACAAAATTATTGTATACCAGAACTCGTTGATTCGTCCGAGTTGAAGCAATGTGCGAACTCATTGGGCTCATGTCCCGTGTGTCTGACAGATTACTCTATATCTATCTACCGGCAGAAAAACGGAAAGTCTTGGGACATTGAGGTAACTGGCTACCAACAACTCGGTGCTTGTCGCTCACCATTCGATTGGAAATGGAGAAGTCTGGCCGAACGTACTCCATGGAACGAACCAAGGTGTCTGGCTCAGGAGCCCGGGCTTGTGCGGCAGCGGTGGATGGTTTCACAAGGCCTAGACTGTCCTCCTGCGGGGAAATACATTGGCAAAGTATGTCCCGAGCCTGGAATTCTCTTCGGTTCGAGACGCTGTCCTTGGCATGGAAACTGTCGAGAATGTGAACACTACCGGGCAGAAATGAGCACCACCCCTTACCGTTTGAGACACCAAATATGGTACCCACTCGAAGAGTGACGGACTACTTAGATATTGGGCTTGGTAGAGCAAGTGGAACTCCATCATATGCCCATCTTCTGGCAAGGAAGTCCCCTATATTCGACATGAGTTGCTGGTGACAGTCGAAACTGTCTGGCAAATACCAAGGCACACGTTACAATCTTTTGAACACCTGCCTTAAACTCACGCGGCCACCAGTGTGCTTCTACAGACAGTTTTCTTATCAATATTCTCCTTATTGTTCCTATTTTCTCTTTTCCTTCAATCTCACGTAAACCTAAGACGATTGATCGTGCTATGCAAATTCGTTGATGGACCGGCTAATGAGACTAAGATCTTTGGGCCGAAGGATTCTTATAGCTCTATTTATTGGTCTATATACCAATCAGAAATGCTTGTTTAGTAGATGGCAGTTCCAGATAGGAAGGATATAATGTACAGGAGGGTCAGCCCAACAATCCTACGGGCGTCAACGAGACAGTCAAGTATATGGTGTTTCTTACGTCAGATCATATCTTGTTGCCATGGGTTGTATTTCCTACAAATAAGTCTGTTTCCACGATTGCTACTGACTGCCACTGCCACTGCCACTGCGATACCAAAAACTTCCCTTATTGTTTACTTCGTTGCCAGTCCTCGTTACACGTCACTGAGGTAACCGCTGATTTGACGTTACACAATCCAAGAGTGGGTCGGCCAGCTTCTCCGCAAGCTGGGGGCGATCTCCCGAAGATAGCAACCATCACCATCTACTCCGTATCCTCAACAAATCTTTAATAACAAGGATTTTGTTGTTAACCGCTTTTTGTCTCTCTTTCGCCCAAAATGGTTCTCTCCCAGTCAGCGCCAAAACACACTGATTCCGACGGTCGAGATTTTGTTCTACCGCCTTTTAGTCGCGACGTCACCACCAGCAAGCCAGAGGCCAAGAGATGGGTTGAGGACGGCTTTGTTTGGTGCTACGCCTTCAACCACGCCGAAGGAGAGCGCTGCTTTGAGAAGGCCATCGAAATCGACCCAGACTGCTGTCTCGCTTATTGGGGTCTTGCTTTTGCCCTTGGTCCTAATTACAACAAGCCTTGGAAGGCTTTTGACCACCATGATCTCAGACACACTACACTGAAAGGACTAGAGGCATGCAGAAAGGCGGAATCGCTAGCCTCCAAAGCGAGCCCAGTTGAGCGTGCCCTTGCTGGTACCATTCGACATCGCTTCCCAAGTGATGTTACTGACACTAAGAATGCAACAAAATGGAACCGCGAGTATGCATCAGCCATGATACCTGTTTACAACGAATTCAAAGACGACCTCGACATTGCAGCGCTTTATGCGGATGCACTCATGAATCTCACACCCTGGTCACTGTGGGATGTACGCACAGGAAAGCCAGCACCTGGATCTGAGGTCCTTGAGATCCAGGCAGTTCTCGAGAAGGGACTCGCGTCAAAGGGTGGATATCAGCACATCGGCCTTTTGCACGCCTACATCCACGTCACCGAGATGTCTAATGAGCCTGAGAAAGGTCTGCTTGCCGCCGAGTATCTTCGTGGTCTGGCAAATGAGGCAGGCCATCTGGCACACATGCCTTCACATCTTGACATCCTTATTGGGGATTATCGACGTGCCATTTCAGCAAACACCAAGGCTGTCAACGCTGATGAGAAGTTTGTTGCTCTACGCGGTGGTGGCGACTTCTACACCATTTACCGGATGCACGACTATCACTCGCTCATCTACGCCGCCATGTTCGCTGGACAGTACGCCGTTTCAATGAAGGCGGTTGAGCAAATGGAATTGGCTATCCCGGATGAGGACCTGCGAATTGAATCGCCTCCTATGGCTGACTGGCTGGAGACTTTCCGATCAGTCCGCCCACACATTCTCATTCGTTTCGGAAAATGGGAGGAGATTATCGACACGCCACTTCCGAAAGACCAGAAGCTCCTCTGTGTCACAACAGCTACGATACACTACGCCAAGGGTGTTGCTTACGCGGCCCTGGGCAATGTCGAAGAGGCGGCCAAACAGCGCGACCTCTTCCTCGCTGCACGGGATCGTGTTCCACCGACTCGTTCAGCGTACCCCAACAACTGCCTTGACGTCCTGGAGGTGGCAGAGGCCATGCTCGACGGCGAACTCGAGTACCGACGCGGCAACATCGAGCTCGCGTTCGAACACCTCCGAAAGTCAATCGATCTAGACGACGACCTGCACTACGCCGAGCCATGGGCATGGATGCAGCCCGCCCGCCACGCCTACGCAGCGCTACTAATGGAGCAGAACCGCATCGAAGAAGCAGCGGATGTATACCGCACTGATCTCGGTCTGAACAACAAACTCTACCGCGCGCGACACCACCCCAACAACGTGTGGGCTCTCCACGGGTACCACGAGTGTGCGGTGAAGCTGGGTCTCGACGGCGAGGCGCGGATCATCAAGCAGCAGCTCAAGACGGCGATGGCTTTTGTGGATGTACCAATTGAGTCGTCGTGTTATTGCCGACGGGATGTTGCGAACGCGGTCTCATGTTGTCGTTTGTAATGGGTATGATGTAGAAACTTGCAGCGTTGATTTAAATCTCCTGCAAAGGATTTATGACTTCTTTTTCAGTTGAGGTAGACGTTCATGTTGAGCTGTGTCTTTAGTCCAGGATTGATTCGGTTACAGAGAAGCAGAAAGCGATTTCGTTGCGATAGTCATTCAATTCATTAGTCAATTCATAACATTTTCTGTAACCTTGCAAAACATGGTGATGGTATTATCTAGTTAATAGATATTATGTCAATACTTCATGTTAATGCTGTCAAGACAGCTGAAGCTACCCTACGTATCAATCAATCGTGGAGCAACCAATAAATCGTCCCGTCTACTGTTTTCCCTCCTACCACAGCTCCAACTTGACACTGAATCACTCTAATGCCGCGCCCTGTCAAAAAAGGAATATGGTCAGTTTCGAAAAACGTCTCTCATGAACAAGATTTAACTAACAGTCAACGCAGTAACACTTGCCGACGGCGCAAGCTAAAGTGTACGAGTCCAGGCGATACTTTTCCAAGCATGTTCTGACCATCAGCTACAGGTAACCAAGCACTTCCTATCTGTGGACAATGCTCAACAACCGGTCTTTACTGCGATAGATCAGAGAGACCAACTAAATTCGGTACAATCCCTTTTCCGAACAGCTCATGATGTTTGTAGTCGCTAACTCTGTAAAAGTCCAACACCAAGAACTGCCAGATCCCAGCACCCCGCGCACGTCTCTTCAGGACCAAAACATCGCCCATCTATTCCATTCCTACACATCAGATATCTCAAAATGGTACGACCTAAGCGACTCAGCATGTTCATTCGGCCTGGCCGTTCCCACCATCGCCCTAGACGAACCTCTTCTCTTCAGCTCCATCATCGCCGTCTCAGCAATGCACACATGCCAGACATGGGCGCCAAGTTTCCGCAAAGTCGCTGAGTTCTATCACCACCGATGCGTGCAGCTTCTTATCAGACTGTCTGAGGGAGACGAGCTCATCACGCGAGGCGTGGCGCTGACTGCGACGTGTCTTTTGCGGTCGTATGAGATTTTTGACGGTGACGTTGACCCAAACATGCACCTTCGTGGGGCTTACTCTATGGCTTCACTGCATGGTGTTCTTTCAGGAAACCTACAAGCTGGATTACTTGGTGCGGGTTTTTGGAACTATCTGCGAGAAGATATCACATTCAGTCTCTTCGAGGAGTGTCCGCTGAAGATGAATCTGGAAAGCACGCCGCTTGTCGGCCACCATGAATCTGACCAAGATTATCTAAATTCCATTACACTTATTCTCGGTAAGATCATCAATATGACATTTGGTCACGATTCGGATGAGGTGCAACTAGGTTCTGCGATTGAGTCACTTAAAGCCTGGCGGAGTACATGTCCTGATCATATGAAGCCTTTCTCAAGACTACAAAGCGAGGCGAGTACGTCTCATCTCTTTCCAGCAGTTTGGTTCTTACAGCCGTATCATGGTCAGTAAATTCCATCGCATGAATTATTCGAAAAGTACGTTTCTAACGTGCACAGCTGCGATACTTCACTACTATCTCGTCGCGTTAACGATACTCTTTGTCCATGCATCTCCAAGCAGCGTAGATGATATCGCGGACTTGGATATTCTTGGGCTTGAATCCGAGTCTAAGGAGCAACTTCTAGAGGCTTTCGCTCTGGAGATTTGTGGAATTGCTTTCACAGCCAAGATCCCGTCGGTTTTGGTCAACGCTTTTGGGCCAATAGCTTACTGTAAGTACTCAACATCATCATATTTTGCTCTTTTCTTTTTGGAGATACTAATGATGTTTTAGGTGCAAGATTTATCCAATCTGAGGCCTCACAGCAGGAGCTTGTACGCCAGCTTCTAGCGTGCAAGTCAAGCATAGGATGGCCAGTGGAACGGCTCGTTAGGGACTTGAAGGTATCGTGGGGTTTAGATCAGGTGTAGAACCGGTGGCTAGACATTGATTACACCAAGTCTATTTTAGCCACTCGATATTTCTTAGGCGAAACGAAACTACTCCCCAATGGTTACAAATCTTGGGAAAGCTCTTTGGAACTAATCGTTGCATCCAAATGATCACCCCCTTCGAGGTCTTGACCCAGTGGGGCAAGGTTTTCCGAGCTCGGGAAACTCACATCACCAATATCCGCTGCACAATAAGTATAAATGAGGAAGACCGGTCGTGTCCAGAGAATGGCCAAACGTCTTCTTCAGTATCAGACGGATTCTTCAGAACAATCTACACTTTATTCCAAATTTATTCATTATGCTACGGACTCAGAAGCTCATTCCAGCCTTCACCAAGTGTGCCCACACTTTCGCAGCAGTCACCCACCCTCCCCAGCCAGGAGTCGTTCGACCTTCTGCCCAAGAAGTAAAAAACTCTTTACTTGACTCAAGAAACCTTGAAAAGGCTGTGCGACACATACACAGAGACGGGTTGGTTGTTGTCGAAGATGTTGTCCCTCATCAAGACATTGGTATTCTTAACGAGAAGATGATTGAGGATGCCCGTACCCTACAGGCTCGAGGCGATAAAGGACCATTCAATTACAACAAGGGAAACATCCAACAAGATGCTCCTCCTGTAGCTGAGTATTTCCTACCCTCTATTTTTACGAGTAAGTTCCTTTGCCCTGCGTCTGAGACAACCCAGCTTACCCGCTCATTAGACACAATCGCCACGCAAATCACCACTGCAATGATGGGCCCTCGACCCAAATGGACTTTCTGCTCCGCCAATTCTGCAATGGCTACTCTACCTGGCGATACTCCTCAGAGACAACCCGTTCACTCAGACGCAGACTTTGCGCATCCAGACCACCCCTTCGCCCTCGTGATCAACATCCCTCTAGTCACAGTTACACCAGAGAACGGATCCACCGAGATATGGCTTGGCACCCATAACACAGGTGGTATTGATGCACAAGAAGGAGCCCACGGAGAGAGAGCCAGCGGTCGAATTAGAGAAGATCTTCTCCTGCAGCGTCAAGCGATCTCACCTCCCGTGCAACCTGCCATCAAGAAAGGCAGCATCATCGTGCGGGATCTGAGGCTCTGGCACGCCGGGATGCCCAACACGACACAGGAGACTAGAGTGATGCTCGCCATGATCCACTTTGCCCCGTGGTTCAGAAACAGAATGAGACTTGAGCTGGGCGACGATGTTAAGCCCATTCTAGAGGGCCTCGAGAGTGAAGGAAAGCTGGGGTTGGAAGTGCCGGTGGATTGGGCTAGCACGGAGGCTGTGCTTGAGGGTTACCTGAACCGAGGGTTCGGAAATAGCTATGATTTCAGCCAAGAAGCTTGAAAGCTTGGCAAATAAGCTTATTTTTTGACATCTTCAATGGCGATTCGATGTGTAGTATTGATCGGTATTAATGCAAGGTCACTTATATGTCATTCCAAACACAAAAACACAGAACGAATAAAGTGAGCAATTTAATCGTATTGAAATCTAAAAAAAACTACCCAAAACACCCAAACTCCATATCCCATCGTTAAAACACATCATTAGTCAGAGTCGCTGCTGCTACTGGAGCTTCCATTAACACCGCGGGTCTTGTGCTTCTTATCCTTCTTATGCTTCTTGTCCTTCTTGCCCTTCTTGAACTTGTTCTCGAGGACGTTGGCGCCGATAGCACCAGCGGCTGCAGCACCGAGACTGCCGAGGAGACCACCTCCAGCAGTGTGCGCAGCCCAAGCAGCGGCACCTCCGCCGACGAGGGTAGCACCTAGACCGCGGTCACCGTCGGGGCCGGGCTGGCCGGGAGGGTATTGTCCTGGAGCGCCGCCCTGAGGATAGGCAGGGGCGCCGTATTGAGAACCGCCGTGCTGCTGTTGCTGCTGGGGGTAAGGCGATGAACTGTGCTGGTCGTAGTTTGGTTGGCCGTAGTGCTGTTGCTGGCCGTAGCCCTGCTGGGGAGGAGCGTGGGAGCCGTAGCTGGGCTGTGGGGAGTGCGAGCTGTATTGAGGTTGTTGAGGCTGTTGGTTGTAGCCGTAGCCCTGGGGTTGCTGGTGAGACTGCTGCTGTTGAGAATACTGCGGCTGGATATACTGTTAGATGTGGTAAAAGACCTCACGGGGGAGCGAGACAAACCTGCTGAGGATACCCGCCCTGTTGGCCGTAGCCTTGAGGTTGGCCGTAGTTCGGCTGCTGAGGGTAACCACCCTGCTGGCCGTGACCACTACCGTAGTAATCGTTGGAGGACATGATGTTTAGAAAGGATGTAGGATGTGGATTGAGAGTGGAAGTTGAAGATGATGGAAAATGGATCAATAGGATCGTTGCAGTGACAAATGTAAGATGAGTGAGTAGAAACCTAGAAACGACAGCCGTTCCTCCCCCGCCTTTTAATACCCTGTCTACCTGTCCGTACGGTCCGTCCTCCAACTCAACCGTCACAAGGCAAAACAGCTCAGCTTAGCTTAGCTTGACTAGGTAGCTGCTTGACCTGGAAGTGGAAAATGCGCCTTAGCTGACAAGCCCTCCTCGCGTCACTGGCCCAGTAGGCAGTTAAAGGCGCAGCTTTCCCACAGCCACACGTTCAAGCCCGTAAGCTCGATCTAACCGCTAATGTCAGGGCTGAATCGATGCCCGTGCTGTCCTTTGAGCGGCGGGTTTGCACTTACAGGGTCGAGTGACATGCTACGCGTGGCGCTGGATGCGGAGTACCGGGGTTTCCGAGTCCGAGGTCCGGAGTTGGCAGCTCAGCCACAATTGTCCGTTGCCAAGGCCGGCCTTGATCGGCGACGGTTGACGTGACATCGGAAGCTAAGGCAGATTTGCTCAAATTGACGAGTATAGACGAGATGGTATGAAATAATAGCTGTATCAAATATTAATTATAGTATAGAATGCGATAAAACCCCTAAGCCATATCTTCAAAACCCCGCTGAATATTGTCGCAAATCCCCTCCACAATCCTCTCCTCTGCCGCCTCATCACCAAGCCCCAATGCGCCGGGCTGCCACGTAACCGTGTACACCAAATCCCCTCCCTTGACGGAGGCAACGTTGAAACAGATGGGGCAGCCTCCAACGTGACCAGGCTGCGCAAACGTCAACTTGCCCACCTCGACCTGTCCCTTTGCAGCAAGGCCTCCGTCGAAGACACCCACGTTGCTAAACTCGTACGACGAGTCTCGCTTCTTGCCAATCTTTCCAAGCGTCCACTTCCTAATGCTCGGGACATATCGAAGAAGGCCAATAGCACAATCCTCGAGTGTGGTAGAGGTAGTCGCGAATTGTTTGGTGGCCTCGCTCGCTGACGCCCATTCTTCTTCAGTCAAAGGACCCGTGGCAGCGCTGCGAGGATGAACGGTGTAGCAGCCCGACACAACATCATGCACCATGTCGTTGGACATACCGATTGACTTCCGCATGTTTATAGCTGTCTGCGGGACGAAATTGGTGACATTGTTACCGGCGACAGCTTTGCTGAGAGCACGGACGATGATTTGGTGCATGACTCCTGTCAGTCTTGCATCGTGCGTCCTTGCAAGCTGCACGGCTTTGTTGACCTGCGAAGCTGCAACACTGCGAATCTTGAGCTTGGTCCGGTGTGTCTCGGGGTTGAAGAAGATAGGTGTTGCAGTCCATGTGCCCTCATTGACGTGAGATGCTGAGACACGTAGGCCCAGCATCTTGACAATGAAATACGGCATGTATGCTGCAAGAAAAGGTGCTAGCAAGAATGACCATGAGATGGGGATTCTCTTGTCTGTGTCGAATATTTCAGGGAAGGGCTTAGCTGGGGGAGAGATGGTAGACGATGGTACAGTTGCTGGGGGTTCGTTCAATCCTGAGACAAACGTCTTGTGAAAAGCAACTCCTGCAATACCATCACCAATGGTGTGAGAGTAGGAAAATGCAATATGGCACTGGGACAAGCTGAGCGGAAGTACAACAATCCTCCATGGGGGGATACCAGCAACGAAAGGACGATCCAGCTCCGACTCCATTGATCGTCCGATTGCCTCCAAGGAGCCGGCCTGGACAGATGAGTCCTCGACAATGGAAATGTGCTCCTCGACATTGATGCTAGCCACACGCTCATAGTAAGCCTTGTCGGTATGTCTATCTCCAACAATAACGCAGAAGAAGGGATGTTCCTCAATACAGCGTCTCAGGGCGTGAAAGTAAGTTGCCGGCGATTTGACATTGACACCCTCGGGGAAGCTGTAGACTGCGCCAATAACAACTGCATGATAGTATCCTACATCCTCACGGGCAACTGTGCGCATCTCATTCGGGCCTGTCATACGTTAGAGTAAGTTGTATTCTGGAGCGAAATCGCATACTCGCATATCGAAGAAACTCCGCTTTGGTCTCCATGATGAAATAGTGGCTGGGGTGATAGGTTTAAGTCTGAAGCTGATACTTCGTATATCTGGTTATGCTAGCGATGTGAAACAGAGGGAGGAGGTCCAACACTTATAGTAGCCTCGCTTTACTCGTAGCGGTTGTTTCGGATACCTAGTAGACTCAAGACTGGTTTGCAAGTCTAATAAACACGTTATTGAACAGCTAATTGGTTCGTCGATAGGCGGCCTCTTGGTGATGAAGGTTATCGCAAGAACCGAAATTAGATGTGGGCCCTTGATGCAGCATACCCAATCCTTCGGGAATGTTAATTCCCGTAGTGTCCGAAGCTGCATTGTCTCTAAGCGAGGAAACAAGGGAACATCGATCCGCGTGTTTCTGTGTCTAAATGCTTCTTGAATATCAGAGCTTATTTACGATTGATCTACGGAGCCTTCACATATACTAGAGCAACAGAACTCACAGGGTGTATAGCGTTCCATGTGTCGAATCGATATCAAAACTACAGAGTACCCTCTAGTTAGCTGTCATGTCAATATTGACTTATTTGATTTGATATCAACTATCTTTCTCGCCTTCTATACCATGCTTGTGATGTCTAGCTTGTTCTAGTGTGACTGACCGTTGAATGCTCGCTCGGTAGTAAATTGTGCCTCTAGCCGAACCTTGGTCACTTATTCGCAACAGTCTTCACATCCTTGAACTCGGGCCAATTCTCTTCCGCTCTTACAGTCAAACTAGATAACTTACACATGGATCCTACCAAAATCAACAACATTCGTCCTGGGTATGCCTCTGTTTATCCTTGTTTTCAGCTGCCATGTCCAGTCCTATCTCTGCCCAGGCGGCAACGGCATCCAGTACGGGGAATACGTGGTTTCCGTACCGATTTGAACTTGTAACAGTACGTAGGTCTCACTTGTGTGTGCTCTTGGCGAGGCAGTATGCGTATGCTGGGAAAAGCTTCTATGGCTGGAGTGTAGCCGGTGACTTGTCCACAGTAAGAGAAGCAAGGGATGGCAACCACTTACATCGCTTATTGACTAAGGATAACTGACATGAATGGAAGCAACAGAAGTAAACATCGCAATGTCCTGTCTCATTCTCGAGTCCATGGACTACCAGTGTAGTTTAATGGCTTGTTACTAACTGAGCAGTTGGACTGAATATAAACATAAGACAGCATCCAATCACGAATCTACAGTTACGGCTTTACTTAGCTGAATGTAACCCACCACTACCGCCTATAGTGTAACCCACTTGTGACTTACACAACGTCTGCACGGCAAAACATTTCAATAGAGTCGACACTGTCTAGATCGACTGCCGGTGAGGGTGAGATTTTGTCTTGAGCTTATCGGAGAATGATCAAGACCACACTTACTGATCAACACCCAACAGTCTGGTACATTGATTCTAAAAAGTAGCAAATGAGTCGCAATTCAATAATTTGCAATGCAGTACTGTGGTGAGACACTCGCATGCCGCAACTTGGAAGAATTAGTCAGCTGAGCAACCAACACAATGGAATGAAATAACCGATCAACATTGAAACGTTCTCTCAGGCCAAAAGACTAGGCTGAGTACAAACTAAGTCACAACCGACCGTCCAGGCAGTTGCCACAGTCGAACGTGGAAGTAACGTACAGATGGCACCGGACATTAGAGGCTTGGAGTATTCCAGAAACACAAGTCCTTCGAAACAAAAGCCACAAGTTAGTCTGAGTATAAGCACCCAAAATACCACATTGGATGGTGAAACATTTCACAACAGGCATGGTCTTAATTGAGTGGCGTTCCGGCGTCGGACCAAGCCTTTTTCTCCCTCAATGTCTTACAACCATGCTATCTCCAGTCACGACCACACCGCTTAGTTTCTGCAACACAAATATTCAATACATTTTGCTACAATTATTAACATCTCATCACTCTGTACTAAGGATGAGTGATGCTCATCGCTACGAATACGCTTCCAAATTCATTGTCATGTCAAATGTTTATCACAGTAGCAAGAAGGATTCCACATTGCCATGAAAATTATTCCATTGGTAGTCTATCTAAGTGGCCGCTAAGGCAGCTTTTCCCACAGTGCCCAATCCAGGCTCTGGTATTAGTTGTAAATGAATGTCATGAAGATCGTAGATCGTATCTGTCCGTCGTTACGGAGTAGTCGTGTGGATGAATTGTGTCATGCCCCCGAAATGCTGAACCAAACGCCATAAGCTTGCGCTTAAAAGGTTATTACAAAAATGGTTGTTTAAAAAAGTCGTGGGAGAAAAGAAGTGTCGTGAAAATCACCATCCCTTTACAGGACAGCCTGCAGCTCAAGAACAGGGACCTTGAGGTCCTTCTTCTCGCAGGTCACCCGACGGCTGGAGTAGTTGTTGACACCCTCCTTGTAGTGAGGGTTCTTCCAGTTCTTCTCGCTACACTGGGGAGTAAAGGTGGTGTTGCCCTTGCCCTCGTACCATCCGCCCTCCTTGACGCAGCCCCAGTGCTGGAGGACCGAGATGACGCCCGACTTGCGGTTGTATCTGAAGGTGGCAGAGTCTGCGGCGGAGGCGACCTCGCACTTGTAGTCGGTCTTGCCGTCGAAGAAGTCATTCTTGGCGGTGGTGGACTTTGCGGAGCATTTGCCCTTGTAGCCGACGCCGCGGTTCTCGAGGGTGAAGGTGATGGTGGCAGAGTTTGTCTCCTTCTTGGGTGTGTTGTGTGTGTAGACGGCCTCGTACTTGAAGTCCTTGACGTTCCAGTCGGTGACCTTTGAGCTGCCCGACATACATGTTGCTTGCTTGGCGCGGGTGTCAAGGCCTTGGGGGAAGGCCATGACGGAGGTGGCCATGAGAAGAAGGGTAGAGAACTGCATGTTGGCGATGTGATGAGTCGAGGTGTGAGAGTGAGTAGTTGAGAGGGAGCAAGTATTGAGAACTTGTAAGTGCTTATAAGTAGTACTTAATAAGTTGCGTGGTGAGGAGGTTGGTGGATTAACTGCTATAGACTAAACAGAGCACAGAGCGGGGTGGGATGATCTTTGTCTGTGACCGATGATGATCTTTTGGAGTTGAAAGTCAATTGGTGCTTTTGCTTCTGCTTCGTTAACCCAAAACTTGCGAGCGGACCAGTCCCTTTATACCTAACTTGACTGAGTGAATTATGCATCACAACAACTATGGGGATAGGACCGAATTCACAGCATTCTCGAGCACAAGCGTCCAAGAATGATGGAGACGTTCAAAAAAGATGTCAAGTGACGTGCCACACACGGCAAGAATCCTTCGCATCTCGTATTCCCCTCTAAAAAAGAACCCATGTCTTTCAGCTCGGTAGTCCGGTACGGGTTTGTGCATGCATGAATTGCATTGAAGCTAAGTAGGCCTAAAATAGTACCGTGCTATACTCTTCATTACTCTGCATTACCTAGAGCTCCATGACTAACAAGGCCTGGAACGCTTGTCCACGAGGTGATATCCGTAGATAGGTAGGTAGGTGATATTGGTTGAGGTTTGGAAATATTAGGGGTACGTTGTATTTCCCCAAAAAGTCCATGCTACCTCAACGGACCTTACGGGGGATCACAGGCTGTCGAATTGCCGGAATGCCATATTGTATAGCGGGTTACCCCAAAACAGGCACAAGCTTCCACTCAATGCCTGTCAAGGACCTTCTGTAAGCTGGCCCCGCTCACGGTGGGCAACTCAGGTCAGGTCCGCATGAAGCATTAACGCCTGGTGGATTTGTATTGTTCTTTCACGGCTTCATTCAGGTTGAGCTTCTATAGCTAGTTAGTCAGTTTGTTACCAGCCACTGAAATGAGCTAATAAACTGTCAATAGTTTTTGCGCCGTTTTTGGTGTTCTGGGGTGGCTGGCCGATGCACCAAGCTAATGCGGAAGATCACTAAAAGTTACTCGCTATTTTGGCATGATGGGTCATGGCGATTCTACGGAGCACACTTCGAATAATTCACTAAATGATGAATAACATGTGCTGTACATGGGAACTTTAGTCACTGTGTGAATGAATGAAAACAAACAACATCGACATCCCAAGGCCAGCAACATATAACATCGTACAGCAGGGTACACATCCACGATGAATGCATGCAAGTCAACGCAAGAAACATTATAGCACAACGGTTACAACACCTCGTGGCAAATCACCTGTGCCGCGTCTTGCCCTGACATATGCTCAACTACCTCACAGACTCGCAGTCTCACACCTTGTTCATCAACAGCGGAAACCGCGGGAGAAAGCAATCAAGGATAAGGTACGATACAGCGTATCCAAAGAGGCCGGTCCTTTGCCGTGCCGTGCGTGTTGTAGATCTAGACCCTCACTCTCCGTTTTAGCGAAGAATCGGCAAAAGTCCACTTCTCCGCATAAACGAGAAGGGAACAACAACGGTGACGATTAAGTCCCCACAGTCGCATCCATCGAATGTTGAACAAGGTTTTTAACATCTTTGTTTTTGCAACTCTTTCAGCTGCTTGAGAGACCCTGTTACGGAGGCTCTTTGGCTCACCGTCCGCTGGCAACGTTCCCGTCAATAGTCCCCTGGATATATACGTCCACCCAGGTATCACAACGGTTAGCCAGCTGACGTTTACGCCCTCGAAATTCACCGCCTGTCAATATGTGAGTAAATACACCTCGACAAACAACAATATCTTTTCCCATGAGAGCGGTCTGCGACGTGACCGGGCGATTGCCTCGCTCAAGTCTCACAACCGATGGCATTGACCGCTGTAGATCTAGAACTCTCCTCTCTGTGTCACCCCACAAGATAGAAAGGGTATACTCGAGGAGAGCAGGGATTACTTTCTTCAGCTCATGACCCGCATCGCATCATGCATGGTGCTGCTAATCCTGGATACCGATCCACCAGGAACACTTCCGCCCGGTGATCAAGTGGGCAAACATAGCAGACGTTTACGTCACATTGGAGTCTTCCACCGTCATGATAATTACCGTGTTTGATAGCATCTTGCGAATATAGCCCTCGGACGGAGCCACGTTTTTTTGTCTTTCTTATTCTTCGCCATGTGCAACTGCAACGGCCTCGTATCATACCGGCCGGCACCGATTAACGACATGTGCTATCCCGCGGTCGGAGGGCTGGGACTTTATTTGTGACACAGGGCGCAATTCTCTGTGTAAAGTCAATGACATAACATGTAGGCTAAACGGGTACTCCGTAGCGTGTAGATGAACATTCCAGAATATGGGTCTGTTTGTTCCAGCAATAACCTTGATTGAGGCCATCTCGGTCGCTTATCTCACTCATTCAGGACGTTTGTCTCGTATTCTTGGAGCACGATTGGCGAGATACTTGCAGAGCTCTGTTTGTTTCTCGGCAGTTCCCTGACGCGTGGGATTTACTCAGTCAACTGTCTGCACGAATCTCCGTCCTTCTCTATTTCATCAACTGCTTACCCCAAATCAGAGTGTGACTCTCGCAACCGATCCGGATGGTGTTTTATGGTACTCTGACAATATCTGTACGATTTCGGGATTTACCAAGATGCTACATTGAACCTTCGCTTCGCTGTGTCTCGACAGAAAATGGAAAACTTCGCTTCTATTCCTAGAGGAAGCGTGATCAGCTGACTCAACGTGACTGCCACAGTCTAAGTCGCTTGCGAACGCGTCAAGTGATAGTTGCATTGCCGTATAAAGTACAAGTAACATGAACAGGCTTCTTAGCCTCGTAGTTGTTACCCAGTCCATGTCATTTCCTCGTTTGAGAGCTCATGGCGATTCGACAATCATACTTCTGTAGGCGTCGTGTACATGAAACATTAGTCAGGATCTTAGCAAAGCAAAATCATATCCTACAGGGGTCTACGATTTGAATATCTGTAACCAGATTTGCCACACGTTCTCTACCGTCCAAGCGAAAGGGCGAGAACGCCGATATTTGATACTAGCCGATGTAGAGATGAAGAGCCTTTATGCTACCATCGAAGACGTATAGTTCGATCTTGTACTTGGTTGATAATAGGCCTGATAGTGTTTCCAGCAAATGTGCCCGTTTTAGACTTTGATGACCTTAGAAGTGTAGGAAATATACTCAGAGCTCAAGCATATCACCCATTGTCTAACCAACTTGAAAGATGTAGTAATTCGATCAATTTGCCGTCTCACCAGGAAACATGCTAATCACATTCACGATGACGGATGAATGGTTTAAGGATACACACTAAGCAAAGCCAAAGAAAAATATCAAATCACCCTACTACTTGAACAAATTTCAAATTAGAAACGACGGAACAATGAAATCCAATTATCCGGGCACTAAGTCGATATGCTTTATCAAAGATTTATACTGAGCCTAAGGCAGACGTTTGCCGGATCTTGTGGCCTGGCCAACCTCAGAGTTGGTTGTGTCCTCGGCATATCTCTTGTATGCAATAATGTACCGCTCATCAGCACTCCACGTCTCCTTGACACTATCACGGTCAAGAATAGCATCGTACCACTTCTTCCATCTATTCCACGTCTCACCATCTTTTCCTTCTCCAGATGTAGGAATTCCATGACCGCCCTCCTTGTAATGATCAATGAGGAACAGACGCTTTGCCCATGGTGCAAGGCAGACATCCACGAGACTAAAGGTCGAGCCAAGAAACCATGGACCCTCAGGGTCCATCTCCTCTACAAAGGATTTGACACGACCATTTAGCTCCTCCCTGGCCTCTTCTAGGCTGTAACTCTTCTCCGGAGTGTGTTGCAAGAGTTTGTACCATGAAGGAATAATGCGTGTACTGATATGGTCGATCCAAAGACGGCATCGAGCCTTCTCATAGGGGTCTGAAGGCAGAAGACTCGAGCCATATTTAGACTCATCGTTGAAAGCTTCATCGATATATTCACAGATAATATTGCTCTCGAACAAAGCCTTCTGTTCTTTCCCCTTGGCGTCGACAGGGACTGCGAGAGTTGGGACCAGTCCGCGAGGGTTCAAGGCCAAGAAGTGCGGCTCTTTCTTGTAGGGATTGATCTCGACATATTGGTGAGGAACCTTCTTTTCGTGGATGGTGATCCAACTCCTTTGGACAAAGGGACAAAACCAGCCGCCGTAAAGCTTCAACGGGTGCTCTTCTGCATGTCGAGCAGCGAAATCAGCAGCAGCGCCGGTGGGCTCTGGGGGCAGTGAGGTATCTACTTTGGCCATGATGGTTTCTATGTTATGATTTATTACTGGAGTTTTTTTGGAGGTAGTTAAAAGAACAGGACGCAATATACTGAATCGTTGCATGTCTAGATAAGTGACGAGCTGAGGTTCAAATGAATGACGTCGAAACAATTGTGGAGTAGACAGCATGGCAAGACCCTCGGTTATTGGAGAGCATCTTGCATTGATTCATTGCACAAGCGTCATAAAGTGCCAATTTCATTTCGAACTGCATTATTGAAGTGTTTTAACCATTTTCCATTTGAACTTAAAACCAAGCGTGTGAGAAATTATCGTGATAGCATTGCGCTTATGATGTTCTAAATAGGCTTTCTGTTGCCAAGTAGTCGCACTGTTTTTATAGCCACAGCGCACGTTCCAGGACAGTGTTGCTCCGTCGCAGACACAGTCTTTATCGTTATCGGTGCCCTTCTCTTGTCGGGAAACTTTGACATTTCTTAGTAACTTCGCAACTTATTACAACAAATAAACATAAATATGTCCGACAAAGGAGCATCGCGGTTCACACCGCAGAACAAAACAACAAATGAGCGTCTCTCAACACATACAGTCGGTCTTGTCGCCCTCTCCGATTTCCGCAAGCGCCGCGCCGAGGTCCTCGAGCAACAGGAGCGCGAACATCGCGAAGCTGCCTTCTCAGGCACATCGACACCAGACGCCTCTATGACCCCCGACAACGCTGGCAGCGACGCAGGAAGTGGAGCGAAGCCATTGAAGAAGAAAAAAAAAAGAAACAGGGTAAGAAGCTCTTGTCGTTCGATGACGAGGAGGCCGAGGATGAGGAGCCTGTAATCAAGCCGAAACCGAAGGCCAGAAAGGCCAGCGCAGACGAAACCGAAGGAAGCGAGGGAGAGTTTAAGGCGAAGTTTAAGGCCAATTCTTCTGTGGGAATAGTCCCCAAGGCTATGACAAAATCTGCACTGCGCAAAGAAGCCGCCGAACGAGACGGTTTGCGACGCGAATTCTTGGCCATTCAACAAGCTGTCAAGTCGACCGAGATCGCGCTACCTTTTGTTTTTTACGACGGGAGCCATATCCCCGGTGGTGTTGTCAGATTAAAGAAGGGCGATTTCATCTGGGTGTTCCTGGACAAGAGTCGAAAGGTTGGCGCCGATTTGGGCGTTGGAGAAAAGGCGAACGCAAGGAGGGAATGGGCTAGAGTCGGCGTGGATGACTTGATGCTTGTTCGCGGAACGGTCATTATACCTCACGTAAGTTACTACACTGATCGCGTGCTTGAATGGTTTCTAATTGTTGTCTAGCATTATGACTTTTACTTCTTCGCCATGAACAAGACCCCCGGCCCTGACGGCGAACCTGTATTCAAGTACAGCGCGGAACCCCCTCGAAAACCTGAACCGACCGTTGATACAGATCCCAGTGATCCTCTGACCACTGCTTCCTCCAAGGCTGCCGCTGCGGCGGCTGCTGCTAGGGCGCTGCCCGATATAAGCACCCTCGAGGGCGCTGATGAGGATCCCACTCTCACCAAAGTTGTCGACCGGAGGTGGTATGAGAGGAATAAACATATCTTCCCTGCTAGTATGTGGCAGGAGTTTGACCCTGAAAAGGACTACGGGAAGGAGGTGCGGAAGGATGCTGGTGGTAACACGTTCTTCTTCTCGCGCTGAGATGTTGTTGTCGATTATTACTAAAACATCGGAGTTGTTTGGAGGTTGGGCTGTGTCGGTTCTCGGGCGTTGGATATATCACCATTGATTGGATCACATATAGAGGATTCTTTTTCGAAAAGCTCATTTAGAGCTGGAAGGTTATGAGGATTTCAGCCGAAGAGCGTCCAGAATGCCCAGCACGCGCCTGCAAGCACCCACCAGCCAGGCCAGAAGAGCATTATGAAGATCATGTTCCCGCTGCCGAGGATAAAGACGGCGAATTCGTAAAAGAGCTTGCTTCGTAACCTCTGGATGTTTTTGGAGTTCCAGGCACTCGCCACGGCCTGGGTAGACATGTTGAAGCTGAGGAAAACGCTGAATCTTGCAGCGACGAAGGCGTTCAGGGTCACGGTTTTGCTCGCGTGCAGGAGGCCGGCGAAAGTGATGCTCGCGAAAAAACAGGCATGGGAGCAGAGGAAGACGGTGACGCAGCCGACGAGGCTCTGGAAGCGAAGGGCAATTTGTAGCGCCGGGCCGATCAACCTGGTGATGTCCGACCGGGGGGACGAGACGCTGAGATCCACTTTGGAAGCGGTTAGAAGCGTAGCTTTTTCCATGATCGCGATCTGAGGTTGGAGTATCGATTAGGTCCGGAAATGACGAGCAGTAGATCGTGATCTAAACCGAGACAAAACAAGAAGTAGAGAAAATGGCAATTGGCCTTGTGACAGACAATACACATTGTAGACAGTATAAACAGGTTCTTGGTGTTTATATATATCATCTTCAATTGAACCCCCACATAGCATCTGCATGAGTAGTTCCAGCAATTAACTCCCGCACTTACGGGAGTTTTCTCTTCGTCTAGAGCAGAACAGTCACAAGCTCGCAATTGACAATCACATTTTCCTTCTGTCAAACTTGACTTGCTGATATCAATCTTCAAGACCCACAGTAGACTCATCCCGCGTTAACGTGAGGTTGCACGCGACGCAGCACGTGGGGCCGCTGATTCGCTGCTCCGACTGACAAATGCGGGATAATCGAAGGGTAACAGGATCTAGATCCCGCATAGCATGAGATCTTCGAAGACCCTGAGTAAGAATCAGTACCCTTAGGGGAGTTCACTACGCCGCACGTGGTAGCAGAACCGTCTTTGGCGAAACCTGGCGGGGTTGTTTATCAGCATGGCAAACAGAGATAATGCGGGTGTGGTGGACATGGGGAATAAGATGGGTTTGTAGTCTATTCAATGGAGTAAGCCCCAATGACAGACTCCACGTGGTGGCCTGGCTGTTGTCGTTCGTTGAGGGCTGATGTGAACTAGACTTGGCTTGTTCCGGAATATTTCGACTGTGATTTCCTGGTCTGAACTGGAGGGGTTGATTGCGTGCTATTTTACAAGCTTCGTATATGAGTCTTGCATATCTTGTTACTGCAAGAGATATCTTGGTCTATAACGAAGGCAGAACAATTGCTCTCCTAGCTAGAAACAATACTCTCAACCAGCATGTCTAGCCTGACAAAAGCCTTATCCGTATAAGACAAATAAGAAGTAGTTAGTATACTCGCCTCAAAATCAAGACAATACAAAACCTACAAGCTATCTCGATTGTATGATTAGCATCCACTCCGAGAAACACCTTAACTGGGGTTCAGCGGTCTTGAATTCTTCCATAGCCTCAGGTACAAGTGTACCTTGTTTTGCGTAAGCTTGTAGTCTGTGATAAGCTCGAAATTCAAAGAAACGCTCCTTTATATACGGCTGCAACTTTTCACAGCGCCCTATGTTTTTCTCAAGATTTCCGGTAAGGTGATAGCCATACCGATCAGAAGTCCATTCATTCTATTTCTATACCTATCTACTTTATGCATTTGCCTTCTTTGCTTCCTTGATATCACTCCGGTCCTGAACTAACTTGGACATCTCCTGCGCAGTCTCAGATCCCAACCTTGCAAAACCCTTGATAACACCCTCCCGATCACCCATACCCATTTCCTGACTCATCTTGAACTTTCCTCTTATCTGCGTAATCTCAATCTCAATCCCAATAATGCGCTTTTTCAAAAGCTCCACAAACCGATCCGGCGCATCAGACACTTTCCAGTCCACTGGGTTATCACCGCCAGTGAACCCCATAACATTGGTTTCGGCGTGGTGGCTCAGATCGGAAATCTGCTTCGCGAGAAAGTGGCCTGCTTCATCAGTCTTGGTGTCGTAGAAGATCTTGGCGCGGCCGTAGACTTGGGCAGCGGCGTAGTTCCATGTAGGAACAACCTTGCCAGTTGTGGGTTTCGTTTCGGTGTAGAACTTGGGAGTGACATAATGTTGGATGGGGGAGTTGAAGACGACGATGACATCTTGCTCGATGACATTGCTCAGCTGTGGGTTTTCGATAAGATTCTCGATCATGGCTTTGCTTTGTGGATTGACCCTTGCAAGATGGCCTCTTAGTTTTCCTAGCTCTGTCTCACTTGATTCGTCTTCGATATCCAGCACGAAAGGGATGTGGCTTGTTTGGAGGAAAGGGAAGTTGGGGGAGCCGATGGCGGTGGTGAGAAGACCTAGTGGGTTTTCTCTAATCAACTTCCGTAGGACTGGAAGCTCTGGCTCTGCGTGTGGTCCCTTGATATACATTGTGTATGATTGTTATAGTGGTCGACGGCGATGATGTGAGAGTACGAATTTCAAAGAAGCGGCATGCTGAAGCTGTTATAGTTCAAATAACGAACAGTGATTAAACAGCTTACCCAATAGTAGGTTATATATGTGACAGGCAAGGGAGTGTAAAGCTTGGACCGATGACTACAATCATAATACCAATACGTGGGAGTTGAGTCAGCTTTCTCCTCGGAGCTCAGTCACAGCCAACGGTTCGAAGCCGATCTATATGGAATCATCCAGACCCTGCATACTTAAAATGCTTTGCTCTACCTATAACCGTCCTAGTCGTGCGGGTACGTATAGGAGCCGCAGAATTTGTTACAGACGAGGAGTCTATTCCTATTGGGTATAAACTAGACTTTTCCACGAACTAAGTCACAGCCTATTAGCAAGGGATGTTAGGGAAGAACAACTGTACTTACCCAATTCCTAGCTTTTACATGTCACAGGTTACCAACCCCTTCTAATCACTTGGTAAACTTTTCACTGCTGCTGCATCAAGCTATGACTACAGTACTCGTAAACCTCTTTCCTGATTGGTAGAGAGTGCGATCTTGGCTTTGGAATCATTCTACGAGTATGCGGGGCTGCGGGGTTGATCATGTTGGAATGGTTCGATGTCTTGTTAATGCCTGGGCTATTTTTGACAGTTACGACTAAACTAATCGGCAAAGGATATGGCTGTTCCTGGCAAATATTAGGAATCGTATCTTTTACTTCTTTGAGAGGACGTTAACTACTAAGATAATCACACATGGATACCCCAGCTCACAGACTAACTCAAAATTCAAAATCAGGAAGAACAAACGTCGTTCAGTTTTGATATTTCATTGGTTCTTTCAGAAGAATGTTTTGACTCTGACGCTAATACATTATGAACTCTCAGAAACCTAAACAATCCATCATAATTCTCGTTGCTTAAGCGGCCACAGGCACGACCTTGTTATCTCCATTAGACTCCTCTGTAGCTGCCCTGTTGCTACCATCGGAGCCGTTTGCGCCACTTTCTCTCTCCTTAAGGACAGCTCGCACACCAGGTAGGATGTACCGACCATAATCAATAGCATCGTTCAAGTTGTCGTATCCGCGAATAGAAATCAGCTCAGCACCGAGGTCAACATAGTCGATAATAGAATCAATAATAGTCTGATGGGAGCCAACCAGCGCGGTTGAGGCACCACGAGCGTTGGTGGCAGTAACAGTTGGGTACCATAGCGCACGATCCTGGACTTCACCCTTCTTGGCGATATCGAGAAGACGCTGGGAGCCAACATTCTGAGGACGGTTATCGTTGGGGGCAGCCTTTCCGGTACCTTTGGGTCGGTTCTGCTTGAGGGCATCCAGAGTTCGGTGAGCCTTGGCCCAGGCAATCTCTTCTGTGTCTCCTGTGATAGGGCGGAAGGTAACCCAGATGCGAGGACGGTCCTTGCGCCCAGCCTTCTCAGCCTCGGCGTAGATGCGGTCGATTTGCTCCTTAGTCTCCTTCAGAGGCTCACCCCAAAGGCCAAAGATATCGGCGAGAGAACCGCCAATACGATAAGCATCGTCAGAAGAACCACCGACGGAAACATCGATGTGGCCATTTGTAGGACGGACTTGGTTGGAAAAGTTCTTGAAAGTGTAGTACTTGCCCTCCCAATCAAAAGGCTCAGTCGAAGCCCATGCCCGTCTAAGAATCTTGATATACTCCTCCTGGCGCGCATACCGCTCCGTCTTGTTCAAAAAGTCACCCTCACGGGCCTGTTCCGTATCATCACCACCAGCAATGAAATGGACAACAACACGTCCTCTACCCAGCTGGTCAAGAGTAGCCAGAGCTTTGGCAGCCACGGTAGGGTAGATGGTATTAGGGCGAAGGGCAATGACAATCCTGATCTGCTTCGTCACAGCGAGGATGGTAGCGCCAATGGTGAAGGGGTCAAAAGAGGAAGAGTGGTAGGGGATGAGAGTGTAGTTGAACTCATGGTCGTCAAGAGTTCGGGCGTAGCGGACGAGGTAATCAGGGTCTATTCCAGCGCCAGGGATGGGGTTAAGCTCCGTGGAGGCGTTGGGGAATGTTAAGCTGATGAATTCGGTAGGCATTGTGATGGTTGATTTTGGATTGTATAAAAGATATGTGCTTTTTTAATGCGCGGGAATACCGTGAAGTCTTTATATTCAACCCAGCGTCACTTTGAGGATACGTTAGACCATTTCTATAAGTGGTTTACTTGGGTTTCATTATTAATCTTCAGTATGGCGAAATATTGCGACACCGTCCTGACGATCACGCCTTCGCACCCACCCCGATCTCGGCTAATCAGATCAACCACATCTCGCAAGTGAGAGATAAAGTAAATGAACATATTGAAGCTCTAAACTTTTGGTATTTATTCGATGTAGTGAGCAAATGATATCGGTTGATGTTCCAGCTTCGTGCTTAGTGCCAGCCGAGAGCCTACTGGGTATGCTGCGGTCTTAGACACCTCACGACAGATGGGTCTCGACAATCAGCCAGGCTATTTTATCAGCCTGATTAAATAAGAATCCGAATCAATCCAGGGTTCCCCACTCACTCTATTCCTTCATCAGAAGGGTATTCTCTTATCTTGCGGGGTCCTCGATGGCGTCAGATCTATAGGTCCACCATCATGACACCTGCGGCCAACACCGGCGGGTCGATGGATGCTCATGTTACCACATTAAGAATAACTGCGGTATATTATTGGATGGATATGTTGAAATTTCACTGAGGCATTTGTGTTTGTGGGCTGACCCGTACGTTTCAACACAGTCTGGTGGTAGTATCTCGTCTGAACTAGTCTTGATCTATATGAATTACTAGAGCTTTATAACGTGTCAGCGTTGATACGGATTTGTCATCCCTTATCTATAGGGAGACTTGTAGAGTGGGATAGCGATATATACCAGAACAAAACAGAAAACCACCTTTATCCTAAGTGTCTTACGGCTTTGAAGCTTTTCGTTTCTTTTGTTTCACATTCAAACACATACTCCACCAACTGATAGTAATCTCACTTACAATCTAGTTAACACCTATAAATCAAACCGTATGGTATGTAGTCTTATTTACATAATATTTGTTCTCGTTCTGCTTCTCGTTCTTACCAGCTCTTGGAAAGCCCACGCCGCAGCTAACAGAGCCCAAGGCAAGCAAAGCCGTATGAATTTTGACCAAAATGCATAACAACTTTCCACTGTTCTTCTCCCGGAACAAAGGCAATAGTACCTGCACTTTCGAACTTTTCCCATCTGTTCCGGTATACGTGCAGAGAAATTCTACGCATGAACTATGGTCGATCGACTATCTACACAACCTAACAGCATGACAAAATCGCCAGTTGCTCCCTCAGGCAAAAGTATGTGCACGCACTACTTTAGGTTTAGACTTCCCCGGTACCTTGTACGACGAGCTAAAACTTATATATATATGTGTGTGTGTTTTTCAGGGTCAAATGAACAAACCAATACGTTTTGGTAATGATTACTTCTACACCACACCCAGGTGTGATTAGCAGCTATATTTCACCGAATCGAGCATGTAAAAGAGGTTTGAAAGATCCTTGTTTCCCCGCACAAGGAAGTGGCGTTGAGCTATCTAAATACCGTTAAGAAACCTCGCTCAAGGGCATTTGCTCGACCAATCACAGATGCACATCTGATGGCACCAGGATATCCGGATGGGGCGGTTCTCTTACATGAACGACACCAAGTACGGTAATTTTCCCCGCATTAACCTACCATCGAGACATCTCGAAGAGGCAAGGGACGATGATGGCAATAAACCCCGAGCGAGTTCCGAGTGAGATTATGGCTGTGAACTCTTGGAAGCGCGGGGTATAAATAATCATGATATTTCGGCCCAAATACTACTCCTCTTTATTCTTCTGATACTTCTTGTTTCGAACTTTTGCCTACATATACTTGACCAGATCTTGATTCATCATGGCTACTCAGACAATGAAGGCGGTTAACTACCAGGGCCCTTATAAGGTCCAGGTTCAAGACATTGAGCTCCCGAAGCTGGAACACCCTGACGACGTCATTGTCAAGGTCACGACTGTAAGATTTCAAACATTGGGTTGAGAGATACCTGCTGATTTATCTTGAAGGCTGCCATCTGTGGCTCAGACTTACAGTAAGTGGAGACCCTACACAGGAGAAACAGTGATACTTACACCACATAGCATGTACGAAGGTCGAACAGCAGCAGAGCCTGGCATCACATTCGGTGCGCTTACCTCCTCACGTCCTTCTCTCCACTTACTAACCAACCCAGGCCATGAGAACATGGGAATCGTTGAACAGCTCGGCGAAGGCGTCACGCTACTAAAGAAGGGGGACCGTGTAGTTATGCCTTTCAACGTCGCCGACGGCCGCTGTCGTAACTGTGAAGAAGGCAGAACTGCTTTCTGCACTGGCGTCAACCCCGGATTTGCCGGAGGTGCTTATGGTTATGTCGCCATGGGTCCCTACAGAGGAGGTCAGGCTCAGTATATTCGTGTTCCCTACGCGGACTTCAATGCTCTGAAGCTCCCTGCTGGAAAGGAGCACGAGGCAGATTTCATCCTGCTCGCTGGTATGTCTGCTCTCTCCATAGTCGCTTGCTTTGCTAACACCATCGAGATATCTTCCCAACCGGCTGGCACGGAGTTGAAATCTCAGGTTTCCGATCCGGCGAAAGTGTTGCTGTTTTCGGCGCCGGCCCCGTCGGTCTCATGGCCGCCTACTCAGCCGTTCTGCGCGGCGCCTCCAGAGTCTTTGTCGTCGACCGTGTTCCCGAGCGACTCCAATCCGCGGAGAAGATCGGCTGCACGCCGATTGATTTTAGCAAGGGTGACGCTGTGGATATGATCATCAAGGCTAACGATGGAGAGGAGGTTGACAGATCTATTGATGCTGTCGGCTACCAAGCTGTTGGCAATAGCGGAGACAAGGAGCAGCCCAACATTGTTCTCGAGAATATGATTCGCGTCACAAGAGCTTGTGGAGGCCTGGGAATTCCCGGCCTCTACGTCCCCAGTGACCCCGGTGCTTCGGATGAGGCTTCGGCCAAGGGTATGATTAGTCTTAGCTTCGGCAAGCTTTTCGAAAAGGTATGCCCTCTAGGAATACTCTAGTGATACAGCTATTAACACTGGATTAGGGACTGACTATCGGCACTGGCCAATGCAACGTCAAGTCTTATAACCGATATCTACGTGATCTCATCATTTCAGGCCGAGCCAAGCCCAGTTTTGTCGTCTCGCATGAGATCAACATTGACGAAGCGGAAGTTGCGTACGAGAAGTTTGATAAGAGGATTGATGGGTACACCAAGGTTCTTATTCATCCCAATGGCGGTTTCTAATACTTTGAGTAAAAATATGGAGGACATTGTTGTGATTCAATCAAGTGGTTGGCTGCTTTGATGAGATTGAGGACCGAGAAGTTAGGAGTTGTTGGAGTGGTGATGCAGAACATGGAGTTGTTTGTCGTGTATAGCAAAGGATCTCACATTTACATATGTCTACAATATGAAACGCAACTCGATTGGAATGATCTGCTATTTGTGCTCTTGCTATAGTCTTTGCTGCGTGCTTCTAGATTGGCCCTGTAAAGGCAAAACTAGTCACCCTTTTTTGAAATTCTATCATCTTAGAGCTGACGCTGTAACTCATCGATATAGTCATGTCAGTCCCTGCAGTGGCTTGCTTCTCCCATTGCTCACCTCCAAAATATTAGGGATGCCCAAAACCCGTGCATGGTCATTCACAATATCAGTACGCGCGAAGCTGCGATGTCGGAACCATCGTCAGCACAATTGGCCAGACCGGGAATAGTCACGATGAACCATGGCTTCATCTCCACAGTCTAAACACTCGAGCTTCCCAAAGCGGTAATAAATCACTTCACCGAGAAACGAAACAATTGACTCACTCTGAGCTGGATCTATAAAGTTGAGGGTCTCAGAATCTAATAGTCTTCACGGTAAACATCATCATCATGGCGACTACAACTTCTCTTGAGTTGGCAAATATTCGCTCCGGCGATATTGGAGAAGAATCATCTTCCATCGATGCGCTACCACCTACTGATCGAGGCCGTGGAGCTTATACAGCTCTCGCTTGTTGCACTATTGCCCAAGCACCCATCTGGGGTAATAATATGACCTTACAGCATCCTGAAACAAAACTGACTTGTTCTTAGGATATTCCGTATCTTTTGGCATCTTTCAGGAGTACTACACTGCGCACTCCAACCTGGAAGCCTCCCCAAGCGCAATCGCATCAATCGGTGCATCTCAGACTGGAATCATGTACCTCATGATGCCTCTCACCTTCATCGCTCTAAACCGCCTCCCACATCTTCGTAAATGGTGCGGCCCGCTCGGTCTGGTAATCACCATTATCAGCTTGACGTCTTCGGCATTCGTTGACAACGTCGCGGGCCTCATCGCTACGCAGGGTGTTTTATACGCCATTGGATGCAGTTTGCTTTTCAGCCCTATCTCGCTCTACATGGATGAGTGGTTCGTCGAGCGCAAGGGTTTTGCTTACGGGGTTATGTGGGCTGGCAAATCCACTGTTGGTGTTGCTATGCCTTTTCTCTTCAACGTCCTGCTCGAGCGCTTCGGTCTCAGGGCGACGTTGATCTCATGGACGGTAGCGTCAGCAGCATTAACATTACCAACGCTCTTCTTCCTGAAGCCCCGAGTTGAAGTCAGCCGTGACTCTCGTCCTCGTCCCATCAGCTTTGCATTCCTGGGGTATACTTCGTTCTGGATGCTTCAGTTTGGCATCATTGTCCAGTCTCTGGGATATTTGATGCCGAGTACTTACTTGGCTAGCTACGCCAACGCAATAGGACTTCCATCCGTTACCGGACCGATCCTGCTGGCGCTCTTCTCACTTGCGTCGGTGCCTGGGTCACTTATTCACGGAATGCTAGGCGACAAAGTCTCTGCTGCCAAAGTGATCCTGGTCTCTTCTTTCGGAAGCGCCCTTCCAGTCTTCCTCCTTTGGGGTTTGAGCCGACACATCAGCACTATGGTTGTCTTTGTGATTTTCTACGGTTTCTTTGCGGGAGGGTTCAGCGCGACGTGGTCAGGAGCTCTGCAGGAAGTCAAAGGGGACAACGAAATGATCGATACGTCTTTAGTGTTTGGTATGCTACTAGGGGGCCGTGGTCTGGGTTTTGTCGTTGCTGGTCCTTTGAGCGGTGCGCTCATCTCGGCTGGTAGTTCGCTGGCAGCGGGTGATAGCCTTGGCTATGCGACTGAGTATGGTCCGATGATTCTTTGCACTGGTATCACAGCAGTTCTGGGAGCATGGGCGCCTATCTGCAAGATTACGAAGACGATGGGAATAAAGGGACTCGGTAAATGCATGAGAGTGGCCGTCTAATTGTTGCGTAGGCTATGGTCATTGGGAGGTCGGTTGATGGAGATACACGGATGTGCTGGAAGGTAAGGTGTTTATCATAGACTTGTGTTTACTGCAAGCCATTTGAACTCTTTCTATTTTTGATCTATAATTTGTTGTTCTTTCTCTAAATCTTGGTGATCAATGCCTCGCCGTTCATAATACCTAACGAAGCATCATCGGTCTCAATCCACTGCTCCCAAGCCTTAGCCATATCATCCAGCTCCTCTCCGGTCGCATTGCCCAACTCAACAGCCTTATCGCGCGCAAAGCCAGTAAGCGACCGATCTTTCATCGCCAAACCTATATTCTGTCAGCCCAGTTTATTTAACAACCATTGATACCTTACTTACCCCATGCTTTCTTATCTTCTGGTGTACTATAGCACCACGTACCAAAACTCAGAGCAATCTCTTGACGCGAAGCTCCGGCTTCTAAGGCCCACGAGAGAAGTTGACGACCTCCCTTATCCTGGCCGCCTTTGCCTGCGATGTTCTTGATCTGAAGCTCATGAAACTTGAGAAGGGCTGGGAGTTCAGGCCATATGCACCACATATGCATGTCACTCTCACGAAGAGAAACAGTACCCCCAGGTTTCGTCACCCTGAGCATTTCACGGATAGCATCCACGGGGGCACCTAAATGGCAGAGGACTTGATGCGCATGCGTAACATCAAAAGTCGAGTCTGGAAAAGGTAGCTCAAAAATATTGGCTTGCTGGAACTTGATGTTGGAAACGCCTTGGGAGTCGGCATATTCCTTGGCTCGAGCAAGAATCTCATCGGATATGTCGGTCGCAGTAATTTCCCCCTCGGGCATGTACTTTGCCAATGAAGTTGAGATGGTACCAGATCCGGCACCAACGTCGAGAAGTTTTAGCTTTGGGTTATCTTTGACAATGGCTTGCAGCTTTGGTACAAGATGTGGACTGCTGTTCTCGGCGGTACGCCATTCGTGATGCTTCACCTCGGTGGCGGCGTAGCCGTGCCCATATTCGTTGTGTCCTGAAGCCATGTCTGCTTGAATATGAATTAATTGATAGATGGGCGATTTGATAATTCTCAAAATGGTCAGTCAAGAATAATGGATGTTGCTGTGATGTCAATGACTTCTTTGAATGATGTTTTATACGAATGCTAACTACCCTATTCCCCACCAGAGCTGTCGGAGTTGAGTCCGGAGTTTGCTGCGATTGAGCACGTAGACAATATCAGTGGAATCCTCAGCTCCGGGGGATGGCTAGTGGGGTAATCTCAACTCCGAGCCCTGTAACTAATACGCACCATCTGGCAAGGCCGCTGCTTGATACGAAAACTCTCTTGATGATTGCTTAGAGCAAAACATGGAGTAGGATCAGACATGTACGATTGTAATGATGCGCCTTGGCAGTATCCTGCCTGTGCGCATGCATCTCAGCAGTATTCATACCCCGGTCTTTCCGGTGCATCAAACAAAGACTTGGAAATCGCCAAAGCCGGCAATGGTTCAACATTGACGCAAAACACCATGTTAAGAGTAAAACTAGAATACGAGTCTTCAACTTGAGGTTTACAATCATCAATATCCACGCAAACAAATGAATCGAACTCTGAGGAACATCGATGTCTAAAGAACCACCAGTCCCACCTAACAACCTTCCTCTTCCCCAGCAACAACATTCCTTGTCCATGTAAACGATGATCGCAAAAGCCATCTTCACAATGCGGAGAAGCAGGGCGGAATATCCCCGCCGGGCCCCCAAACCTGGAGATGTTTGCAGCAGTCTAGCTCACGACGAAGGAGTATGGAAAAGACCTGCTATTCGTTGATCAATTCCCGAGGTTGTCTTGCGCACTTCCCCGTGGGGTTAAGTGGTGAGGGGAAAATATCTGAGCTTCCTTTTTCACCGTGGCGACAGGTCTATTACAAACCATGTTGCATTCCGGGGCTAGAGGTTTGGATTCTTTACATAATGGGCTAACCGACTTATCGTATTCCACTTCTCTTGATGTTTGATCTATGGGTAGTCAGGCAGCAGAATAGAAGGAATCGCGAACCCCGGCAGAGCAAATTGTTAAAGTTTTGGGATAACCGCAGTAACTTCCCATCATGCATCCCAATACAACATCATCGTCATTGAACAAACAAGCCGTTATATCCTATTGGTCTCCATACCCGACTTCCCCTGCTCAGTTTCTCCAACCAGTACTGCGGAGCTTCCACCACACCACTTCACTGACTAAGGTACCTAAAAGGTCTGTTCGGCTGTGGCGTATCACAGTCAAGTTTTTTCAACTTCAGCCCTGATTCCTCGACAAGGGCACAATCATCCCTTTTTGTTATGCTTAAAAAGATCTTGATTTATTTGGGCTGTGGATAATCAGATCTCTAATTGATAACCAACATGAGTCAGTGTAACAGATAAAGAGATAGAAACACCCTCCGATATTGCTATTCCAAAGCGACATCGGTCCCAATCCCTTCCTCTACAACCGGGATTAACGAACACTTCTTTAAACTTTGGCTCCGTATCTCGGCCGTAGAAACAAAAGCTCCCCGGGCCCGGCGATGTCCTCCCCCATCCCCATGCCCTGCGGGGTGTTAATCCCTAGCCACATGGGTCCCCAGTGGATCTTGGATTTGCGCTTAAGCGTCATGCTGGGATTGTCCCCGACCTCGGCTGGCGTTTCTCCTACTGCATTGGATGCAACGATCCACTGTACCGTATGTAGCTTTAACAATTTGTTGATCTTGACTGGATGAAATATGACGAGGGTGAAAAAGGACCAGAGACATACAGAAGACAAGAGGGTGTGACTCGTTCTAGTTTAGGTCGTACTGTCTAGGGTGCTCACCTTGCCCCGAGACATTTGAGGCACCAGGTCTCTTTATAAGTGTCCGTCCTGCTGCTCTTTTCCCAAATTTCCAAGATCTGCAGTGCTACTTTTATTCTCTTTTTACTTTGCTCGTCGGCCGCGGCCTTTCATACAAAAAGCCAATCTCCCACAGGCTCACAGTTAAAAAGAAGTGCAGCAATCATGGCTCTCAACAGCAGAGAGAAAGAAGACGGCAACGAGTCTCCCGTGTCCTACGATGACCCTGAGCGATCCAATGGCGCTCGCAACGCTGTTCATACAGATGACCTTGAGCTGGTTTGTCCAGCGAGTACGACCGATGGCAAGCTCATGGCCAAGATCGACTTCCATGTTATCCCTTTCTTGTGTATCATGTATCTGCTCGCCTTTCTCGGTATGCCTCATCCCAATGCGCTGTCGCAAACAAAAAACTAACCAGTCGCGCAATACAGACCGTGTGAACATTGCCAATGCCGATGTATTTGGTCTCTCCGAGGAGCTTGGTCTTGAAAAGACGGAATACAACACCGCGCTCGTCGTCTTCTTCGTGCCCTACATCCTCTTCGAGATCCCCTCCAACATCCTCCTCAAGCGCTTCAAGCCCCATGTCTGGCTGAGTCTCAACATGTTCCTCTTCGGCCTGACCACTCTGCTCCAAGGTCTGGTTCAAAGCTACAGCGGGTTGATCGCGACCCGTTTCTTCCTTGGTCTCTTTGAGACGGGCATGTTTCCCGGTGGTAAGTCAACCCAACCTCTTGCGACACCGCGCATAGACACTAACACTTATACGCAGCCTTCTACCTCATCGGCATGTGGTACCGCCGACACGAGGCCCAGCGCCGCTACTCCTTCTTCTTCAACAGCACCACCCTCGCCGGCGCATTCGGCGGTCTTCTCGCCGCCGCCATCGGCAAGATGAGTGGCGTGCGTGGCTACGCCGGCTGGCGCTGGATCTTCATCATCGAGGGCGGCCTAACTGTCTTTGCCAGTCTCTTCTTCTACTTCCTTCTACCCAACTTCCCTGAGCAGGCAAAGTGGCTCACCCCAGAGGAGAAGGACTACGTCACGGCACGACTGCGCGCCGATCAGGGCCACGCCGGCGCCGAGCGCAAGACCACTTTTGGCGACGCCCTCAACGTGCTCAAGGACTACAAGATCATCATCGGTGGCTTCATGTACTTCGGCCTTATTGTCCCTGCATACGGATACGCTTACTTTGCGCCTGGTATCATCAAGACGTACGGCTACAGTCCCATTCAGACACAGCTTTACAGTGTTCCTCCGTGGGCTGCCGCTTTCGCATTCTCTCTATGTGTGGCATTCGCATCCGACAAGCTCAGACATCGAGCATCCTTTGCCATCTTTGCAATTCTCGTCGCCATCGCCGGTTTCGCTACCCTCATTTCTGTCCACGACAACCACAAGGTCCAATATGGCGCTCTATTCCTCGTCACCATGGGCGCATATACTGCTATGCCCATCATTGTGTGCTGGTTCAACATGAACCTGGGAGGCCACAGGAGAAGAAGCATCGGTAGCGCATGGCAGGTTGGCTTCGGAAACATTGGTGGTATCATCGCCGTGTATGCCTTCCTACAAAAGGATGCGCCCAAGTTCATTAGGGGCTACTCCATTTGCATTGCCTTTACGATCCTGGCAATTATCGCGTGCATCACATACGCCTTTGTGGTGGTGTACGAGAACAAGAGGAGAGATGCGAACCCACCAGAGAGAGAACTTACGGATGATGAGAAGGCTGAGCTAGGCGACAATGCGCCCACATACAGATATCTGCTGTAAATATGGTTGAGCATGTGGTTGTGGCCCCAAAAGTTAGGATAGCCAATTGTTTTGTTTTGATACCCATTAACGATTAATGAAAACGGGGTTCATGTCGTATTTGCTGGATCGTCTCTTTGATGTGACTTGCCGCTGAACTGGGCCTGTATGGTAGAGGTGTGAATCATCACTCTGCATTTTTCTTGGAATAAGAAGAGTATCGACCTATATTCACGGCATGGGGCGTGTAAATTCGTATGGGAGTGCTTAAGGGAGCCTTCTCAGTGGCGCTCCAACCACTTTCACGCATCAGAATACACATGAATAGGAGGAATATGATATTTGGGTGCAGTAGAGTATATTGAAAGGGTGTAACGAAAACACAATCTCTTCTTATTCAGGTATGTATGAATGTGTACTCCGTATGTTTATCTTAATATCTTGCACTTAAAGGTGCATCCTCCACTATCCACCTAACCTAAGCCGTGCTATTTCCATCCGTAGCTGGCTGCCCCTCCTCTGGGCGCGCCCTTCACTAAGGACATTTCTCCATCAACCCCACCAAAGCACTACCAGCATATAGATAAATCGATTCCCGCGCCTTTCTCAATTGCTTTGTGATACAAGTCTAATTCTTTTTTAAATATAAGAGGGTATCTACAGCTAGTCATACAGTCATTTTCTTACTATACATATCCAATGGCGACAATTCGACATGCCCGCCGGGAGGGTAAGCTCCAACATACCGCCTCTTAGAAGTCGTCATGATGCTAACCCCAGCTTTACCACAGACGCTCCCGTCATTCTGCAGCTCATCCAGGAGCTTGCCGATTACGAGAAGGAACCCGACGCCAACAAGGCGACCGTTGAGACCATCCAGGCCACAGTCGCCTTCGCGCCCTCCGATTCCCCCAACGCCGACCCCTCCATCATCCCCGCCACTGAGCCCATCTCGCCAACGAAGCCCGCCCGATGCCTCCTCGCGATTTCCCCCGAGGGTGAGGCCGTGGGCATGGCGCTATACTTCTACAACTACAGCACGTGGCGCGCACGCGCAGGTATCTATCTCGAGGACCTGTTTGTGAGAGATTCGGCTCGTGGCAAGGGGTACGGGAAGAAGCTGCTGAGCACTCTAGCCAAGCAGGTCGTCGCTATGGACGGAGGTCGACTCGACTGGGTGGTGCTCAAGTGGAACGAGCCCAGTATTAAGTTCTATGAGAGCATTGGTGCCTACAAGATGGACGACTGGGTTGGTATGCGAGTAGACGGCGAGGGTCTGAACAAGCTCGCAAGCTTGACGGATTGATGGACCGAATAAGAAGAAACTTTAAGCTCATAACCCTGGATGGCTTCGAACATGTGAATGCTATTGTTATGGCGTAACGTTAGATCAAGGATGGGTCTCGGGCTCAGTCTCGAGCTCAGGCTCAGTCTCAGGATCAGACTCGAGGGCTTCCTGAGATTGGGGGCGATCCTTCAACTTCTGACCCATTGCATTAACGCCCTCGAAAATTTCAAGTTGCGCCTTCGAAGCAGGAACAACGGAAATAGGTAGGGCACCGAATTCAAAAGCATTCTTTTTCGTCTTTGGTTTTTGGTCTGAGGCCTCCCTGGGGGTGAACTGCCAGACTCGCTGATAAGCACGGCGAAACCATCTCGGCGTCAGTTCCTTATGCTCAATTCGCGATTGATAAGGGTGTTTCTCCCTGTCCCGACCGACGAAAGAGAATGCTGTATGTGGACTCTTGCGCTCGATTCTGTTCGTAGGTTGAGTAGCGTAACTCTCCCAGTTCCAGTCCAAAGTCGACAACTTGGAGTCTTCAGCAAGCACAGCTTTCGCAGATGGCCGTCTCTGTGGAATCTGCCATTGCTCGTCTTCCTCTTGAGCACCCTTGCTCAGCCGACCGAGAAGTTCCCATTCTTCGTTGTTGACCGGAGGCATTATCTTGTCAGCGGCACGCCTCCAGAAGCGGGCTCGTTTGGCCTGGCAGACATTTTCGGTAGGCGGTTGCCCCCATATGTTCTTTTCGGGTATATCCTTGTCAGGGTTGAGACTCTTGATCGGACGTTTCGGCCATGCTAAAACTGCCGATTCTTGAAGTGCTTTCTGACTCTGGAGTAGCGTGTTCAGTTTCTCTGTATCCCATTTATGATAGAATGCAGGTTGAAGAGGCTTCGGCTCGCGTTTAGCTCGAGGAGAAATGGGCTTTTTCTCAATCTCGTCGCTTGGTGTGGGTTCCGCGCTTTTGGCCTGTTGCTCGTTCGGCGAGGATTCAACTTCTGTTGTAGCTTCGGCAGTCCCGGTCGGGTTGGTCTCGGGAGACTTGGCCATCGATTCAACATCCTTAATCAACTTCTCCAGATCATCTGAATTGCTAGGAACCTTGGCCTTCGTAGGATCCCCAAGCTTCACATAGTCAGAGAGAAGACTTCGTCTTCGAGCTCCAGCTCTGCCGAAAGCTTTCATCATCAAACTTTCCATGCGAAACGACTCCCCGCTATTGGCTGCCCTCAAATGGCGCAGGGTTTTAGTACCCTGGGCAAGGTGCTTGTCTCGTAATCTATCATTCTTGCGGTGATTCCGAAATCGGGTTTGAATCTGTGTGTGGATCGCTGGTCGGATAGCTGGAGGCAGATATGAGGTTTCGCGGAGAATGTGTCGATATATATGAAGTGGTGGGAGGAAGTGGGGGATCGCGGCATGTGGACGAGGCATTATGGCGGCATTTGTGGAAAAAAGGGCAAGAGATAGAGGTTCAAAACATTGCGAAAGGATTGTAGAGGTAAATGTCAGTTGTTGCACTAACTCTTCGAGCTTGAAGTATCCAGATATAATTTTCAGCATCAATTGATAAGTTTTGTGCGGTAAAACACCGGGTCAAGGTTGATCAGGATCATGGGCAATTGAGTGAACACTGGTGCTTCACTCAGGTGGAAGCTGATATAAATAAATGTGCAAGTCTATCACTACTATCACAAGTTTCTTTCAACCTTGTGCTGAGTTCTATCAACATTACCCTGAGGACGAAACACCTACGTCAGGGGTGCATTGGGCTATATTGAGAACAAAACACCATCATGATCGCTCGAGGTCTACTGAAGGCCCACTCGAGGGTACTTTGCGCATAGCAACCAAGAGCTTGAGCAATGTACCCTGGCTCTAGAACAAGCCTTACACAATTATATCGGCGTGTTATGGCTGTGCGGATCTGTGCAATTGACATCGTTACAAGTAGCTTGTTGTGCATAATTGAACAAAGCCCGGCCATGAAATATGCCGGCCCTCAACAAGTGGTTGCATTAGTGGCCTGGGAAATCACGCGTCGTCTGAGATTCAATGGTCGCGAATGTCATGAGCTTGCACAAAGTTGGTCCACCAAATGGCCTAATAAGAAGCCCGCAAAGCACAACTGGCCTGTGGTCAATGTTAAGGTCACTGCAACAGGGCCAAGTCACTTGTTAGCGGGCCTCATAATCAGTACATCGAGAAGAAGCGAGGCTTGGCTCGTGCGTTCACAGCCTTTACGCGCTCTACACGCTCAGCGCGCGAGACACGTAAGGGAGCGCGATGAGCCACGAAACAGACACGTCTCGATTAATTGAACGCATCTTTTTTTCTTGTCCCGTTCACGTTCGTCAGCCGAGGGATCGAAAGCTTGCTGCAAGTCACAAACCAAGAGGTCACTTTGACGTGCATATGCTTAGCACAGCCAAGTACTTTATGTAGAATTACCTCAACTCGAGCATCAGATTATCCGCCTTTATCTACAGCTGCATTGGCACTCTACAACATCTCCCTTTTACATACACCTAACTACAGGTGGCATTTCATCCCTTTCTGCTTTCATCCTCACTACACTCTCCCTAACACAAGTTTAATTGAAAGCATCGAGTAAAGTTCTCAAGTACCTCTTCACCGGGCCAACTGAACTATAGGCGGCTCATTACGCAGAATTCGCTAAAGGACTGGCTCTCAGCGTCCTCCCCGCTCGCTTCCGGGTCGCCTTCCAGGTACCTGAGACCCTGGTCGACCTGCATCTCACCTGCACAACTCCGCCCTGGCCCGCCCAATACAGCGCTATCTCGAAGTACTCATTTCGTCTCTACTCCATCTTCACTCTGCAACCACCCAGTTTTTGAGCGCACAAAACCACTGAAACTCGACGACGAGGCGCATGGTCGATCCCGGGTAACTGCTTCCAGCTTCGAGCCGCGCTTTTCCCCTACAATACCTTATTATAGTCGGCCGTCACAATAGCCTCTTGTTCCACCTTTGCGCGTCTCCCTATCGATTGTACATACCCGTTGGATCTATCTTTATTTATTGGCGCTGTAATGCTACTCGGCCCTCGACGGACTCACACCATTATATCTCGTCACGACGACTTCTTAATATCGCCTTTTGGCGCATCTACTCTATAATACGACATGCCGTCGGCATCTCAATCATCTCAAAAGTCTTTCAACATGAGTCAACAATCACAATCCGGCCTGGGGAACTCCTTCCAGAGAGGTTACAATGTCGAATCCGAAGGCGCCACTATTTACTCGGTACAGAACATCTACTGATTATACTGCTTTGCGATCGCTAACGTTCCTTGTGTAGGCGTCTTATTCTGGTGTGGATGTATACGAGATGGAGGTCAACAATATCGCCGTGATGCGCCGTCGCAACGACTCATGGCTTAATGCCACACAGATCTTGAAGGTCGCCGGAGTTGATAAAGGAAAGCGCACCAAAATACTTGAGAAAGAAATCCAGACGGGCGAGCACGAAAAGGTTCAAGGTGGTTATGGAAAATACCAGGGTACTTGGATCAAATTCGACCGCGGCGTACAAGTCTGCCGCCAATACGGAGTTGAGGAGCTTCTGCGCCCACTCTTGACATACGATATGGGTCAAGATGGCGGTGTTGCTGGCCAAGGCGATTTCAACACACCTACCAAGGAACAAGCCATGGCTGCACAAAGGAAACGACTATACAATCAAAGCGCGGACGGGAGACCCAATGGCATTAGTGGGACCTTCTTCAAGAACATTTCGACCACTGCCTCACATGCCGTTGCGGCCATTAGTAAAGCTCGCTTCGACTCACCTGGCCCTCGAAGCCGTAATGGTCCTTCAAGAGCACCCTCTTTCAGCCGTCAAGCTTCAATGCAAAATGGTGATGATTTCCCCAGTAACTCGCAGCAAAGTTTTGCCTCGGACTATGGACAGCAAGTCGACTCGGCATACTCCACACAACAAGTCAACAACTCTGTGCAAATCACCGAGACAGAGCCTCCCCGGAAACGCCAACGAGTCACCATGACACCTGCCGAAAGCTTCACTGGTGGATATGGGTCGAATATGGATATGTACGCGGCGGCTTTCCCTGGCTCACCAACCGAACCTAATGAGTCGTTTATGTATACCCAAAACACTATTCAAGATCGATCACCCGTTGAGGAAGGCAACGGACCTTTGCCTCCCCTCCCTTACGAGATGTCCCCAGATATTGAAATGAAGCGTAACATGCTGATGAGCTTGTTTCTGGAAGCACCCGGCACCGACCCTACAAAGCATGATATGCTCCGTACTTACACGCCATTGGAACTGGATATGCCCATCGATCTGCAGAGCCACACTGCTCTCCACTGGGCTGCCACACTAGCTCGCATGCCTCTTCTACGCGCCCTGATTGCCGCCGGTGCTTCTCCAGCCCGTGTGAACGCCTCAGGCGAAACAGCCTTAATGCGTGCTTGCTTGGTAACAAATTCACAAGACCACAACTCGTTCCCTGATCTCCTGGAGGTTTTGGGCGGTACGATAGAGGCTCGTGATCACAAGGGACGGACTGTTCTTCACCATATCGCAGTTACCAGCGCCGTCAAGGGACGAAATGCCGCGAGCCGATATTACCTCGAGAGCCTTCTAGAGTGGGTTGTGAGACAGGGTAGTGCGCCCAACAGCCAAAATACTCAAACAAATGGAAATGGCTCACAGGCAGCCAGCCCAAAGATGGGCATTGCGCGCTTCATGAGCGAAATAGTCAATGCTCAGGACAGCGTAGGCGACACAGCCCTGAATATTGCCTCAAGGATCGGAAATCGCAGCATTATCTCACAGCTATTAGAGGTCGGCGCTGACCCCAACATCGCAAATCGTGTTGGTCTTCGACCTCTTGACTTTGGTATCGGTAGCGAGAATGCTGAGGAGAAGACGAATGGCGAAGTCAACACCGAAAAGAACGGTACAACAGGAGCAAACCAACGCAGTCGAGAGAGCAGTGATGAGATCGTTGCCTGTAAGTTTATCACAACCTCCCTGAAACGCAAACGTGTTGCTAACTTTCCCAGCCATCTCCCATCTCCTGACAGAAACAGGCTCAGCCTTCCAAAATGAGATGAAGGCTAAGCAATCTTCCCTGGACACCCTTCACAGCACGCTCCGCACTACATCAACACAACTTGGCGAGGCTAGGCGAAGTCTTGAGCATTTGAGCGCCACACTTAAGAAGCAGCAATTGGCTCGAAACAAGGTTGCCAACCTGTCACACGCTCGAGAGCACGAGCAAGTAAGCCTTATGCAGGAGCAGTCCCGAGCATCTCAGCCCAACCCTTCGTCGTCCTGGGAAACCGAGCTATCAGCTATGCTTGAAGCTGCCGATGACACATCAGGCGGAGATTCCAGCGGCGAGGGTCTTCTCCCTTCTGCAGCAGTTCTCCGCGCTCGCATACGTGCTGTGGAGGGACGTCGCGAGATGACCCGTAAGATGGTGGCGGCCCTAAAAGGGCGAAGCCGTGATAGTGAAGTCAAGTATCGCCGTGTGGTGGCTCTCTGCACCGGAGTCCAAGAAGACGAAGTTGACGCTGTTATCGATGGTCTACTCAAGGCTGTGGAGAGCGAACACGAAGAGCTCGAGATCAACCGTGTCAGACGTTTCCTTGGTGGAGTTGAGGGTGTTGTGCACTAGTATCACTCCCCTTTGGACCTCTATCTTGATGGCCGCGCGGCACGTTGCAGCTTCTGCATACTCTAATGACTACATTTCCTGTACGATTCCGGTTTTTACTTGTACAAGGTGCTTTTGATACCCACTGAGCCCGAAAAGCACCCCTTGCTCGTGGTGGATTAGAACGATGGGCGTTTTGTTATACTTATATCTGGCATGGTTGCCATACTTTCATCATAGTTTGTCGCTATTATCGGCTCGAGTTTTATTGATCAGACATATTTTTGTCTATGAGAACTGGCGGTTGGGCGATTGTTTATAGGTTCTCTGTACGGGAAGAGATCTGAAAGTTTAAGAGGGAGGGAAGAGGATAGCTTATGGGTGTTCTTGACGAGCAATGGTGTATAATAAATACATGACACGAAGAGCGTCGATTCTATTGATATATATCTTATTGTACTGTTGCAAAATGCAAGTGCTTTATTCTGTGACTGAAGAGATATGTGGAGATTGGATCTGCTCCATGATGAGAAACGCCTATCTGTGGCCCAAGCCAAAACCCCAAACACCGTGCAATGCTATGCAATATGTAGAACTGTTCTATAGACTTGTTTGGTCCAACTGGACTAAGATCCGAGACAATCTTTCGGATTATCCGCCATGTTTACGCCACACCGTTGCGGTACACGCCCTCCCATCGTTCCTCAACGCCGCCAACTTTGCTCTTCAGGGCATTGATTTCGGCATCCAACTCGTCCATGTTCCTCGATAGAGCACTGACCTCTTCAAACCGTCGTGAGCCCTGTGCAGTCTTGACCATAGACTCGACCATAAATCGCTGCTCTTCCAAGACAACTAGTCGTTCCCGGAGTTCCTTCTCTTCGGCCTCGAGCTGACTCACGACTGTACTTCCTTCACTAGGTGCCTGAGACGAAGTCTCAGTATCCGCAAGCTCTGAGTGTCGAAGACTAGATCCGGAGTGGTGATGAGAGGCGAGAAGTCGCGAGGTGGAGACGGCTGTAGACGACGCGGATGAGCGTGAGCGAAGCATCTGAGGGAGGCTCTTGAGAGGAAGCATGTTCGTATGAAGGAAGCCGCTAGCATATGTGTAAACGGCCGATTGGAGACGGCGTTGTGTCGCGTTCTCGGTAGGAAGGTCACGCAGACGTTTCGCAGCAGTGCCATATTTCGCAAAGCTATCGACCAAGCGTTTTCGAATCTTGGCCGCTTCCTGAATCTGCGCGTGTGTCGCTGGTGGTTTGTTGAGGTCTATTTCTCCGCTTTCCTTTTTCTCCGGCTGTAAATTCAACAGGACACGGTGAAAAGAGGGGAGAAGCTGTTGAATGCCACGCTCGAACTGCCTTAGGGTCTCATATGCTCGCTGATCTGCAGGTTTATGCTGTAATGAAGCTGCAAAGTCACGGGCAGAGAAGATGGTATGTTTGCAGTCGCGGCACATTCGAATGTCTATACCAACCTGCCCAGGGCTGGCTGTTGATGGAGGTTTCTCCGTTGCTGAGGGTGATTGTGTCGGTCCGCTGGCGTCGCTTGATACGTTGAGGCCTACTTCTGAAGAGCACGCCGTCTGGGGGTCACCACAGACGACACGGCCACATATACGACAGTGATGTCTTCTAAACGTCCAGGACCCAAATTCTTGCTGACAAAATGGGCATTTCGGAACAGTCGCATCTTCCTCCCACGTAACAACGGATTGTTCTATAAGTTTGCGAGGGTTCTTCTGCCCCGCTAATGAAGTGACTGGACCAAGTAATGAGCCGTTCGATTGAGTGAGCTTTTCGGGAGGATTCACCAATAATTTCGTGAGTTTAGTTAATCGTTTTTCGAGCCGTGAAATTTCCAAGTTCTGCCGCTCGACCTTTTTTCTTCTTATTTCCGCGAACATGCTGGTATGATCTGTCAAGACACCGTGATGGTCGTTATATCCTTCTCTTGATTTGAAGCATGTCTCGCATACTCGTGCCCAGTAACCACGAACCGGTTCGTGTTTTGCACTCCGGCTCAACTTCATCTGATACATTGTATGTTCTTCGCAGAATAGCCGTCCACAATGCCTGCAGTTGATGCTTCCGTTCAACGGTCCCAGGCTCTTTCCGCATGTCGGGTCGGTACATAAATCGTAACTTGTTGATCGTTGCCAGTGCTGTCGCGTGATGAGCTCGTCGGGGTCAATAGGACCTTCGAGGGGGTTCTTTCCCGCAGCAACAGACGGAGTGATGACGGGTGCTGATTCGTTTGATTCGAATACATCGAGACCTCTTAGTTTTTGGTTTATAAGTGAGAGAGGTTGGAACTTTTTGGCCTTGAGAACCTGCTTGTCAAACCACGTCTTGACTTCATCCTGCTCCTCCTCTGGTAGTTCCTGGTGATTGTCGTCGATGTGTCGATTGAGTTGCAGGAGAGTCATCTATTACCGTTCGGGTCAGTATTCAGTCTTGAGATATCCATACAGTGACCCCATACCATTTCCTCGTTACATATTGGACAGACAAGTGCGCCGCCATCAGCGGGGCCACCCTTCCCTTGAGCTCCAACGCTGATGCTGTTGCCAATGTCCCGCCCCTGAATATCCGGTGGGATTCCACTTATAGACGGCGATATCGAAGATGAAGCTATCGAGATACTGCTTTCGGAAGCTGCTAGTGGACTTGCAACTCGCGGCGCATTCGTAATCGGAGGTGTCGGGGGAGCCAGACCCTTGCCGCTGCCGAGGACACGGCCGCCGCCTAGTTTGCGGCCCGACATGATGGAGTGTTGTCAAAAAAGACAGAGTCGAATAGAAAGAGAGAAAGAGTGCGACCGCAGTTGGTCGAGCTCCGCCTCGAGCTGCACCGCCTTGGGAAGGATGTAGGTAGGAAGTAAGATGGTGGGTTGAGGGGAGACAGGATGGCCTGGGCTGCCAGTGAGTGAGGTACCATTGGATGCTCAGTGCTCATGCCAGATAAAGAGGTACCTTGGCCTCGGCGCTTTGGAGGCGGTGAACAAAGGTACAGCTGTAGCATGCGTCATTCTATCCCCAGATTGGTTAGTCCGTATTCGCTTCCTCCCGTTCCCCGTCGTGTCTTATCGCAACCCTTGCAGCTTCGATAAGAGTCAACCGTCCTTTGTCACCTTTAATTCCTTACCCGACTTTAGTTGACGGGGGAAAATGACCCCCATTCAGAGCCCAGCATCAGCCCAGCCGGCGCTGGCATCTCCGGCATCTCCCCCAGAATCTTCTACTCCATCTTCCGACTCTTCTTCCTCTGCTCGCGTTCCTGTTCCTCCCTCCTCCGATTCAGTAGCAATGGCCAAGACATACCCTCCTGTGCAGCCTGGAGGCAGTTTGATCCTGGCATGGCAGATCAAGCACAAGAAGGTGCTTGTTGTTGGCGGTGGTGAGGTACGTCTGATTCATCATCACATGCTGCGCCGAGTCTCGGAGCTTTTGATCCCTGAGCCGCTCGTCGCCACGATGCTATCGCGCAATCTCTTATGACTCTATCTGACAATTTTTTCTAGGTCGCTGCTGGTCGGATCCTCAACTGCCTCAACGCCGACGCCAACGTCACTGTCGTGTGCCCCAAGTCCGGCCTCAACCCCGAAGTCGCCTTTCGAGTTAGCGAAGGTCAAGTCGCCCACGTCGATCGATTATTCGAACCCGAAGACCTCGATGGAGCTAGCATGGTCCTCGTCGCCATTGATGATCCCGCCGCCTCAACAGTCATCTGGAAGTTGTGCAAGGAGCGAAGGGTTCCTGCCAACATTGCCGACGTGCCCCCCGAATGCGATTTCTACTTTGGCAGCATTCACCGCGATGGGCCGTTACAGATTATGGTTAGCACCAACGGCAAGGGGCCGAGGTTAGCGGCAGCCATTCGACAGTTCATCGCCAAGCAATTGCCCAAGAACGCTGGCAACGCTATTGAGACTATTGGCGAGCTGCGGCTCAGGTTAAGAAAGATGGCCCCTAAACCTGAAGATGGACCCAAGCGAATGCTTTGGTAAGATTTACACAGTCATTCCCGTACAAGATTGTGCTAACGAAGATGATGTCAGGATGTCGAAGGTTAGCGATACCTACAAGTGGGACGAGATGTGCGGCCTCACAGACGAAGATATGGATAACCTCCTTCTTTTCTACCCTCCCAACAAAGTTCCCGCCATGGATGTCTTGGTGGCTCTCCGTGGAGGCGTCGACCTTAAGAAACTCGATGTATTCGATGGTTCATTCGGCTTCAGTGTCGGCGCGTAGACAACACATACAGTGGAGAATATGGAGCAGGTGACGTTGCGTGATGGGCGCTGGGAGACTTGTACGATTTTCTTTGGATGAAGGTGCATATACGGATTGGAATATTTTGGCTACGTCTTGTGTTATATGAGGAAGATACTTTCACAGCACTGTTTTGCTTGGAGATTGGACCCTCAACATTATTGCAGTCCATCTAGCATTCGCGGAATCATTGGAGATGGTAGAACATTATTGCAGATTGTTGTCTTTGTAAAATTTTGAGTCAATACATTACCAGGTTTATTTACCCAGACCATCAATCCCGAGACACGTCGGCAGTTGGTGACATGGGGTTAACGGGTCAGACTGTCAGACCGCAAAATACGCCGCACCAGGTTTTGCTTGGCAATTGTCACGTAGTAAGCACTTAACAGTGACCTCCAAGTGATCATTAATTTTATATTCCTTTTTTTCTGAGTCTGGTTCATCAACTCTCGACTCTTAACTGATCTGTTCTATTTCGTCATGCATCATAATTTTGGTATCATGAAAGCTTTTACAGCTTGAGAACAACCTGGTTGCTAGCGCTCTTCTCCTTCTCGTCACCGAAGACATCAATGTCCCAATCAGGCTTGTCTGAATGATTGTTAGTACATGATATTGGAGCCAAAGCTGGTGGTAATTGTGAAAACTTACAGGTCTTGGGGATGTTAAATCGCTGGGGCTTCTCGCCGAACTTGGCAAGCTCCTTGATGGCCTCCTCGTCGAGCTCAACCTCCTCGAAGTTGCTGCGGATACGAGAGGGGGTGACGGACTTGGGGATGACGATGTGGTTGTCGAGGGTGGACCAGGCGAGGATGACCTGGGCGGGAGTGACCTCCTTGCCCTTGGACTTGGTGAGGCGCTCGGCGACGGCCTTGACCTCAGGGGTGTTGATGAGGAGAGGCTCGCCCCATGAGTTGTTGCCGAAGGCGGAGTAGGCAGTCAGGTAGATGCCCTTCTCTTTCTGGTATGCGACGAGCTCGGGCTGGGGGAGACGGGGGTGGCGCTCGATCTGGTTGATGGCGGGGGTGACGCCGGTGTCCTTGATGATGGTCTCGAGCTGGCGGGAGGGTTAGCTATGTGGTGATGGGACGGTTGAGGGGTGTTCGAAGCTTACCATCTCCTTGTTGAAGTTGGAGACACCAATAGAGCGAACCTTCTCCTTGGGGAGCTTGGTAACGGCCTCCCAGGTCTGAGAAAGAGTGACGCCCTGGTCAAGAGCAGTCTTGCCGTCTTCGCCCTCCTTGAGGGGGAAGAGCTCGTTGCCGTTCTTGAAAGCAACAGGCCAGTGGATCAACCAGAGCTATGGTTGGTTAGCAATGCATCCAAAAGGGCAAACGTCTTCAACTTACGTCAAGGTACTCAAGACCAAGCTCCTCGAGGGAGTCATCGAGGGCACCGGCAACCTCCTCAGGGCGGTGCTTGTTGTTCCAGAGCTTTCCAGTGATGAAGATGTCCTCACGCTTGAGGCCATCGACCTCGCCAATAGCCTTCTTGATACCCTCACCAACCTCACGCTGGTTCTGGTAGATCTTGGCAAGATCGAGGTGGCGGTAGCCGGCCTTGAGGGCCTCGTAGACGCCGTTGCCAACCTCACCGGGGGCAGCCTGCCAGGTGCCGTAGCCGATCTGGGGGATCTTGTAGCCCGAGTTGAGGGTGACTGTTCGACCGAAAGACATGATTGCGGTATATGTTTTGTGTGTGGGGAGGTGTTATGGGAGATATGTGTTGTATGAGTGGGAATAGAGAGGGAAGAAGGAGGGGAAAAGCCGAGTAGAGAGGAGTGGATGAAGGGTTTATAAGAGGAGTTGCGAGCTCGACGTGGACTTGTTACGACACCAGCTGAGGAGCCAACATTGATACTGTATCCACATTTAACAGCTTCTCCCAACGTGTATGTACTGTAATGCAATGTGTTTGCCTGTTTGCGTTTCTTGTCTCGAGAACCCTGGTGGTGACGGATGTCCCTTTTCTTCTCCACCACCACCACAAGCTACACGATAGACCTTGTCGACCATGTACCACTAACAAGTCATGATGCCGAATTGGGCAGCTCCGAAGGCCATAGCGAGCCACTGATTCGTCAAGCATGTCGTCCATCTCGAAGCTTCTACAAAACACCAACCACAGGCTGTCGTACCTATCACCAACTGGCAACTGGGCCATTGACATTGGCATCAACACGCGGGGCAAAAAGGAGCCCCACGCTTAGCTAACTCCATCCTCAAATGAGATCATCAGCCCCGTAAATGAACTAAGAGGAACTCCAAAAAAGCCCGCATATTTGTCTCTAGCGTCTGTTGTAGCGATGCGCGTGAGGATGATATCAGCGAGTCCGTCTTTTTTTTTCTTTCTCTTAATTGCCGGTTGGGTTTGCCTGCTTTTTCGGTCTAGCTACCCCGAGTCAGTAACTAAGATGCCACTTACTGGTAGACAATCCGCAATTGCCATTGGTACGGCTGTAGTTTGTGGTCTCTAACTGGAGAAAGATGAGCGGACGCTATTTGTGATGCTCTTTGTTTGTCATGAGTGGTTGAGTTGAGGGTGACATTCAACTCATGATGCCCGTCTTTCCCTTGGGGCAAAGATTGGGTGCCATAGCCTGCCTCTTTTACAGTAATTTGGCTTCAACTAAATCCAATATTTATTTTCACTTGAAAGGGGCTTTCCCAACTGCATAATGCCGTCAATCTCTTCCCAGAAATTGTCACTGTGCCTTAATCCCGCACCACATCGACGCTGTGTAACCCATTATACGTCAGTAAGAGATCTCGTCATCCTAACCTCAACTTCACGAATGCGACATACCATGAAGGCATTATGTGATCCTCCGTTACGATAGCCATTTAGAGCCCAGAGAGGATTGGGATTGAACACCTACCCCAACACAATAACCCGATTGGACACTTAAACTAAAACCTATACAGTACTAACCTATGACAGAACGGCTAAGCACTTAGACTTCATATCAACAACCTGACTGAGTTAAGAGTTAAGAAAATCGCCTCTCGGATTAATAAACGGGTCAGGACTAGTGTTTAGGACTGAAGACAATACATATGGCAACAATTCAGGAGATCACACGGCACATGAAGAAGCATATAAACATAGTACTAATAAAGTAATCAATTCTTGATAACCATCGCATGTAAGTAAAATTGAAACAAACACAACCTGTGTAACTACCCCTTCTCAATATCATCTAACCTAACATCATCTCAACAAACAATTACCAAAATACTACATCCAACCCGTTATCTCACCTCTGTCGATACCAGGCCTTCACAAGATCAAAGGTGAGGTTCCTATGGGCCAAGAATCCCCGCCACTTGACAATCTGACGATCAGGAATAGGACGATTGGCGCCTTTTCCATGAGGACGGTTAATTACAAAGGCGCTCGCCACAGACTCCGGCCATCGACAACCGGCTGTATGAATGTAACGATGATGCGACCCACCGCCAGGTAAAACGTTGAAGCCGATTGCTTTGATTGCGTCTTCCATCGCCTGCCATCGAATATCCGGTAGCTTCTGTTTTCCCCTTTGGCCTGTTCTCGTCGTGTATCTGATGTCTCCCACGAGGACTCGCCTCCATGCATCCCAACAGTGGTTGTTAAGTATTCCCTTTGGCCTTCCATCCGGTGCAACCAAGGGTGACTGCGGTTGAGCTGGCGGAGTTTGATCAGGTGGCTGTTGTTGTACGGGTTGAGGTTGAGGTTCGAGTTGAAGCTCACCAATCGCTGGCAATACAAGATCCTCAACGGCTTCAAGGTCTCCTGTGCCAGTCGCTGGCAACACAGGGTTCTCGCCGGCGCCAAGATCTTCTGTGCCAGTTGCCGGCATTTCAGTGTCCTCGTCAAGTCCGAGGTCTCCTGTGTTCTTTTCTGTGGGAGCTGTCGCGGCGGCTTGTTGCAAAGGGGCATCTCGCATGTCTACATAGCCCGGCTCAGAGTTGAGCTGTTTTTCCCTTTGCAGCCTTTGTCGACGTTTTTCCCTCCTCTTCTGTTGGCCCTTTTCATATCGATGTTTCCGGATGGAGTCTATAGCTTTGAACCTGGAAACTTCATCTGCTATGAAGTCAAACTGATCTGTCTGGACATACTGCTTTCCTTGCAACTTCTTCTTCCAGGCATTCTTGTATTCTTTCTGGCGTTTCGACAAAATCTTCCTCAGATCCAACCAGATTTCTTTGGATTCCTCTCTTTCCTCCTTCGAGTCCTGGGCTTGCGCATCTTCAGGCTGCTCGTTGTTGCTGAAGACCCAATCGTTCTCATTGATACCCATATGCGTCCTCAGACGTTCTAGGACCTTGTCATCGGCCTGAAACACGGGTTTCAATTTATCTTCTGGCTTTTTCGGCTTTTTCGGATCTTCTGGATCGAGTTTACCCCATTTGTTGCAGCAATGCTCTACGTTACCCTCGTTGAGCGGTACTATCAATGTTTTCAGGATAGATGCGCCAAAACGCTTGATGTCGGTTTTTGCCTTACCGAAACTTTCCTCCGGTTTCTTGCCATAACCCTGCATCTCATCAAGGAAGCGATATACACGCTCTCTCCGCTTAGCGGGCATATGAGGTAGTGAGCAATCACCAAGGGCAAGGATGTCGTAAGACGAGTACTTCTCTAGCATGTCAGAGTATATTCTTCGGTGCTCCAGTTCCCACTTGTCAGTCATACGTCGCCTGCCCAAGTTATGAGGCTTGATCAATGACAGGTGTTCTGCGATATCCGCGAGGACGTTCAAGCCACTGAGTGTTGTCTTGATCAGACCGGAGAATGTTTTCTCCTCTTCGTCTTCGCCCTCACAATCCTCGATGTGTCTCAGTATTCGGGATGTCGTCTTTCGCATCCCGACGTACATTGAAGAAGACTTGTTCGAGATGAAGTTTTCGATGAGCTCAGCCACCATACGAGAAGGTTGAAGCCGCTCGCTCTTCATTGTCTGGTCCCGAATCTTGAGGGGAATATCTTGGCTGTCGTAATACTCATGAACTTTATTCAAGTACTTGGTATTAGGCCCGCCAAAAGCATTGATGTGCCAAATATCACGGGTAGACTGTGAAGCCGCATGAATCGCTCTCTTGCGAAATTCGAAAACGAAGAAAGCAGCCGCGTGTCGCACCAATATCTGCACTTCCCTATGTCGCTTGTCCCACTGATCTGTACCCAGCGGTCCACCGCAAGGCATCAATAAACTTGGGTTTGCGTTGCCAGTGGATGCATTTCCAGAGTTTGCCGGTGCCGCCTCATTGATGACCTTCAAATAAAAGCTTTCAAGATCATGCAAAGCTTCAGAGATCGTATTCCAAATAAAGAATTCGAAGAAGGCCCTTCGAAGTACGTTCCGCGTGCAATCGAGATACAGATCGTGACGAACGGCATCCGTTTCATATAACCTTATATGGTGCCCTCGATCTTCTGAACCGTATTCGTTACGGATGTTGGTCCAGTGGCGCTCTTTTTGCTCCATGATAAGATTGACGAAATAATCTGGTTCGTCAAACAATCTACTGATGTGCTCCTCGGCATCGAGTTTCTTTGTCGCAAGTATGCCGATATATCTTTTGAACTCGATACCTTCGGAATCCAATTCATATTGTCTTGTTGAGTCCACGTCTTGCCAGGTTTCGGGGTAGTGCTCTGCCTGCAAGTAGTCAATCCCCCGTTTTGCCATCGTCTTGATTTTTAATCGTTCATCTGCGCTGAGGCTACTGTAAGGGTCGACTTCCTTTTCTTTTGCTAAATTAAGCATTTGTTGGCAGAATTTGGTCAAGAAGAGGTATGTGATGACCTGAGTTTGCATGAGAAGCCACGCTTCCATACTACCATACAACATCCCGGAACTTTGCAGGCGATACAGTTTCTTCCTGTCATTGAATGCGACCATTTCAGCATACTCTTTCTTGTACATGAGTACGGGTTGAAAAGTCGGTGGGGTTTCGACTTCTGGTGTAGGGCCAAAGTCTTCGAAATGGACAAAACAGTGAGGATCGCAGGCACCACACAACAACCGGGTTGTCTTTCCCAAATACGTGCGGTTGCTATCACGCTTAACAAAGGCCTTGGGGAAGAATCGAGCCCGGTAGTATATAAACTTGAGGAGGTACAGTGGATTTGTTAGATCCTCCAGATTGATATGCGGCACCAAGAGGCTAGCTCTCTGCTTCCGTTGGATCCCCTCGACGTCTTGGTTGAACGTGTAGGCATTTGTCTGTGTCGGTCCTGGTTTCGGTCTAGGTTTCTTCAGCGTCTGAAATTTGTCGTCAGACAGCATAGCTTCGTCGAATTCAGGCCTCAAGTCCCTGTAGTTCCCTCCATGTCGGTAGAGTGGATAAAATCGGTCTTTCTTTGTAGTCCTTTCCCTCTCTTGGCCTGCAGCGCTAAAGTCTAAAGCGAAGGTATCGAGGTCGTTCGAACGGGTCATCGTAATGTTACCATTGGGGTCCAGGTAGAAGTCGCTTTCTATGTTACGAGGCTCTGGCATTTCGTCGTTATATGTGTCCCTGGCCAACTCCCAACTTCTCTCCAGGAAATGTTCAATCGTGAGAGTGTTCCCATCTTCGTCCGTCGTGTCGCCATCTGTGAGTTTGAGGATGGCTTCCTGAATCTCTAGCTCTTTGCCGCTCACAATGTGGTTTAACTTGGTCCACCATTGCCCAACAAGGGCGCCACGTTTGCGCATCTCTTCCTTGAATTCTTCGTGAGGCCTTCCAGGGTCGAATGGTGGCCACACAGATTCCCTCCCGTAACCATGCTGAGCGCATCTCTGGCGAGCACTTAGCATAGGGCCGCGGCTGTTGTCCACATATGGTTCCAAGTTTGGTTCCACGTTTGGTTCCACGTTTGGTTCCTCATTTGCATCCTTGTTTGAATCCTCGGTTGAATACTCTTTTGAATCCTCGTTAAGTTCCACGGTTGATTCCACGGCTGATTCCACGATTGATTTCACGATCAACTCCACGATTGGTCCCTCGTTCACTTTAAAGTGTTCCTCATTGGCGAGCGACTCGAGTTCCTCATCCATACCAGCATACCCATAGCTTGGATCGGTAAACTTGGCATTCTTTCCAAGCCACACAGCGTGCATGTGAAATTCCGTGTCCATGAGGGAAAGAAGGAAATAGGTGGTCAGTAAAGGCGGCAAACTTTTTCGAGCTATGAGTAGACGAAAAAATTGTGATTGCGGTTCTGTGCAGGGTGCTGATGTTGTGTCCAGGGAACCTTGGGTTATATATAGAAGGAAAACTGCGATGCAGCGCCGAAACTTGAACAGCAACGGATTTTACGTTATTCGGTAATCGAGAATCACAGGCCACAATAGCCCAGAGAAAGAGGAACAAAGAAAAGAATATCGACGTATATGCCTGCTTCTGAGGATAGCTCGAAGCATGCACAGTTGCATCGAGACCAACTTTTGAGCTGCTGGCATACATTGCTTTCCATCGGATTTCCATTGTTGAACCCTTCACTGAGTAGTGTCAAGGACTCGGGGAGCCGGGGAGCCAGGTCTAGATTTCGTTGAAGGTGAATTCTTTGTCCTTCCTCGCACTCTCGTTTACACCTCTAGGCCCGCCTGGGTGAAAAGCAGAGCAGGCGTTTGCACGGCACCTGGATAAAGCCATAATATTGGTTGCCTTTGATATTCTTTGTGGGGAGTGTTATAACCCTGGGCTAGAATGAGACCAAAGCTTGAGTTTTCTCGAGAGTATCATGACCAATAGTGAAAGACTCGTCAGATATTCGCTCCTTCGTAATGATACCGAGTAATGTAGTATCCGTAAAGGTTTGTGAATTTCACATGCCATTGCAGAGAAATGGTTGTATCATCTGATTAGGACCTTACCTTGTAGGCGGATGATAACAATAACATCGTGGCGTTTGATGTTCATGTCGAGAAATACGGTCAACAATCGTGACTGGAATTCCGAGTCAAATACCTGTCGAGAGCCAAGTTGTTTCAAAATTGTTGTAAGAAAGTGCCGTGGAACAAGGCAAGATCCTCTTCACTACCTACCTATTTAGCAGCTTAGTCATCTCATTCACGCGACATCAGTTGAGCAAGAGCATCAACCACCAACTGCCTGCCCAGGTAAATACCATATCATCTAAATTCCTTTCACGCAAAGATTTCGACAAACCAAAAACTTGGTCAAGACGTGTGTTACACATGTGATTACACTGCGCGCTCGATCAAGGCTCCTCTTTGTGTTGACGCGTTGACAAAAACGCGCTGCTGTCGCAATATCCAAACAAAAAAGCATCTCAACGCAAAGCGAGGAACCCGACAATAAGCTAGAAACTTACGAGGACTCGTATCCATAGTCAAACGAGCATCAATCCATCCTTATATCTAAAGATGGCTCGCTTGAGTGCCCAAGGCTCAGGCTCAGCTGAGGTTCAGCAATCACCCACTCAATCTGTCAATACTGCTGCTGCTTCTGATAACGCCAACGATGAAGCAGTCCCTCCATTCTTCAACACAACTTTTTCCACCCACCGCGTTTCACCTTTGCATATTGGCAAAACACGGCTTACCAAGCAGAGACTCGAGGTGTTCGCCAGCCGCCTACGCGACACCCTTGTTGGGGATGTAATTCGTGGCATCCAGCTCAGATTGGAAGCGACAGATACATCCATAGGACAAGTCGGAGTCCTAAAGGGGGTGCGAATCGAGTGGTTCCGTGCGAGCACATTCTTGGGAGAAGATGTCAGCAACGATGACCTTGAAGCCCCACGCGGTAACCAGAGCGACCTTCCAGACGACCAGAAGCAAGGACTTTGGATAAGTATAGAGCACGAAAACGCTGCATACGCCGCGATCCTCCTACCTGGCTTCTCTGAATCTTCTGGCATTCGTCAAGGGGAGGATCAAAGCAAATTTCTTCATTTACCACTGTTACTGATGCGCATGCCCCAGCAGCTAAAGAGCGTCGTGGCAGACTGGCTTGCTGCTTCTTTCGATTGCCGTGTAAGCCGAGTGGCATTGGGAACAAAGACAATCCTGGGCGTTTGGGAGAGCTGGATTGCTAGCAACGGAATCAACGATCGCGGTGCTGATTTTACTACTACTCTCGCATTCAACGCGCCCCTACCAACCAACGATGCCCCGACAGCTACCGAAGTAGATCAACCTCAAAATGAAGAGACGACCACTGCAGGACTACGCTCTATTGACATTACAATATCTGCTCAAGATCTTAGGCGTTTTGTACGCGCTGGCGAGAAGAGCCACGCCCCAGACGATGCCTCTTGGCAGGGAGACGCCCGCGAGCGCCGTCGGCTTGCTGGAAGGAACACGGACGATGGCTGGACTTGGAGAACAAAAGAAAGCTCTGAAATATCACCTTTCACCGAAGCCCTGGGAAGCTATCTACACCATCATCTCGCATTGGACCTCTTTCATCCCAGTGTGCACGTTACCCAGATATCTTGCGCCGGGTTCGTGCTTGGACAAGGTCGATTGAAAATCCTAATGTCCGGAGAGGTTAGCCAGCCTCTTTCCCGCGCTGCTTGGTCGTTTGTGGCGCAACTTGGACAAAGGGTCACGGGCGAGCAGTTGCCGCAGGTATTTTCAACCCAGTTTGGTGGTTGAAGCTGCCTAAGCGTCAGTGCGTTGGTGAACACTCCCAACAGCTATTGACACCTCTTCGGTAAAGGCCGATGTGCTACGAACCAAAGATGGATGTATAGACCCCAGGTGCAATTATTTGTACAGGATATACCGATTGTGGTCAAGATCAAAGAAGTGCAAAACAATTTGCCCAAGAATTAATAACCCGGTGTCAAGATGCCACCAGTATAGAATGGGCCAGTACTATTTGCTCCCACGTCATCCTTTGTTCCTCGGGGTCCATCGTGCAAGGGAATAGCATCAGGCATCCAACCACGACGATGCAGCCTCCCTTCGGACGCTAGAGGGGAATGGATTATGGCCCAAAACGAGCGCGACGGAACCCGAGTTTGCGGCAAGAATTTCTTCTTACGATTGTAGCTACAGCGTTATGGCCTACCGTAACATCAAAGTTCTATCAACGCAGGTTTGCGGCGTATTAATCTGCCAATCTCCCCAAACCCATTGGTGGCACCAAGCCACGTATCGTCTCGGCCTTGGTCTGTTCCTTTCCTGTCAGCATTCTGCAGAATAATTCGCGTTGGGCCCAATTTGACAGTGTGCTAGCGGCAGCCGGGGGCGAAGTATTGTAGTCTGTTTCGTCAAGATCAACAAGTGCCGCAGCGATTATACAATACTAGGGAGTACTGCTTGCCAAACTGGTTGCGGGGAGAAACACATTTGTGGTAGTACAAACTGTCATCCGTGCTCTCTGATTGAGTGCCAACACTTTGGCTCAACTCAGCCAAGTCGAGGATCATGCCCTTGAGTGTGAGTTTACAAAATTGTCCCATGACATTCTGGACATAGGCACTCGACAAGATGAGAACGAATAGGTCTTCAGGCAAACGCGAAATCATGTTCATCTTTCCACACGTATGAAATGTACCCATTACCTCAGCCCATGACAGGCGACGATCCAAGCTCAGATGCTCGAATGAAGGCGGTTTTCTCATTGCTGGCTAAACAGCTGACAGGATCTTCATCAGACCGGGGAGACGCTTACTTCCCATCTGGATCTAAGCCTAAGGATGACAGGGCTATAAATAAGGCTAACGCCGAAAGAGGAGATGGATGTCACGATTACGGATATTGGGGCTAGATATCTTGAGCCTCCATTTGAACTTTCTGGACAAAGAATAATCCTCCACATTCTATACAATTCGTCGATCTGACAACTTGATGACTACTGATCGGGTTCCATGGATTCAATACATGAGACAGTTCTCCATGACTCGAATAAAGGAAATGACACAGCCTGAAAAGAATCACGTCGATCCACAAGCACAGCCTTGTCGTCCTCGGTTTGTGCGAATATTGGTGGTACGAGCTCCAGATGGCTGTTGGTGGCTGTTGGTGGCTTTGTCTCTACGATGCAACATAGACGGAAGACATCCTATCTTTGGAATTACCATCTGAGTTCAGCAACCAACTTCAACTTTACTTCCAAGCTGACTTTATATTCCCTTTTCTTCACACAAGCACATGGTACACGAGAAGGATCAATGCTACCAGCACTGTTTTACGGACGTTAGTCGAAGTGGAACAAAGCCTGAGACATTCCCGCTGCCATTATCGCCACAATTCTAACGGCATGTCGACGGTATTTGGGGGCTGACAGGCTGCATCTGTGTGTCTCAGCTCGCAGGATGGAAGTGCAGATACTATTGCATTTTGACTTCAATCAAGCCCAGTTGTACTTCTGGTACCCGGGTATTAGATGTATCCTGTGCGTGTCCGGCTTTGAGTTATTACTATGCTTGAGTTACAGCCATTAGCTTCGTCTGTGAGGCTGTGCCCGTCTTTTCCCTTCTCCTCGCCCTCGGACATTATTATTCCTCTTCTTTACACGGCTGTGCGATATAGTGCATTGGATACCATCAAAACAGACATCGTCCCTCGCCAATACTATCATCATAGATACACGTTTGAATCCAGTGTTCAACATGTCTAACGCTCGAGAGCATTGGGGTCTTTCTTGCACAACCGGAGGCAGATTTTACATCTGTGAAGATGACGATACGCAATTCATTGGCTGTTGTCTGAGCGATCCTTGTGGTAGGAACAACGGCACCTGTCCAGACGGTGACTTGCGCGCAACGACCTTCGCGTCTGATACATACGCGGATCTCCCAGCTCAGGACTGCGACAACTCTCAAGGCGTCGACAACTGGTACACATGTGCCTATACCACTCCGCCATTTCTAGGGTGCTGCAGTCAAAACGCTTGTGGATCGGGTTGCCCAAGGAACAGATTGGTGCCAGCCAAGCTATCCAAGAATGAGAACAACAGACTCAACTTCTTAAACCCCCGGGAAAGCGGGAGTACTACTTCTTCCACTGCCTCAGAGACAGCCTCTGCGACGGCTTCGAGCACTACTACGGCGGCTTCGGGTACCTCTGCAACGGCTTCGAGCACCTCTGCAGTTGAGGCGGGCGACGATGGCGGCTTGGGTACCGGGGCTGTGGCCGGTATAGCTGTTGGTGCGGCAGTGGGAGGTCTGATCATACTCATTCTTTTGTTCTGGCTGTTCTGGTGGAAGCCCCGAGAGAAGAAGAAGCAACAATCGGGAACTTCTGTCGCACACTATGCACCTCCGGCTGCACCTGCAATGAGCCAGAGTCCATACTCGCCTACAGATGGCAGTTTTCATCAAGTCGCCTTCAAGGCACAATCTCCGATGAGTGGCTACCAACGTGAGAGATGCCGTCTATTGATCAATCAAATTATACTGAAATACTGCAGAATCCTTCGCTTCGACACCAACGGTTCCAAGCCACCATCACAGTGGCGTATCCCCCATGGACCGATTCCAGGAGTATTCACCCAACCTGTCTCAGTCCGACCGACCTCAATCATACGGGCACTTCACTGAGTACACACAAAACCCCGGTCTCCCGCACTACCAGCAAGTATATAACCAACACCAAATTCCTGTCGTTTCAGAAATGGACGGTATCACGAGGATGCCACAAGAAATGAGCGCTGGGTCAGAGCACCGCGTGCAACGCAACTCGAGCATTGGCCCGGAGGTTTTGGATTTTGATCCTAGATTGAATGCGATGAAATGATGGGTGATTTGAAGAGGCTTGTGACATGGATGAAGGAATTAGTGGGCATGGGTATAAGGATTCCTGAGAAGGTTTATTTACCAGCGGTAATGGTTATGGGTTGGTTTGCGTTTCGTTATATATTCTCTTGAGAATGATTATTTGTTAGTTAATGTTTCATATATGTTTTGAGACGATTACTACGATTGAGCAAGATGTATATGCTTAGTCACATCTATACTCGTGGACGAGCACAGGTCTTTAATACTTACTATCTCATCAGCTGCTGTCCAGCATGTGCCAGTCCTTACTATATTGATATATCAGTCTTGCAGAGCTTGTGAATCACGATAGGCCTTTTTACGACATTGACAGAACCACCAGATCCCATTCATAACACAAGGGAACATGACATACATAGTCTTTAATATCCGTACAATAAACCAGATGAGATGGGAGCATTTGGTGCATATTCTGGTGCTCCACAGGGTAGGCAGGTTGTGTTGCACTTCTGATATCACAAGACGGGTCAATCATCGAGATGATGGAGCAGCCGCGTTACACGCTCAAACAGTGTCGTAAATAAAACAGTCAACAATCCGCTTGGAGTGGTTGATAAGTGTACCTTTTATTACTGCAGTAAAAACCCCAGGTTTGCGTAAAACAAGCTATGTCATCCCGCCCCCATTACTTCGCAATTCGGACCACACAAAAGCAACTTGCAAGCACTCAACCACCCTTGACGACTGCCCAGGCACTACAAACATGGAAACAGGCCTTGTTTTCCATGGAACATGACATAACAGCCTTTTTACCACTGTTCAAAGGGCTGCGACGTCATGGCGTGTAATACGGATTGAGATTTGGGGTATAAAGAGGGGCATGTACTGGGGGAGACAGCGCTGTAATTCAAAGCATTACCTTCTGGAAATACACCGAAAAAGCTTATACCACTTTCAATCAAGAACACCATAAATACATACTATCGCCAAAATGAATTCCGCTGGAGACCGATCTGTTATCTCGAACGACATGCAGGAGCTTCGCGAGGGCAAGGAGGAGATTTCGCACAAGATACAGGGTCACAAGGCGAACCTGTCCAACCCCAGTAAGACGCCCTTGAACCCTCTTTGATGGATGTAGTGAGCAGCTACTGACGCCAATGTAATAGACACCAGCGAGGCTAGCAAGGAGAACAGCAAGAAAGAGATTGAGAACCTTGGAGGCGATGCCAACCACTACGGAAAGCAGGATGATCCCCACAGCAAGAGCGCTGCTGAAAACCTGGAGGGAACTCGAGCTGCTTAGATGAAAGATGAAACATGTTGTTTATGATTATGGTATTAATGAAATAATGATAATTTCTCAACTAAAACGGTTCTTCTCGTGCTATTACTGTAAGTGTATGGTAAGGCTGTGAAGCAAGGCATAATTTATTGGCCTCGTGTGCTATACCTGGCTTTAATGAACTACGTCAATACAAATTTATCAAGGTCTACTAATTATTATCGACTTTATACAGAGGAAGGGCCAGAAAGTTTTATATAATATTAAAAATAATCCCTATTTATAATAGGGGTACCTTAGTAAATTAGTAAAAAATAAAAAATATAATAAGGTAATTTACTTATTATTTTACCTTATTATCCCTTTAATTAATTATTTAAAGTTATTAATATTTTTATAGGTCTTTTTTTAATAGCCTTAAATATTAATATTATAACCTAGGTTTTTATTATATCTTTTAAATTATTAAGAAATAGTAAAACCTTTAATAAAGTAGCTATAATAATAGGCCTATAATACTATTACTATACTTAGGGGTAAAATAAAGGTATTCTATAGAAGTATATTTCTTTTAAGAAGACCTAAGCTTAATACTGCTTTTATAGGTATACCAAGCTCGGACCTTTATAGTACGGAATATCTATATTTCCGATACCTTACTTAATATAGTAATACCTTTATATATTAAATACCGGCCGTAAAAGGAAAATATTACTATCTTTAATATAACTACTATAGGATTTTATATATCGTAAGGTCTTAATTATCCTATATCTAGTATTTATTAATTATTATTTTCTAGACTTTTTCTATTTCTTACTATAGTAAGGGCTATTTCCTTTAAACTATTCTAAATAATTATAATAGAAATCTATAATTAAGTCTTTAGTAATATTAATAGTTTATATTTATTAATTATATTAAGGTCCCTATCTTTTCTATTATAAAAGGAATCCTTTAATTAGTATTACATTTTTTTTAAACTATTTAACTTCCTATTATAGAATATATTTAATAATATACTTTTTATTATCTTTAGAACCTCTTTTTATAGATTCTAATTCCTCCTCTCTGTAGTTATTAGTATATATAGATAAAAGCTATTAGACTAAGATAACTAGATAGATCTTTATATTATTAAGTAGTTAGAGCTTATAGGTTAAGTCTTTAACTATTTAGATAATTTTAAATAGACTTATTTATTATTATAATTATTTTCGAGGAGGATTTCTAGGTAAGTAATATTTATTATAAAGTCATAAATAAATATAATTACCTTTCCTTAATATAATAGGTCTATATTTCTTATTATAGACTTACTTTCCTTTTCTAGTAATAAAGTTAATAATAAATTAGGCTTTTTTTTAAATAGTTTTTTATAGATAAGGTAAGTTAGGAATATTCTTTATAGAAGTAATTATATTAAGGAGATTTCTAGGCTTAAAGCCGTAAATATATTTATATATAGAGGTCTTTATATCTATATTTAAGGCACTATTTAAATTCTATTAAAGACTAAAAAGAAAATATATTTAATTAGTATAAAGGTTCTTAATATAATAAAATTATAAGGTAATTTTTACTATTTAGTTCTTTTTTTTTAATAAACTATCTACCTAAAGATAATATACCGTTATTATTATTAAATATATTTTAAACTTATTTTATAGCTATTTCTAAAATAGTAATATAAACTTACAATCTCTATTAAAGATAATTACCTTTAATATTCTCTAATTTAATAAGAAAAGTTATTATAAAAAGATAGTTATCTAGTTTATAGTAAAATAGGTAAAATAATTAAAAATAAAGAGAGTTTCTTTACTTAATATATAAGTCGTTATTATTAACTAATTATATTTTTTAAATCTATTTAGTACCTAGGAAGTTCCTTTTAATATTATTAAGGGTATATCTATAATAAAGTTAATTATTACTATATATATAGAGAGAATCGGTAGTTAAATAGGTAAATAGTTTCTAATTTATTACTATCGGCTGGTCTGTCTAAGATAGTATATTTAGTAACTATAAATATATTTCTTTATATAATAAAATAGGTTATTAATTAAGAGGTTTAAAAATTCTTTTATTATTTATTTAATACTAAAATAGTTATAGTTATTATATACTATTTTAAGTATATTATTAATAAGATCCTATAATATATATAGTCTTATATATCTATTAGCTTTTTTATAATAAAGTAGTCTATCCTTTAAGTAAAATAATACCCCCTGCTTTAATATAAAAGTAATATCCTTACTATATAGTCTCTTAATTATTATATTTATCTTACTATTTACTTACTTAAAGAGCATTTTAATAATAAGACTATATTTCATATTATCTAAATATCCTTTTTAGAATCTAGTTTTTATTTTATTAACTATTAATACCTTAACTAAAATAAGGATATTATCTAGGGCTATATAGTTAGGTCGGTAACGGTTAGTATTAAGGTCAGTCTCTAAGGTAGCTAAGTAATTAAAAGTATTAAAAATAAAGTTCTTAATACCGGAAATATAAAAAATATAAAAATTAAATTTAGATAGGTAAATTAAAGTATTAATAAGTTTCTAGTTAGCCCTGTCGGTATTAGATATTTCTAAAGTAGTTTTCTTAACTATAGGCTTTATAGCTAAATAGTCTATAAATACCATTAAGGATCCCTTAAATAAATTAATATATATTTTTAATTTCTTTACTATTTATATTAAGGTAATAATTTTAACTCTATTAGGCTATATTACTTTTCTATACTTATAAGTAATTTATTAATAAAATAGATAGGAAATATAATATTAATAGGAATTAAGGTTCTTTCTTTTTAAATATATCTATCTTTAATATAGAATAGGATAGCTTTAAAGCCTTATTAAATACTTTTATTAAGTTAAAGAAATAATTATTTATTTAGATTAAGATAATATAGCCTATTTTTTAATATAATCTTACCTTAAATAGCCTTAAAGGACGTTAATTTAGTATTAATTAGATTATAATAGGTAGACTTTATATATAATTTATATTTTCTAGGGTTTTTAATTATAACTTTACTATTCTCTTTTCCTATAGTAAGTAAGGTTACTTTCCTTTACTGTAAAGGCTTAATAAGTTAAGTATAGTAAGGAATAAAATACCTAATATATCCTATTATATTAATATATTACTTTAAGGCTAAAAGCTATAATAAAAACTTAAGCTTAATAAAAGATATAATTTACTTTATAGTTATAGATAGTCTAAAGGTATTAACTTAAAAACTTAATACTTAGGCACTTAGATATTCTATCTAGCTTTTTTTAGGGTTAATTATTAAGTTCTTAAATATAAAGATCTTAAAGAGTATCTTAAGGTATTAAATATGCTTTTCTATAGATTTAAAGAAAACAATAATATCATTAATAAAGGCTTTATAGAAGTATCGAAATAGATATAAAAGTCTATCTATATATTACTATATATAAGCCAGAGAGTTATAGAAACCTATAGAAGTAACTATTAAGTATTCTAATCTTTAATAATTAGTAATTATAAAGCGGTCTTTATATTTAGTTATAATTTTAAATTAATAAAAGAAGGTAAAAGTATTTATTACTAAGATATATATAGCTTTATATAAAGTATTAATAATATCTTTTTATTACGGTAATAAATAATAATCTAATATAGTAACTTTATTTAAAATATAAAGATTAATAATAACTTTTCCTTTAGGCTTTTTATTTACTATTTTTTAAATAATAAATATTAAAGTAAAGAAAGAAGTTAGTTTTTATACCTATTTTATATAATTTTTATTATATAATATATTAAATACCTTATTAATAAAGTATTAATCCTTTAATCTATAGGGATATAATTATTATAATACTTAGTATTTATATTAATTATTAATAAATAATATAGTTATTTTATTACCTTTATTAATTTTAATAAGTCTTAAGTTAATCTAGATTAATATATATTTCTTTATTAAGGAGACGATTTTTATTATAAAGGTAGTATTTTCGGTATATATATATATATTATTCTCTATTAAGATCTCGGTTAGTTTAGGTTATTATTATATATAAGTTTAGTAAGGTACCAATTAAATAACTTAAGGAATATTATCTTTAAGAGCCTAGATATTATTAAGAATAGGTAATATTATTATCGATTTAGTAAGAAAAAGGCTTTTTATAGTAAATAATATATATTACTTTTATTCCTTTTAAGGCTTCTTAACCGCGGTAATATTATTTAGTATTATATTTCTTATTAACGTTACCTTAGGCACTTTTTAAATAGGAGTTCCTATTAATATAATATTAATATCTTTAAAAGTAACTATAATAATATTAAGAGTTAATATAAATTTAGTAAATATACTTTTTACTTTAATAATAGTATTTAACTTAGTAATATTAATTAATAATAAACCGGTTATTAATAAACTATTTAGGGCTATAAAGGTATTTATAGTAATAACTTTTAATATAACTTTCTAATTAGTAAAATAGTAAACCTTATTTTTATTATATTCCTTAATCTTATTAATTTTCTATTTAATATAATACTATATATCCTTATTAGTATTATTTATAATAATAATACCTAATAAGGTTTTTTAGTCTATTAATCTATTAATAGTTTTATTAACTAAACTATAAAATATAAAGGTTTAATCCTTTAGAATCTCTTTTTAAGCTATTAATATAATATATATTTTACCGGCGGGAACTATAGTTAGTTAAGTAACTATAACTTATTATAATACCTTCTATTTAACTTAAACTACCTTAAAGGGAATATAAAAGTTAGGAAGACTTTAATAATTAAGTTATTATTTAGTATTTATAATATTAATACTATATAGGACTATCTAGGTATTACCTAGTAAGGCTACCGGTATAGAAAAGGATTCCCTATCTTAAATCTAAGCTTTATAAATAAACTTAGTAATATTTATATTAAATCTATTTTTATATATACCGTTAGTATAGAAAGTAAAGGTAGCCTATTTATTATAAGGT